TGACGAAAATTGCACTATTCACAAAAATGTTTTAACATGATATTTTCTTTACATTTCAGTATTTAGATTGGATGGCACCTTACACTGACTAACTGTTTTGTTAAGAGCATTACAGAAAGCAGCACACAGGGATGCTATCAGTACTTAAGTTTTATTAGCATTTCATTTCAAGGATGTCATATGACAAGATGCCTGGACATCTGGTAATCTGAAAGCACAACCATACCATTCTTTATACACATGTAGTAAATAAACTGTTCACATACTTGCATGGTATTGTAGGATGTATATATTGGCATTTACACACATATTGTAAATAAAATGTTCACATACTTGCATGGTATTGTTGGGTGTATATATTGGCATTCATTTCCGTTAGCACATGCTGGCCAGAATCTACATCGCTCATTTATAGTTGCCTTGACAACATCATCCGTCTCCATCTCCTCTCCTTCATCCTCATCTGTTATACAATAATTGTTATATAACTATCCCCTTGTCTCATAAAATACTCAACATTTGTAACATAAGCATACCGAAAATTAAACCTTAACTTTTAGTTAAAAAGATCACATTCATTGTATAAGCAATACTTATTCTCCTGTATTCCAATATACAAAACGCATATTTCTCATAATGTAAATAAATACAATAACCTCAAGGAACTTCTATTAATATAAGCACCCCACTTGCCTCAGTAAAAATACAAGTAGTATGTCTATGTAGCCACGAAAAATGATTTTTTACTTTTCATGCATTTTTATTTTCAATTCTATTTACTAGTTATTTTGTGAAATTTACATTTTGAACACTTTTCTATTTACAAATAATATTGTTTTTTATTTGTTCAATGAAAGTAAATTTAAACTATTCAAGATCATCCACATTAGCTGATGGACTTTCTTAAAGGGGAAACTAGATAAACTTATAGCAACAATGTAAACTGGCATTTGCTGTAATTTTTTCATTTTAGGCTTTTTCCTCACAATTTATTGACCAGAAAAGGATTCAACACAAAGTGACACTGTGACCTTAACCTTATACCAAATCAACACAAAATCAAAATGGTTTATTTACTGGCGTTGAGCAAGGTCCCTTACAAGTATCACAAAATTAGGCTTATAACTTCTCAAGTATTAGATTACCCAGTGCCACTGACCTTTGACCTACTGGCCTAAATATTAGTAAGGGTCTTCTACTGGCCATTGGCAATGTCCCTTTATAAATTACATAAATCATGACTTAGATCAATTCAAGAAACTGATTGGATATTCCCCGACGACAAGTTGACAGACAGTTGGACCACTCCATCACAGTATACTCCCCACTCCTCTAACTTGGGACATAAAAATAACAACTAAAGAACATATAAATGATTGGAGTATTTCTCCACTACTACCATCGGTATCTTTCAAATTGATATTGAAAGGTTTGATTTTTGTTGGTGCAATCTTGGCAAACAATTGTTCAGCTGCTTCCGATTCTGAGATTGATGCTTTCAATTGTTGTTGTTGTTCCGTGAGTGGCTTCTGTTTCTGCACTGGCTTCACAGTCTGAAATATCAACAGGTAAACAATGTAACTCACAGATATCCATTTCAGGGTAAATTTTTGGCAATTGACATATAATGCATATTTCATTCTGTATATATGTTTGATCAGTTTTTAGTCCTACTGACACATTTGAGATAGAAATAGTTTCTGTCCAGCCTTAAAAAAAGTTCTATACCTATTCTATTGTCCTGTTTTAGGACTTAATTGGTTTTATTCAATAAATAACTCTCTTATCGGTACTAATTATTATTTTATCAATTACAATAAAGAACAATCAGTATTTTTTTAATGCTGATTGCAATTTTCATGAATTTATCACGATATGTTGTCACTGTTATGCTCTGATAAAAAAAAACATACGAGGAAAGAAAATGATTTTTATTCTGAATATATGTTCATATAATATTGCACAGTATGGAGTTCAGATAAAGGCAACTACATAAGCATGCACCTAACAGCATTCGGTCATGTTTTATATGACAATGCCCTTAACTCTGGAATTCATTTTTCTGAACAAAGAATAATGAAAGAAATGGGTCTGTTATATGATATAGATGTTACCTGTACAGGATTCTGTCTGACCTCAGGTAGGGTCGAGTAGGCTTCAGGGTCCACACCATCAAGTGTTACTATAAACCTTGGCTCTGGAGAACTGCTACTTGTATCTCTGAACAACAAGACAAAAACACAACTTACATTTAATCCTATGATGATTTATCTACTTGGAGTATAATTATTGATTCGTGCCATTCATCATTTCGCCTTGCGACCTCTCCAAGCAAAAAGTTGAAAATTAACAAGTTACAATCGCAGGAGCGAGAAAGTCATTACAGACAGATAAACATTTCAGTGATGACCTTGTCCTTGAAGGTCAAATTATTGAAATTTTAATTTTTTTTGCTGTAACTGCCTACAACTTTGTTATTATTCAATGGACCAACTTCATATTATAACAGAATATTCTTTAGGGTAAAACCTTCATGTATATCAAACTCAAATTTACCCTGACTCTCTTATGACCTTGACCTTGAAGGTTAAATTATTGAATTTTCACTGATTTTTTCTATAACTGACTGTAACTTGGTAATTAATCAATGGATTTTCTTCATACTTTGACAAAACACATACCTGACATTTCTTGTGTTATCTTCCTCATACACCAAGTCTTCATTAAGGTCTAGTGTCTCGTGAGCTTCATTCAGCAACTGCTGTATCTCAGGATCTGGTGATGCATTGTCTGCAATGACAACAAATAATTCATTTAAATTTTTAAATCAATAAAATGATCAAATGTAAACATCGATACAAGACTTATGCTCCTCCCCTCCTTGTTTATATCTCAGGTAACCCTTACCCTAGGGACAGAGTCAGTTCACCATTGAGGACGGATACAAATTAAATGTAATTCAAATAAACAGTAGAATTTTAGCAGTGAATATTCATTTTTAACCTCAATTCCTACGGATTTTAAAAAAAAAGAACTTTTAATATTTTAGTGAAAATTTATTTGTAAATTCACCAAATGAATAAAATGCAGATATTTAATACCCATTCTCCAGTAAAAGCACTGTTATGTAATGTGAATACAATTAATTCAAAGCACACGATGAAAAGGTCTCTCAGCTATTATACAAGTAATTTTCATTTTAAAAGCTAAATGTCTTCTTTTCAAGGTTAGTACTGATTTCTTTATATTATCTTATAGGAAATTTCCAGAATAGAATATCAAATTTATTCTCTCATTAAATTTTTAAAGCATTATCCCTATTCTTCAGTGTTGCACATACCTTCAGATATATCCCTGCTTGAACTTGGTCTAGAGTTAGAGTCTGTGGCATCATTAGTGTCCTCATCCACCTGGGTCCTCTGTACAAGTCGTGTGTCTGGTAAGGGAGGCCCATATTCTGACAGCAAAATTCATCACATATTTTACTATTCATCATTACATTATTTTTCTAACACTTTAGTCTTACCTTCCTGGATAAGTGTAATACAGTGATACACTAATCCTGTTTTGATTTTGGAAATGACCATTGTTATATGAAGGGACGTCAATACCAAAATATTTAAACTGAGCATCCATTGTCTTGCAGGTGGTCAGACTACACAGTTGTGCTTGCTTGTCTGGCTCTATACTGGTGCCACATACTTGTTACAAATTCTACCACTCAAATGGCAAATTAAATTTTAAAAAAAACATTATCTTCAAGACTCAACAATATTTATTGTAAAATATGTTTCCGACATGTCACATTAATAGAAAAATTCTGGCTCATAAAAAAATATAGAATTTTATCATGTTTTGTGAAAATGTACATGTATTCCATATTTCACTCAAATGAAAAATATCCTATTAATATAATTATATTCAACAAGTTATATTACAAACATCTTGGGGGCAAAAACTCTTCAAGGGTTTTCTTATTTCATATGCAATCACAGAAGAAATGTTAGTCAGTCTTATTTATGACCTAAAGATACAGTACAGAGACTGGGATAAATATTGACTTTTTTATTTCTACAAGTATCACAGTTGAGTAACAACATATGAGCTGCGTCATGACAAAACCAACATAGTGCGTTTGCGACCAGCATGGATACAGACCAGCCTGGGCATCCGCACAGTCTGATCAGGATCCATGCTGTTCGCTTACAAATTCTATAACAATTAGAGAAACTGATAGCGAACAGCATCCATGCAAACCCATTATGTTGGTTTTGTCGTGACACGGCTCAATTATCTTCAACTTTCTTACTACGAGTATTTATGGCCATGTGATTAAGTTCGCTCTTTTTTTCTTTTCTTGCCCATCTTCACTGCAAATTGAAATCCTGACTTTGAACTTTGGAAACTTCTTTGTAAGGAAGCAACCAATGTAGCTATTAGCAATACATGGGCGCAAATTCAAAGAGTGCTTTCAGGAGTATGAACAAACTGAACTTCAGCCAAATGCCTGAAAACTTGTACCCATGATAATAGAGTATTGGTTTAACTTAATTAAGTTTTCATTTCAAAAGTAAGATTTGTGTTCTTAAAAATTGTAACTTATTTACTTTTTTTTTCTTTCTTAAAAGCTTAATGGTGGTGGGAAACATATTACAACACATTTTTTTTAAAAACATTTACTATAAATACTTGATTCATAAAGTTGGACTTCAAAATAAAAACATTCGTTTTAAACAAAATGCACCATTAGTTAAAAAAAAAAAAAAAATTATGAAAATATATACACATTGAAACTTTTTGTTTCAATATTCTGGTTCAAAATCACACAATTCTTATTGATTTTAAAATTTTATAACAGATATAAAGAATGAAATAAATGTGTATTTAGTACAAAACAATTTTGATACTTTTGAATGATTATCAAAGTAAATACACCAAGCAACGTGTCGGGTTTTTTTTAAAACTTTTAACACATACATGTACATTTCCCTATTTACTTTTAATTCTCTCTATAAAGGATCAACACTGTGTTCAATCAAATAAGTTTTCATGTTTTTTCATTAACAGTCCAGCAAGACTCAGTTATACTTTAATCAATTTCATAAAAACTTAAATATCTAAGTTTCACATACACAGCCTTATTCAGTCTTAGATATATGACATAATTCTGCTTCAAAATGGACTTAAGTCCATTCCTTTAAAAAATTTCTTTCAGTTTCACCCTCTGGCCTCATGACTGTGCAATATAATTTCACACAGACATTATAGTTATTCAGTTTCATATAAGGCTTTATTCTGTTTAAGGAAGAGCATCATGTCCACATGTTCAGGTCTGATCTGCATGGCTTTACTTTCTTTCTTCCTGTCTAAACTAAATATTTCCTCAGCACTAAGACTGGAGGCTGGAATAGCTAACACTCTTCTAGCAACTTTTGCAATATGTGGATACAACAACTGCTTCTCTTGCCACCATGATAAAGGATTTTTGTTTGAAGCTGGCTCAGCCATATACAGATTTATCTCAATTTTAGCTGTTTCATCTGGAGACCTCTGGTCATCTGAGGCACATATTACATCATCCAGCCAGTCATTTTCTACAGTTATAGAAAGATTTGTCATGTGTGCATTAGAATCAGTGTCCGATAATGGAGTCCTAACATGCCTTCTATTACTGTCATCTTCAGTCTCATCATCTCCATCCTCTGTCACAGATGGTCTAGCCTCTTCACACACTATCATTTTCTCTCCGCTTTCTCTATTTCTTGTTCTATCACCATCCCCAATATTGTCTGAATCACCTCTTTCCCTTTCCTTCATATCATCATCAGCTGATTCCTCATTATCTTTTTCTAGTTCTTGATCTTCATCACTATCTCTTGCACCATTGTCTTCACTCTCCTTGTTCACTACAACTCTTCTGATATCAGTTCTCTCTGCCACTTCTGACATGGCTTGTGTCTGCCTTTGACTCCCTTTCTTTCCTTTCCTGAACTTAGTCTCATCATCATGAGTGTCTTTATATTCTATCTCGCATTGAGCTTTTACATCATGAAACAAAACAGATCTTATTTCTTCCTTCTCCTTCTGAGAAACAAATGCCATCTGTTTAGTCTGAGGATGAAGTAGACATGCTAAAAGACAAGTTTCTCTACTGCCCTCTAAGAAATGTTTTATCTCTTGTCTAATATCTGACTTCATATTCCTTATCATAGAACTATCATCACTGTCTACATCCAATACTTTGTCTAACTTTATAAATATTGGTATGACCTTCTGTATTGTTGGACTGTCACTGTTTGTCAGGATTTCTGTAGCTGTTTTAAAGGTATTTAATATCTTCACTAAAGTTTCAACACTAGATTGCTGACTGAAAGTGTAAAGCATCATACGAAAATCTATTCCTTGGTTGATAAGATCTGTATCCATAATGGCTGCATGCAGAATAACTGCTTGCTCAGCAAGATTTGTTAACATGTCTAAGGTTCTTCTCCAACTTTGCCTGTCATCTAGCACCAGATTTTTACTCTCAACTTTGTCTGCCTGTAACAGTTTCTTCTTTTTCTCCAACATCTCTAGAACAGCAGAGCTATTTAAAACAGCTGTTATCAGTTTTCTCCCTTGCTCTATGAAATGACTTATATCTCTTTCTTTTAATGACCTTCGTATGACAGTATGGATACAGCTGCCAAAACATACAATTCTCTTCCATCCAAGCATCTTTAATACTCTATGTTCAGATTCTGAATCATCAGTTACAAGAACCGGTTCTGGCAAGTTCCATTTAGTAACTGTTTCATCTAAATGCTCTGCAATACTGTCACAGTGACTATGGGAAGAAATTTCTGAAGTTTTTAACACTTCAGATCTCAATTTCCAATTCCTTGTTACATAGTGAGCTTTAACTGTATCATACATTTCACCATGCATATTTGTCCAGGAACTATGACTAAATGTCACCGATGGACTCTCTGACAGCTCTGACTTTATCATATCTTTTATAGCATTATACAACATTCCAACTTCAGTCATTAATTTCTTTCTCTTCGGAAAATGATACTTGGGTTCAAGTGTTTTTGCGAACATTCTAAATGGCTCATTTTCTATAAATTCAAATGGTAGTAAGTTTTCAATGAACAGATTCAACAAACTATTATCTATTTCTTCCATTTTGTCTTTAGTGAGTTTATAGGCGCTACTTTCACCATATTCTTCACCTGTCATTTCAGTCTGACTTTCTTTACTCACACTGTCGACAATGTTAGTTAACCTGAAGTTTTTATCCCTCATATTCACTAGTGTCTGTGCAGCTCTATCTGTGACCTCAATCTCTATCTCATCATCGGAGTCTGTATCCACTCCTTCAGTAGCACCCTCACTTGTGTCACCCACATCTTTAGCAATGTTTGATGAGTTATCATCACTCCCTGCAATGAGAAAGGTTTCGCTTAAATCTTTTCTCTACTCACATAAAATATTTCTTTAATATTTTCTTTCTTTTCTCAATATGTTTTGACAGCAAACCTTTCTCATTACAAGATGTCAGAAACTCATCTTATATTGTGTTTCCATGGTTTCAATGGCTTATATAGCTCATAAATAGCTTTGTCCATCTTTCAAATTGCATACTATACTTTATTTAATTCCTCTGATGTTTTAACAAAACTTTTTTACTGTATGCAAAAGCACACAAAAGCGTATACATCAAGTCTTTTATCTATGCCATCATTGTAAAATAAAGAAAACACAATGTAAGGACTAATTACCATTCTTTCAATACTATTATTTCAAAGCAAGCTTAGTTTTACCCCTTTTCTATAACATGTTCTCTGAGGACAAAAAAAGCATCAAGAGTGAGGGGTTGGGGGTGGACAGGGGCAGATAGTGATAAATAATTGAAAGCAACATAAAATACAAATTTCAGTACCTTGTTCACTATCAGATTCAGACTCTTTATCTTCTTTCTTCACAACAACTTTACTCCTGTGTCCCATCTCTCTAAATGCTGAAAACACATTAAAAAATTCCTATTGCTTGTTGTTTTAATCTAGGGTTGTTTTGGTTTTTTTCAGGCATATTCATTTGCAACTTGTTATAATATTCTGAACCAAAGTCTCAAAATATTTGATATAAATGGCACTCATCTCCAGATGTTTCCTATCCTTTGTTAATGTTTAATCAAAGAACATTACTTGAAATAACAAAAGTCAAAATGCTATGTTGACAAATACTTTCTTTTTTTATTATCTCCCTTTACATCGATACTCACTCAAACAATTCACTTTCTGTTAATAATTGTACGAAAGTGATAGACCTCATCTTTTTATGAAGGACACATAGTGATCTTACATGCCCAAAATATAGTGTTCTAAGAAGAGTGGACTTAAACCATCGAACAGATTAAATTATACCTATCTTTGTGTTATAATCAATTAAGGGTCTGGTATTTTGCTTAAGGGATTGACACTGCTTACTAGATTAGATATGTCATTCTAATAAGAGTTGATAAAGTATTTTAACACTTAAAGAATTTAAGCCAGCACATTGGTTGTAAAGATTTCTAAAACATATTAACTAGTAGAGGTCCATATTGCATGATACATTCAGTATCTAAGCTCTGGGCATTGTAGTTTTTACACATAAGGACTTGTACAAGTGTTCTCCTATATAACTTTGTATATAGTAAGGGACACCTGGGGTATGGCCGTTATTAACCACAGGAGCTCTAGTAGAAGTATACATAACAACGCTACATGCCAAAAATCTAAGCTTTTAGCATTGTAGTTTCACAAAATAAGACTTAAATGTGTTTATGGTAAATAAATTCAGTTTAACTAAGTGACCCCTGGGGCAGAGCTTTTATTTGAGGTAGCCCAAACCTCAATTCTGCACATAGTCTCATTACTATTAGTATTCCTGCAAACTATTTTTTAATATCCATTGAACAGTCAAAAGATATAGAAATTTCAAAATTCATACATCATGACTAAGAGTGACCTTGACCTGAGGAAGCCCAAACTTGTACTCTGCCCTTTCACTCATTACATTTAATATTTCTGCCAAGAAGTTTCAATTTCCTCATTTCTGCGCAACATGAAATTGCTAACAGACAGATATGCAATTGAAATGGGATTAGGGGCCATTTCTTGTTATTTTATCTTTTAGTTTAATAGAGGGCCATTGGCCCTTTATTCTATTGTTATGGAATGAACTCTATTCTATTTTGTTCTTTTTACAGTTAGATACCGTAGCGTGTTTTCATTAGTGCGGATGGACAACCAAGTACAGAACATAACATTATAAACCAAATTTTTACTGGCGTATAACCAATAGTTTATCAATTACTTTATTAATAAATCACCTATAAACAACAAACCAAAATTTAGCATTTTTCTCACCTGAAGCAGCTACTCTTGAAGGAGCTACAACTGGGGCTTTAGTCTTTGGGGGAGTTTTCTTTGGTGGCGATTTTGACGTTGGTGCCGTTTCATTCCTTATGGTGTACTTCATGTTTTCAAAACCCTCATTAGATCTCCGTGGCTTTTTCACACTATCTTTACTTGGTTCAGAGTCAGCTCGGTATTTGAGAGCTTCAAGCTCGGTCCTCTTGGAACGAGAGAGCAGACCGATACCAGCAGCTGTCTTCAAGCGTTTCTTCAAGTCAACAGGTTGTCTGTCAGATCTCATTGACGGCTTCGACTCTGTTGGTATAAAAACAATTCATTTGAACTATGTACTGTCTTCAGAATTATTTTTATTCCATTTGAAGCTACATGCATAATAATAAACCATAAAAGAAGGGGTATATGGCCAGATATAATATAACATTTTTATACTTTTAGATACAGTCTAACTTGCCCATGCGACCACATGTATTAAGCAACTTTTGTCTTATGCGGCCACTTTCAATTCCCCCTGTTCATTTTCTCTCTATATCTTTAATGTTTTAAGCGACTTTTGCTCAAGGAGACCAACGATCGCTAATTAGTCAGCTAATTGAGATCAATCTTTTCATTAAATGACCACTTTTACCTGTCAAGTAATTGTGTTTTTAGAGAACGCAGCCTCGTAATGTCACAAGAGTCAACAATCAAAACACAATATATAAATGTGTGAAAAACTCTATTTTCCAAACCGTTTTAGTGTATGCAAATAAAGATAAGTATACGTGCGACGTGTTTTATCCAACAATATCAATAAAACAATGCAACGCTCCGCCCCTACTCAGATGGTGTATACGTATAGCTGTTGATATTTAGACTGCATTGAATTGACCTGGAACTTGATCAGCAATTAAATTAATCCTTCCTTGTTTATTTCAAATGAAAAATGCACAACAGAAAAAAGTTTGACTTATCAGGGTTTCGTGTTGGACACAAGGAAGTACAACAGAAAAGTTTAAAAATTCTGGAAACATGTACGCAATGGATCAAAACTGATTTGTCGATAAATTTGGATTATCGGAGCGTTCTAATTATTAAACATTTATATAAATGAAGTTGAAAAACATTCTTCCTGCAAAAGAAAGATGTCATGTATATATTTTGACTTTTTATCATGCTTTGTCTTAAGAGACCATTTCATTAAACCACCATTTTGGCTGTTTGCCTTGCGCGGTCGCTTAATACAAGTTTGACTGTATTTGCTAAATGGACCAAGATATCAAATATCTTTTATCTAACATGCTGTCAACTATATATGCACGAAAATGGCGTTATCTTAAAACAATGTGTGTGATATCAAACTAAACTAATAATGTGAACAACAGTTTTGATTATCAGAAGAATGGGTTATACCAGAATCTGGTTTCTTGTTTGTTGTAACAGATTTCTCTGCTTCTGTGACAGCCTTCATTAACAATGATTTATTGGCTTGTAATGACTTTGGTACACTTGATCTGAAAAACAAAATAACACATTATGTTTTGATTTCATATACATGTATGATTCACTAATCATGGATGTTAACATGGACACATACTGACCAAAGCCATTAGGTGAAAAGACCCCTCTACATTACGTAGTTGGGGTATTATCACTGTTCAATCTAGAACAAATTTCCAGGGGGCCCTTCGGGCCCATAAACTTTTTAAAAGGGGGTCATTTGAAAATAAAGGGGGCCAACACTTAAAATGAACATCAAATTCAAATAAGGAATTGTATCTTTTTAAGTTACATTGTTCATGTACCATATATAGACCAAAAACGGTTGCAAAATTCCATAACAATCAACTCAACTAAAAAAATGACATTATTTGGACCTTTTTCGAGAGTTCTGTTAGCGTTGATGCAGGCTCAATTTTAAGAACTGATTGGTGAGGAAACAATGACATAATATTCAAAGAAACACAATTATGAATCTTATTTAAATGTTACCAGGGATATTTGATAACAATGTTCAGTTTTTTAATCAGCGCCCGATATATAAAGGAAAATTATATTTTGCAATTAGCTTATAAACTTACAATAGTCGCTAAAAACATTTACCCTTCTCAATATATCCAAGCTAAAAACAAAGTGTCAACAGGTGCTAAGACAATGTATATTGACATACCGGTACCTTTGATCTTTTGTCAGGGCAGCAGTTCTTATGTCACGCTTAAGATGTCTGTATTGATTAATGATATGCACAATGTTTTAGCGCCGACCAGCCAAAGACCAATCAAAGTTTATTTACTCAATTGTCAGACACTCCCTAGCCAATCGTGTTTGATTAGCTCCATCTTTAAGACTTTTTTAATTGGTTGAAGGCGTGTTCGTAATAATTTATGCACACCTCTATAATTAACTCGCACTTTTTCACAAATATATAGTTTTTTTTCCCCCGGAAAGTTATTGCATATTAATTTGTTTTGACCGTTAAAAAACTATAACTACGTATTGGATTATCTGTGACGATTTGTTTTGTTTATAAAAGTAAGTAATAGTTACGGTACGAAGAACAGGTCTGCATAGTATTTACAGACCCGGACCGAGAGAGCGTAGCGATCAAGGTTTTAAAAGGGTTACCTAGTGCGGTAACTATCTTACCAACATGCTCTTGTTTTTCTATACAAAGTTCAGTTTTGAATTCAGTATTTATTAATATTATTCACAAGAAACTTTTTATATACTTAATCAGGTTTAAGATCATTAATTATGGCATTTTCTATGAGTGCGCCCGTCGGGCCCACAGTTGAATTTGTTTTGCGCCGGCGGTCTTTTCAGGGGGTCAATGGCGCAATGGCGCGCTCTAGATTGAACACTGGTATTATAACAAAATACTGAATTTCAATCCCTTTAAGATCAGTTTTATTATGAAATCTATGTTTACTATGAATGAATAAACTATGACATTTAAAATTCAAGGTTAACATAGCAAATAACAATATTTATTCTATGTTCACTGCAATTACATACTGCAAGGAACAATAAACTAACTAAAATGCTATGACTGTCCTTTTGAAGATGAAGATTTTGTCACCTGTTGAGTTTTAACAAATGTTTCCCATTGACTTGACTTGTTGACCTAGTTCTTGCTCATAAACCTAGTCATTCAACAACACGTCTCATGCTTCTTACATATTTCACAACAGTAATATCAACAGGTAGATAACATGGATAATGTTTTCTTACTTTCTCTGTGGTCCTCTAACAACACTAGCAACACTACCAACAGCCGGGTTAGCAGGATCATATTCTTCATCCTCTATTTCCTCATATCTTCTTTTTACTGATGCTACAAATGATGATGGTTTCCTATGTTGATCTTTTGATTCACACTACAAAAATAAAAAATAACTTTTTTAATAATTTTTTGTATGGCAAAATGTGTCTATTGGATAATGATGCTCCCATCCCCCTACCATCATTTTTATCTCGAAGTATAGCCTTGACCTAATTTTTTCACATCCTCTGAACCTAGTAGACATCTCACATACTCATGTGAGGAAAAAACACCCATTGTTTTTAGCAAACTAACTTACATTATTATTTTTTGTTATCAGAAGATCACAGCTTCATGACAGACTGAAAGTTGTATGTATGACCTAAACTAAATTAACTTTTTCTGTTATTAACTTATGATGTAATATACAGCCACTGCCCCTTTTTCTTTTGAAATGGAATGAAAACTAATTTATCTTTTGTTATGAAAAGAAGATGGTGAGGTCTATGTACTTAAACTGATTGTGCATACAAACAATTGGAAGGTCAGAAAGAGAAGATCAACAAAGACAGCCAACAAGAACAAATGGTAATATACATGTATTTACCTTGACATGTTTGCTAGCAACTGCACTCTTAGATTTACTGGATTCTCGTGTGGATGATTTTTTCGCCCCTGAAGATTTGTCAGATTTGGTTACCTTTGTAGTTGGAGGTTTACCAGTTGACGATGTCTTCACTTGTTCTTTAATCTCAGCCTCATTATTCTCTTCATTAAACTCATCTGTTGTTAAAATCATTGTCTCATTATAATATAACAGAATGTGAATATATATGCAAGTTGAACAAATAGTAATTCGATTTCAAATACTTTACAAATTACTCGCTTAAAATACAATAATGAACATCATGCTTGAAATAGGGTTGTCCCTGGCACCTTGAAACATATGATACTAATTTCATGGGTGCAAGTTGAAAATTGGGAAAAACCTGAAAACTGTAATTCATAATCATTTTCCTACATAATCTAAAAGTAAAACATGATGAAATTTGTCACAAAAAACCTGAACTTCAGGCATATGCCTGAAAACTTGCACCCATGTAATTTAGCAGGCTTTCGAGTTTTATTTTGACAATCAGACATGCAGGGTTTTGAATTTTGATCTCACTAGTCCTAAAACTAAATGATAATTTAACAAGTGCTGTCCGTAAGACAGAACATTTGACTATTCTAAGTGCATAACATTAAGAGAAAGTATGTAAGTCTGTAAAACCATTAACTTCAAGTTATGGGACCTGTGTCAAACATGTTAGATAATCACTACAAACAAGTGTGTGAAGTTTCAATTCATTCCCTTGAGTAGTTTGTCAGATACCAACTTGCATGCAGAAATTTAACTTAAATGTTACAGCGACACTGACACAAACAGTTGGTACAATAGCTTTCCCTATTTTTCCAATAGTTGAGCTAGAAATGTAAAAATTCTGGTACTCTTCAGATTGATTCAAAGTGTTTTTTACCCATATAAAATAATCATTCATCCACTTTGTTTTGAGAGTAAATATAATTAAACATTTATAATGCTGTCTGAACATTAAATATAATAAGTAGTTTGAAAATCTATACACATTCCGTTAAACATTAAGATAATTGACACTCACCAGTGTTTTCAATGATTTTAATCTCATCACTAGGATCTTCTTCTGTTGTTTGTACAGGTTTCACACGAGCTGTATTGACCTCTGCTTTCTCCTCCCCTTTTCTTCCCTCCCCTCCACTTGCCACCTTCTTCTGCCTGTCCCCTTCTGTAGATAACTTTCTCGGTTTCTCCCCTTCTGTTACCTTTCCTGACTTCTCTTTATCGCCCTGAGATGGTTTGTGTTTTCTTTTCTCTCCTTTGTGTTTCTCTTTTTCCTTAGATTTAGGTTTACTACCAGCATCATCTGTACATGTACATACAACTGATTATTAGCATATACCTTCTTACAAATCAAATTATTAGCATGTATCTTCTTAAAAATGAATCTGTACAAATTTTACTTCACCAATTCCCCATGATATAAATGGTAGCCAATACAAATATCTGGAGTGAAAATAAATGTGACAATACTTAAAATAGCTAATATTACAATAGAACAGAATGAAACACATGTGGCCTTTAGTAGAAAACCATAATCTTAATTTTACAGAATAGACAAGTAAAGAATTTTTGTCTGGACAGATTCCCTTGCTTCCGTGTTATTGATGATCAAATAAACAAAGTTTCACTGTTTAAAAATCTTAACACAAGTACACTTGGCAAAAGAACAATGAAACAGTGTGTAAGTTTTATCACCTTTCTTTTACTATAAGAATTACTTTAATACTTGAAAGAATCAAGAGTTAGTAGTATTTAGCAAACACATTTCAAACATTGGCCTTTTAAATCAATATTCTTACTTTCACATACTAATTATGTGCAATTTTTACATCATATACATGAGATATATGGTTTAAACATACTGTATAGATCTTTTCAACAATAACAACAATTACCATGATCTAGTCTCACAAATATTATGTCACAAATTTATCATGAATATTTAGCTTAAATCTGAAGTATAAATAATAATTTTACTTTGTATAAATATGTCATTATTACCTGTATTAATAGACTGTAACTTCTTCAGCAAGCCATGTAACCTGAAATTCAACAAAGAGGAATATGAGTGTAAACTTGTCAGTTAAGTGATAGATGTTACCATGTATATTAATACCAACTACCAAAAAAGGTGAACATTTCAAGCTTTAGCTTAGGTGAGTTTGAAATGAAGTTTTGTACACAATCAATATAGATGGAAAAACCTATTCAAAGTTTCAGATAATTACAATTACATGCACATTTATTTCAGCCTATTTTTGTTTTATTAGTTCTGCTGGTAATTCAATCAACAATGGAACTCACAAAACTGTTTACAAATATAAATTGTTGTTTTTTTTCTGTTTATCTATTAACATGTCATTATAGTCTACTTTCCTTACCGCAGCAAAAACACTCAAATCTTTACCAAGCTCATACATGATACTGATGTTCTATTACAAAAATTTAGCAAAGACATACACATCAAAATTTAAAGTTTTAAGCACTTATGGATAATTTGAATACGTAAAATATGCTGATATCAATGTTATCTGGAACTGTTTTCTTAAGTAATAATGCCTTAAATTGACAAATTTCTTGAACATCTTAAACATGATTAAGCGACTGTGGGATTGACTGTGGGATTGACTGATTGATTGATTGATGGACAGATTCATTAACTCACCAAGCTGTGAATTTGTCTGTGTTAGTACCAAGAAATAAACTTAGATCTTCAGTCATCTGTTTCTGTGACTTCTTGTTGGCAACCATAACCATAATGTAATCAGGTAATTCATCATCTGTTATAGAACACAAAGAATATTATGACACAACATAACACTATGACAGAGATCTGCTGAGAATTTGAAAGTGCTGGGCCTTGCGCCCACTTGGTCTGAAAATGATGTGCCAGTTTATGTTACAATACAGCACTGTGACCCTGTCCAAGGTTGAAAAATGCCCAGTGTGATGTTTACAAGAAGGCAAGTCCTCTTAATTAAGGAGATACATGATGTAACTTAGAGTGTAGAATGTCTAGTTTAACTCATACTATTAACATTTATTAATCACAATATATTAAATTCTACTACTAATTCAAAACACTATAGATCAAAACAACCATGATCTCAGACATACACATGATGACCCCAAAATAAATACTGACCTAGACTTCTGACCTTCAGAACACAAACCAATAATGGTCATGTCACTGTGACCATAACTTCTAATATACTGACCCAAAAATAATATGATTATTCTTCTGCATAAGATACACATTAATATTTTTATACCACTTTTTATCTGCTTATGACAATTTTGCATATTTTACTACAGCTTACAAAAACTTACCTACATAAGCACCTTGTTCAATCAGTTTTGCCTTTATTGCAGACTGAAATGAAAAGTAAAACATTGATATATATCGTCTTGTACACATATGTAGCTTAACTGCACAACAGGAACTTGAGAGTGTAATTTAAGACTTTTGATTCACACAACAGGAACCCGAGAGCCTAACTTAAACCTTTGATTTTGATTCACACAACAGGAACCCAAGAGCCTAACTTGGACTTTTGATTTGAGCTTAATGGCTTAATGCCTGCATGCAAAATTTAAACAAAATTTATTGAATGGTTTACGAGATATGGATACATTTCTGAATAAAAACTTGAACGGCTCTTATTAAGAAAAAATTAAGAAATAAGAAAACTTTAAATCATGTATAATATCATCCTTATGAAAACAATATTTCACTACACAGGTCTTTAGTTGATCCCTTCACCGATTTACATTTGTTTATTCACCCATACATTCTCAAAAGGGGGTATTCGTGGCCAAGTGCTTAAGGTTGTAGACTTCAAACCTCTTGCCCCTCGCTCCAGGTATTTATTTTTATTTCAGGCAACAGATGTGCCAACGAAAACAAACAAGTTGGCTAAGCGTCAAAAGGGATATTTTATACACAGCCTGAAAATATGAACAATTTTAACAGAATTTCAACCGATGATATGCATCGCCAATCTGTTAATAATGAAACCCGTTACTGTATATTCAAAATTCAAATAACACCGGGCCAGGAAGTCTTAATTATTTCATGCAAAGAAGCTATTCAGCTACCATTCGGAACATCGGTGGTTCTACTCAGCTGCTCACGTGTGCCTGAAATAATGCATGGAGGGGGCACCCGAGGTCTTCATTCTGCAATAAAGCTGGAAAGTCACTGGGCCATATTATGTGTACATTTGTGCAACGTAAAGTCCAACCCCACACAAAAGTATATATAACTGTAACCATAAATCATCAGTCTATATCATGAACATATATGAAGTATTGAAATTAAACTTCCTTAAAAAGAAATTAAACTTCCTTAAAACAAACTAGAAATCTATCATAATAATATCTGTCATATGTTGCGGTTCGGACCGGAATATCCGGTCCGAGGGGACCCGCCCATTGGGCGGTAATGAGGCTTGCCAAGTTACCGCCCATGGGCGGGTTCCCGAGGGACAGATATTCCGATTCGAACCGCAAACATATGTTAGATATTTTTTCTTGCCTATTCTGCCATATTATTTCATATTTAAAATGGTTTACCTCAATGTGATATATGTTCATGGAAATTAAAGTCATTTCATCCCTAACTATTTTCTTACAATAGCGTATGAACTTACAACTTAAATAACAACACTGAAATGACGTCATCATAATCACATCTTTCCCTTCTAAAACGATGTCATTTTAACGAGATTCATTCATTTAGTGCGCTAAAATGACGTTGTTGTTTGGCACGCGACTCTTCTGGCACCCCCCATGCCAGATGAAATTTCCGGCATGGGTAAAACTCACAGAAACGCCAGTCCGCTATGCAAGAAAAATTATGCCCTAATAATGTTAAATCCTGCAATGACAGTCCAAAAATTTTTGACTGTGCCATTACAGGATTTAACATTTTTTAAACGCATTTGCATATTCTGAAAGCTTGTTAACCAAACAGAAATTGTAGTGGGGGTTACATTGACCTTTTGGGAGGCCGAAATGACCGTTTTGGGGCCATAAATTTGTGTCGGACTCAACACTTATTTCAGATCTAAATACTGGTATGACTGTTTAGGTTTTATGAAATTATCACATACCCTTATTTTCTGGCTTATTTCAGTTCCTATTTCCATAATGAATACTGCTAGATCTACTGAAACTATAAGTAAATTTTGCGAATTCCAATTTTGCGGCTGCTGTACGTTTGTGTCGGAAATTACTAATTTATAAACGACTATTTCGACATGTCACGGAAAGTGCTTGATCAACACGGTATATAGATAAGGTATTTTCGCGAAAATAAGATAAGGGCTACGGAAATAAGATTTATTTCTGATAAAGTGTAATAAAATGGTATTTTTATTGTAAGTAAATTATTTGAAAAACTGAAATAACAAAGAATGAAATGTTTTGTAATAAAATATTTGACAAAAACGTATAGATCTATAGATATGAAAGTAATGTCTTTATAATTTTAAGAACTGTACGAAAATAAAATCTGTATGAAAATGATATATATGAGAAAATAAAAGATAAATCAACAAACAGAGTCTGTCAAATAGAATTTACTCTGGTGGAAATAACTTTATATGAAAATGATATCTATATTTAGTAAAAGATATTCATATTTAACTTCTCTTTATTGTTGATGTATCCGACTTGTAAATAAAATTTACTTGACTTGACTTGACTTGTTCTGTTTTTCACTGCTTTAACTAGATAATGCAAAGACAATGTCTATATATTTGAGAGAAGAAAAAATGATCTGACGTATGACACGTGCAAGTGATTATCGGCAGCAATCAATGCGCTAATACGATGATTTTGATAATTGGATTTTCGTACTTACTCTAACTGACTTATTATTTAAAGTCAATCATTAAAAGATTTGACAATTTATATATATTTTTTTAAATATTCAAATTTGAATTAGATCTATTCTAAAAAAATATTTATTTTTGGAATAGTATCAAGTACTTTAACCATCAGTTAATGAAGTAATAACTTAAAATACATAACTTATGATTTGGTGACTGTGATGAATCTCCAATAGAAACACACTTTCAATTAATTGTTTTTGTGGGCCTTAAAAACTAAATCTTATTTTTGCAGACTAGCTCTTATTTTCGCAAAAATATCTTATTTTCGGTCTCCATCTATACCTTGGTCAACACATCTGTTGCAGTTGAGACGAAAATAGTATTAAACAGAATCTCTAAACAAAGTCCAACACGGCAAAATCGAAAACAACCTTACGTGGAAGAAAACTTAAAACTGATAACACTGTCACTACACAACCAAACACTAAGAAACTATATAACCCCTCACAAAAATTCAAAACATATTTTCTATCAATTTCCTCTCTAAAATCTTAAGACAAACTTCACCACGACACAATATATCAAGAGTAAATGTATGAATTAACAATTCTAATCTGTGTCACTATTCTCAGGACATACTCGTCGGCGTTGGCGTTATAGAGTTGGTTAACGAGTCCATTTTCTCAGAAACTGCAATTTAGCTATTCACTTCAAACATTGTATACATGTGTACTGTCATACTAAATCAAAAGGTCACGTAATCTTGAAAATATTTAATGCTAAGTTATATCCCTTTTTCAACATTTTGGCCTAGATTACCAATTTCTTTATTAACCTTATGGCTATAAGGCACATTTCTCAAAAAAAAATCAAACACATTCACTTTAAACTTGGAGTTCATGTTCGCTATTAAATTTGAAATACTTTTTAAGGGAAGATAGTCGATCTGAGAAACTTTTCTTAATTTGCTTTATTATTTCGCTTTTCCATTTAGAATATGTACGTGCCTCTTTTCTCAAACCTGAAATATTTGTTCACTATCAAGGGCAGGTAAGTCCTAAGCACTTTAGCAGGGTTATGCCACCTTTTCCGTAGGTTTATTTAGCTAAACACCGAGAAAGTGGAGCTCTCTGTCCACGTATAATTTTTTATGTTAGTAGGTAGGCAGACACATAGTCAAAATATATTGACGTGCCAAAGCTAGATTCTGAGATATTTTCGTGCTGTGTCAGAATTACGCTTATTGAGGCGAGAAATTGCCCAAACACAAAATAGCACAATATCTCGTCGCGTAGTACAACAAGTTGGACTAGGCAGGCACATCTATAAACGGACTGACTGACTCTTGAAAGCAATCTGAGGATATTCATTTTTTGAAGGAATATTCGAGAACAGAATAACAGTATTGATATAGATGTATTTTAATATAATTATTCTATAAAAAAGCAAATTTACAGTATTAAAATTAACTTCAAGAAAATCATTTGCAACTTTCAAAAATGGCATAAAATCTTGTTAACCCGCAGAAAAAACTTGTCGTAACATGAAATATTGTGGCGTGAAACCTAATAGAAATTTCATCCAATCAAAAGCCTCCTTACAAAATCGAGCGAAAAATCAAGATGGTGGATGTAAACAAATCCCAACATGAAGTTTTGTAAAAATATTTGAAATGCTCAATAACCTAAATGTTTGAGAGCTAAAATGACATTGAAAGATAAAAAGAAAAAGTCGTTAGTTACCATGGAGTGGAAGAAGTCTTTGAAGAAATACGTCGAAAAGAAAAAGAGTGAGAAATTGATGTTGTTAGAGCGAAAAATTTGAAAAACAAGAACACCCTCTTAGTCTTTAATTGGCCTAACACATTTATTATAATCAGTCAGAAATGTAACATGCATGGTAAATGCAATATGATTTTATGAAAATTATAAAATGTTAAGAAAATATACATTTCAATGTCAATGAAAGCAGGTCTAACTCCAGGAGATTGACGTCATTTTGTTATTGCAGGTAAAGTTGATGAGGAGCAGGCCAAGGCAGAAGAAATGCAAATGTTCACAGAGTTGTATCATGAGTGGAAGGGAACAGACAACAATCACCACCTTAAACTGCCTAGAATATATGATAAAGTAAGAAATGAATAAATGTTCATGGAATTTGGAGGTTACGTACCAAGGAGGTTACGTACCACTGCATAAATGTACCATTTTTGGAGGTTACGTACCACTAAAGAAATATATAATAAAGTGATAATAAGGGATAAGGTGTGAAACTATCAGGTTTATTGTTCAAATTGTATTAATTTTGTAATGAGATTAAATATGTATGAATATAAAAGAATAAAGAACAAACCAATTAACGATAATAAACAAGTTTTATTTACAACACAAAACTGAAACGAACAAACGATGAAAATAATTAATAACACTAATGTAATTACATGTACTAAACTGAAATGAACAGTACATGAAACAAACCACGGTAAATATAAAAAAAAACCTTTTCATTTATAGTATTATTTTTTTTATTTATACGCTTTTCACTGAATATGATACTGAAATAGTCGAGACAAAATAATTGATAACAGTACATATGCAGGTTACATTTTATTTACAGACTCATATATATATAAACACATAATTATGTTACACTCTGAAATGAAACAACAATACACAATTAACAAGTATTTTTTTAAATATTTTATTTATCCGCACTGAATAATAATAATATACTGAAATAAAAAAGCCAAAATAATTGATAACAGTACATATGCAGGTTACGTTTTTATTTACAGCCTCATATATAAAAACACATAATTATGTTACACGCTCTGAAATGAAACAGCAATACACAATTAACAAGTATTTTTTAAAAAGGTCATTACAGTTGTGATATCGGACAAGAATTGCAGTATATTTATATGTTTATTAGAGTTCACTCATTTAAAGTTTGAGTTACACGTCAAAGCCGGATCAGAGTTGTGATAAATAATTAATACCACACTGATTCACTCATATGTCAATAGTTTGCAATTTGTTTGTGATTTGTTAGATTACTCATTTCTGAATGTGTGATAATCATATATAAAACGTTTGCATTTATATTAATTAATTGCTCATGTGTGATTTTTAAAAAGTAATAATAAAGTTTTAAAATTTGGTCTTTTTTTATAATTGTTATGCTTTATATTATTTGTATTTTATATAAATTATATATATGGTACGTATCCTCCAAAATATATAAGTGGTACGTAACCTCCAAAAATGGTACGTAACCTCCTGGTACGTATCCTCCGTGGTACGTAACCTCCAGTAATCAATGTTCATTATATGCTGTACATGATGCAAAACGAAGCAGACCACAAATTGTACCATTTTAAGATAAAGCATACCACCAATATTCATGCATATAAAATGTCACACTGTGGCCAGGTGTGAAAACGGACAAAATTCTGTGTAAATGTTCCCACATTTTGAATTTGTTAATAACTATCAACCTTAAAATTGACGTCCTAGCCCCTAAAATGCAATAACTTAAATAAGGAACTGTATTACTTTTAACTAATAAAGAACTAGTCTACATCTTCATTTTCATGAAACATGATGCAGTTAAATGCAGGTATTATATTATTACCATGATGTGAAATGAAAAACAAGAGCTCAAAAGTGGCATGATTACCAAGAAATACTGAAACTGTTCCAGAAAATATAAATACCAGGGTTTTTTTTTTCCAGGATTTTGGGAACATAACCCATACCCATGGAATTGGGAATTTCAGCAATGTTTTGTTAAAGATTGGGAAAAATTGCATGACTGAAATTTTGCAGTGATTAAATGAATGCAAACAATCATGCACTGTCTAGGATGGCATCTTCAAACATTTAAGCACTATTACATTGAAGAAGCCCATATTTTCAAAAATTTTAGAACTCTTTATTCAATTATCAATATCTTTATTTTGTAACTTTCAATTGGGAATATTTTCAGGTGGATTGGGAAAATAATATACTATTTTCAATTGGGAATATGACCCAATAACGTCTATAAAATAAGCCAAAAAAAATCCCTGATTTATTATACAGTTGAACAACTTTAACTTTATGTGACAAAATATACAAAGTTCATATCATTTCTGTCAACTACTTAATGGCTACTGACTTCAAATTGTTACATTTATTAAATGAAAATTTTCACTTACATTTCAGAATCTCTGTTTTGCGGTTTATTTCTGTAATTCCATACACTTAATTTTTTTTAATGCCAGTTGTGTTAACAGTTTATTTATTGAGTTTATATTGATTTAAATGTAATCTATGTGTGTAATAACAGACATATTTGTTTTTCATACAAGTATAGGCTTTTTGAAACATAGTTTCTATATTACTATTTATGTAAAGCCTGTAGGCTTGTAGTATATAAAATTGTTTTTATAAATGTCTCCAGCTTCCTTCAGAAGAAGAACCTTTGCTTCTCAAGTTGAGAGAAGAATCAAGAGCTGTGTTCTTACAAAGAAGAAGTCGTGAACTCTTAGATAATGATGAGTTACAGGTAATTGTTCTAGTATGAAGAGGGACTAGAGGTCTTTCTCCACTAATAAAGCTGGAAAGTTGCCTTGTGATCAGTGTGTTTTAAAGTTCCACCTGTGAAATTGAAAAGAAAATGGCTAACTAAAATTCTTCACTAAAATTATCAAACGGTTTATTAAAAGAGGTTATGACCCAATTATTTAAAGGCATACCGCATGCTTGGTGTTCAACCCTTTTACAGTTGGACGCTACGCTTTCCTCTTTTGATTACATCTGACGGACCAAGTGGGAGACCTCTATGATGGACAGTTCTTAAAGCCCTTTGAGGACTGAATTGTCTTAATGTTCGTCTTCTGCCATGCTTCGTCGGGCCCTTGTAGGTTGATTTTCTTGTTGCTCTGTCTTCCTTTAACGGCATCGAGTACTTTGGTAATGGTCATTAGGCAGTAACTTTTCTCTCATATTTACATAATTTTGTATGTGTTTTATTTATTTCGTCTAATGTAACCATGACCATTGTTAGAATTTCACTTGGCGGGGGATTAATTTTATTATACATTTTTTCGTGTCATTCAGGAACATATTGGGGCTAAGAGTGAGGTTTGGCGCGCCTAAAACCAGTTTAAACTCCTCAGTGGTTTAACTACCACTGACCGTTCCAAGGCGGTACCCCTTTGTGTTCCTTCACGTGTTTTTCTTGTCTGTATTGTTTCTTGTTTTTGGATGTTTACATGTTTTGTGATGTCTGTCTTGTTGATTGTCGTTGACGGTAGGTATTTTCTCTTCCCCCCCCTTCCATTTTTACCCCCCCCCCCCCCTCCCACCTTTTCACCCGTACAGCCCTTTTCCCTTTAATTCCCTTATGGGCTGTTTTTGTTTATATTATTTCACATTACATGTCCCGCTCCTTTCGCCCTTGTGTCCACTCCAGGTACAGTGAAAACTCTGAAAACCGGACCCTCTGAAAACCGGAATCCTCTGAAAACCGGACCATTTTAAAAGTCCCGTATTTTCTCCTTATATGTTCATTGAAAAAAATCCTCTGAATACCGGAACCTCTGAATTCCGAAAACCGGACGCTTTTCTGTGGCTTCTAATGCTAAACATGCATAAAAAATCCTCTGAAAACCGGACAGCAATTTTAAGTGTCAACTTTCTGTGTATTTTAAAGTATATTAAAACATAATCTCAACAGGTGACATGTTCAATTACCAGTTAATGATCACCCTTTTTATCTATGCAGGTGTGAAAACACTTGTAAGTGTGTGTTAATTTCTTATTGGCAATTAAATCATAGCTCTTTCATTATAATTGTGCCTTTCCCTGTATAGGTATGATTTTTTCTAAATGTTTTTAATTTGTGTGTTTTTTTTTCTTCTTTAAATATAAAATGTCTAAAAGAATTAGAAACTTTTGTAAAATGATTCCTGTTTTGCTAAAAAATTTGATCTTTGTTTAGATATTTATTATATGCAAAAGTAGTAATACTAAATTCCATTAATTACATATTTTAAAAGCCAATTAAAAAAAGATATATTTCAGACAATGTGTTGTTTAAATTTCTGATTTTCTGAATTATATTCATGGATTTGCATAATAAAATTACTTAAGACATTTATTGTTAAAAGAAATTAAAATATGACTTAGACAAAAATGTTAAAAAGTAAATACATGACTGTACAAAATGTTTCAACAAAGTCATTGTTCAAACACATCATAATTATCAATAAATGTATAAAACCTCTGAAAACCGGAATCCTCTGAAAACCGGACTTTTGGTCAAGTCCGGAGAGGGTCCGGTTTTCAGAGTTTTTACTGTACTTGTTTGGTGCCTTCTGGGTGTCCTGCTTGGGTGTGTCCGGGGGCGACGTCCTATGAAAGTTGCCTTTGCCTTGTTGATCTTTATTCTTGTTATTTTATATTTTATATTTATATTGTTTATCTCAGAAAACTTGAAAAAAATCAACTAAAGTTTCTACTGATAATTAGGAAATATAAATGAGTAAAGCTGGAATGTTGTCATATTACTACAGTCAGTGTCAATAAAACTCCTATCAAAAAGGTAATTTTAACTTTGTCTTGTAATGTATAGAGAAGAAGTTATTTACATGTACTTAACATTGTCAAATCTGAAAATTTTTGTTGTCCACTCCAGCAATTTTAATCATTTTTATATTTTAGGTTTCCAGAGATACAGATTATCTGGATCCTTGACACAAATGGAAAATTATCTTAAGTCTCGAACATACCAATATCTGCATCTTTATTGATGCTAATTTCATCTTTACCTGTTCTCATTTCACAACTTACATAAACATCCTCATGGATATTGGTGAAGCCCAAATTTATTCTAAACTAGAGTCATTAGGATGAATTCATAGTTGTAAATACCGTGCATGAACCCTGAATAATTTATTGTTGTTTACAGCGACTTTGGTTTTTACTGGATCAGTATCATACACCACCACTGGTAGGTGAGGACCAGATGATCAACTTTGAGGATTTTCAAAAAGTTGCTTCAGAAGCTGGACCTAAATGCCAGTAAGTTGAATTTATATAGTTGGTGAAACTTTCATGTAGATGCAAATAAGAGCCGCGCCATGACAAAACCAACATAATGGGTTTGCGACCAGCATGAATCCAGACCAGCCTGCACATCCACGCAGTCTGATCAGGATCCATGCTGTTTGCTTACAAACCCTATAACAAGTAGAGAAACTGACAGCGAACAACATGGATCCTGATCAGACTGCGCAGAGGCGCAGGCTGGTCTGAACCATGCTGGTCGCAAACCCATTATGTTGGTTTTGTCATGGCGCGGCTCATATGTTTTTATTTTCATTATTGTGTGTATTCATTTATTCAATTGTAAAGAAGGCGTATTGAGTTTGAGTCAGATAATAATTATGCCTTAGATAATGTATTCGTTACCATTACAGTAATCCTGATAAAGACAGTCATCTTCATTACAACTACATTTTGACTATTCATTTTGCATTATTTTATTATTTACTACAGTTTTGGCTCATAAAAATGTTTCATGTTCAATCATAATTTATGACATTTTGTATTAACATCAACATTGTCAACTTTAAAGGTAGAAATGATTTGTAAAAAATTAGTGCAACTTTATTTACAGACAGTTCTTCAAGTCAAGTGTGTTCACTAAGTTACTACAGACCGATCCATATGGTCGAATATCCATCATGCAGTTCTTCAATTATGTGATGCGTAAAGTTTGGTTACATCAGACTCGTATAGGACTCTCATTGTATGACGTAGCTGGTCAAGGATACCTCAAAGAATCAGTATGTTGTCATTTAGTTCTGTTTGCCAGTACTTATATCTGTACAAAGACTAAGTGATGTAACTCCAATTTGAAACCGGTTTTACTAAGTTTTATTTTCATTAGATGATTTTGTTTGTAAAATTGTTGTGTAAGCGCAATAAGTTTATATTGCATGTCATTATATATATAGAGCAGCTGTCATCGGTAGAAACAATATGATGTATTGCTGATATTTTTATGTTGATCAATAATCGATACACATTTAAAAAAAATTGATAATTTTGACTAAGTAATAAAATTAAATGTCTACAGTTTACAAAAATTCACCAAAAACATTATACAGTAGCAGGTGTCTATGTCTAACACAATACTGTTGTTACATAACGGAAATATTTCCGATATCAATATTTTATTGATATGTCTTGCACTGAATCAATGACAGCTCTCATCATATATTTTAAAAGGAAAAGACCAGTGCAAAACGAGACAGCATTGTGGTGCCATATGCTCATGGTCTGCACTGTTTGCTTCCCAGTCCAAACTTATTTTGAAATAAAAATTGATGAACCTTTTTTGTTCAAATTGTAAGATGGAAAAGTCCATTTGCAGTACATGTATTTAGTGTGGCAAGTGTTTGTTATACAACAGACTGCTTTGTTAGTTTGCATCTTTGATGACTGGTTGATTAGTAATTAGTATTGTTTTTGAGGCTTTCAAAATAGTTCTGTTTTTATTTTTGCAGGATTTAGAAAACTATATTTTAGAACTCATTCCCACCCTTCCACAGGTAAGTTTGTTATCTTATCATTTTTTGTTTAACATCTTCAAACTGGTGTGGTAGATAATATTAGATATTAGTATTACACTGAACAAGTGTTGGTTCAATATTAAATTTATTGAACAAGTTGAATAAAAGTATATTATGGGAGCCCTTGCAAGCTTAATATTATTTTGTTGAACAAACTCAATAAATTTATTTCTGAAGAAGCTACAAAAATTCAATATTCTTTTTATTATAGATCCCAAATAGGAACTGTTTACATTAAAAATCACCTTCTCATTAACTAGCTTATAGTGTAAGGCTAATGTTTAACTCGTCCTTACACTATGTTTGTATAATGCAAAGTATGTCATGTCAAAATATATGCATGGCCATGCAATACCATGTTTATGGAATCATTAAACACATATGAGTATCTGATAAATATATTTATGTACTTGGTGTTACATAATCAGTTGTTCATATATATGTGTGCTGCTTACAATACTGTGTTCATGTATTGTGATTGGCATTAAGTACTTATTAAAATTCATACCAAAAAAAATGAGTATTAATAAATTTGTACCATCAAGAAAAAATAAAGGACACTTGTTAAACAGTGTAAAAACTTCATTTTTGATAACACATCTTAAATTGTTTGTGGTAGTGGTCCTTCAAATTGGCAGTTTTTTAAACAATTACATAATTTTTACAGTCCTTTCCTCCTTCATGCTTTGTATTTAATTTTATACTCTTAGACTGAGATGCTTGTATGTCCATTCCTCACATAATTTTGTCTGGACTAATCTCAGCAACCACTGACTGGATTTCATCTCAACTTCATAGGAACCTTCACTACCGGAGGTGCCATTATTGTCAACTATATTTTTGTTTAATTTTTTATGATTTCAAAGATAAGACAAAGGTCTCACTTAAAATACCCAGTATGAAGTGTTATGAAAATGTCCAGGTGACATATAAATCTGTTTAATTAAATCGTATTTCAACTTTGTTATCCATAGCTGTAAAAAATCTTTTTTTGTTATTTAAAAAGATGGACTTATAGTATTGACTTTGTCATCTGTCCTTTGAAAATGCCAGGTTTCATTTTAGTTTAAATCCTTCAATGGTGTAGCTCTTTAATTGAAAATTATATTTGTTTACTTATATACATACTTGATAAAATTATTGATAATTGTGTTAGATTTATCGACAGGTAAGATTTTGCATTGTGTCAACAGCATGATAAATCATATGAATGTCATACTCCTAAGTATTTGGCTGTTTCATTTGTGACATAAGCTTTCACCTGAATGTTATAATATTATATATGCTGAACGGTAATCTTTCCTTCATGACAACTCGGTAAGAATTTGTTATTAATGTTTAAAACATCAATTAAGTACATGTAGCTTAAAAATTGTTCTAAAAACATCATCTGCTCCATCTTGTTATTATTTCCTGTAAATAATCTACACTTTGAAATATTTAGATATCTTTAAACTGAATATCATTCCCCTTCAATTATAATGACAAAAGGCATATACAATGTACTTCTGTATTTATGTATGAGTGTGTTCTGGCCCAGTTGTGCCTAGCCCCTAATTTTGATTTGCATGTTGGGATTTGAAACTGTTTATCACATGTTACAAAATTTAGCAGAAAAACAAGACAAGTATGTGTCTCATACTAAACATAGTCAACATCACATGGCTTTATAATTTATGTAAAATAGTGTCTGGCCTATTACATTTTTTACAGGATCAGATTTCAATCTATGTGTAGGTCCATTACTTGACGCTGAACACTTTTGATGTAACCTTTATTTGTTTCGTTTTATCCAACCCATAATTGTTTTGTAATAAATGGTTTTTGAAGTAAAAATAAAGTGGGGTGTCAGATGTAATTGTTTTATGTAGATAAGGTCAATGAACCTCGGAATTGTGAAGATGTTTCCATAAATATACATATATATGAAAGTTATTAATGTAAGTCTAAAGAGCCACAGTTAGGCCATGACAGTTTTCTTTTTAGTTCCTAACTAAAATTACATATCGCTGTTTTAATATAAGCTGTGTAAACTACTTTAGGCTGCTTGAAAGAAATATAACATGTTGCTGATTCTGGAATGGAAAATGATCTTTAGATGAGTTATCCATAATTATATACTGATAGTGACTAGAACAAAACTTCATATTGCATAATAGGATCATTCTTATTGTATCACAGTACTTTCAATTTTACTATATAAAATGAGCCGCTTCATGACAAAACCAACATAATTCGTTTGCGACCAGCATGGATCCAGACCAGCCTACGCATCCGCGCAGTCTGATCCATGCTGTTCGCTATCAGTTTTTCTACTTGTTATAGGGTCTGTAAGCGAACAGCATGGATCCTGATCAGACTGCGCGGTTTATGTTGGTTTTGTCATGACGCGGCTCAAATACTGTATATAGTTCTGGACTTTAAACCTTATTCTTTTTTACTGTGGATTGAGAGCATTGTGTACTTACTAAGTCAGCATATATGACCTTAACCATTTGTTCAAATTAAACCAATGAATTATTCATATTTTTATTGAAATATGCATTGTGAATTTTTTATTAAAAAGAATATGATAAAAAAATGAATAATTGCTTCTTTTAAATTACATGTATTACAGTTTTGTATTTGAATTAAAAAAAATTCGTTTTTAATCTGATTATCAGTAATATAAAAATATGATATACTATTGATTTTGATTTTACACAGAAGTTATCAATTCCATAACGTTTTAAATACTTTAGTGCTTATGACAAATTTATACTTTTTCAACTTGAATAATATATAAAGTCATTCTGTTAATTTAATGTAATATTCTTAATAACTATGGTAACTGTGAAAGATATTTTAGTGTCTAAAAGTAAAACCTCAAATGTTGCAACATATGACCTTTAACAGTCATGATGTTAAAACCAGGTTTAGGTATAAACCCAAAAATCAACCAATAAATAAATAGATATTTATTCGTTACAATCAGCACTTTAAAAAGCGATATATATTATAATGCATGGTGAACAAGTCTTTTTTGTATTTCTTCACAAAAGCATGACACAAACAGATTTCTTTTTTATTCCTCATCAAATATTTTTCATTTCTCAATGGCTGAAACAATAGCTTTTATTGTTATTTTGATAATTGTTTTATATTAATAATAGAGCATTTTATAAAGTACTGATTGTAAATAAATCTGACAAATTCGAAATGGAAATATAATTAGAGTACAAAAAGTATCAAAACATAAGTACAATTTATGTACAAATTTTTACCCTTTCCTGGTGTTATGCAGCTCTTGAAATATTTTTATGCCCCCACAATGTGGGTGCATATAGCGTTGCACTTGTCCGTCCGTCAGTCCGTCCGTCCGTACGTCCCGAAATCTTGTGAACGCAACTCCTCTTAAACCGGATGGCAGATTTTGCTTAAACTTACAGGGATGAACAACCTTAATATGTAGATGGTAGTAAAGGAAGGAATTTTTGCTGTGACCAAATTTAAGAGAATTATGGCCCTTTGTTGATTTTTTTACTAGATACTATATAGAAATTTTGTGAACGCAACTCCTGTTAAACCGGATGACAGATTTTGCTTAAACTTACAGGGATGAACAACCTTAATGTGTAGATGGTAGTAAAGGAAGGAATTTTTGCTGCGACCAAATTTAACAGAATTATGGCCCTTTGTTGATTTTTTCACTATATACTATGTAGAAATTTTGTGACCGCAACTCCTCTTAAACCAGATGGCAGATTTTGCTTAAACTTACAGGGATGAACAACCTTAAGGTGTAGATGGTAGTAAAGGAAGGAATTTTTGATGCGACCAAATTTTACAGAATTATGGCCCTTTGTTGATTTTTTCACTATATACTATGTAGAAATTTTGTGAACGCAACTCCTCTTAAACCGGGTGGCAGATTTTGCTTAAACTTCCAGGGATGAACAACCTTAATGTGTAGATGGTTTTAAAGTAAGGAATTTTTGCTGTGACCAAATTTAACAGAATTATGGCCCTTTGTTGATTTTTAGCTCGACTTTTCTATGAAAAGGGGAGCTATCCTACTCGCCCCGGCGTCGGCGTCGGCGTTGGCGTCACACCTTGGTTAAGTTTTTCGTACCACCCCACTTTATTTCAGAAGTATTACAAGTATGGCTTTGAAACTTACCATACTTGTTCACCATCATAACCTCCATCTACAGACAAGAGTACATAACTCTGTCAAGGTTTTTGACAGAATTATGGCCCTTTTTTGACTTAGAAAGTGTATTGAGCTTGGTTAAGTTTTTTGTACCACCTCACTTTATTTCAAAACCATTGGAGGTATTGCTTTGAAACTGACCATACTTGTTTACCATCACGACCTTCATCAACAGACAAGAGGACATAACTCTGTCAAGGTTTTTGACAGAATTATGCCCCTTTTTGACTTAGAAAATACATTGAATATGGGTAAAATCCACTTATTGCCTTAACCCTTTTAGATATTGCTTTGAAACTTTTAATGCTATTTCACATCATTACCCCCATCTGTACGCAAGAGAAGGTAACTCTGTCAAGGATTTGTTTTAAAAATTAAGGCCTTTTATCGACTTAGAATCTTGGTTAAGTTTTTAGTACCAGTCCACTTTTTGACTGAACTGTTTGAGATATTAATTTGAAAGTTGGAATACTTGTTTACAATCATGATTCCCAAACATGTCCAGGAGAAGGTAATTCTGTCAAAGATTTTATTTGAATTATGGCCCTTAACTGTCAATGTTTTGTATTATAGGCAAGCACTAAAAAACTTAAAAAATCTAAAAAAATTCATTCCTATCCACTTGTTCACTTTACCATAAATTATGTCATATAAACATTGCTGTAATATTCAAGGGTATCAAACAACTAGTTCACTTTAAAAATACAGAGATTCTTGTATTGCCTTTTACTGCAAAAACTTTTTTTATTGGCAAGCAATAAAAAAGTCGAGCGCGCTGTCTTACGGACAGCTCTTGTTAGTTTTCAACTTGTGGCACATGTAGTCCAAAAAATATTTGACCTAGAGTCATAAGATTGACAGAACAGTGGCGTGTGGGGGCATCCGTGTCCTATGGACACATTTCTAGTTTTTTTTGTAATTGGTAAGAATTAACATTGTTATATGAGTTGATTATCTAGGAATTCATTTATTTTTACCTCATATCATTTCACGGTTGGGACATCTTTATAAAGTGATATAACTTATCAATTAGTAGATTTGCAGGTTATAATTAAATATATCACTTAATTTATATACTTTTCTGCTTACAGTTAAATGGATTAGAGAAGTCATTTTACTCTTTCTATGTGTGTACAGCCGTCCGGAAATTCTTCTTCTTTTTAGACCCAATGAGGAAAGGAAAAATCAAAATACAGGATATACTAGCATGTAGTTTTCTAGATGACTTGTTGGAAGTAAGTTTTTATATATTTGTACTTTCAAGTTTTTGCAATGGAGTTTACCTGTTTTTCATTTTAAAATGTTACATTTTTGGTTCAAGTGATCCTCAAGATCAAAAACCATGTACTCAAATTGAGTAGTAGCATGTAGTATAGAGGCTTGTCTGAATGTATGAATGTGAAGCGTAACTTGGTACCAAAATGATGGCATATACCTGTCATGATTGTGTATAGCTCTGATAGTTCAGCCCTTAATCTGCTGAATATATCCCCTTTGATTTGCCCGACTTTGACTTTGGAACAATCCATTTAAAGTTTTAAGGAATTTCAATACCAAAATTTGAAAAAATTGAGCTGCACAGACTGCACATATGTGCTGACTGGCCTCACTCTTTTCTGGTGGCAATGACTTATCACTTTTAGTTCCAGCAGAGCACATGACTTGTGTATTTGCATTGTCTGAAGCTACATTTAAATCACTTTAAAAAAATTTCTTTTTCAACAATTTATTTTAGAAAGACAGGGGTGAAATTTTGTTCTATTAAATTTTGATAAATGATGCGGCATGGCTGATACTTGCTATTAACAATCCTTTACCAAAGTGACGACCCACAAACATTGATAAAATATGTTATTATACACTTCACATATGTTTACCAGAAAATGGTCTTTAACTATGTATCGTTGTTTGGTTCCCAGCTCAGGGATGAAGATCTGTCTAAAGAGATGCAGGAATCTAACTGGTTCTCGGCTCCTTCAGCTTTGAGAGTATATGGGCAATATCTAAATCTGGATAAAGATCATAATGGAATGCTGAGTAAAGAAGAGCTAGCAAGGTAATGTAATCTTAAATAATGTGTTTTTTTTTCACTATTTTGATTTTACATGTTTGTATTTTGGGATCTCTTTCCAGGATAGCAGTGGGCCAATGCCTTGGTAAACATTACTTTTCTTGGGATAACCATTATGTATTATTGCTCTCAGAGTGATGTGTTATTTATATAATTGTTTCAATATTAAACAATTAGGTATATGCAGAGAAGTTGTCAGTGTAATTAATATAATACGAATCAGGTAGCAATCACCATGTTGTTGATCACTGGTATAATCCAAATAAAGTTCTTGTTGAAACAGATATACAACTACATGTAAATAGACAAACCATTGTAGCATTGTATTTACAGATATGGTACTGGTACATTGACAGATGTGTTTCTAGATCGTGTGTTTCAAGAATGCCTTACATATGAAGGCGAAATGGTAATTTCTCGACAGTAATTTTTTCAACATTATCAGTTTTCCAGACATATTTGTATTCAATGAATTTTTCTTATCAAAGATTAAAAAAATAATTCAAGCTTTCCTAAATTAATAAAATGAAAGGGAATTTCAAGTATTTCACCAAATTTTATTATTGAAAACATTTTTAATGTAGAATAATGATATTTACATACATACATTGTACAAGGATAAAACCTACTCACTTCTGTTGTTTAGTTTCTAGTTCATATTTAAATATTTAGACATTTATTATTATATTGATTGTTTTTTGAATTGCCATGACATTAAAAAAAATAACACTCTTCAATTAAGTTAGTTATATTTAAACAATTTTCATCTTTTCATGCAATTTAGTGAAGTATATGTTGTTTTACAATTTAACCAGTATGAGGTTTTTTGCATTTTGATTACAGGATTATAAAACCTACCTAGACTTTGTATTAGCACTGGAAAACCGGAAGGAGCCGGAAGCTTTACGTTACTTGTTTCGTATCCTCGATGTTCAACAACGTGGCCACCTTAATGTTTTCTCTCTCAATTATTTCTTCAGGGTAAGTAACTCTTGTACATCTGAGTCAGTGGTCCATCTTATTACAATTCATAAATATCACTGTAATATGTGAAATTGAACTTATTTGGGGTATAACACAATGCTGTAGTAATTCCGTAAAATTAAAGCACAATTTGTGATGAGCATTGTATAGTTATCAACTTGAATTAAATCTAGATATTTCACTCTAAAGGATCACAATTCTTGATCAAATCAAAAGGTAATTTAACCCCTACCATATTTGTCCTTTGGATTTGGATTTTTCAAGTGTTATTTGAACTCTCGCTAAAAATCTAATAAGGGCTTGCCTATCTTTTATTCTGGACAAAACCATAGATATACAGGCTGTTCTCATTGTCAAATGCTCAGGCCCGTCTCATTGTCAGTTGTGTATCTGGCTGTCTAATTGGCAAATATGTCAGCCAGTCTTATTGTCAAATGTACAAGCTGATCCCATTGTCAGATTTTAGGCCGGTTCCATTGTCAAATGTTAAGGAACATCCCATTGTCAGATGTTTAGCCAGTGTAATTGTCAGACGTATTCATAATGTAAAGGCCTGTCTCATTGTCAGATGTAAAGTAATGTCCTGTTGTCAGATATTTAGGCTGGTCCCATTGTTAGATGTTTAGGCCGGTCCCATTGTCAGATGTTTAGGCCGGTCCCATTGTCAGATGTTTATGTCGGTCTCATTGTCAGATGTTTAGGTGGGTCTCACAGAAAGATGTACTCACTGATCTGACTGTGATCTGATGGCATTCACAAGTCATTTTAACCATAAGCATTCAAAGGTTTTTAGACTATTTTTTTTTTCATTCAGCATTAATATTTTAGTTTCTTTGTCAAATCTAGCTTTTTTCAGTTTTGCTTTTATAAACTATTTTGACTAATTGGAAATTAATAAGATCATCATAGAATCTGTCCAACAATAAGCATAAGCATATTTATGCCATTTATATTTTGAAAAAGTTTACATCCTGAAATATTACATCATGTGAAATATGTAAATAATGAAGTTAAATATACTAAGAAAGAATCAGTTAATTAATGCTTTTATTCATTAGGCCTCTGCTAGATACAGTGGATATTATCAAGATTTAAAGGGTATAAAGCTATATATTGTGAAAATTTTTATGAACTTTATCAACAGTAAAATTGTATTGGTTCCATAATCTTATGGTCGGTCCTCGAAAGAGTTGTGACATAGAATGTGTCTCTTATTTATGAAATAGTATAATATATTATTTTGCTATTCAAATAGGCAATGCTTATACTTCCACAAACATTTGTATAGACAGAAAAAGTAATTTAGGCTAATAAAAATTTTATACTCTCCTTACTGTTGCATGCATGTATTTTGGCATTTGGCTTCAATTTCAATCAAAATTCTTTTAATAAGAACAAAACTCTTTTCTTGTAAACATGAAAAATACATTTATAAAGATATTTAACCAAATTATACTGTTTTATATCATATTTAAATTTAACTGGTTGAATATTATAACATAAGGTATTATAAAATTATTAGGGGGTCATCAAAAAATATGCGGCCGAGATTCCTGTAAGTATGGTCATAATTTGAAGCTAACATACTTGCAAATTTATGCTTCCATTCTCATGTATTAAACCAACCTTTTCATGTCTAACCACCTACTGTGGAGATGGGACTGAAATAAAAATGATAATTAACTTCTTATATTTTAATATCTGTCTAAAAAGACTCGCAGGTGTAATTGCAGTGTCTTATTCAGAAAAATTAAATATTATTGTAAACATACTTTATGCTCAATTGTGACAGAAGTTCTTCCAACTTATATTAATCACTTTTGAGTCTGCTCCCTACGACTAACCAGTATTGGTGTCATAGTAGGAAACAGGGTCATGACCCTGACCTGTGTAGGACAAAATACCATAATCACTGGGTCACGAGGCAGACACCTTATTCCCTAGGTCACTGGTCCCATATTAATATGATATTGAGCTTGTAGATGGTGTTAAAATTCGTAAAATTTGTTCACTCTATCCAGTGTGGAAGCTGAGATGGAAAGGAAGTATGTTTCTTATGTGACCCCAAACAGGAAGTGACCTGTAACCTTCCATCTATTTCCCAGAAAATTGTCCAAGGGAAACAACTCAAAATTAAAATGTGATGCATCAGCTGGACTGTTTCACAAAGAAATATACTCACAAGTAATTTTGATCATACACTAGCGTCTGTACATTTTTGCAGACATAAAACTATAAAAGTGTATTATAGTTAATGTTGTCTCTATTTATTGCATACAATAAACTTGAGAAATCTACTGTGCAGAAAATATTATGGTAAACTCGTTTGAAAATAAAATAAATCTGTTTATAAAACAAAGTGGATCCCAGGCACTTTTGTCTTTGAAACATTTTATCAGAAATCTGCCTTTCATTTACTGTAACACCTGCCGGTAGTTTTACATTCAGGCTAGCGATAAGAGTCCATAGGGATCTCTTGTATATCTGGTTTTATATACATGGTATTATTTCACAATGTGATGCAGGAGACCTGTAAGCTTTACTATAAAAATTTATCTAAAGATAGAAATAATCTTACAGTGAGCAAATGATTATTTATAGCCGAAACTCTTGACATATTTTTATGTCTTTCACAGGGATGTTTTCTGTATGTTCTTTCAAAAACAAACCATTGTTATTTTTTGGCAGCATTTCTAACATTTTTGGGGGCAATAATAGTGTGTTAGCTTCAGCTTATAATCTCAACATTATTAGAAAACATTAGAATATTTTATTGGACATTTTTGTCTTTATTAATATTAATAGAATTTTCATTTAGATTTCATCACTCATACACCTGTCATGTAACACTTGAAAAAATCATTAATGAGCCGCGTCATGACAAAACCAACATAGTGCGTTTGCGACCGCATCTGCGCAGTGTGATCAGGATCCATGCTGTTCGCTATCAGTTTCTCTACTTGTAATAGACTTGTTAAGCGGACAGCATGGATTTTGATCAGACTGCGCGAATTCGCAGGCTGATCTGGATCCATGCTGGTCGCAAACCCATTATGTTGGTTTTGTCATGACGCGGCTCATTTATCAAACATTATAAAATACCTATATATCATTTTAGTTACCAGTAATCAGAAACTTATTTCATTCATGTTACATTATCATCATTGCATGGAGATTTGGAATGTGATTCTGTAAAGATTGATTTAATACAACGTATGTTGATTTTGTTGTATAACATTAACTGCATTGTAATGTTGAAGTTTTTAATTATTGATGACTCCGCATTTATATGGTTCTAAGACAAGGTCACATTTCAATGTTAAACTATTTAGTATTGGGGAAAAAAAATGATAAGAAAGGTATCGGTCATTCTTAAATGGTGAGCTTTATCTTGGCCTCGGACTGGCCGTTTTAATGTCTGATATGTCCAAGTGAACTGCATGAAATTATCTAAACTACAACCACTACAGGTATAATATAAATGGAACTTTCTTGTTTAATAATGTTATGTATATATCATTTTATTTACACCAAAGCCTTTTTTGTTGAATTCTGAGCTGTCATATTTTCAATTTTAAGAAAATAGACAAAGGCCTTGCATGCTTATTTGTAATAAGAAGGAAAAGGCAATGTTCTTTGTGTATTGCTTCATTTTTAGATTTTTTTGTTGATTGTGTGCAAAAAAAATCCACTGAAATCCTTTAGTAATTTTATAATACATGTCACACTCCTTTTAAACAATTCATACTTTGAAGCCTGGCTTAAAGTTTGCATAATAATTTGAATTTTATTGTAATTTGAAAAGTCGCTTTGGCTGCAAAGTGATTTATTGTTGGCTTGCAATTTGATTTTGTGTCAAACGCCAAGCATTCCTTACTTAATAATAAAACAACTGCACTCAACATTTAAAAAGGGTGAAATGAATAAGATTTCATTGGACATGAAATTTATACATGTATGATATACTTTATAGAGGTCACATCATTCTTTAGATATAGGTAATATTGGTTAAAAAAGCTTTAAATATCATTAAATAGTTGTCTGTCTTCTGGTTTTGAAAAAAAATCATTATATAGTGAGGATATGCCTTTTTTGAAATCATATTTTTTCTTGAAAAATAAACATACAGTGCAAGTGTATCATATAAGTGCAGTACAGGTCTGTAACTTCTCTAAAATGAGCTTTTGTTTAGTGTTAAGTTTAAGCTAGATAAAGGAATATAGGTCATCACAATTAGCTTCTTATAGAGCTATAGTAGATGGAAATGTATATCTGTCTTCAATGAAGATAAGTTTCCAGTCTCTGTATTTATGCAAGGTGTGTTTGCATTTAGATTGATGCAATGTTTACATCAATAGCAACAATAGAGTACAATGTGCAATTGTCTCAAGACTGATTCAAATACTTTCCAATGGGTGGGTCCCCTTGGGACGGATATTCCGATTCGAACCGCAACATATGACAGATATTATAAATCTTGTCTTCTTGCCTGAACTGTTGGCTGTTACAGGATATAATGAATAACACATGACATCACCATAAAGTAAAGATTGTATACTGTTGTATACACATTGTAACTTTGTGTCCTAGAAGTCCCTTCAATAATAATAGACCATTTCAAAAATCAGAATAGGACAAGTCAATTACACCAATTCATTGTAGAAAATGTTAATGTCTGGAATTTATCATCGATGATCCATGTACATATTAAGAAAGGGCAATAGATTCATATGTATCTGTTAGAATAGTGTCCTTTTCTTTTATTTGGCTTCTTTTTTTTCTAAATTTTTCTTTGAGCACTGTTAGCTAAATGATGCATCTTTAGGTGGCACCGTTACAATTATTTCTCAACAATACATTGCTTTATAGACATAGTTTTTACTAGATTCATTGCCTTAGATAAAATTATAGTTCTTAACTTTCAAAATGGTAGAAACTTTTAAGAAATTAGTCTTATAGTTCCTTTCCTCATTTTTCATTTTTCCTGTTAATTTTGTTGGTGTAAATTAAATATTTATCCAGATTCAACAATCAAGTTAGCTCTGCAGAAAGAGTGCATTGATGAAAAGTAGATTTATTTTTTCGTTCATTCATTTTTTCATTTGATATCAAACTCATTGGAATGCTTTTTGTTGCTAGTGTGATACTAAAGCCAGTTAATATTAAAAGGAAAAAAACTAAGAAATACTCATAATTATTTGAATATTTGGTCTCTTAAAAGTTACATAGAAATACATGCATTGTTATACATATAGTGTAATGTCTGTAATGTTAGCAGAGAAAATTTAGGGTTGTATAATTATATTGTATCATGATAATTTCACCCGACGTTCAACGTTTTTAATTGAGATAGTGAAAAATATCAGTGAGATATGATTTATATTGCACTGGTAGAAACAGTGTAAGGTATAGAAGTTTGGTTATCACACTTCACATTAAAAGATATAGAATCTATCTTGAATGAAAAGAAAATTTCAATCATGTACAAAAAGACTGGCAGCAAAATACATGTCAAAGGTACATGTATATAGCTTTACAGTTTATAATTAAATTGTTACTCAAAGTACTCAGATGTGAGCATATGTGATAGCATAATGTGCATTGTTGTCCACAATCTCTTTAAACAATGTCTCTTCCTTAACCACTGTAGATTTTGACCAAACTTCACAGGAATGATCCTTAGGTGACCCTCTACAAATGTCAAATGGTTCAAATCTTATGCATAAATAAGTCACAACAGCAAAAAAAGTCTTAAAAATGAAATCTGTCTGTAAACATCTTTTTTCAGAAAGTTCAATCCCAAAGCTTATCTATTTGGCATATAACACCACAAGTTAAATAAATTATGCCCTAAATGTTAAAATTGGCCTGCCCTGTAATCACTAAATTAATAATACATTGTAGACTTATGTTGAAAAATGCTATTAAATCCACTTCTCTGAAACTAAATGTCCTAGAACTTACTGGTCATGTAGAATTTCCTACTGGACCTCTATTAAATATTTTATTAATAATTCCCCCTGGGTAAACATGAACCCACTTGTGGCTACTTTTGTTACATTTACTTGTATACGAGTCTGACTTTAAACATATGCTCAACTTGTCATATGAGTGATTTATGAAGAGAGGTAGAAATTTCCTGAAATACTGATTTTTATGTTTCCATGGAGATTTGTTTCTATGAAGATAGTTATCTATTTACTTGCAGGCAATACAGGAACAGATGAAGCTACATGGACAGGAGCCTGTATCATTTCAGGATGTGAAAGATGAGATATTTGATATGGTGAAACCTGCCGATCCATTAAAAATTACCCTAGAAGATTTAGTTAACTGGTAAGATATAATGATGTAGCAATTAAGACTTGTTCAATGCATTAAGACATTCTCGTAATATGAAGAGTAAACAAACTACTTGGCCTTTATTTCTGTGTATACAATAGTTGAAATTTCATAATGGCTGCAACACGAAAGTTTTAGCAAAAATATTGTCAAAACAGGATTAAAATATTCATATACCATACAGGTATAACTGTTTGCCTTGATGTTATACATAATAAGTGATTGTTCAATATTGTTGAGAGTAGGTTTCAGATTTTAAATGCTATGATGTATAATACTATAGATAATTAAGAAATATATAGTCACATCTCTTCACTCCCTCAGTGTCTAAATTATTTAGGTAACATCCTTTACAGTGACATAATTGTAAAATTAAAGATATATGATGATATATTATCTGAACTTTAAACCTACTGCAACTGAAAGTGACAGGCCTTTGCCACCAGTACAGAGCCAGGCCAGCCTGTGGCCAGCCTGCGTAGTTTGACCAGGCTCTATACCATTGCTAGCTCAATGTTGGTAAATTGATATTGAAATCCCTTACGATTTGAATGATGTGTTCTAAATAATTCCACTCACAAAGTTAATGGTTGAGAAAAAAACAAAAAAAGCATAATAAATTTTATGATGTAATCATTTTATATATTGTTTATTTTTAATATTTCAGTGGTAAAGGTGATACGGTGGTTAGTATTCTAATAGATCTGAATGATTTCTGGACGTATGAGAACAGAGAATATCTAGTCCCCGAGACCACAGATGATGGTGATATATAATCAACATTCATTAGTATTATACATTATACACATTCTTCATCTTCACCGTAGACAGTTAGCTGTGGTTAGGTGTTCTAACAATAAATTGCTGTTAGGTGATCCAGCAATAATTTTAAGTTGGGTGTTCTTACAATAAGTTGTTGTTAAGTGTTCCAACAATAAATTTCAGTTAGGTGTTCCAACATGAAATTTCATTTCCCTGCTTTGACTACATGAATTGTATGTAACAATTTATCTGAAAATAACATATTTAACCTTTAGAATAGCTGATGGCCACTTTAATCCCTTGAGTAAAGTTTATGGTAATAATGACTTCCCTGTACAGCCTGACTGGCCTATTTTTTGCTGCTTACCTTTAATATTTTGATATCAAAATCCTCATTAACAAATAATGGACTGTTCCAAAGTTAAAGCAAGGCAATTCCATTGAAAAAAAGTGTGTAGAATCATATTTATAGTGTTGTCAAGGTAATATTTTGAGAACTATAGTTTATTATCTATCTGTCTGAAAGGATCATTCTATCATAAACATTTAGGGTATTATTATCATATAGATCTTTGTTAGTTTCTATACAATATGTTTGTTAGATATTTTTGTTCTGGTTGCCCGTGGTTACCTAAATAGGAATTCAAATATGAAAAAAGTAAACAGGTATTGTCAGAAATCATTATTTCATGATTATAACACTTATTTTGTTGAAATTAATTTTCACCATGCATTTACATTTTCTTTATTTCACGGTTTGTAAATTGTGCTGTGTTTTAATCAGAGATATGTTGTTTTATGATGTTTTTAACACAAATTATCATTTTAACATGTCATTGACCTCTGTTGTCAGTACATAGTCTACATAGAAACTCATTTCAACTATCCAAGGACAATTACTGGTAAAATTCATTATCAAACTACAGTCCAAAATAACAAATATAGCTAGAAGTTTAAGTCAACATACTAAGTGAGAATTGATGATGCATGATGAGCATTTGATATTTCCTGTATAATTAGCGATTGTTTAGCTGTAAACATTATATGTTAAAATTGTGATATTATATGACTTTTTGGTAACGAAGTCATTAATAAGTTGGAAAAAAAACTGTTCTGTTTTCAAGTTTTTGATGTGCTAGTGCATGTGTTGATATACAAGGATACATGTTTCTACCATTGTTACTACATTGTACATGTATTTTTAAATTGCATGAATATATCTTAGTCAGTATGACTAATTGAGAGGTTAGAATGTGTGCTAAATTAAGACTTAGAAATAGTGATAATTGTTCATTTTTTATTTTAAAAAAGCAATATTTTAAACTACTAGTATATGTTTGGACAGTTCATAGTGAAACACATCTATAATATTGTCTCAGTATTAATGGGGATACAACTCTTCATATACCAAATATGTTTAAATATTTGGCCAGAATTATGATAAAACATAGTCATAGGCAGATCTTATTTCTTTCCTCATATTGTCACTAGCTTCAAACTTTCAATGTATAAAGTTTCTCTTGTTTTAATTTATATTTGAAATAATAGACACAAAAAAGATACAAAATAATGAAATTAGTAGTATTATGTTGTCCTTTTTATTTACGATAACAAATACATTTTGTACTGATTTTCTAACAGCATGTCCTTAGACTTTGGATTATCATTGTGTAAGACTTAGTGCATGTCTTTATTTTGATTTTCATCTTTTATCTTAAAGCCTCAATCCACTTATCATACAAGTAGAAATTGATTATAGAACATACTAAATGTTACATGTATTAGTAATAATTAATAAAAACCTCAATCCATTATTAATTAAACAGAAATTGATGGTTTATGTTTTAGTTGTAGATTTTTAAATGCAATTGATGAATTGTTTTCTTCTTCTAACACTGCCTTTTTATGAATCTTTTGTGTATATTTGTAAGGAATTAGCATTTATTTTGTAAATAAACTATTTTTGAGAATGAACAATGTTTTTACTTTATTTACCTAGCCTTTTAATATAAAAGATCACAATAAAGATCAAGGTCATTCAAGAACTTTATTGTGATTATTATGTAGCCGGATAAGTTTGGGCGATGACTACAGCCCCGAATACAGTGCATATAGTTGTGTAGTAATTACCAGTTATTTCAGATACAAGACTTGGCTTTGTCTAAACTATGGCTTAATCTAAGAAAGAATACAGTTTATCACATTGCCTACGTGTAAGAATGACTGAATTAATCTTGATTTATCTCCCCATCATCAGAGATTATTGTTGTGGTCTGTGTTTGACTGAAACTTTTATTCTCCAACTTCCTACCCCACAATACTGGCTGATTTATTCTATAGTGAATCTTTTATTCAGTGTCGCTGATATTTCTTGTTCTCTTACAAAGACCACTGAAAGGCAGAAACATATATTATGATATATATATAGTATATAGTGTCTCTGAGAAAGCCCTGTCATCCCTCTCAGGTATCTCTGATATTCTTGTTTTCTTTTAATGTTAACAGAGAACAATAAAAAATCATGATTTTTAGAACTTTATTTAATACTGATTTGAAATGTGACAGAATATATATACCTATAATTTTGTAGAATAGTTAAAATAAACATCAAGTAGTGCCATACTGTAAAACAGTTTTATATGCACTCCAATCATCGGATACTATTCTATAAAAGTATCTTTGATATATACATTTTATACAGACCTAATCAGTAAACAAAAGCAAGTACAAAATTTTAAAACAATATGTTGTTCCACATACTTTCTCTAAACAATACAGCTAAAATGTCTTTAACATTCGATATTGTAAGCAAACAGATAAAAATAAATGTTTGTGGTCATTAATCCTTACAACCATCCTTTTATACATTTTTGAAAAAGAAAAACTTTCAAATTGAAATATTCTATATGATCACAACTGGAATAGAGGTACAGTAAAATTAAGTACAATCGTTTTTATTGTATGGTTCATTAGCACTGATAATCTGATTATCTCAAAACTGAACTAAAGCTAATTTGGTCAGCAAATGTTTATTGTCAGTATTCTTGGCACGATTATTAAAGTTTGTATTTTTCAATCAGATCTTTAATATCATCTTGTATATTAATGGTCTCAAAGTGTCGACTATATCTCTTGTATGGTACACCATCTGGACGGATCAAAAACTTCTCAAAATTCCAAGCAATGTCAGTTCTAGTTACTGGCTCCCAAATTATAAAATGTTTGTTGGAGATAAATGACGATGAGTCATCACTAGGTGCTGGCAATGACTCCCGCAGGAACTGGAATAATGGGTGTGAGTCTTTACCATTCACTATACATTTCTCCATGATAGAGAACTTGGGTTCGTACATGTTCCCAGGTCGTACATGCTTCAAAGAATTATAGATTTCTTCTCCATTTGCATTCTCCTGTAATCATAAACCAAACAAATTTTAATATTGTGAGACGTATAAACCTGAAATAAGTGAAAGTAACAACTAGATAGTAATTTCATAAGATAGGTCTCAATAATATTTAATATTAGCGAAATTACAAAAGTAGATCGATCTTGTTGGGATTTGATTTGTTTCAAACGAGACTGTTGATAAACAACAAATTTAAAGTACAATGTATTCTTCATTTAAACGTATTTTATATAAGTTCTTTTTTGTCCTGTAAAAAGAAAAAAAATACTAAGAAAGTACTTTTAGCATGAAATTCACGTGCTAAACGTGCTAAGCGACCTGGGTCGTACACAGTAAGTAAACAAAAAATTTAAAGCTGGTAAGATAATTAATTTGTCCTGCAATTTGAGTAGAAATTTAATTTAAATCGTTAAATACAAACAAAAAACGAAATCGGCAACAATCGACAAACATTTTTCAAGATATAAACTTTGTGGCAGATGTGGTTTAAACAGATATTTTATTTAACTGGTAGCCGAAAATTATCTAAATAGTCGCACATGTGTAAAATATAAAGTTCATCCTGGGAGCGTACGTTTATCGTCTGCTAAATGCAATATTACATGTGAGAGAATTAAAAAAAATCGTGTGATTTTAAAATGAAAAAAAAAATGTGCTTTGAATATTAAAGAACAAGTTTAGTAATTTATGTCCTAATTTTATCCGTCTATAATAGTAGTATTTACTATGTTTTGATTGAACTTAAGATATATTCAGCAATAATTGTTGGTTATTTCGTCATTCTACATTATGTCCTGAACTATTATTTATTTTATCTTCTTCCTGATAAGTTTGTGGGCGAAAAGCCTCTCAAACATTTCTTCTTAGTATCTTAATGTAATTAAGTACAAAGGCAACCAACAAACTCGATTGAACTGTGTCTACTGTACAGTATCGATCTAACACGCGTGATTCAATTCAAGTACTTACTAATCTCCTTGAACAACCGAGAAAACGGATATTGAGTCACCCCCAAAGTATCGGTCTCCGAGAATTTAGATATTTCAAATAGATCTATGTCATTACTCTAAGGTATACACGCTTCAACACTTCCTCTGAATCTTCACTCAACATCCACCAAAACATTCTTTTACTACAAACTAATGGCATTGTAGGGCATTTATAAGAGTGGTTATATAACTCTAACATATGGCTTATTTCAATACCTGATCCAAATTATAACAGTGAAAAATTATCATAAAATTCAACGAAATAAAAAAGATAATTTTCTTACCTGGTGTCCAAACTGGTTACACGGGAAGCCCAGGATAACAAGTTTATCAGCGAATTTCGCGACCAACTCGTTCATCTGGGTGTAATCCCGTGTAGTCGTACCTCAGAGGGATGCTACATTCTCCACCAGAACTACTTTTCCTTTATACTGACTTAATTCAACCGTTTGTCCCCTCAATGTCTTACAAGCTACCTCAAAAATATTTTTTATCACTGTTTTTCCTGCCATGTTTCTTTCTTCTCTAGCACTAGCACTAGCACATGTGTTTCACCTTCACTTGACATAAACGTGACCTAACAACTAAAGGGAGACTAATCTCACCTCTGATCAAATGCATTGTATAATCCTATATTATTTCCCTTCATTGAAATATGTTGAATTGATTTATTTTGTTACGCAAGGAAATTGCAATCAGAAAATAGAACATGGGATCGGCAAGAACATAACTAGTTACACGATTAACCTTTTATAACATTGATAGTTTAAACCGCAGCATGTCTGTGTCACATTGTACACATACGAAGTTTAATTATAGCAGATACACATAATTATCTGCATCTCTGATTATAGTCACGTACATGTATTATAGACTTAATCAGAATTTTAAGTATTTCAAAGAATAACAGAACAGAGATTTTTTTCACAGTACGGTATATATTGACTTGCTTTGTCAATTAAAATAGGAAAGCCAAAAAAAAATCCAAAACAAAAACAATCCCTAAATAACGCTCAAAACAGCAAAACTGAAAATGATACAGGCTCGGTTTGATTGAGCATGTTCGTTTAACCATATAATGTTTCAAAACAATGATGAAAAAGGCCGGAAAGTAATTTCATGTTTCTGTTAAGATAATAACCGTGCAAAATATGTGCAGGGGGAAGTAACATATTGTACTCCCTTTCAAACTATATGAAATTTTTTTTCTTGTAACATATATAACGTTATTTCTGAAGCTGATCGACACACGCTGACACTGAATTCATTATCGAGACGATTTTGATTAGATCATTCATATGTGATATCATACAAGCTGAATTAATCAAAATAGAAACTGGAGTACGAATAATTATCGACCGGTATCCTCTTTGCGAAATCTACTAAAATAAATGGTACCCCTGCTTGAAAACAAATCGCCATTGGTTCCAACTATTAAGATGAATATCATGTGAAAATGAAGTACACCATGGAACACTGGGACACTAGAATTATTATTATTTATTGCCAACCGTCTCGGCATGTGGTTTGCGTTTAATTAAATGAATCAATAGTTTTATTATGTACATTTCATATGTATTCTTCAGACAAATGTCTATATTTATGTTCTAAAATTTCTTGGATAATGGTTCAGTTTTGTTTTTTGTTGTTGTTGTTTTTTTGTTGTTGTTTTTTCGGGGGGGGGGGGGGTAATAAAAATATAAACTATCGAATACAGGTGCAAATATTATCTGGTTAATTTCAAAAATAGAACTAAAAAAATATAAGTAGCCTTTTTCTAAAACCAGCAAACGCGGTACCGCATTTTGTAAAGTAACCTCTGTGGACACGAGTTCGTAGTTCAATCCATGGACGAGTATCATTATTCTCATCTCATTTCAATGGCAATTATTGACATTCGGGCATTTTTTCGCTCTTCTTGATTGGTTTGAGTTGTCGGCAGGTAAAAATTAAGAACAATTCAGCCTGGTACAACGTACAGTGCACATACGAATTCTAAACCTTATATAGACTGCTGCCGGCTACGGAATATCATCATGCGACAAGTGCCGACCAACATCAGCCGGCACATCAATGAGGTTTTATCATGGACTGCACGCACTCACTGCTCGCTGTTAAAGCAATATCCACTTAAAATTTTCCCTAAAAACGGATGAATATGTTTTTTGTTTTGTTTCTATGTTTGTTGTTGTTGTTTTCACATTCGCCTTTAGTTAAAGAGCAGAAACAATAGGTTCAGTTAAGTTAGCTTATGTAAGACAAAATAAATCAAAAGGCTATATAGTTAAGATATTACTAAAACTTTAATGTCGAGGAATGTCGGTCAGACGCTAGCCGATATTCAATATGGGATGTACCGGAATCTTTCCCAATTCCAACACGAAATTGGTGACATATATAGACTTTTACGAAAGTTGTATAATTATAACAGTGTAATTAAGGAATACATTAATTGGTTATAATACAATTGTATACAATTTTATATCAAACAACAAATCATGTTATATGTGGTGCCTGTATGTCATATGAATGTGTACACAATCGTAGAACTTGCAATCTATAAGTTATTAAGACATTAAGTGGTAACAATTCAATATATAGCATCAATTAATGTATCCATGTTTAGAGCCAGATGTGCTTTTATATAAAATGTATTGAACCAAATATCAATATACAGGCTCATTTTTATATTATACATTAGTGTTAGAATTGTACGCAGTTTCAATAATTAGGTGCATTTAATTAATGTACCAGTTTTCAACATGTTGTACCAAAGTATCTGTGTATGGAACCAGATGTCCTTACTGGATATGTTGATATACAAATCTGTTTCACGTCATATATTTTAGTTATTACTTCCCATATGAATCGCATATTTATTCTGGATGAGTAGATGGTAAAAATAATACAAGTCATTTTTTCTATTTCTTTATTTTAACGCCTACAATAAAACATATTGTTTTGGCTGCTTTGTCGGAAAGAAACATTTAAGTTTGATTTTCATGTAGCATTTACTGATACAGAGACAGTTTAATAATGCTACAGTCATACAAATGACTTTCCGACAATGCAACCAATGGTTTTAGGACAAACTATACATTCAGGCAATGCAGCACATTGCAGAAATCCCTGACTATGATAATGTGAATTTATGCGTATACATGTAGACAGTGAATTGTGTAAAAATACAAATGAGCCGTGCCGGGACAAAACCAACATAATGGGTTTGCGACCAGCATGGATCCAGACCAGCCTGCGCATCCGCGCAGTCTGTTCAGAATCCATGCTGTTCGCTATCAGTTTCTCTACTTGATATAGGGTTTGCAAGCGAACAGCATGGATCCTGATCAGACTGTGCGGATGCGCAGGCTGGCTTGGATTCATGCTGGTCGCAAACCCATTATGTTGATTTGTCATGGCGCGGCTCATTAATTAATAAAGTGGCAAAGCATAAAAATATACAGCAATAGAGTACCCTCTTTACAAGTTCATTTGTAAGTATGTTTTCTCGCGATATAAAATTAACAGGGTCAGTAGATGCATAACATAATTCTTTGACTAAATCAGTCTGTAATTTGAGTCATTAAGAAGCTGCGTTTTACTACATTTGTCCCCAGACTATTACATACGTACTTCTACTTTTTTCGAGTTTCCTTCATAAAACTTTTCTATAAGCAACTTGATATCATGTTGAATATTAGAAGTTTGGAAAGCTTTACTATAACGTTTAAATGGTTTGCCATCAGGGGAGATTAGAAATTTCTCAAAATTCCAGGCAATATCAGTTCTTGTAACAGGTTCCCACGTGATCAACTTCGGATCTGTCATCAACGAAATACTGTCGTCACTAGGTGTTTGTAGCCGACGACGGAGGAATTCGAAAACTGGGTGAGAATTTTTTCCGTTCACGTCACACTTTTCCATCAGTTGAAAATGGGGTTCATAATTTTTGCCCGGACGTACATGTTTAAGAGAGGTATAAATTTCTTCACCATTCCCATTTTCCTGAAATAAAAAATAGTGTTGTATTAAATACTGTATATTGCAAATAAAGTCTTATGCTATATAGAACAAGCTTAATATAAAGATTAATATATAATAATTATGTCTAATCTCAGCAATGCCTTTTTTTTTGTCATTTAATGAATTAAAACTAGCAGTTACATATAATTTTAAGCATGATAATTTTTATAAAACTATTTTAGTATTAACAGCCATAGGAGATGTCGCGTTCTATATCTGAATCATCCATTATGTCAATTGAATCAATTCATTCACATGTGACAAGTGTTTTTCCCCTTAATATCTATAATGCCATTTATCCATTCTAAGCGGGAAAGTTGATCATGAACATGTAATACCGAAAAGTTCTATATATGTTCTTATTTGGGGCTTAATTTAACACAGCAAATAAACAATTATAAAAGATATGATATAAAATACTGATAACTTTAGAATGGTTTAACAATTCAAACCGATTTAGACCGGTTAAATTCATATGACTTCAACCTAAGATCACATTAAGTTCGATACGCTATTAATCGCATGCATGCACGCCAATCCAATGTGTATACAGCCCGGATATAAATGTATATAAATTATGTATTTAAACAGTCGCTTGAAATATTTGCCAATATATCAAAAGATAAGAGAAGTAATCACGGATTTAATTTTTTCGATTATCATCATATCGATAAGATATTGTATATATCAAAATCAGTCTAGGTGTGTCACTGTCACGTCATTGAGATTTTCTTCGTTCTTTTCAGTCTCATTTAAAAGAAAATAATCGCTTATATTGCTGTTTTCCTTTTCCTTTCGTCTGGCCGTATTTTTTCTTCAATATTTATGCATATATCGGCGTCTCTAAATTCAAGAGGGATAACAGAATATTAAACAGCTTTATTTAAAGCGACATATTACATGATAAGGTAAATAGATCTGTTAAGAAAAATTTAGGTATGTCTAAGAAATGTATATAGATAAATATAATTCCAAAATTCAGCCCCATTATCAACGGAGAAACAGAAATTTCGGTATACACTAAGAAATTAGGTTAGATTAAAGGACTTGGCAACATCTTTACTGTTTATATAACGATGTATTTATATACAAATGGACCCAAACGAATTTCCCGCGTTGTATAATACATGTATATATGCAGACGACAGATGCATGATACAACATTAATTATTAAACGCGGTATAAACTTGAAAATGTAAATCGATTTGATGCATGAAAATAAAGACATATGCTCGCAACATTCGAGTTGCCAAGCTGGCAAAAACTTATTAATTACTGTTTCTGTTCATGTTGATTAAGAAAAAAAACAAGCCATGTACAATGAAAGATCGACTATATATCTGTTAATAACTTATAAAGATATTGCCATCAAGATGTCACCAAAAGATAACCCTGTCGCAATAAAGATATGTTACCATAAAGATGTTACCTTAAATATAACGATGTTACCTTACAGTCGTTACCATAAAGACAGATAAATTTGACTTACCTGATGTCCAAACTGGTTACACGGGAAGCCCAGGATAACAAGTTTATCAGCGAATTTCGCGACCAACTCGTTCATCTGGGTATAATCCCGTGTTGTCGTACCTCAGAGGGATGCTACATTCTCCACCAGAACTACTTTTCCTTTGAACGCACTAAATGAAACATTTTCTCCGCGTAAATTTTTACAAGAAAACTCAAAGAAATTTTGTATTTTCGCTGGTCCCTTCTCCGTGGTCATTGTATCTATATGTATAATATCAACTTGACTATTTGAAAAAGTTGTATATCTCGCTGTCAAAAGACAATCGTTCGTTTCATTAAAGATAAAATCTAGACGAGAATGATTTACCAGTATTGTGACAATTCAATTTAAACACGCAGCTGTCGCTTGGGGGTTGTATATAAATGGATTATAACATACAGTAACAGTATTAACGATTCATATATATATATACATATTTGCAATAAAGTTAAATGGTGCACTTTTCTTGAGCCGATTATAAATTTAAATTCTTCAAATACAGTTCTATTTTAATTGTTCATTAAACTTTAAGTTTATCCGTACATAAGTTAATAGGTTAAACATTCAAAGCGAGGCACCACGAGCTATGTTGGTTTCTTTCCGCCTCAATAAGAATTTCTAACTTAAACCTTCCATAATGGCCACCTCCGTTAAAAAACCACATAGTGAAATTTACCAGTATTGTCTACACGTCAGTCAATTTAACCATTTGAACGATTTTTGCGCATATATCTTGATGCGTTTTTGGAAACCACCTTAATTAGTACTCACCTTCATTAAAAGTCACTATATAACCCTTTTGATGGTATTTACATTATAGGGTTGCCAGTATTATATGATATGCACTACTCTTTTCTGAGAATATTGTGTACTATAGAAAAAAAGCCGTAATTTACCCTAGTTATTATAATCTTTACTATACACACGGTCACAAATGTCCGGAATGGCCCATAAAGAGGATAAGAACAAAGGATAAATTGTACAAATGTTTTGAACAGCCCTCGCGGAAAAATTAAATGTGATTCCGGATGTGTTTGAAAGCGTGTTAAACATTTGAAGGGCAAATGTATGACGTAAAACGACCTCACCTTACATTATTAAAAATTCATACAGGTACACGCACGTACAGAAATAGATACAACTCACAGTGAAATGGTTCATCTTGAATATTTTATAGTAATTTCACTTTGACAGTCATTATAATCTGTTAAGTCCGGTCTAACCACGGGTTGTCCCTTTGTAAGAAGTTCAATTCTAATTAGTCAAAATAATCAATAATTTAAATAAATTGCTTGAGATTCATTTATTCATTACATTAATTTCTCGTTCATTATTTTGAATAAGTTTATTAGTTTTCGTTGAGATAACAATGTCCCTTAATACAAAGTTCGGACAAATGTCACGTTATGAATTACATTTATGGTACTTGTTTTGTTACCCGACAGATGTCACTTTATGTACTTGTTTGTTAAACTAGCACATGATTGTCGCCAACCTTACGGGCTTCTCAAAATAGAAGACAGAAAATTTTGTTGACAAACTTACCATTTTTGTTACACATTTTACATACAAATATAGCCAGCAAATCCTATATATAATCTACCAATGAACAAAATTTACATTGATAATTTAAGTTTTTGTGCAGGATGATTAAGATGTTCATTTACATATTCAATGTCATAAACAAACCAAAAACACAAGTAAATACATTTTAATGCGATTTAGAGTTTTAATCTAGCAAAGATTTCCTCCGCATTAAGACATAGTAAATAAATTTAGCAATATTTTTTATATTTATTTTACTTTATCATCACTCTGTAAACATTTGGTCTTTTGTAAAAGTATAATTTTAATGAAATATGTTTCCTATCATTTACGACAGAAGCCACTATCGCGCGAGTGATGTGAATTAATGAAAGTGAATTACCCTTATTTATGAAAAAATGTATACATGTATATATATTTTATATATACTAAAGGGGAAACGGGCAAAACCCTCCCCGACTCGAACAAAAATCTTCCCATCTTAAAATGACATATCCATGAAATTTGCAGAAATTTGCAGAACCTGTTCCGGCATAATGTCGCGAAGTTAAGTGTATGTTACGCAAATAGAGCGAGAAAGGTTTCAAGAATTCTCCTATGTCAAAATGGAGATGGGGACATTAAAAATGTTATCAAAGCTACATTAATGGGATTACAGTATTTTGCACCAGATGAAACTGGGCCGCAAAATGGGCTTAACATACTAGAAATATTCGTATCATCAACTTTAAATCAATAGATGTATTGTAATGTAATTTATATAATTCACCTGTTCAGGGTATCATTATTTACAAAACTGAACCAATAAAGGGATAAAGGGAATCACAATTATTTGGCTAAAGTTTCATTCAAATTCGTCTTTGAAAACATTGAAAGAATGATCTTGTATGTTTAAACATCTGTTATAGGTATCAGTCGGATTTGCGAAACCTTATAAGTCCATGAAGCCCATCTGATAGCTATATGATCCTTTATTTTGGCAGCAACAGTTTTTTTCTCCACCTGTGATGCATAAAATCAAAAAAGTATCAAAATCGATTAATGTACATATTCAGTATCATTTAGGTGAATTATTGTATATTCAAAATTAATAGGTCACATTTTTAGGACATGAATGGTGACATGTCCTGGGCTCGCACTCTCGGTGCCTAAAAGGGCGGATGGACCCACAGACACTTGGTGTACGGAGCTAAAATCCAAATGAATTGTATAATTGTCAATATTTATATATACGTCTAAACGTCTATAGTACAATGTCTTTAGTTATATATCATATACAATCGTTGAATTATGATGTTTCCCCAAAACAGTTTAATTAATGTGACATCATGCTAATCCCCCGCCCCCCGCAGGACATCATGTATGAAGCTCCGCGCAACCCAAGTATCTGTTGATAGACCCTCATTGAGTCTAGAATACATACATACATTTTGCACCAATAGCTTTAAAATCGTGTCTGTGATCAATCAATCGATTTTCGTCACTATAAATTAATGTTGCAGGAACAATATATGAATCTTTATGTCTCATTTAACAGTTATTTAGTACATCTGAAATGGGGTATTGTCACGCAGATACTGTTCCTCTTTCCGTGAAGGCGGCGTGACGTGCAAATATAAACACGGTAAACATTACCTGCATGGAAGATGTTCTCAAATGAAATCAACTTTGACCACAGACACGGGGTGTGGAGCTCAAAACGCCTTTAAAATCCAAATAAAATGTATATGTCTCAATCCCTGTATATGTACTGATCATTTATAATTAAAAAAAACTAAACTTTATATAAATCGTTTTGAAAAATATATATGTATATAATTTCAATGTCTATAATAATTGTTACTCTAGTGTATACACTTTATTTGGATTTTAAAGGCGTTTTGAGCTCCACACCCCAAGTGTCTGTGACTTTTGACCGACAGGCTCCTCGCTAAGTTATAAAGTTTTCGTTCTAAAGTGAATCTCACTTATTTCAAATATGCCTATTTCTTACTTCAATGAAAAATATATATGCATCGGCTATTTTCCATACATTAATTTAATAGTGTTACACGACGGGCCTCAACTTCAATCTAAAAGAGTAATGTCCCTGGATATAACCGGAAACAGGTGCGCTACTATCTGGTTCTCATTTGCGATTGCGCTCGTATACTTTTGTATTGATACTGGAAGAGAACCAACCAAATAAACACAAGGCTTCCCTGGTTACTGATTTAGGACAATATGATTATTTTGTAAGATTTCACGGAATATGATAAATTGGTAAATAAAAACTGACAAGAAACTTTCATTTATGTGATATTCACATGTGTTGTAGCATCATTTATAAAAATAAAGCGAAGTTATCCCGTAAACAACGTTAGATTTATTAAAAAGAAACAATATTCGAGACTTCCGGTTCATAGGTGTTCAAAATAGTCATTTCGGCAAATTCTTTTGTCGTGTTCAATTGAAAACAGTGATTTCATTATTGTTTTCTAGTCATGTGTTGGAACAAATATTTATAACCAAATAGAGTTTAAGAACAACCTTCTAGTTTTATCAACATGCCTCTTGCACAAACTAGACTAGAGACCCTGCAAGTCTGTAAACTGCTACAATGTGTGAGAGACAAGGACAAGTCACAGATAGAAAAGATGTCACTTCAAGGGGTACCACATTTAATCAATTACAATGATGCAAATGAAGGTCATACAGCTCTTTCGGTTGCAGCACGTGCAAATGATGATGATATGATAGAGTTTTTACTCGGTCTTGGTGCTCATCCAGACGTGTTAGACTTTAAAGGAAGATCAGCTGCTATGAGAGCGGCAGAATATGGCCACGTAGATTGTCTAGCAAAATTAGCAGAAAAAGGCGCTAACATGAAATTAACAGATAGAGAAGGAAAAGGTATTTAAAATAGTGACACAATAATATAAGCATAATTTATATAAATTGTTGAATTTGATGTAATGACAGGAATCATTTATTATTTATTTGTATTGAAGTTATAAAGATCTGAATATTTTAATTTTATATACAGCTAATGATACAAAAATACACTGATGTCAATGTCTGCAATAGGCGTTAAATCTTAGTGCCGGGTGACCTGGGTTGTCACATGGTTAAATATACATTGTAAGTGTGATATCACAGCACATACCTATAACCTGCAATAATTAATCATCATTTCCATTGTTAATTTAGATACCATTTGTACATAAATATAGAGAAGTCATTAAATTTCAAAAATGAATTGTATTCATATTTTGTTCATGTTGTTATCAAGTCAAGTCAAGTAAATTTTATTTATAAGTCGGATACATCAACAATAAACATAAGCTCTGATGAGCTTTTTACACAGACACTTAATTGAACCATTTTCATAATTAAAGAGGTCACAAAAGTAATTTTTGTAAACAGAATTGAAATTGCTGATAGTAGCATTTTGTTCACAAGGTATGGTCTTGACAAAATATCACTTAAATTTTCTGCCACAAGATCTTGACATTTTTGGCAACAATTTCTACTGAGTAGAATTTCATTGGCTTTACTTTAATATTCATTGATACAGCATTTCAGATTTGCGTCTTTGATAACCATATACTTATCAGTTTTGTCTTCAAAAAAGTTTAAATTATAATTTGTAACATATTTTTGAATTTTCAGGGATATTGTTCTATTGTATTTCACCAACACAACGTCATGCTAAGTGTTTAGAGATTGCTGTGCTGAATGGTGCCGAGGTTAACAACACAGACAAACAAGGTATTCCAGTATTACTTCATGCCTGTGAAACAGCAATGGACAATGAAGAGATGTGTTTATTACTTATTCAGAAAGGAGCAGAACCAAATTCAAAACAAGAGGTATATTTCTTATAAAATCTTTCTTTAAATATTGATATACATGTAGTTAAAAAATGGAGTTTGTTAAAGATGTTAATAACAAGAAATATCTAAATAAGTAAGTTTGTGATCTTATTTTGAGTGTTTTGAACAGAGTTTTATTTCTGGATGTAGTCTAACTGTTTGAAAAGTAATTGTCCTAATTGTGTTAAATTTTGTGTGCATGCTTTTATTTTTGTGTGTGTGTGTTTAGAAACAGATATTTTTTATTCCTTTGCATATTATTGATATAAAACAACAGGTTTTGTTTGCTATTCTTACATGCTTGTGGTTTGATAATGAAAGTGTTCAGAACAAAATCATTTTACAACTGTTCAGTTTGCTTGTCAATGAATTATGTAGGAACCAGAAGAGGGCTTTGGTCCTGATCCTAAGAAAAAGAAAGCTCCACCAAAGAAAAAATCTAAGAAGAGAGCTAAAGGCTTAAAATTTGTAGATCCAGATGAGGCAAGAAATTGCACAGTTAAAATCAAAGAAAAATGACTGAATTATTGGCTGGGAGTGCATGCACAAAATTCTATTTTTCTGGTTAATGGTTCTTACGCAAATATTCATCTTGGCTTTGTGATACTTTGTGACATTATTTTACATGATTGATAAATTTTGGCAAAACCCTTGCATCAAGCCAAATTTTTCTTTCCTAAAAGGAAATTCAATATCATAACTTTGTATTTGGAGATGGTTCTTGCACAAAAGTGTGGTAAATTGCTTACTGCTTAACATTAGCTTATTGTTTATTTCTTGTTTTGTGTGTGAATGTTTGCAGATAGATATAGAAACAACAAAATTACCTCCAAAGAAGCTGGCCAGGGAAAAGGTAACATTTTTTTCAAAACCAAATAAGTAACATATATGACTCCCATAATAACATTTTTTACTTCTATTTTATACTTAGTAATATATACTCATCAAAACTATTAGCATAACAATGATGTCAGTATATTTTATTAAAAAGCTATCAGTTTAATTTTTTGCTTGTTATTACAACAGTAGGTAGTTCTGTCTGAAGCTCTTTACTTTATATTGACTGTTAGTTGAAAAAATGTTTACTGACATCATTGAGTTTTATTTATCTTTTCTTCTTTTTATTGTTTATTTTTAAACTATATACCCTTTCTTATGAATATTCAAGCTAGTTTATAGCTCACCTTTAGAAAATGTTTTAAAGACTATTTTCCAATATTATTATGATTATTCATCTCAATGTTAAAACATTTTATGTTATTGTTTATTCTTACCTAACTGAGGTAAACTCTTTCGTTATATAACCAAACTATCTTTTGTTTAGATAAAAGATTGTAACTCCATGTATTAACACAAAAATATTTAAGTTTAAACATAAATCTGACTACAACGGTTTAGACAGATGATGTAACCAGTTTAGACAAATAATGTAACAGTTAGACAAATAATGTAATAGTTTAGACAGATAATCTAACAGATTAGACAAATAATGTAATAGTTTAGATAGATAATGTAATAGTTTATATAGATAATATAACAGTTTAGACAGATAACGTAATGGTTAAGACAGATAATATCCCAAATTTAGACAGATGATGCAATAGTTCAGACAGATAATGTAACAGTGTAGACAAATAATGTATCAGGTTTAGACAAATAATGTAACAGTTTAGACATATAATGTAACCGTTTAGACTAATAATGTATCAGGTTTAGACAAATAATGTTACAGTTTAGACAGATAATCTAACAGTTTAGATACATCATATAACAGTTTAGACAGATAATGTAACAAGTTTAGACAGACAATGTAACAGTTTAGACAGATGATGTAATAGTTTAGACAGATAATGTAACATTTTAGACAGATACTATAACAATGTAGACAGAAAATTTAACAAGTTTAGACAGATGATGTAACACTTAAGACAGATAATGTAATAGTTTTTTAAATATTTTTAGCCATTATAACAACTGATAACATGAGTAAGTGAAGGTTGTTTATTGTTTGTGATTCTGTCGTGCCAAAGATAGTCGTTTAACACAGACAGAATGTTGTAAACTTCAGTTTAAGATCATATTTTCACAATTACACTAGAACATGTTGAAAAGTTTATTAGGTTTCTTTTCTCAGTTTTAAGAAGGGACCATTTTAAGTTTCACATTTTATGGCATTTGCTGAAGAATGGATAGAGAAAAATGTTATGTGCACTGTTTAATAATGCCACAGACACATTGTTGGTTCTCACATGATTCATGTCCACTGCACAATGTTGTAAAAGGAAGAGTTCATAGCTCTTCTAGCAACTTTTGGTCCTGCTTTGAGTTCTCAGTTCAGGAAACGTTAAAATATTTAGGTTGAATTGCCAAAGGTACTAAGTTTAAAGTTAGGATAAAAAATAAAGTATACTGGTATGACTTGTTACACTTCTTCTTTGATATGGTAGCTACATTCCCCATTCTCTCTTTTTTTTACTTCTAAGCCTGTGACCTATACATGTTCTCTTGTCCTTTTATAAGATACTGAGTTGTTAATAAATTATTTTTTTTTTTGCTATATGGTATATAGCCATCATATTTATTGTATATGAGCATTAACATGTAGAAAGTTTGTAGAACAAATTTAGATGTTATATATAAATTTACTGTTAAGTAACATGTATACAGGTTGCTAAAGTTTATAAAATAAGGCATTATGATATCAATTAAAGTACTATTTAGATATCAAATGACCAATATTTCTTTGACTTGATTAATTTGTCATCTAGATATTTATATTTACCAAGTTTTTTAAGTTAACATGAAGTAACTGTAAAATGTAAAGTACTTTTGGTGCCAGTTGTACATAAGTCTGTAATGCTGAGTTTAAAAAATGCTTAAAAACTAACAATGATATTCATTAGGTAATCTGACAAGTTTTAAGTTGAACAAGTTTAGCTTAGTATCAAGAAGATCATTGATATAATTATTTTGTATATTTATTTTTATAACAGGACAAGGTAAGATAACAATTGAGTTACAGACCCTGTTAAAATTGTTTATAAATCCAACCTTTTTGCACTGAAATCAATAATTCTTTAAAGCAACTATGAGATTAACAATTGATTTGATTTATTATTATTTCAGTAAGAAATAACATAAAAATATTTATTTAGAGTGAAAAAAAAATAATGAAGAAAGAGAAAGGAAAATATACACCAGAAAATTGTATTGGTATACCATATCAATACATTTTCTACTGCATTGTGTGGAACTAAGTTACCATCACTTGTTACATTAAATCTATACATATGATTATTAATAAATTAATTATGTAAAATCTGCTTGTTACTTAAAATAGAGGAATCTTTTTTTTCAACACACTCCTATATTGAAAGTAAAGGGATAGAGTTATGACCTAATTGCAGTTTTTTTGGTACCATGTTTAGGTGGTTATTAAGTACTATTTATGTTTTAATTAAAAATACACTAGAATTTGTGCTTTCAACTTCCTACAAGTTACCTAAAAGCAGATTATTTGGAAACTGTCATATAATTATTGATTTCATAATACTGGTAAAATAAAGATAAAGTTTATGAAATTGATTTAAGATTAAAAAATATCAGACTTAGAAGGCGGGTCAGTTCTTATTTCACATGTTTTTCCACCTGTTTGTTCACAGTTTGGTTAATGAAATTTTATTCACAATAATTGTTATATATTTTCACCTTAAAATTTTACTACATTGCATGTAAAAATAACATATTTTTTTCCAGGTATATCATTCTATACAAAACAAATTATAGCAATAAAAGTTTAGTACATGAAACCTTTGTCTCTTAGTCTAATTCTAATGAGAAAAAAGATTGATTTAATTGCCAGAAACCTATCAAATGCTTGACAACATGTAAAACATTATACCTAGAAACTTACTGCATGAAAAGTAATCTTAATGTTGATTTTAATTTTTTCTTACATACAGAGGTATGGGTTCACATTTAAAAGTTTGAAAGATTTTATGGATACTGATTTCAATATTTTTTTAAGTATGCATGTACATATCAGAATCTCTAAAATGTCAAAGAAATGTTCTTCTTTATGCAATTAAGAAACTATATTTTATAAAATATCTTGAAAAACCTTTTCATCTATTCTTTTATTTAAATAACCATTATGTTTGTTGTATGTTTTAAATGCTTTTAAATTTTGCAAGCTTTTTATTGCCAATTCTTGTTAATTTTAGCTTTAAACTTGCTTTGTTTCAGCAAATGTTTATTTGTAATTCTGAGAAATAAAAACAACACATCATTCATTAATGAATATTTCATGTTTAACCAATTTCGTCATTTAACTGTAGCATATAATTTTTTAGAAATTAAAATAAACATCATTTTGCAATCATTTTATGGTTCTAATTAAATTTCACTTTATTTTTCATTCACTCTTTTGTCATAAATATGAGAATTTTTTATTGAAACAATATTTAGGTAATGATTATGTTTGTATGAACAGAAAACAGGGAAGTCTGCATTAATGGCTGCTGCAGCTAGTGGAAGTGTCAAGGTTGTTAGGGCATTACTACAGAATGGTGCAGACGTAAATGGGACAGATCTCCGACATAATCACGCGGCTCATTTTGCTGCGGCAAGTGGCTCTTTAGAGGTATGTTAAATATATGAGCCACGCCATGACAAAACCAACATAATGGGTTTGCGACCAGCATGGATCCAGACCTGCCTGCGCATCCGGGCAGTCTGATCAGGATCCATGCTGTTTGCTTACAAACCCTATAACAAGTAGAGAAACTGATAGCGAACAGCATGGATCCTGATCAGACTACATGGATGCGCATTATGTTGGTTTTGTCCTGGTACAGCTCATTATTATTACTATTGCTTTACTATATGAAACAAACTTTCCAAACCTTGTGTTCAGATTTGTACATAATTCATTTAGCTTAGTTCTTAATTAATTACTTGTATTATACTTTTATTTACTTTTTTCGTGTCTTTGAAATAAAGAGTAAGTCAGTATGACCATTAAAAGTAAAATCTTATCAGCAATTTATGGTACTGATTTTTAAATAAACAAAACATGGAATAAGGGAAGAGGTTAACTGAATTTGTGTGAAATACTGAAGGTTCAGATACCTTGAGAATGCATTGCAGTACATGTTTACATGAATTTAGTTTCTATATTTTACCAGGTACTTGCATGTATGGCTGGTTATGGGGCGTTATTTGACCAGGTCAACTCTGATGGTAACACACCACTACATAATGCAGCAGCATCAGGAGCTGGAATGTGTGTTAAATTCCTCGGTCAAAGAGGTAAGGTTTTAGATACCCCTTTCAGGGCCTCACCTTCGTCAGTCAGTCCGTCCGTCCGTCAGTCCGTCCGTCCATTCTTCGTTTCCGGACGATAACTAGAGTTCCTTTTGACCTACAGCTCTCAAACTTCATAGGATGAATGGTCTTATTGAGCAGATGATCCCTATTGTTTTTGGGGTCAGTAGTTCAAAGGTCAAGGTCACAGTGACCGTTGGTCAATTTCTCGTTTCCGGATGATAACTAGAGTTCCTTTTGACCTACAGCCCTCAAAACTTCATAGGATGATTGGTCTTATAGAGCTGATGATCCCTATTGTTTTTGGGGTCAGTAGGTCAAAGGTCAAGGTCACACTGACCGTTGGTCAATTTCTCGTTTCCGGATGATAACTACAGTTCCTTTAGACCTACAGACCTCAAACTTCATAGGATGATTGGTCTTATTGAGCAGATGATCCCTATTGTTTTTGGGGTCAGTAGTTCAAAGGTCAAGGTCACAGTGACCGTTGGTCAATTTCTCGTTTCCGGATGATAACTAGAGTTCCTTTTGACCTACAGCCCTCAAACTTCATAGGATGATTGGTCTTATAGAGCAGATGATCCCTATTGTTTTTGGGGTCAGTAGGTCAAAGGTCAAGGTCACAGTGACCGTTGGTCAATTTCTCATTTCCGGATGATAACTAGAGTTCCTTTTGACCTACAACCCTCACACTGGGGGGAGACATATTGTTTTTGCCCTGTCCGTCCGTCAGTCCGTCAGTCCGTCCGTCCATTCTTCGTTTCCGGACGATAACTACAGTTCCTTTTGACCTACAGCTCTCAAACTTCATAGGATGAATGGTCTTATTGAGCAGATGATCCCTATTGTTTTTGGGGTCAGTAGTTCAAAGGTCAAGGTCACAGTGACCGTTGGTCAATTTCTCGTTTCCGGATGATAACTAGAGTTCCTTTTGACCTACAGCCCTCAAACTTCATAGGATGATTGGTCTTATAGAGCTGATGATCCCTATTGTTTTTGGGGTCAGTAGGTCAAACGAGTGGAGTCATCCCAACACACTACAGTTATCATGATTTGACATACATTGAAATTTGAGTTGTCTTTCAATAGTGTAAAAAATCTGACAATATGAACGTTTGTTTCAAGTATCATCAAAATCCTTCAAAGGGTTGAAGAGTTATGGAGCAGACACAATTTCCTTTAATTTCGTTTGTGAAACTATATATGATATGACATTCAAGTGTCAAGTAGACCTTGACCTTGGAACCAGCCATACGAAACATGTACTCTACACGTTCTCTGGATGTGGTGAATTTTTGTTTCAAGTATCTACCAGAGAGGCTTCATTGTGAAAACAAGTGGAGTCATCCCAACACACTACAGTTATCATGATTTTACATACATTGTAATTTGAGTTGTCTTTCAATAGTGTAAAAAAATCTGACAATATGAACGTTTGTTTCAAGTATCATCAAAATCCTTTAAAGGTTTGAAGAATTATGGAGCAGACACAATTTCATTTAATTTCATTTGTGAAACTATATATGATATGACCATCAAGTGCAATTTCGTTTGACGCCCGCCTGCCATACGCTGATTGAATAACCAGGATTTTCAAAATTGAATACCTGGTTAAAAACAAACAGTTTAGGAAGCATCTTCTCATACAACCTTAACAATAGAAACCATCCATAGACAGCCTTCATTGAAGTGACTACCGGGTATTTACATTATCTTATCTCCATTTCCATTCCTGTTTCCATTCACAGTTATTCTCAGCAGTGGGGGAGACATGCGCTTTTTTACAAAAGCATCCTCTAGTTTATTGTAGCTGTGCTGGTGTTGTTTAGTTATGTTCTTAGATATGTTCATGTCAGTTTAATGGTATTTAGGTAGTGCTGATTTAAATATAACTTTAAAGACACAACTCTCATTTATTCTCATATTTCAAGTTCAAAACATTTTGTATGCACCTTAAATTGACTGTTTCTTTCCTCACACTTTTAAATATACAGGAGTTAATTCACTTTCCAAAATATTTTTTCTGTTTTTTATCCAGTCCTGCAAATGTTTTGACTTGAATTTATTATGTTATGCTTGTTATAGAAACAAACAAAATTTAATGCCTTTTACATGAATTACAGGTTGCAATCCCAAACCAAAGAATAATGAAGGAAATACTGCCAGAACAATAGCTAAAGACATGGGACACAAGGAAGCAACAAAAGAAGCAAGAAAAGCTGAAAAATCATTTGGAAAAGTTGGTAAAAATAACGAACCTTATGCAATAGCTCTTTATGACTTTGTATTTGAACGGCAAGAGATGATCAAAAACATGTTTCAAAAATATTATGATCCGGATGAAGAGGGGACTGTAAGTAAAAATGAGTTTGTTGATACAATGCTTGGAATGAACCCACCAGTTAATGAGGATGAACTGAGAAAAATAGCTTCCAGTAATGAAAAAGGGGGGAAGATTGACTATAACGAATTCATAGGTGGAAAGAAATATGTTAATAAAAACTATTTGATGAGTGCATTTGAAGGAAAGAAGAAAAAAGGAAAGAAAGGAAAGAAGGGGAAGGGAAAGAAAGGAAAATTTAAGTTGGTTATGCCAATCTGTACATCAGAAGAAGGTCCAAGAACGTACGGTGGAGGACCACCGGAAATGTACATAGAAAAGCACATACACTTCACTGATACTGGTAGATTTGACAGAGACCATCCACCCAAACATCCCCTACAAGATGACTCAGCATGGTACCTTCAACATCCAGAGAAAACATACCTCAATATAAACGATGCAGCAAGGAGTGGTGATTTTGATTCACTGAAGACAGCATTCCAGAGGGGTATACCAGCGGATACAAGAGATAAATATTACAAGACACCATTAATGGTGGCATCAGCTGCTGGGAACTATGAAATGGTTAAATTTCTTCTTGAAAATGGGTAAATTTATATATACATTTTAGATAATATAGGTTTTAATGCCCATTTTTTCAAGCTTTTTTATCTCAAGGTTTAAAGCATGTATGTATGTCTGATATTTTTAAGCATAATTGTGTGCATATATTTTACATTTAACACTTTCTGTATAAAAAGGCTATGTATAAAGTGTTATTATAAAGTGCATGTATTGGCAAATTTTAAGATAACAATCATTAATGAGTATTAAATTTTGGGTTTTATTATTTTAATGCCTCAGTAAAGAAAATGAATACTATATGTTCATTTAATTTTACAGAGCACATGTTAATGCACGTGACAATTTCAAATGGACACCTTTACATCATGCGTGCCATGCAGGACAGCTTGATATTGTGGAAACTTTGTTGGCAAATGGTGCTGAGATGGATGCTCCCACAATGAGTGGCGGCACTCCATTAACACGTGCCATAGAATCTTCCAGAGAACATGTTGTAGACTTCCTTATACAGAAGGGAGCTAAAATGCAGACTGAGAATAAAAAAGGTATTTATTGTCATTATGCTGTACCATAGAAGTTTTATAAATAATTTCATTTCCAATTTCATTTAATGTTATCTCTCCATTTACTTTGATATTAGTTTTGTTTTCATATTTTTTCTTGGCATATTTCATTTTAAAGCAACACCTAATGTTATATTTGTTATGTGTAATAAAGTTCTTATAGATAAAACAGACTAACTAGTTACCTAAATCTAAAGTGTGAGGAAGTAATAATTGCTGTTGCTATTTTGAAGTCCGAATAGATTGGTTAAAAGTGAGCATTTTAATTAAATGTACATGTTAAAATTGATCTTTTATTACACAGGACATAACCCATGTGATATCGCTCAGTCCTGGGCAGATCCTCGAGTATTACAGTGTGTACAGACTAAGTGGGAAAGTCTGCCACCTGTTGGTGGTAAAGGCAAGGGTGGTAAAGGGAAGGGAGGAAAAGCTACTCCAGCAAAGCGACCTCAGTCTGTGCCAGCTGGTGATGGGCCACCTGGTACTGCTAGGGTAAGTGAAGAGTAACACTGTATCTGTTATTCACAGAGCATGACAATTTTCTTGTTCAAGTGCTGTCAACATCTCCTTTTCACCTTAAATGATCCAGCATATGCTAACAGCAAAATATTGCAATTCAAATAATTCAAGTTTGTACAAAAGAACTTTTTAATCAATAAATATAAATAAAATGAATATTTCTTTTATCATATGTAGTTAAGAATTCCATATTTGAAGAAGAAAAAAACTTTTAAAAGCTATGTACTTATGTAATTTATAAAAAGGTTTAATACATATAAACTTGATAGATTTTTTTCATTTATCTTCAATTTAGAGCAAATCGGATATTTAAGGTATAAAGTGAGAGTTACGTATACTCACCTATTATTCAGCTAGGTTAACACTACATTTCTTGCTTCTGTGATATTAATGTAGTAACCAGATGTAAGCAGATCTACTAACTCTTGAAGTCTCTTAGCTAGAAACACTGAGGCATTTCTGCAACACTGTTGTTTTCATATATACAGAATTTTCATGGCTGATTTTGTGTAATTGACTTTCGCTGATTGGACTTAGAGCATTCCATAAGTAGTTATACTCCAAGTCTGCTGGCAGTGACTGAATCTACCCATGCAACTAGTGCTGACTTAGATCAGCCAGCACATCTTTGCCATCCCAATAATGATCTGCACTGTTAGCTATTTTACTCAAAAATGATGAATAGTTTTGTCCAGATTGAAAGAATTCCAAGATCATTTAAAATGTATGAGCAGGGTAAGGGACTAAAAATTTCAGTATCAAAATACTTATGTGAGAAGATATCCATTGAGTTCCTTGTCAGACTTCATTTTTGAGGCTGTCCTGGGTCAACTATATTGATGGTATATGTTATTGCAGCTAGCTTTTACATTATTTGTCAAAATAGGTTATGTAAGTGTGCTTAAAATCCTCAATTTGTACAATGTTGTCTGCTTTTTTATGACTGTAAAAAATCATCAGATCAAACTTATTCATTGTTATATTATATCAACAGATCAAAATCATCAAATCAAACTTTGTAATCATTTTGTAATATAAACAGATCATTGAAGGATTTCCTTGTGTAAATAATAGGATTGTTTTATACAAAGGTTGCACGTGAAAACAAAAAATGTGTATCATATGGATGATTAGGAAAAATATTGCAGAATATTTATTAATTGTTTTATAAATTCATAATTTTCAGTTTGATTATAGGAAATAAAAAAAAGTCTGAAAAAAGTCCAATCACTATTGTTTTTATAGAAAGCTACTTAAAGCTGTCTCTCTCACATTATTCATTTCATACTCTACACAGGGTCTTTCAAATAAAGACCCTGCTCTACACCTTTAAATCAGTAAAGTAATTTGTCATTAGTGTTACATTATGTTCTTCCATTTATTTGTTCATTTCAAAAGTGTGATTATTGTACACATATTATGTTTGATTCTCCTAATAGTTTAGACTCTACCTTTAGTTTACCATTTGCAGTGTGTAAAAGAACACTTACAATTAAAAATTATTTGAATTTTCCTACCATGGGAACTTTTTTTTCTAAAAATAGTAACACTTGTTCTGTACAAAATGGCTTAATCTATAAATAGTAACAAAGTAATAGTTTGCTCTATAAATAGTAACAACAAGAAAGTGTCATCTCCTGTGTAATTTTGCTTAATTGTTGCTATAGATTTGCTTACACCTGGCTAATACATTAATATTGTGGTGAAGTGTGCATGCTAAAATTGTTAATATATTACTATCAGAAAGCTAGGTTTCTAGTAAATAAAAAAATATTTTATAAATTTCCTAGAAACTGTTTTGATTGAAGGACATTTTATTCCATATGGATTGAAATACTGTGCATATATGTATACATGAATATCAAAAAGTAAATAAAAGTCAATCATTTCTTATAACAAAGGAGACAAAAGTTCCTAATGTTTATATGAACATCTAGACTATTAGGCATTCTCCAAGACTTTGTTATTTAATGCAATTTATTTCATATAGGCTCCAGTTAGATTCAGAATCTTTACATACATCATTGCCAAATTAATAATCTTTATAGAGTATTTTTGTCAGGTATACTGTAATATTTGAATCATTACCAACTTTATGACCCATACTGTGTTGGTGCACTGTAAAACCTAGCCCAACATTTTAAACTTTCAATAAACTGTGGTATTTTGTTATTTTAGGAAATGCCATCAAGCGCTCGTCAAAATTTTGAAGAGGGCGCTCCACGTCAGAGGAAGGGTTCAATATTACGAGCAGCATCTGCTCTGGCTGGTGGAATAGATGAACAAGAAAATGTTACATACACCCCACTTAAAGCCTGGACAAAACAACCAACAACTAAAGAACTTATTGACGATAAAGTTGTAAAGCGTGAACGATTTGGCTGGGAAGTTGACTTTGAAGACTTTGAAATGCCTTTTAAGAAAAATGTTACCAAGAAAATCGAGGAAATGGGTGGGGCAGATGAAGATTAATGTATTTGAATGCTTAGTTTAATGTTCACTTTTAAGGATGTTTGATTGTTGATATGAAATTCATCATATTCCAGCTACATTTTTCTGCTATCAGTCATTCATACATGTTGATAACATCTATATCCTGTAAGAGAGACAGATACAAAATGTGTCCAATGTGTCAGATATGTTCTGGTATTCTGTTATACATGTATATGAACTGAGCAGTATGTATTTGACAAAGTTATGATGTAAATGTATGGAAAACAAGAAATTCAAACGAACCTTTATTTTTGTCACTTGATTTTTAATATACATTGTACATATATTTCATTAAAATACTGATACTTGAATTAATGATACTTAAGGGCTATTTCCCACTCAGTATTTAACATGGATCTTTGCATTATCTATTGTAGAATATTTTTATTATGTGTAAGTGAATAAAAATATTGTTAACTATATCATATATTTTATTAATATGATCTTTTTTCTATCCTGGATACTCCTCTTTTATGAGTTTTATTTAAACAGGGCTATGTAAATATAAATTTTGTTTGTTGGTTTTTCCCTCTCATATCCATGTCTTTTCTGCTCCTTTGATCAATTTATCAGAATGATTAAGCCAAAGATTTTTAGACTGTTGTTAACCTTTCTAGCTATTAATATAAAAGTGCCTTTATCATTGAATAGCAATTTTTTGTTCGTTTAAATTCTTAGGCAAAGAATGATTCTTTATTCACCTTTGTTAAAATGCACACGACTTACCTATTGGTAACAGTTAGGTTATAATAATATAAATATTAATTAATGGTTAAAATGCCTGGTAGTGAGTTGTGTCTGTGATTGTTTATTTACTATATTAAGTATTATTGCATTAAAGAAATACATGGCTTCAAGTTCCACAGTGAAAATATCCCTGCCTGTAACTTTCAGGCAAAAACAGTTAAGCCTATAATTTCCCAATTTATTTATACACCATTGACCATTGGACTAGTGTTTTATAAGAAGTTTGTTTGTTATAGACAGCCAAATTACTTGTACAGCTTTGATATGAATAAGCTCTCATTTTTTTTTCTTCTCGATGTACAAAATGAGACTTGTATTGAAAGATTTTTTTTCTGGATACATGGTAGTATTATGAATTGAACTGCTGATGAAACAAGACAGTATTAATTCATTATTTCAATACTTCAATATTTCTATAATTGTTTTGTTTATTTATGGTCTGGAATATATGAATTTCTTGATAATGTATTGATGCAAAAAATGGTTTGGCCAAAATCACACTAGGCGAAATTGTGAATAAACCTGAATAATATAAATGTAAAAAATTCATTTTACTTGGAAAATATATTGATATAAAACTTCACTGTCAAGTTTCATACTCGGCTAAATTCTATTGTAAATAATGTAGATATTTTTATAGTGAACTATCATTTCTAACAGAAAGCTGTGATATTATTAAATGTACACATTTTTATTGAATTTTTTTTCATCATTATTTGATTGAATTGTGATTTTAGTTGTTAATTATATTGTAATAATGAGAATGTATTATTGTTACTTGAGATATATTTATAGAGTTATGTTCACATGTCATTACAGAAAAAATATATATATGTTTGGTAATTATGCACTGATTGGTTATTTAAAGTTGTGTTGTATCTGGAAATGCTGAAGATTTGAGGATATTGAGAAAGATGTTATTATATATCAATATTATGTTATAAGTTATGTGAACAATTGTCATGGTTACTGAATTAAACTATTTTCTCTGAATTATGGTTGGTTATTCTATTTTATACAAACAGATTTTTAAATGCACATGGAAATAAGTAAGGTCTTGTAATATAGTATATACATACAAAGTTGTAAACAAGACAGACAGAACAAATGAGAACAATAGAGTTCATTCCATAAAAATAGAGAGATGGGCCAATGGCCCTAAGACTATTAAACAAAAGAAAATAACAATAGAAATGGCCCATTTTCTTGATTTGTCCTACCATCTGTACAGTCATTTGAATGAATATACATGTTCATTCAGTTCAGACATGAACTTGTGGGGAAAAGGTTGCTGATGGGGTGAAAATAGGTTGCATGTGGGAGATCAAAGAAATAATCCCATATTATGTCAACTTGGGGAGACTGTCCCTCTCAAAACTTGTTCAGACTACTTAAAACCTACTGGTGCAATTTAATAACCTGTACCAAATGTAGTTGTGCATATCGTTGGCATTTCCAGTTCAATGATTTTTGTCAGAGTTATAGCCCTTTAATGACTTATTTTTAAAGTTTGTCCGCACTACTTCTCTTATAATACTATTGCAATTTGAATAAAATGTTACAGGATTGACCAGTACCTCAAGTTCCTAAGCATATATTAATAAGTTTTTTGATTGAATGATTTTTAGCTGAGATATGGCTCTTGAATAAAAGGATGCTTGGCCTGTAAACAATTTTTGTGTCACCTGCTACATAGTAGCTACAACATGATACAACGTAGCTACAACATATAGGGAAAAAATGTTCAATCACCCCTTAATAAGACTGCTTTAATTGGCTATCATCAGGTGACACATGTGATCACTGATCGCTCTTGTTTGTATACTTGACATGTGATATTATTACTACATTATTCAGTGTAATATTTAATAGGCCAGGTAGATAATTCTTGCTATATTTTGCTGTAAACCCCTCTCATTCATTTATGAAAATATTTTAATGCAAAAGTTGCACAGAAATATTTAGAACACTTTTTCATAAAAAAATCAAAAAGCTTTATTTAGGGTTAGGACAGCGGTGTTCTTTTTAAATGTTGTAACATAACTGTAGCTTGAGTGAATATATGAACCTTCTTTAAAAAATGTATTCACAAGAGAAAATGATTGATCGCAAATTAAAAATTCCTTTATGAAACACTTGGTAATGATGGTCTTACACAAACTCCTCACAGTGATTACCTCCTTTGGCAGAATTGTAATCACTGCCTTCACAGACGTCACATGATGAAAGTCACATGACGTCACATCGAAATTCAAATGTAAATATTGACCGTTTACATAGAAAATCTAACGTCATTTTTCTCTTTCTGTTTTATTTTTAACTTTTTGTACCTACGTCCGTTATATTTTATCAAAAAATTATCAAAAATATACAAAATAATGAAAAATAAATTAAAAAGCTAAAAAATATAAATATCCAAATATTGATATTTCAATGTTTGTGATGGCAGAGATCTCTGTACTGATAAGGGGAGATCACTGCGTAGGAGATTGGGTCTTACATTGCTCACCATTGAGACCTGTTGCTAGTGAAATTAATTAATTCATCAATGCAAAAGTGTAATGGTGTATTTTTGACCTTGTGGACATGATTCAGGAACCTTAAGTAAATGTCAAGTGAGCAACCCTATATGGCAAAATCAGTTGGGCTTAATAAGAAGAGCCATAGTAAAATAAGCTGTTTTATGTTTAATGTCCCTATCACAACAGTTTTATGACTGTAACACAAATTCAGCAAGGGTAGTCCATAACACAATTTCAGCAATGTCAGGGATAGCTTTTTGCCTATTTCATAATTTCAGTACGGGTAAGGATAGTTTTATGCCCATAACACAGTTTCAGCAAAGTTAGGGATAGTTTTATGCCCATAACACTTCAGTAAAGGCAGGGATAGTATTATGCCCAAAACACAATTTCAGCAAAGATAGGGATTGTTCTATATGCCCATAACACAATTTCAGCAAAGATAGGGATTGTTCTATATGCCCATAAAACAATTTCAGCAAAGATAGGGATTGTTCTATATGCCCATAACACAATTTCAGCAAAGGTATGGATAGTTGTATGCCTATTTTACAATTTCAGCAAAGGTAATGATAGTTTTATGCCCATAACACAATTTCAGCAAAGTTATGGTTAGTATTATGCCCAAAACATAATTTCAACAAAGGCAGGGATAGTCTTGTGACTTCTGATCTGTTACGCATACAATAATTGTGTTGGCGATTGGTGACAGGAGCAGCTATGACAACAGTAAAACAAGTTTTTGGTAACATTTTATTAATGACTTTGTGATCAATCTAATCTGATTCATTATCATTATACAGCTAATTTTAACAAGAAAATATACAAACCTATGTGAAACATGAATACATCACACTAACTAAATAATACATAAATGTCATAAAAATCAACAAATAACCAAACATTCTGTCTTCAAAACAAAAAGAATCTGAAACAAACTGGCCTCCACAGATTATGTTGCTACAAAAAGAAAAATGTTGACTGTTGAATACAAACAAATCAATTTTTTACTACAGCCTTTGAATTCAGTTTTTAAATTTGATAAATTTATATTATGATATCTTACCTACAAGATTTAAAGACACATTCAATTTATGGTAAGAATCTATTATATTAATGGGTAGTTCCAACTTTATGTATAAGTTAGTATATTATACAAATTATTGGAAGGTATTTAACAGATAAATGTATGGTACCGAAAATTATGTGTATTAATTTAAAGAGTTTATTTTTGCATGAATCTGGGAGGTAATATTTCAACTGTCAAGGTTCAGGTAAAATATCTGTCAGTTTTATAAAGAGGTATTGCTGTAAGAGGTTCAATAAAAAAGTTAAAATATACTATTTCACAAATCTAAAAATATCATTAAATTTGCATGGAGAAAATGGCAATGTTTCAATTATCACAGTAAGATTTTACACATTATAATAACTATTTGGAAATTATATTAAATCTACATGTTAAACTATAAGTAAAGTTAATGGCTATTTGCAAACATTGTTAGGGGTGCAACAATAATAATTTAAGCTGTTGTTTATTTTCAGTTTGCTTCTACTTCGCACAAACACAGTAAAGCTCATATGGCAACTTCTTTCCAGTTTTTCTGGTAGAGAAAGACCTCAGGTGCCCCTTTGTGCATTATTTCAGGCACAAACGGGCAATTGAGTAGAACCACCAACGTTCTATAAACTAGCTGGATAGCTCACACATGAAAGAATTCAAAGACCCTGGTGTGGATCGAATCTACAGCAGTGACGGGCAAGTGGTTTGAAGTCAACAACCTTATCCGTGGACACCCGTGGTTAAGCAATTGCCATACAGTTTAACCATATTGCAATATATATTGTGATATAATGATTGTTTAGGTAAACCAATATAAAACTTAAACTTCTGTTTTATTTTTGTGGTATATTGTTGCACCACTAACAAACATGTGTAAGAGGTACCAACTAATATTATTTTCCTACATGTTTACTAAAGATTGCTGTGTATTATTTTTGCCTATCACAGAAAAACATAATCTTTATTACATAAACAGAAGATAAAATGTTTAAATCTATACTGATACTTATTGACCACACAGCATTGTTACTTGATAAACATTATCATACATTATCACACTATAATAATAATTATACAAGTAAAAGTCTTTTATTCTGCAACAAGTATTTAATTCAGTCTAAACAGTAAGTCACGTGGTTTTTATACAAATAACACTTCCAATTTTAAGATTAAAAAACTTGTATTTTGGTGCTTCTTGATTAACAATTTTAACCCTGATGAGAGACAGACTAAAACCACCCAACGGTTTTTTTTCACTTAATTGGGAAGAGGCCTTAGCCTCTTTTGAGAAAAAAATATCACTAAAACTGCTAATTTGGGAAATAAAAAAGCTGCAGTAAGTTCAAATTCCGATTGGGAAGAGGCCTTTTATAGATCTCTGTTATATAAGGTAGAAAATCACTGCCACCGGCATTAAGCCAGGCCAGCTTGTATATCCAGACAGTCTGACAGGACTCTATTGTGTTGGCTGCTAAATTTTAAGTTATCTGATGTGTTAAATCCCTTAAACTATTAATGGTTGATTCCAATTTCATAGCAAGACAAGTCCATTACTCAAATACAAGGAGTTCATCTTATATGACACATTTAAGTCCAAAAACATGTAGTTATAAAAATATCGTTACTGCAATTAATGAAGAAGCAACAATAAAATTCTTGCACAGAGGCCAACAAATGTGTCTTAAAATAGAAGTAAGTCATATTTATATCAATGTGTTCACTATGAGCATGGGGACAACCAATAAACCTGAAAATCAATAAATACATGTATAAAATGTGTAGAAACTAGAAATGTGTCATCATGCCACGGATGCCCCCGCATGCAGCCAAAATTTCAGATGTTATAATATTCAGTTCCAAATTTGTTTGCACAAATTATTTTTTTCATTTTAAGTTCAAAGCCCTTAAAACTTTTCAATGTTAACACAAACCATTTCCATACAATGCTCAAGGCACTGAAATTATTCAGTCTTAATCTTTTGAAAATAGCATATTTCATATTTGTAGCCAAAATAATGGCTACATACATTTCCACAAAAGTATGAGTGCTGAAACTGAAAGTTCAAAATTTGTCCAACATTCAAGAAAGATAAGTTTGTCCTAAATCATTGAACCACGACCAAATTCAAACTTGAACTGCTTATTCCTAAGATGTATCTATATTATTTTCAAAGTGAAAGGGACATAACTCTGCCAAAAAATCATCGAACCATGACCAAATTCCAACTTGACCTGCCCATTCCTTTGACATATCCATATGTCAAATTTAAGTTGAATATGTAACACTGTTGGGTAGATAATGAACAGAAACTGTAAATTTCATATTATTTTCAAAGTGAAAGGGGCTTTACTCTGCCAAAAATCATTGAACCATGACCAAATTCGAACTTGGCCTGGGCATTCCAAAAACATATCCATATGTCAAGTTTGAGTTGAATGTGTTGTACCGTTAGGGAGATAATGAACGGAAACTGAAAATTTCATATTATTTTCAAAGTGAAAGTGGCAAAACTCTGCCAAAAATCATCGAACCATGACCAAGTGCGAACTTGACCTGTATTTTATCATGACATATCCATATGTCAAGTTTGAGTTGAATGTGTTGTACGGTTTGGGAGATAATGAACGGAAACTGAAAATTTCATATTATTTTAAAGTAAAAGGGGCATAACTCTGCCAAAAATCATCGAACCATGACCAAATTCGAACTTGACCTGTATTTTCTCATGACATATCCATATGTCAAATTTGAGTTGAATGTGTGCAACCGTTACTAAGATAATGAACGGAAACTGATGATGACGGAATGACAGAATGACGGAATGACGGAAGGACGGAATGACGGAAGGACGGAATGACGGAAGGACGGAACAGGGTAACACTATATACCCCGGCCATTACATGGCGGGGGCATAAAAATGGGGGTCGTCTAAAACTGGTGAGCAGAGAGTTTTCCATAAATATATGAGCCGCATCACGACAAAACCAACGTCATGCGTTTTCAACCAGCATGGATCCAGACCAGCCTGCGCATCCGCGCAGTCTGATCAGGATCCATGCTGTTCGCTATCAATTTCTCTACTTATAATAGGTTTTGTAAGCGAATGGCATGGATCCTGATCAGATTGCGCGGATGGGCAGGCTGGTCTGGATCCATGCTGGTCGCAAACCCATTATGTTGGTTTTGTCGTGACGCGGCTCATATAACAATTATCATAAATAGATAATTATTATTATACACTCATGTTTCTCACTATAAGGTAACATTGAGCAAAGGTTTATATGAAAGATTCAATGTAGACTAATATTATAAAAACGGAAAGAAATTATTTGAATACATAGAAAAATGTGAAAAATATTTTTTTGGTAATTTATGTTAAAGCTATTGGGAATATAACATAGACCACAAACAACACATGTATTTAAATAAAAATTGCTGTATTACTAACAGAATGAAATATGATTTTTTTAATAAAAAAATTAAAACGAAGATCTATTTAACCTGAATGCAGTTCTAAAAATACATGTATGCTAGATTATCAAAAATTTTTTTTTATAAAAAATCTTATTTATTATCTTTTTTAAGCCTAGAACAATCAACAGAAATCATCTATGACTTTGACATTGTTAATCATACAAAAATAATCTTGATACTGTTTTTCCTTAGATTAGTACACTAACTAATAAACATTAACACTAAACACAAGATAAACATACATGTAATTCATGTAATGCTAGCAGTTTCTCATTATTTACCAAAGAAAGCACCAATACAATACATAATTTGCAATAGTTTTCCTTTTTTAATTTCTTATAACTAAATAATAAGTCCATTTAGTGCTAATGACAGTGACAGCAACAAAATGTCTGTCACCAGAACAGGTTCATGCAGGTCTATTAAAGTTAATATTTTGATATCAAAATCCATTAATTTACTCACTGATTGTTTTTTACTATATGCAAGGCAAGGTCTACAAAACAAAAGCCAGGTTAAGTGTTAATCAAACTACATGTTGAGGTTGACCGCAAAACTGCAGTAACATATATGCAATAAAGAAGGACTTACAACAGATCTGCAGTCAACCCTCGATTTATTATATAATTAATCACTTATCCCTGTAGAATAAAGCAAGGCCGGCAATCCCCCTTGTATAACAAGGAATTAATTTAATGTCAAGGTAACAAGTAAATTTGTTGAATTTATATCCCCCCGCCGAGTACTGGTTATTATTAACACAACAACTGAAGACTTAAGGCTTTATTTATATATTAATCATGGAATAAACAGTAATATTCTTTGAACTTGATAAATATTCAGGGCAATAACAGGGCCATAACTTTGTGTTAAATAGTAAAATCTGGAAATGCCAATGAGATGTATGCATACTACATAACTAATCAAGGGCCATAAATCTGAGTTATAAGTATCCGACTGGAACAAGGCGACTATATGCACATCTCCTCTTAGTATCCAATAAAGTTTCATTGAATTTCAGCCAGTAGTAGCAGAGAAGTAGCGAGGAAACAAATATTTTTCTATATGGATACTGCATAACTAATCAAGGGCCATAACTCTGATTTAAAGTGTCTGACCGGAACAAGCCGATGATAGGCGCATCCCCTCTTGGTATTGAAGGTTCCCATAAAGTTCCATTGAATTCCAGCCAGTAGTTGCAGAGAAGTAGCGCGGAAACGATTTTTACTCCATATGCATACTGCATAACTAATCAAGGGCCATAACTCTGAGTGCAAGTGTCTGACCGGAACAAGCTGACGATATGCGCATCTCCTCATGGTATTGAAGGTTCCCATAAAGTTTCGTTGAATTCCAGCCAGTAGTTGCAGAGAAGTAGTGCGAAAACAATTTTTACTCTATATGCATACTACATAACTAATCAAGGGCCATAACTCTGAGTTAAAGGGTCTGATCAGAACAATCGGACGATATGCGCCTCTCCTCTTGATATTGATGATTCCCATAAAGTTTCGTTGAATTCCAGCCAGTAGTTGCAGAGAAGTAGTGCGGAAACGATTTTTACTCTATATGCATACTACATAACTAATCAAGGGCCATAACTCTGAGTAAAGGTGTCTGACTGGAACAAGCCAACGATATGCGCATCTCTTCTTGATATTGATGATTCCCATAAAGTTTCGTTGAATTCCAGCCAGTAGTTGCAGAGAACTACTCCGGAAACGAAATTCGGACAGACAGATGGACGGACGGACAACGCCAAAACTATATCCCCCTCCCGATTTCATTGGCGGGGGATAATAATGTTAAGTAATATGATCATTTACATAGCATTTAATTAAATCATATAATTATCTTTAAGTTCCTTTTACCCTTTGCACTAAAAACACCTAAATTTTCATGTAGCTTATAACTTTAAAACAGCAAAGAGATATTTCTTCACATCCGTATATCATCGAAAACGATAGAATCAGATGAGTTAAAAATCTACCGCTTATGTTATTTAAATGTTAGAGCTCATGATTACAATGTGGTTAAACGGTTGCAGTATACAGCTGCCTATATATTGACCCTGACAAAATATGATATATGTTAAAAATTGTGATACTGTGGCAATATTACAAAAAAATCTAATGTATGATATTTAAAGATAAAATGCGCTTGAAATAAAACAAAAATCTCTTACATTTAGAGTAATTCTTAAACATGTTAAATCAGATCATTTTGGAATTTACGCTTGAAATACAAATAAATTTCAAATAAAAGATGAGAAAATAATCTTGAGTACCCTGACATCTGTTGTAAAAAAAAAATGAGCCGTGTCACAACAAAACCAAAATAATGGGTTTGCGACCAGCATGGATCCAGACCAGCCTACGCATCTGCACAGTCTGAGCAGAATCTATGCTGTTCACTTACCAACCCTGTAACAAGAAGAGAAACTAATAGCGAACAGCATGGATCCTGATAACTGGTCTGGATCCATGCTGGTTGCAAACGCACTATGTTGGTTTCGTCGTGATGCGGCTCAAATACTCAATTGTTGCAACAAAACAAAATCAAATTATTCATTTTTTGCATAATGTCCTTTCAAATTGGAAGAACTGAAATATTTGGTTGATAAAACAACATAAACTTAAGGCAAAATGTGGAAAGCAAATTTGGCACTACAATAATAAACAATGTAGCTCTAAGGCATGTAATGTATGATTAACATCTGGATGTAAAAACATTTACAAAATTTATCAATTTATTTTTGAACTAGAGGTAATTTTTTAATATATCTGACATCAAAATACATTTGCTATAAATTTAATTTGCACTCGAAACAGCATTTTGGTTGTATAACAGCTGCCAGTTATTAAACAAGTGACACTGGATTTAGTATTTTATGTAAACCTTTAAAATATAATTTACATAGAATAGTAGTTGAGGATGAATATCATTTGACAATGTTGTCCAAGATACTTTTAGAAAAAGATGTGACCCTCAAATTTAAACCCATTAACTCAAATAATGTGGTCAGAACATTCTAGGTTTAACATATGAGCCGCTTCACGACAAAACCAACATAATGGGTTTGACACCAGCATGGATCTAGACCAGCCTGATCAGGATCCATGCTGTTCGCTTACAAATCCTATAACAAGTAGAGAAACTGATAGCGAACAGCATGGATCCTGATCAGACTGCGCGGATGCGCAGGCTGGTCTGGATCCATGCTGGTTGCAAACGCACTATGTTGGTTTTGTCATGACGTGGCTCATTTTATTTCCATTTTGATATCAATGCTCATCGAAGTGGCTGTCTGTTACAAGTGAGTGGAAAATCTAACATAAATTTTGAATCATACATGCCATGCCTTAATGAGCTAGATGTGGTCAAACAAACAATTAAATAATCCTAATTTATCACAGTCTTAAATCTCTAAAATGAAAAAAAAAATCTCTCTTGAATACAAAATTGTATAAGGTAAAAATCTATTTTACCATCTAAAGCAGCCATGTTTCTAATTAACAAAATATTTAAACTATATTTAAACAAGATTGCATTTGAGAAAAATGCTATGCCACCGCATGGTTCAAATTTCATAGCTGTACATCAAAGGACAAGAAAGTAGGTCACATCATCAAAATCTAGGTCACCTGATATCAAAGTTCAATTTTACAACTAAAACTGTGCACATGGTCAAAATGTCATTGCTGTACATCAAAGGACAAGAAAGTAGGTCACTGTCCCCTTGGGCCCAAGGGTTTAATTCAAAACAATTTTGATACAGGTCCACCAAATAACATTTCAAGTCAAATATCTAAGCTATAGCTTTCTCCCATTCAGAAAACATTTGTTTTATTTTCTGTTTTTACTATGTGTACATAATGAGAATCACTGCCCCCGGGCAGGGCCAATTTTGACACCAGGGGAAAATTTTGAACAACTTTGGTAGAGGACCTATTAATGATATTATATATCAAACACCAAAGCTCTATGCCTTGTACCTTCAGACAAAAATATTTTTTATTTTTTCACTATATGTACATAATGAAAATCAATGACCCCCGGGGCGGAACCAATTTTGACCCCAGGGCTATAATTTGAACAATCTTGCAAGAGGTTCACTACACAATGTTTCATGCAAAATATCTTAACTCTAGCCTTTGTAAATTTAGAGAAGATGATTTTTTAAGTTTTTACTATATACATAATATAAGGAAAACCTATGGCCACCCGGGGCGGGGCTAATTTTGACACAAGAGGCAAAATTTGAATAACTTTTGTAGAGTACCTTTAGATGATATTATTTAACAAATATTAAAGCTTCAAGCCTTGTACCTTCAGACAATAAGATTTATTTATTTTTTACTATATGTATATATTGAAATAAAAGACCCCCAAGGGCGGGGGCAATTTTGACCCCAGGGCTATAATTTGAACAATCTTGCTAGAGGTTTACTACACAATGTTTCATGCAAAATATCTAACCTCTAGCATTTGTCAATTGCTAGAAGAATTTTTTTTGAAGTTTTTATTATAAGTTTTTACTATATACATATAAGGAAAACCAATGACCCCCGGGGCGGGGCCGATTTTGACCCCAGGGCTATAATTTGAACAATCTGGGTAGAGGTCTACCAGACAATGCCTTGTGCAAAATATATAAGCTCTAGGCCTTTTGGGTCTTTACAAGAAGGTGTTTTAAGTTTTTACTATATGTACATATAGTGAAAATCAATGACCCCGGGTGGGGCCGATTTTGACCCAAGGGCTATAATTTGAACAATCTTGGTAAGGGTCTACCAGATCATGCCTTATGCAAAATATCTAAGCTCTAGGCCTTTTGGGTTTTTACAAGAAGGTATTTTAAGTTTTTACTATATGTACGTAGTGAAAATCAATGACCCCCGGGCGGGGCCATTTTTTGACCCCAGGGCTATAATTTGAACAATCTTGTTAGAGGTCTACCAGACAATGCCTTATGCAAAATATCTAAGCTCTAGGCCTTTTGGGTCTTTACAAGAAGATTTTTTAAATTTATTCTTATAATTCCTTTTGGTTGCCATGGCAACCAGATTTCTGCATGGAATGAAATTCTTTGAACAACTTTGGAAGCACTTCACCCAAGGAACAATCCTGCCAAGTTTGGTTGAAATTGGACTAGTGGTTTTTCACAAGAAGATTTTTTAAGTTCACTATATAATCTATATAACACACACACAAACACACACACTAACACACACACACACACACAGGTGAATCGCTATATGCCACCGCATCGCAGATGCTGCGGTGGCATAAAAATAATGTTGGGTTTCTTCATGAACTGGTATGGTAGGCATATTCAATCATACACACTTTCAGTGTAATACATCGAATGTCACTGTAGATATTTTAAATATCTTAACACATTATGACATTGTCCATTTACACATCATCTTACACATAGAAAAATGCAACATCATGGTTTAATTTGAACATTTGTAGCACACACATGTGTATAGTAAATATAGTAAGTTTTTCACAAATTTATAAAATTCCTAATTGAAAGTGTATGTTAAAATCCTGCCCCACCACGACGATCTAAAGAAGGCAACTGATAGTGCCCAAACATGTTCTTAGTCTTTGTAGTAGGGTTCTGAAATAAGAGAATTTTTGATTTTATAATGCAATGTACATCACTAGGTTGACAACATTAATATAAATATAAGATTTTTTTTGTCACAAAATATATGACCATTATCATTTTCTGACCTAATGAAACACAAAACTATATACATCTTGATCTTTTAGGACAAAAGGTGATCCTCCATAAAGATATTTTGTGACCTATTAAAAAAAGCAGTTTGGTAGAACCAAAGATATCCTACTTTTGTCAATACAGATATATTCCACAAATTGTTCATGGAAATACATTATAAACTTGTTCGATGATTCTTGACACATTTTACAGCTAGAAGCACAAGCTAGGCTTAAACAGTCTCGCCAGACCATATATTCAACACAGCTTAATTTTATTACTTTGTTACTAAAACCCATTCAACTAACATTGAATACATGTATTCAAATTCAAAGTTAGTTATAAAATTCTGTTGGCAAAGTGTAACACTATTTTGTCCTAAAACGCTTTCTGAAATCATCAACATTTCAAGCTAGGTTTTAATGATCCACTTACCTTATGTGACTTATATGTACTATTGATGCTAGGAAGTAGAGAGAGCTGATTTGATGTACTGTGTGATGCAAAGGTTGAGGGGAATGACGAGGAGTGATACGATGGGTTGATCGTACTAGCGTGGATCGGGACCTTCGGGAAGAAACTTGAATGTGTACTATTGTATGTTGTATTGTGTGGTTCACCTAAACGTCTTCGCCGCTGAAACAAAACATAAAATTTTCCTTTCTAATTTTTTCAAAATAAAATTTATGTTACTACAGTATATCACATAAATATTTGTAAGAACAGATTGAAATAGTAATTCAAACTTACTTTTACCTTCTAACAATTTTTTACTACTTTCATATCTTTAATATGAAGTAAAAAAAGTACATGTATTTAAATATTTCAATGAGAGCATAATGGCTTTGTTTAATTCCATTAATCTTGTGTTTCGCACAGGGGACATGGAACAATGGAACTATAGGTTTCAAGTCACTTCAACACTTTAATATCATATTTATGGAACTTTTCAGCTTCACAACCATGTGTCCATCCGTTCAGTATTTCAGGCCAAAGTAACATGTAACAATTAAAAACTATTGACGGAAAACATATCTATAGTCATGTTAATCTGTTAGATATTGTTTTCTCTGTGGGTTTTTTTTGCATTTGAGCCGCGTCACGACAAAACCAAAATAATGGGTTTGCGACCCGCATGGATCCAGACCAGTCTGCGCATTCGCACAGTCTGATCAGGATCCATGCTGTTCGCTTACAAACTCAATTACAAGTAGAGAAACTGATAGCGAATAGCATGGATCCTGATCAGACTACGCGGATGCGCAGGCTGGTCTTGATCCATGCTGGTCGCAAACCCATTATGTTGGTTTTGTCGTGACGCGGCTCATTTTTTTTTTCAATGTCATATAATCATACATTTTTGTGGCTTTGGATACTAAGATGGAAAAGACATTGTATGCGACCCATTGAAACTTTTCTACTACAAAATTTGATACAGTAGCTTTATGATTGTTATTATTATTTATTACAATTAGATTTAAGACATAATTAAATTACATGTGCAACCTGTGTATTAGTAAATCATCATGTGATAATATTACTCTATACAACAGAAAACAAGTAAAATTATTATTAAAGCACAATTAGACTGTGTACAAAAACTGCAGCTGTGCATGGGCAGTACTTGTTTTTCTACTGATATTGAAAATAAATAATGTCAATACATGTACATTTGTATATTCATTTTCAAAATTGACAGGTCTAATATGGCTCTTCAAATTCAAAGAACATATTGGGGTAGGGTTTTTTGTCTAGCTTTTATTGTTGTTATAGTTGTTTTTGTTGTTTTTTCTCAATAATAATGTACAAATCTTAGTTCTTTGATTACTTAAAAATTTCTTCAGCACTTTTTGCCAAATTTAAAAAAAAAAGATATTTTCTTTTGTCTATAACCTGAGATTCCTATTATTTCTCCAAAATATCAACAATCAAAAAATTGTTCTAATCCTTCAAAGGCTTCCACCACCCCTGTAAAACTTATAAATATTGGAATGACCAACAGAATTACTTGGTAGAGTTCACATGCATTTTTCTGTGAAAGTCTTTCAAAGTCCATAGTTTATTTGGCAGTAGCAGAGGGGAAAAAATGTTTGTTGTTTTTTTGTTTTTTTTTTAATTATGTATTTAAACAGCAAAGTCTTCTTTATTTCCTTAGTTTCTAGAAGGTATTAATTTATATACCATGCAGCAGACATGCTCATTACCTTAGTGCTGGAACAGGTTAAGTCCTTCTAAATGTAATAGGAGTAAACCAGTTATTGCACTAAGGTGGCGTGATATTCTGATGAGAAGTTACCATGACACCATGAAAAGTGTTTGTGTATTAACTAGATGAAGTGTAAGAACTGAGTGAGTAACTCACAGCACATCATACCTGATATACCTTTCGTTTATCTTTGAACAATTGATGTGCAGGTAAAGACTGAGGTTTTGGCAAACTTGCAATTATATGAAGTTCTGAATCTTTCTTCTTCTCCATTTTTGGAGATGGAATATTTTCTGGTTCAGATTTTGTCCCTATATTAGAACTGTCGTCTTTATCTTGAAGAATGTTAGCTTTTTTAAGAGCTAACTGCCGCTTATCAGTGTCCCTGTAAATAGAAAGTTAGTCAATTATGAAAGTCAGTCTCACGCATTTATAAATAACAAGAGGGCCATGATGGCCCTGAAATCGCTCACCTGTATATAGGCCCCCGGGGCGGGGCCAATTTTAACCAGGGGGCTTTTATTTGAACAAACTTGGTACACACCCATTTGAAGATGTTTCATGATAAATATCTAAGCTCTAGCTGTAAGAAGATTTTTTAAGTTTTTACTATACACATATAGGGAAATCAATGACTCCCCCCCCAACCCCCACCCCCCTCAGGGCAGCGCAATTTTGTCCCCAGGGCTTTTATTTGAACAAACTTAGTAGTCACTCACTAGAAGATAGTTCATGCTTAATATCTAAACTCTAGGTTTTTACCATATACATATAAGGAAAATTAATGATCACCGGGGCGGGGTCAATTTTAACCCCACAGCCCTTATTTGATAGACACCCATTAAAAGACGTTTCATGCTAAAAACTTAGCTCTAGCTCTTAGGGTTTTTTAAAAGAAGATTTTTTAAGTTTAATTTTGACCCAAGGGCTTTTATTTGAACATATTTGGTAGACACCCACAAGAAGATGTTTCATGCTTAATATCTAAGCTCTAGCTATTTGGGGCTTTTAACAGAAGATTTTTGAAGTTTTTACTATATACAAATAAGAAAAATCAATGACCCCCTGGGGCGGGGCCAATTTTGACCCCAGGGCATTTATTTGAACAAACTTGGTAGACACTGACTAGATGATGTTTCATGCAAAATATTTAAGCTCTAGCTCTTATGGTTTTCTGAAAGAAGATATTTTAAGTTTATTCTTTCGGTTGCCATGGCTACCTAAGGAACAATCCTGTGAAGTTTGTATGAAATTGGCTTAGCGGTTTATGAGGAGATGTCGTTTAAAGTAAAAGTTTATGGAAGGAAGCCGGACGAAAAGCGATCACAAAAGCTCACCATGTCACTTTGTGACAGATGATATAAACATAAAACTTTACACTGAAATAAAAACATACAATATATCATGCCACAAAAAAATGTCTTACATCTAGTATAATAAACTACAGTGAAACTCTGACTTATGGGCACTTCATTACTAAGGACTTCACGCTATTCAGAGCATTTTTGAAAAAAAAAAAAATGACATTTGAACAATGTATTTAATTAGTAACTGATTAATTTTTATATAATTTTTTACAATAAGTTATTTTGACAGTTAATTTTTTTTTCATTTACAAGCTTACTAACAATTTTTTTCCCCTTAATGTCATAGAATGTCAAAATTACTTATGTACATTACGTATATTTAATGCATCTCCAAACTTAAACTGGCCTTAATTTTATAAAAAAAATTCACAAATCTGACTCAAATCTCAGAATTTTTCTTGGTCAATATTCATTCTGTTCTGGTTTCTGACCAATCAAATGCCTGAGATTGAGCAAAGAAATATTGACAATAACCTGGGCCCCGTCACATTATCTCAAGAGATTCATCATACTACAATTACATGTTACTTAAAGCTGAGTTCCTAGAAATATGAATGTCTCAGAGCGTGTTTAGATGTTATTTACCTGAGTTCCTTGAAATATGAATGTCTTAGAGCATGTTTAGATGTTATTAACCTGAGTTCCTTGAAATATGAATGTCTTAGAGCATGTTTAGATGTTATTAACCTGAGTTCCTTGAAATATGAATGTCTAAGAGCATGTTTAGATGTTATTAACCTGAGTTCCTTGAAATATGAATGTCTTAAGCTTGTTTAGACATCACTTACCTGAGTTCCTTGAAATATGAATGTCTTAAAGCTTGTTTAGACATCACTTACCTGAGTTCCTTGAAATATGAATGTCTTAAAGCTTGTTTAGCCGTCATACGCTCATCAGGGTCATATGTACACAATTTGTTAATAAGATCTATAGAATCTGTACCCGCATGTGGTAACAATCTCTCAATACCCGAACCTTTCTTTGTCGGAAAATTGAAATTCATTCCTCTAGATCTGCAAAACATATGAAATACATTAATACACTTATTTCAAATATGGAGTGAAAAGGTTTTAAACTCCCTCTCAATATTCTGTTTTGAGAATAAAAGAAGTTCTTTAAGTTATTGTTTGTTTGGGTTTTTTTAGGAAATTAAATAATGTTTACATATGTTTTCAAAAATATTTTCTCAAAAGAAGTTAAAGTTTCATAATTTAATTATCTCCCTTTAATTGTAAAATTTCCACTTCAAAAGAAATACATTGTATCAATTAGAAATAACGAAAAAAACTTACTTTTTAAATTTGTTGAGAACATTGGGTTCTGGCGTTCCCATGATATCATGTATTTTGGCTATCTGATCAACCTCATTTGAACCAGGAAATAATGGATGTAGGCTGAAATAACATATTATATAATCTTTACCAAGAAGAACCACAAATTTAGGTTTCACATATCATTATTCTATTATCAAAAGGTATGCCATCTGTTTATATGATATTGTCTATAAAAATACAATGAACACTGAGTGTAGTCTTACGTTTAAAGCTGCATGCCTCCAGATCAACCAAAATATTTTAAGAAAATCAAACTTGAGAAAAATGTACTAGGATTTTAAGAAAGTGAATAATTATTCAAAATTCAAGTAATAATTTATTTGCGATTAATAACTGATTTTGAATATTTATCACCAAATTGCTACATACTGCACAATGCAATAAGGGCTATTTTTGCATATTTTGACCTCTTTTTGGTAATTTATTGGATTGTAAATGCTGTTTGCAATGAGTAAATTACTTTCCTTGTTCACTTCACAATATTTTACTTTTAAATGCATTTTCAAAATTTTCATGAAAATTAGCATGAATCTGGAGGCATGCTGCTTTAATCAAAATGTAATAAGTTCTTTACAGATGTAAGATAATAAGTAAGTCTAACAAAGCAACCAAATTTAAAATCTTTATTATTCATTATTATAGTGTATTAAAAATAAAAGGTATGCATAATATTATATCTACCTACGCCAACTTTTTTTTAACTTGAAGTGTTTATAAATATAATTTCAATTCCAAAGAATGGTGTTTTTAAATACAAGAGTATATAGATGTTATAATAAGAAATTACCTAAGAATTTCAAAGAACACACAGCCTACACTCCACATGTCCATCTTATAAGTGTAATACCCGTCAGTGAGGAGACATTCCGGTGCACGATACCATCTTGTAGATATATACTCCGTGTAAGGCTGCTTAGAATAAATGCTGCGACATGAACCAAAATCTGCCAACTTTAACAAATCCTCCTGAAATAAACATTATTTGAAATTTAAACAAGAGCTGTCAGTAGGACAGCAACGCTCGACTATTCTTAGTGCTTGATAGTAAGAAACTAGAAATGTGTCCATAGGACACGGATGCCCCCACACGCCACTGTTCTGTCAATCTTATGACTCTAGGTCAAATATTTTTTGGACTACATGTGCCACAAGTTGAAAACTAAAAATCAACAAAGGGCCATAATTCTGTTAAATTTGGTCGCAGCAAAAATTCCTTCCTTTACTACAATCTACACCTTAAGGTTGTTCATCCCTGTAAGTTTAAGCAAAATCTGCCATCCGGTTTAAGAGGAGTTGCGTTCACAAAATTTCTACATAGTATATAGTGAAAAAATCAACAAAGGGCCATAATTCTGTTAAATTTGGTCGCAGCAAAAATTCCTTCCTTTACTACAATCTACACCTTAAGGTTGTTCATCCCTGTAAGTTTAAGCAAAATCTGCCATCCGGTTTAAGAGGAGTTGCGTTCACAAAATTTCTACATAGTATATAGTGAAAAAATCAACAAAGGGCCATAATTCTGTTAAATTTAGTTGCAGCAAAAATTCCTTCCTTTACTACCATCTACACATTAAGGTTGTTCATCCCTGTAAGTTTAAGCAAAATCTGCCATCCGGTTTAAGAGGAGTTGCGTTCACAAAATTTCTACATAGTATCTAGGGAAAAAATCAACAAAGGGCCATAATTCTGTTAAATTTGGTCACAGCGAAAATGCCTTCCTTTACTACCATCTACACATTAAGGTTGTTCATCCCTGTAAGTTTAAGGAAAATCTGCCATCCGGTTTTAGAGGAGTTGCGTTCACAAGATTTCGGGAAGTACGGACGGACGGACTGACGGACTGACGTATTGACGGACTGACGGACGGATGGACAAGTGCAACGCTATATGCTCCCACATTGTGAGGGCATAAAAATGCTTGATACAATTACCTTCTCCTGTTTACAGGTTGGGGTAATGATGGTGAACAAGTGTGCAAAGTTTCAAAGCCATATATCAATGGACATTGAAAATATTTGAACTATTACAAAAACTTTAACGTAAATTCTAAGTCGAAAAAGGAGCATGATTCTGTCAAAATGCTTGATACAGTTACCTCCTCCTGTTTACAGGTTTTGGTCATGATGGTGAACAAGTGTTCAAAGTTTCAAAGCCATATGTCAATGGACTTTGAAAATATTTGAACTATTACAAAAACTTTAACGTAAATTCTAAGTCGAAAAAGGGGCATAATTCTGTCAAAATGCTTGATACAGTTACCTCCTCCTGTCTACAGGTTGGGGTCATGATGGTGAACAAGTGTGCCAAGTTTCAAAGCCATATGTCAATGGACTTTGAAAATATTTGAACTATTACAAAAACTTTAACGTAGATTCTAAGTCGAAAAAGGGGCATAATTCTGTCAAAATGCTTGATACAGTTACCTCCTCCTGTCTACAGGTTGGTTTCATGATGGTGAACAAGTGTGCAAAGTTTCAAAGCCATATGTCAATGGACTTTGAAAATATTTGAACTATTACAAAAACTTTAACGTAAATTCTAAGTCGAAAAAGGGGCATAATTCTGTCAAAATGCTTGATACAGTTACCTCCTCCTGTCTACAGATTGTGGTCATGATGGTGAACAAGTGTGCCAAGTTTCAAAGCCATATGTCAATGGACTTTGAAAATATTTGAACTATTACAAAAACTTTAACATAAGTGGTTACGCCGACGCGGACACCAACGCCGACGCTCGGGTGACTACAATAGCTCTACTTATTCTTATCGAATAGTCGAGCTAAAAATTGTTTTCATTAAACAAGGGTTATCTTGAAATTCTTGCAAACTTCATCATATTAGACACTGTGAACTATTCAATTTAACTTGACCAGCAGACAATTCTGCTAGAAGAATTAATGCCAAGTATGGGATCAATTTTCAGATTTTCTAGATATTGCATGTTTTTAAACATATTTGTATTAAGGTTTGGTATGAATAACTATTGACTTTTTGCAAAAGGAAATTGCAATTACTGAAAATTTATGTTCTAGTAACTGGATGCAAAACATGAAAGTTACTTAAAGTAAAGCTACACTACATGTACCTACTGTATGGCCTATTAATGTATATATGAAAATACATATGTATAAAGGACTGGTATACTGAAGAAAATAGTAATTTTTAAATCCCAAAGTTCTAATAAATATAAAAGTCATAAACAGAAATAAAACAAACTTTAGTATACCTTTATAAGGATATTTTCAGGTTTAACATCCCTGTGAAAAATGCCATTTCTGAAATAGAATATGTCAATGGTGCAGAAAATATGCTGAAATTTAACAAAAATTAAGCGTTTCTAGATTCCTATACAAATCACTTGAAAGCTTAAAACAGTTTTTAAATAAAATTTTTGATTTATATAATTTTTAGTACATTAATTGTTCAATGAATTTACTTTAACAATATATTTGAGAGGGGGGAGGGGGGTAATTAAAGATTTTTATATATTCATGATTAATGAAATCCTAAGAGAAAAATATTTTTTATGATGTATGTATAGTAAGTACCATAGTTGTAAGGTAGTATCAGATAATTATTTAAAAAAAAATTAGCCTATCTCTAAGTTATATGAGACAGGATAGGGCACCTTGATTAAGAATCACAAATATTTTGTATAAACCATCCAAATGGCTTCCACATCCTGGCATAGCAGGATCTGAAACCACTGTAATGACTAAATGCATAAAGGACCACAATCATTACAGGAAAGAAGCCCCATATAAATTTAAATAAATAAAATTAATCAGTAACATCAATATACATGTACATGCAAATAAATGAATTAATATGTGCGATACAGAAGAAGCCAGAATTGAACTGAAAATTAAATAATATATAAAAAGTTATAGAACTTGAAAACAAATATGATAAAAGAGTAAAAATATTCAAGAAAAATAGAATTATATGTAATACACAATCTTTGTCAAGTTGACAGTCAAACAGGAAGTTAGCAATGTTAAGACAGATGTTTAGTAAGCTTTGGCAGAAGAAAAAACAAGTTTACAAGAACTTAATTGAAAATCAAAAACTTCTAAATCATAAACAGGCCACTTGTAATGCTACTTAATTTGGAAACTTAGTCTGAAATATGGTTTACCTTCTTAGACAGAAATAAAATAATTGTTTTTCTAATATATACTAATGTGTGCATTTTCAACAACTTTAAACATTAAAGATATCAAATTTTCCAGATTATGTGTAATTTTGACAAAATATTCATAAACAATAAACTTCAGTTCAATCAAAGGATTAAATAATACAGTTACAAACACTTAAACAAAAAAGTTCATTAAGTACATATTGGAACAGTTTCAAAGATACAAACTATGATGTGAAGATAGGTATATTTTCAAGGTCAACATGTGAAACAGTCATTACTTATATATCACATTCACACCAAAATATCATGCAAATATATATCATTGTTGCTCTTTGTGAAAGATCAAGATCCTTTAATTTAAGCTATTTTTTGGGCTTATTTCTTCTGTGTAGACAGTTTCATTGAATTCTATTGCACAATTAAAAGATGTGGCGCATTAAAATTCCTGTAATTCTTAACCTGTAAATACCCAATATAGCCTTTATAAGCAATACATGCAAACTTTGCAAACTTCATGCTAAATATCATAAAAATGCAAATGTTAACTTACAACTTAAATTTTTGTTTTAAAAAATTGGACAATACAGGGAAAATAATTATATTTTTATTAGAATTTTCAATTCAGAATATTTAACTCTTAGCTTGCTGGTGGCACTTGAATCTAACCATGTGACCAGAATCTTACCATGTGACAAGAATCTTAAACCATGTGACCAGAGTCTAATCATGTGACCAGAATCTTAAACCATGTGACCAGAATCTAACCATGTGACCAGAATCTAACCATGTGACAAGAATTTTAAACCATGTGACCAGAATCTTACCATGTGACTAGAATATAACCATGTGACCAGAATCTAACCATGTGACCAGTATCTTACCATGTGACCAGAATCTAACCATATGACCAGAACTTAACCATGTGACAAGAATCTAACCATGTGACCAGAATCTAACCATGTGACAAGTGCAAACTAAGATCATGACCTGGCACTGTTTTTTTTTAAATTTTCCCCTAAAATGATGAGGTTCTGTTGACAAGTCCATTTAATATATTAACATAGGTATGGGTTTATGGGGTAATCATAAAAAAGTCATACAAGGCAGTGCCTGTATCACATATTTGAAAATATCTATTAATGGATAAGGGACCAAAAACAAGAGTTGAACAAAACTTTATAACTACTGTGATATATGACAATGTTTGTTCTCCACTCCCCCTGTTGTAGATTATTTCATCTTTTATTTTTAATCATATTTCATTGAAAACATGAATAAATTTCCAAAATAAAAATATACATACTAAGGTTAGAAAGATAAAGATAAACAGAACGATATATAAAGGGGAAAAGCTAAAAGGCTGGTTAACATTATTAACAGTCCCCTGAATGACATAATATATTTTGGTATTTAAACTGTTAGCGGACATAATAAACTTGTGGTATAGGGCATTATGTATGGTAAACTTAAATGTTGAAGAAAGAAAACAAAATGGAGGTAACATTTGGTCAAGTCATACAATATCCTAAACAACTCATCTGACTTTGCTAAATCCAGCTAAATTATGTCATAGACCTGGCATATGTTATAATCTGCAACCAATATCTAAGGATTATAACACTTTACAAACAATACAATAACCAATCATAAAAACCATTCTGACCTTTAAACCTTGTCCATTCTTTGTACTGGTCAAGTTAAATAAAGGTATTTAAAAATCTGTCAGCGATTAAAGTCATATTGCATAAAGCTTGATGTACTTAATTTTTTACCTTATATCTTAAACACATGCTAAATATATATTCAAACTTATAAAGCATGTATAACTTGAACTAATTCTGTGCTTAGGTCATAGACCACTAAATCCCAACCTGCCAAATATTAAAAATTACATTTGTAATTATTTAATGTTCATTTGGCTAAATTTAACTGAAAGGATTGTTATTTGGAAACATCTGTTGATTTAGTAACAATTCTTATAATAATCTCTGTCAGTCTAACTGATAATGTATCGAAGCAATACCAAATCATATTGTAAGAATTTCCTGTTGGGCATGTAAGTTCCATAAAAATTGCCATTTTGTCTTTTGTTTCTACCAACTTAATCAAGTTAATATTGAATTTTCTATACATGTGAAATTCCCAGTTAATTCAACAGCTCTGCCACAATAAACATACTGGGACCTAGATATGTGCATGCTGTTTTACTAAAAGACCTTACAAAAGCAAACATTTTGATCAAGAAAAAAATAGATCTACTCCGGTGTAATATTTGGTGTATTAAACTTTGAGGGTTAATACAAAACAACTAAATTTCTATAGTTTGAAGGATATAGTTTGTCAAGTATAAAAATACTTTCCGCAGCATGAGACTGTCATATAATGTCTCTATCTAAATATATATTTCATTTACTCTTCAACCAAACATATAACAATTACTGTCTAATAAACTCAGAAACTCAAAGTTTTTGAGAAATGAAGCTGACCAATGTTACCAGAGGTCATGATAATTATAGATTCAGTCTTTTTTTCTTTTTGAAAAGTGGGGCCAAAAACATGACTAACTATTAAGCATGGCCTCTGTAAGTACAATTTTAGAATTTTAACCCTTAACTTGCTGGAACCAAATCTTTGCTGCCTGTTATTGAGCCAGTCTTACCAGGCTTTATACTGTTGGCTAACTAACTCCCTGAAATCCCTAAAATTAACAATGAACTGTTCCAAAAATTTAAGCTGGACTGTTGAAGTCCATTTAAGAAATTCAGCAGGTTAAAGGTTAATGAATATATGACATAAGCGTTAAACAAGCGAGCCTAAGCAGCAAGGCACACCACCAGTATCAGCACTGCTCACCAATGTTACCCCTCACCTATGCATGTGATCTACAGATTTACATAGCTGATACATGTACTTCTTCACCATATACTCTGGCAACAGGTGGCGCTTTCCTAACAACAACAACAACAATAACAAAGTTTTATTTTTATTTAACACATCTAAACTATTGTTTCTTCCATTTGTATAGATGTTTTGTTTTACATTTCAATAATTGCCAAAGTTTTTTTTATTTATTATGTTTCTTTTTATAGAACCCTTCCTTATAAGTTGCTGTTTTCTTATATGGGATTTAAGAAATAGTTAAGAACAGTAATCCTAACCTTTCATTAGATACATTGTGAATTACATTTCATGCAGAGGTGAAGAATAAATACTACCTAAGCACAAAAAAAATAAAGCTGGTATAAAATCAAATGAATCTAAATGTTAAAAAGTTTTTTAAACTCGTGACTTGAATTAACGATAGACTACCATGTCCAACTTGTTTAAAATAATCAAGACTAATTTTAGAAGCAGACACTGATCACCAAATTTCTGCTAAAAAACAACATTTAGAAATAAAAGAAAACTAAATAAAATTGACCCTGCTTAAACAATGTAAATATGAAAATGTCATGTTTTGATAAATTAAAAAAAACCCAACCTGATGGGAAGACCCAGAGCAGTTAAAAGAGAAAAGTGGTAAAGTGACTAATGAGAGATAAGTTGGATATAAGTGCAAATCTACTGGTAATAACTACACTCGGAGTGATACTACAGTAGCTAAGTGGTTGGTGGGTGGGGTGCTATATTTTCTCTTACCTATGCATGTGCTCAACTGATTTACACAGTTGATACATGTAATTTTTAACTTTTCTTTCTGGTAAATAGTGCCGCTTTCCTAAAATTCATTATTTGAAAAATCACATTTGTGTTTTAGATTATTATAAAGATATACTTGTGTATGCCTGTTTCACGAGACAAAATCATGGCACTAACTGTAGTTTTGGATTTTCCGAGAATAAGTCTTTATATTTCTATGTATTTCTCATGACCCTAGTATGCATCTTTAATATTGTATCTATTTTTAAATGAATAGTTGTAGACTGGTAAATGTATTTTATTTACTTTTAATAAGAATATAAATATTTGCAGCATAATTTTATTTACTCATACCAACAATGTTGTTTATATAGATCTTAAATATGCAAATCTAACAACTAATAGCATTTAATTTATTCGTGAAAAATGTTCCATTTTATCTTAACACTAATATAATGTTTTATACCAGAAGTATGTGTAGTCTGAACTAGCTCCAAGCAATTTTGTGCTTAATTTTCCTCTTAATTTATACTGAAATCCCTTACAATAACAATGGACAGGCCCAAATTCAAAAAAGGACCAGTCCATTATATAAATTCAGCAAGGGTAAGGGCTAAAACTAATATGACTTGCTAGTATAGACAAGTTTCAAAAGTCAATAAAGACATCATTGAAAAGTATTATCCTATTTCAAAAGGTGTATCGAATTCATCAAAGTGCACCATTCGCTCCTCAAAAGAATCTTTTAATCAGCATTATTCATGTGACATTTAATTAACTTTTGGCATTTTTCCTGAACAGTTTGATGGTAACATGAAGAATCAATGTATGTTTTGTAATTTCATCAATAATTCTGTACTTCCCACTTTTATTATTGTCCAAAGTTTCTAAGAAAACTGGAATGTGGTAACCTAGTTCCAATTTTGAATCAATACCTTGTTTGTTTTGTTTGGCCTGTATCCGTGGACCAATTTTCTGTACACATGTTCAATAATTAACATTAGTTACACATGCATTATTATAATATCAATTTCGAACCAATCATTTTCTCTTCTTACAACCCTATTTTTTCTTCATTCACGAGTACAATAAAGTTCTTAATTATTCACTTTTTTGTATTTAGTATCAATCTAATCGTTAAAACCATGAATAGAGCATGTATACTTTTGTTTCCATAATTGAAATATCTTTTGTGTAATAACGAGACTTTGGTCCCTTTATTTCTATTTGAGTCAGATATTTACTTTTGTTGAGCTTGTTTAGTTTAATGTATTTTACTGATAATCTGAAGAGTGATAATAAATATGGCTTTAAAATGTTACCAATATGCAATGTCAAATTAAATGTATGATACGAAATAAATGATGATCCATTCAATATCAGGACACTTATGTTTAATGCTACATAAGTCTACATTTTTCAACGGGTCTTGATCAAATATTATGATTTCTTGTATTCTTTGATTTGTACTGATAAATGTTTCGTTAAATATTTGACAATGAACTTGATATACATGTACAGTCATAAATATCTCATAGAAAGCACAAATACAACTTGTCTTACTTTGCTAATAGAGAATAGGTTTATTGTACATGTATGTGAAGATAAGTTTTTAAAAGATTTCTTTCAAGTGTGTATGTTTTTTTCCCTTTTACATTATTTTTTTTAACCAGTCTGCTTTCTGAACATTCAATTAGGCTGGTATAAAAAAACCTCAAAGTTTCTGTAAATTTTTCTTACAACAAACCAGAACATTTCAGTTGTGTTCATTAGCACAAGTTAATAGTTTATACTGAATTTAGTTTAGTTTGATTGTGTAGGAAGCTATATACACACTCTCAAATCCGTTCCTGGGACCAACCAGTACTGAGAAATGAGTGTAGTTTCTTGCTGAAGAAAAAACAATGGCTTGCCAATGAAAAGGTTTGACCCACATGGCTAGCAATCTTTAGATAACTAGTCTGGCATGTTGACCACCCAGCCATAGTAGGGTAGACTGTACTTAACTACCTCAAACTTTTATAATTTTACAATATTAACCATCAGAAACATGACAATTTTTACATTTTGTGAAATAAAAATTTAAGAAGGGAAAATGTTCACTTGCCTCTTATCAGCTCATAAATATTCATATCCATCAGCTCACATATCAGGACTAGAGTACCACTTTTCTTGTCACTGTAATCATAAAATGGAGAAATTCAATAAATCTATTAAACATATTAAAATGAAATATATGTCTCTCCATATGTACTTGAAAAATATCTAAGTACTTTAAAATGCTTCTGGATGGATTTGACAATTTCTAAAGTATTTACAACCACCTTGATAAAATACAAGCTTTATAATGTGAAATTTTTGTAATATCACTTGCATAGTTTATCATATGAGCAGCGTCACGACAAAACCAACATAGTGTGTTTGGGAACAGCATTGATCCAGACCAGCCTGCGCATTCGCGCAGTCTGATTAGGATCTATGCTGTTCGCTGTCAGCTTCTCTACTTGTTATAGGGTTTGTAAGCGAACAGCATGGCTCCTGATCAGACTGCGCGGATGCACAGGCTGGTCTGAATCCATGCTGGTCGCAAACGCACTAAGTTGGTTTTGTCGTGACGCGGCTCAATTATCATGTGTATTCTTCTTCAATGAACTCAACATGACCAGTGACTTTTACAGAAGATAGTCCAATACACTATCTTGCTGATAATTTGAGGCAAGGGGTCTAAAGCTGCTTGACTGACCTGATAACATATTTCAAGAAAATCAACCTTGAGAAAAATGTACTAAGATTTTAAGAAATGTAAAAATATTCAAAACTAAAGAAATATTTTACATATTATATACCATTAATGACTGATTTTTAGATATTTATCACCCTATGTCTTCTGTATTATTAACACAGTAAGGTCTATTTTTTGCTGGACAATTATATTCATAATTTTAGTAGATTTTATGTGAAAATTATTTTCTTGTTCACTTGACAATATTCTACTTTTCATCAAAATTAGCATGAATATGGAGGCATGCTGCTTTAAGTTCCACTGACACAATATAAAGGTCATACGGTGACTTTCAACTTTTATTGGATGAGAAAGACCTCGGGTGCCTCTCTTTGCATTATTTAGACAACATCAGTCATTTGAGTAGAAGGGCAATTTAACCTTCTTAAACCTAGCTAGATTGGTTCTTCACATAAAGAATTAAAGACACTGGCTGTGATAGTGGTGAAAAAAGTCAAGACTTAACAAATTGTTGAAGACTGCCCTTTGCTAATAAAGATAATACATTTAATACTTAATCTTATAAGAGACATTATGTACTATAAAAATCTTTTTCCTTTTTAACAATATCAGAGCAACCAGATTCTTTTTTTTCCCCATTTTTCAGCAGCCATTAGTAGTATATGATAATCAGTGCCAGAAGAACTAGGTCTTACAGAATTAAAGTCCATGGACATGAATGAAAACAAGCAAGTCTCCATATTAAACATTTCTAACATTTTTCATCTAACTAAACTCTGCTATGAAAACTAGTTAAATATCAGCAAGTTATCAATAAATTTTCATAACCAAGGCTTATGTTTATAAGCTTTTGGTTTTATGCTTTATCTGCTTAAGCTTTAACTTATCTAAGATCTGTGTGGCACTCTTATACAAAATAAATATTAATGTAGCAATTACAATCCTGTAAATATATTTATATTGTTTATTAAATACATTTATATTATATAAACAATCTGTTGTTTTTTCAGAAGGTAACAACATTTAACTTAAGTGTTCAAATACAATTTGTATGGACAACAACTATGGGAAATCTTTGTCTTGACATACTATTCCTACACTACAGTATATAGCCTATAAAGTAAACAAGGGAAAATTGCAATAAAAAATACTAGTACTAATATAATTTTAAATATGAAAAACAATACATGTATTTCATAGTACAATGCATAATTATACCAATCAAACAATTTTTCACTGAAACCATAACAGTTTGAAACTTTTCTGGCAACATTAAATGATCAATTAATTACAAGCTCTTCTTTCAGAGATAAATTGAAAGTGGCCACAAAATAACCTAACAGTAACTTCTGTACAGGTACTTTTGAGTGAAACTGAGATTTTTAAAGAGACTTTATTCTCAAATTTTCTATTTAAACTGTACCTAAGATCTAGTGTAAAATTCCTAACATAATAAATCAAATGATTATTTACCAATAACCCTTATTCTCTTATATTTCATAAATCCTAAAACACACCGTAGGGAACGTGTTACAGTATCGCCTTTTTCGGTTACAGTATAGAATTTTCAAGATGGAGGATTATTTATGGGAAAAGATGTAGGTGATTTTTATTCAGGTCCATACTACTAGTAGTTTAGTTTCTAAAAGATGTTTTTGTGCTTTGCTTGTAAGGAACAGAATCCGGTATCTAGTCATATATTTCTTCAGACCCTGCACTGCAGATTTATCTCTATATTGTCTCATAAATGTGCAGATTTGAAGGTTTAAAAATTTGAATCGGGAGACCAACGCATTTTTTCCCCATTCCGACATTATTTAAGCATGCCTAGATAAAGTAAATCTACAAAACGTTAGTCCTTTGTGTTTAGAAACGTTTATAAAAGTAAATGACCAGTTGAACCTATTTTCCTGTTGGTAAAATGCGTTTGAAAAAATAAACAATGTTACAGTATAGAGCGAGGTTAATTTTGAAGGGTTACAGCATAGACCTAGCGACTTTGATACAATTTTGTTACAGTTTATACCCAGATTTCGGTTACAGTTTAGATACTTGCCAAATTTCAAACAAAGTTCGTGTATCCATTATTTTTATGAAATAACTCATTCCTTTCTATTTAATACATTCTTGAAAGGTTGTATTACTTTTTTTCTTCAGCAGAACAGTTATAGTTTGCTATTTTTTTTACTTTAAGTTTCAGATTGAGACTTTTTGCAGAATAAGTAATGTCCTAAGTAAGGACTGTTTTCACGACAACAACAGTAACTTTTATCGAATTGTATTGAGGGAAGAAAGATTATTGCTTGATTTCATTACACATTATAATAATGCCTATTAGTAATAAAATAGAGAAAAAAGATTCCTTAACAGAAGTCCAACACGGAAAACATGAAAATGTTGCAGGATCAGTTTTGATTAAACCTGTTCATGGACGGTAGTGGTAACTGCAAGCTACCGTCCAAGCCGCCTAGCACCGGCTTCAGCAGAATTTACATTAAACATGAACTGGTACACTTTAGATTTTTTAACATCTGTGGATGTGTTCATATGGCGGTTATCATGGAATCTTCAATGTGACACGTTATTGCCATTCTATGAAAAGCGGCATATTAGGTTAAAAATTTCGTGTGCCCTAAAGAATACAATGAGTGAAACTAAATAAAATGAAATTTTGAGAGGGGATTGCATGTTATGAAGCCTGCATACCATAGATAAGCTGTCAAAAGACACAATTGACAAGAGGCACTACCCTAAGAATGATTAAACAGTATTTGAGTGAGCAATGTTTCAACCTTAATTTTTATTTTAAGTTGGAATTTCCATCTACCATAATGTATTTTGTAAGTATTTAAAAGGGTTTGTTACGTTTGGCTTTCTTGGATTTTAAGTTTCAACGACACTGAGGTCATGTGAAAACATTCCTGCTATAGTGTAAAGAAAGACCCCAGAATCCCTTTGGGAAACATTTCAGACACGAGTGGGCACTTGACTAGATCCACCGACCTTCCGTAAATTAGCTTGATAGATTCCTCACATACAAAGAATCCAAAGTCATGACTGGATTTCAACTACAGCAGTAAATGAAAGATAATTTGAAGGCGACGGCCTTATCCCGACTCTGCCACTTTTGTGTACCTCCATCAGGCTCACTATAGAGAAGATATTGTAATTGTCTGACCTTAATTTATGCTCTATAACTTTCAATATTATTTTCTTTTTCAGAAACATGAAAACTGCTATACAGAATGTCTGAAATAAGAAAAAACGACTTTTTATTAAATAATGACAAAATAATCGTAAATTTAACAAAGAAGCATTCGAAATGACGCCATGATCATGATTTGATTTGAATGCTTTTAGTTCGAGACGAGAAGGGTCTTTAAACATTGCCTTTTTTCAAAATCTATAATTTGGGTTTTCGTATCCCCGATTGCAACCGAAACCATTTGAACAACTAATTGGTAGAAAGTCATGTAAATTTCATCACATTTAGTCAAGTAGTTACTGAGCGGATGATATAGAACACACATGTGTACGACAGACGGACGAATAGCCATCGGGCCAATAAGCTCACAGAGATTTAAAAGTCTATGTAACATTCATACATTTTACCTAGTATATATAGAAAATATCGAAGTCTAAACTGTAACCGAAATCTGAGTATAAACTGTAACAAAATCGGATAAAAATCGCTAGGTCTATGCTGTAACCCTGCACAAATCACCCCGCTCTATACTGTAACATTGTTTATTTTTTCAAATGCATTTAACGAACAGGAAAATAGGTTCAACTGGTCATTTACTTTTATAAACGTTTCCTAACATAAAGGACGTACGTTTTGTAGATTTACTTTTTCTAGGCATGCATAAATAATGTCGAAATTGGAGAAAAATGCGCTGGTCTCTCGATTCAAATTTTCAAACATTCAAATCTGCATATTTTTTAGACAATATAACGATAAATCTGTGGTGCAGAGCCTGACGAAATATATTACTAGGTACCGGATTCTGTTCCTTACAAGCAAAGCACAAAAACATCTTTTAGAAACTAAACTACTTGTAGTATGTACCGGAATAAAAATCACCTACCTGTCCTCCCAACAAATTATCCTCCATCTTTAAAATTCTATACTGTAACCGAAAAAGGCGATACTGTAACACGTTCCCTACGGTGAAAACACAATAAAACACAAAAACAAACTTACAAAATGACCTCCTCAAGTTCAAGGATGTTGGCATGGTTTGCCAGTCTCCTCATAGCTTGAATTTCTCGTAAATTATTTACTTGATCCAAACTGAAAATAAAAAAATAACAAAAATTATATAAAAATATTTAACTTTATTTTGACAACTTTTATAAAAGTTGTAGTTCCAGCTATAATGAAAAACATACATGTACAAAACAATTTTATATATTGAATAGTGAATACCTTATCTACACATGAGCATTACTTTGAGCAAAAACTCACTTTCAGGGGCAGATAACTCAAAAAGTAGAATGGTGACCCCCCCCCCCCCTATTTATTTTCATTAATTTGTTTCAATCATGATTCACTGTAAATTTTCCTACTTGTATTTGTAAAAACAATACACTACTACCAGAAACATCTATAACAAAACAAGGCAAAGGTAAGAAGCAGACATGTTAAATTTAAGGTACATAACTTATAATAATAGACTGTACACCAGGTTTACATGGAAAAGGAACTGACTTATTTAATCAAATGAGAGACTTGGCTGAATTAACTCTGACAGACCATCTTATACAACTTTGTCTTGCCTTTGTTGATTTCTGTTTTTTGTTGTTTTTGGGTTTTTTGTTGTTTTTTTGTTGTTGTTTCTTTGTTGTTTTTTTTGCTGAGCTTTAAACTACACTGTCCAGCTTTACTAATGGAGGACAAGAAGACTGGGCCCCTCCTAGCATTAATTCAAGCATGTACGGTAAACTAGTTATACAGAAATAGTATGTTGTTAGTAGGGTGGCTATAAACAAGATGTAGTAACATCAAAGAGTCCCTGCTGCACCATACATCAACACTTACATCATAATATAACTCCTAAACCTCATATTATATTAATATACTAGGCCATATTTGTACATAATAAACAAACATTCTCTTATATAAACATACCAAACAAAGCTTGAACAATATACTTTAAAACTTATTCAATTTTCAAATACACACAATTTTCTTTTTATTGTATTTCAGATAAATAAAATGTCTTAAATACACAGAAGAAACACTTATAGTGAAATAAAATGTAACAAAAGGGTTTTCATTATCTATAAACACGATTATGAAATATTTGGACAAACAAGTAACGTAAAAACAGAAATATATACACATATAAAGCTTCAATAATGAAAATTTTCATTTTTTCTGAAAATGTTTAGAAGCATTGTCTTAAATGGACGAAAAAATAAGTTATTTCCGTTAGTAAAAATACATATTCATATCTTTAAAAAGATAATGTTCTTATTTTTTCTCAAAAATTCATTTTCAATGTTCACTATGCACAATGCAAGACTTTATTTGTGTATTTTGACCATTTGACCTGTTTCAGTGATAATAAAACATCTATTTCCAGGTCAGCCATCTTATCCATGCAGTCATGACCAGACAATATCGTTATAAATCTGATTAATTTTATCCTTTTTTATCGAAATCTCTTGAAATTAACATTGAACAATAGAGAGGTTTTTATTTAGTTGTTTTTTTTGTACTTTTATATTACACTGACACTGTAATGTCATATGATGACTTCAGCTTTACTGGTTATTATTTTTCATATTAATTCAGGCACTAGCAGGCACCTGAGTAGAATCATGGACGTTCCATAAGCTAGCTGGATCTAAGCTTCTTCACAAGAAAGAATTCAAAGACTCTGGCGAGATTCGAATCCAGGGCAGTAAGGTGCAGAGATAAGGGGGAAGAGTTTTTAATATACAGGAGCACAAGTCTATTACATAAATTCAGCAAGGAAAGAATGATCACTACTCTCCTGATCAATTTTTTTTTATCTTTTAAAACCATATCGTCATTAAAGACATAAATCTTTACTAAGCTAAACTGGAGATCATGTTCAATGACATAATGTATTTACTCTAATTCCTATTTACGGTAAGGTTCAGTGCCATACTGACTCCAGATAAACGCCATTATAAACTTGATATAATGTCGAAAAATCTGGGTAAACAAAAGCTTGAATGAATATTCAATGACAATGTCAAATAGGATGAATTGAGGGGTTAATATATAAGTATTATATATATAACCCTCTTTACATAAGAATAGAATAAAATCAAATGAAAAGTTATAATTTTCTAATAAACGAATATAATAACTCTCAAAGTAAATGTTAACAATATCATGACACAGAATTTAAAAATGTATAGGCTGAAAATAAAATCATGATATTTTTTTATGTTTTACTGGCAATAAAACCATAATGTTAAACTGTAAATGATAATTTATGGCATTTAAAAAGATTCAAATACACAATGTAGTCTAGAACTACCGGTATTATTAAGTGAACTTGGTACTAAAACAAATATACATACAGAACTTAATATAGTGTTCTAGAACCATGGTGACATTATATTTTACTTGATTTGGAGTTCAGAAACTAAAATGAACAGAAATAGAATATGATTATGTTATAAGAATGAACAGATATTATTTATACCTGATTTACTTAGTGCTCAGGAACTAAAATAAATATATACAGTATACTGATATCAATGATTTAGTAAGTTTTTAGAAACTAAAATGAATAGAGAACTTCATCTTTTGTTTTAGAATTAGAATTAACTTATAATGTATATGTTTTAGCATTTTAAGTATGGTTTATCATACTACTTTTCCCGTAACCTGACCAGAACTAAATAAAAGAAGTTTATTTCAGAAGTTAACCAATAAACTTTACAACACATTTTAGAAACCACCCAAAATGAATCTTTCATCATATTTTGTTATAAAATATCAACATCGCACATCAACCTCAAAAATTATATTCTTACATTAAGCATTAAAATTGTCAGAATGGTGTAAATAAAAAGGACTTTCAAACATGCTTCATAGCTTATGGTTACGGTACAAAATAAGGATTTAGACATGTAAACATGTATAAAAGACATTTATTTACCCTATCACAGATCAATAGAGATATAAAATCAATGATCGCCAAAAACTTCTCTATTTTACATTATGGATATTCCATTAACGAAAATGATACTAAATTTAATGTGGTTCACAGGATTTAAATCCCCAAATAGCGTCAAACATTAATTTGATAAGATAGCATTGTGGTATCAAATAAATATCTCGCCAAAATCATTTTAAGATACAAAATTTAACAGACATCTATTATCACAAATATCTATAAGATTACAACTGTATGATAAACTATTTATAAAGAAATAACTTTGACCAAAAAAGGATTGTAAATCAGGCAAAGAACTAAAATTTTAAGAAAGTAAAAATGAAAATTTATTATTTTCTAAACTTTTATGACAAAATAAGAGGGTACTATAAAATAATAATTGTGATAAACATTTTCCCTATCTTTAATCATACACAAATACATTTAGAATCAATATTTGTGGGGGGTTTTTTTAATCATCATAAATATTAAAGTTTGAAGCATACTGGCAAAATAAGACTCAAAGAGTTTTTTCATGTTTCTATCTTAGCAACCTTGACCTTTGACCAACTTATTAAAAAAAATTCCTATGGAAATCAATATGAAATGATAGGTTGAACATTGTTCTATTAAAATGTAACTGTCACTCTGAACTATAGACACAAACAACGATAAGGTTCATCAACTTAATATGGCAAATTTCATGATGAACTTTACATTTCAATTACTGACTCCTGAAATCTGGGAGTCTTCTATGTAAAAAGGACAATATATCTTACTAAATATTATAGCCTTTAGGTAAAAAATTTCTCCAGTTCTTAGATTTGACCTTTGACCTATTGACCCAAACTACAAAATGACAATGAATAACAGCAAAAATCAAATGAAGTTTGAAGGCTAATAGGGCAGTGTCATTTAATATTTAACTAAATCCTGGCAAGACGAGTTGACAGACTGACTTGACTAAGCATCTGAAAATCAAAGTATCCCTTGAATGGGGTTTAATAAGCTTTTTGTGATAAAAATAGATTTTTTTGTTTTCTTTGCTGAATTTATGTAAAGACAGTGAGTATGCCCTGCTTTGAATCTGAAACTTGTCAGTTATTATTTAATATTTCAATATTTAAAATACGTCCGAGTTGAGCAGAAATTGATCATGTTGCTTAGTACAACTAATTAGGCTTGTCAGAGACTATGATATACTGTAATGGTTCACCAATAGGAAAAAAAAACAGTTGGACAAATGGGTCAAACCGTTTTACGCCCAATTAATAAGGCTACATGTAGCTCTACATCAGTGGTCAAGACCTGTTTTTAGGAAGACTAGCACTTTGGAAATAAATCGTTAAATTTGGCAAAAGTTTTTCATTTACTAAAAAGACATGTGCCAGACATTGGAAGTAAAACAAATTGCAAAAGAGAAATTGGCAAAAAAAATGTAACTGTTGTTGAATTAATCCATTAAGTTTTGTTGTTATGCACAGACTGGCAATTGATTCACGAAGTTTCTGACTTATATGTGTTCAAATTATTTTTTCAAATACTGTCATTCCTTGTCAACATTCTATATTTTACTTAAAAATATCAATTAGGTCTTACAGTATGATTTTGCCATAATGTTGGGTAAAGATATGGTAATTTGTACAGTATAAGGTTTCAACTGGCCGCCACAATTTTTTTTTTAAAAGTAGCAAATAAGGTAGGGTTTATGAGGGTGGGGGAAGTTGTCCCTCTCTCTTATTCTAATCTTAATTTTATTTTTTTTAAAAGCATCATGAACAGCATGCCTGGAGCATAAACAATATTTAAAGATGTAAAACTGTACATTGTTAACAATGATGTGTTTAAAAAGGATAAAACCTAATGTATTTTCATTAAATGTTTTAACAAACACCTCATATAAGTCTCTCTAATAAATATTAGTTGTTACATTGGCATACATGAGAAATCTGTTTACATTAATGCTTTCAAACAATTTCATTAGGAACAGTCAAAGACCTGCCTACAGGAAAATTGTCTTCTGATATATTTTATAGGTGGGTTCTTGAAACATGTATCTACACAAATATTGGGCTACTTCACTGTACTTGTGACAAGATTCCCTCATGTAGTATTTATTTGAGGGTGATCTTGTGAACATGTAATTACTAAAATTTGTGTATAGTATGTTTGTTTAATAATGAATGATAACACAATTGAACACACAAACATGTACATGTAGGTTAAAAGGCTGAAATATATCATAAAAGATCAGACAAAATTCAAAAGACCATCTGATGTCATCTAAAACAATGGTCATTGACCACAATAGCTTAAAAATTGTGGCTAATTGTCAAATTACCTGTCATAATTCTGCTTCATCTTTTTGCAGGCCCAATATGAGCCATCTTTTATGTTTTGGCATTTTAGCACCTCTGAAAAGGTGCCTTCACCTTTCTTCCCAAGGATACGATATTCTGAAATAATTTTTTTTTAAAAGTTAGTTATAATCTCAAAAATTTTCAGTCATGCAGAACACCCATACTTTCATTTGTCAACTATTGTACATGTATGTAATAAAGTATATGGACAAATCAAGGCAAAGTTAATATAATAACATCTATTGTTGAAAATATAAAGACACTAGATTTGTATAATATTTTATGATACTTTCTGATAAAATGCTGACAATACAGTATGAGTTACTTTTAAAATATACTAAATTTTCATAAGTTTTTACACTGTTATACAGAATTAAATCACCGTTACAATTTGATTGATTTTTAAAATCATAACACCAAGAAAATTATTACTTTTTAACATTATGATTTCCTTAGAAACATGTAAAGAAATGAAATCAAAATGAACAATGTCTTGTGTATTGCATGGTCAAACTTTTCTATTTATGAAACAAGAAATGTCGAATGATACATATGCCCCACTTTCAAGCCCTTGACTCATACTTTTGGTAATTTTATTATAGAAACATGCCATAAAAGGGTACATGGAAGTGTTTAGTTAAGACTAATCAATAAATGAAATATGAAGACTTGGTAACTAATTGGTGTCAAGAGAATAAGCGGAAACCATTTTAACATTCAACGTTACTGTGACCTTGACCTTTGATCTAGTGACCTCAAAATCAATATGGATCATAATCTAGTGATGATCAATCAAAATGTGGATAACAAGTAGTTTTGAAGATAATAAGTAAAATCAGTCCGACATTAAGGTCCATGTGACCTTGACCTTTGACCTAAAGACGCCAAAACCTATAGGGGTCATCTACTAGTTATAACCAATCAATATGTGGAATAGAAAGACTTAGTGATAAATAGTTTTCAAGATAATGAGCAGAAACCCTTCTGACATTTAAGGCCCCTGTGACCTTGACCTTTGAACTAGTGACCCCAAAATCAATACATGTCATCTACTACATATGACCAATCAATATGTGAAATATAAAGACTGCAAGGGATAGTTTTGTAGATAATGAGCTGAAACCATTCTGAAGGCCTCTTTGACCTTGACCTTTGACCTACTGATCCAAAATCAATAGGGGTCATCAACTAGTTATGACCAATCAGTATGTGAAATATAAGACTTTGCAATAAATAGTATTCCAGATAATAAGTGGAAACCATTCTGACATTTAAGGCCCCTGTGTCCTTTACCTTTGACCTAGTGACCCCAAACTTATTAGGTCATCTACTAGTTATGACCAATCAGTATTTGAAATATGAAGACAGTGATAAATAGTTTTTAAGATAATAAGCAGAAACCATTCTGACATTTACATGTAAGTCCCGTGACCTTGACATTTGACCTAGTGACCCCAAATTCAATAGGGTTTTCTACTAGTTATGACCAATATTAGTATGTGAAATATGAAGATTTTGTGATAGTTTTCAAGATGAGCGGAAACTATTCTGACATTTAAGGCCCCTGTGACCTTGACCTTTAAGCTAGTGACCCCAAAATCAATAGGGGTCATCTACTAATAATGACCAATCAATATGTGAAATATACAGACCACCTCTTCTTTGGAGGGGGGGCTTAATAAATGTTGTGAAATAGAGACAACTCCAATTAATTGTTTGAAATATTTATACTGTACAAGTTTTGGCTATTCAGTCTTCTTCTTCAGTACAAACACACAAACACTATAAAACAGATATAAAATAAACAATGTCTGACAGTAACACTGACGCAGCCTCAAGGACAACAAAATGTGATTCACAAATATGTGCTAAAATGATAAATTGTAAATAAAGACTCTATAAAGACACTATTTTAATTGGGAAATGCAAATACAATACAATACTGGAAAATTATAGAAAAGCAAATAAACAAATTTATACAAAAATACAAGAGTGAAAACTATTAAAATAGTACACAAAAATTTGTTTCATTAAATATGCAAAGAATGAGTTTCTATAAGTACCCATAATGCCAGTTATCTATTCTTTGTATTGTAATAATGAAAAATCATTTATACTACAACCAAACAAACTTAAATGTTCTAAAACATTAGTAATATTAATTTGAAAAAATTCTTCTATCAAATTTATTGACTGTTCACCGAAACACTGAATTTTTATTGGTCAATATACTTGTTATTGTTTATATTTACATTTTCTTGCAAAGAATAAAATTAAGAATTAGATTTAGATACATAACACTAATTGAAGAACATGTTAATTAGATTTTATATTGAAACTGGAAGAGAATATAATACTGTCAGTTTTATAAATTTTATCATTTATGTTAGAACAGCCACTTATGTAACAGTCAACCCATAATCAGACATTGACATTAGTAAACCAAAATGTAAGATTCAAAGGTTAGTTGGTCATTTAAATGTTAATATTGGTTTATATTTCGATAAGTTTTTTTACACCCTATTTTTGTGATAAATTTAGCAAATTTTCAGTGCTGATTTCAAATTTGGCATATGTACAAACAAATAGAATAATATCTGATCAGGATCCATGCAGTTCGCTATCAGTTTCTCTACTTGTAAGCGAACAGCATGGACCCTGATCAGACTGCGCGGCTGCGCAGGCTGGTCTGAATCCATGCTGGTCGCAAACGCATTACATTGGTTTTGTCGTGACGCGGCTCATATATCTTTTCAGGAGAGGTTAATTCATAGTCGTTAATTAGGTGTTATTTATTGTTTTATTCAGAATCTCCTCCCATTAATTTATCAATTCCTAAAAAAATAACTAAATATTTAATTGCTAGTTACTTTATATTTATAATAATTATGTTCCCTTAACTGGCTCTTTATTGAGGAACAAAAGTATGATTTCTATTGCTTATCTGTACTTAAGTTTACAATATAAATTTAATTTCCTACATACATTCTGTATGGAAAAAATGTGCGAATCATTTTAGTAACTAATACAGCTGGACAGTGTCTTTATGGTTTCACCACCTTAAGTTACATGTAGAATTTGAATGATATCTTCAAGTTTTCTTTCTTTTTATACTCAACATGCATGTACATGTATCAAAACCTTTAAATAAACACTGTAAAAGTTCCTTTATAAAAGGAATACAATGTACAATGTACATTTATTTAGGACTTGTAAACGGTGTAATTTTTAAATATCAGTTATGTGGCACATAATGATAATTATACTTTGTAATTACATTTCTGTAGCTATATACTCAATACATTTTTAGTTTCATTTTGAACAGTGATTCTTTGGATACAGCAACAAACACCATATAAATTTATTTATAGAGCAGCCGATGAATATTTTACTGAGGAACAGATAAAGATGAATTAAATATTGATTTCTTGATTTGTAACATGTCCATCCAAAATTAACATGTAACATCTATGTTTATGTTGGTTGTTTCTTGATTTACTAGTCTGAAACACATAGATAATTCTGATACTTGATCAATATTATGGTTATGGCCTTAAGAAGTTCACGTTTCCATTTTAAGTAATTTTATGAAATGTGTCATAATTAAAGTCTTTGAACCTAAGTTTATTTAGGTGGGTCAATACTTATTACTTTAAACATACTCGATGATAATTATGAAATTGCAAAAAATATGTGATCTAAATTCTAATGTTGGAGTAATATCTCAAACCACTAGCACATTGTTTTATAAAATTAATAAATGTATTTCAAAGACCACTAAGATACACTTGGTTGCCTTTCCCTTGTCACTACTTCTATTTTGACATCTGGCCCTAAATCTACTCATAACTTACAGAAACGTCATACATTCAATACACCTATGTATATCTAATAAAACAATTCTAAATGTGTGTTTATAAACAAACATTAACACCCCCTCCCACTGTTGTAGAACGGGTACCTGCTTGCCAATTAGTGAACTTACTCTTTAGCAAGATGTTCATTCAGACAACATATGACCATTACTTCTTGTTTCTCTCAATGTTTATAAAGAGGTCATAAAGTCTTTCTCTTCTTAATCCACAGAAATGAATTAATCGCTTGATAAAAGGATTAAATATTTAACTAACACCACACATTTCTTGTGTGACAACTATGTCCACAACTTCGGATTACCTCGGACATTGCTATGTTCATGCGGAATGTTTTGGTAGTTATCGTATAGACCAAATGAGGCCCTGGTGATGTAGATTTCCCGCGCAAATATCAATAGTCGTAACGTCAAAAATTAATTGAAATTAAACTTAATATTTGCAGCAAATTTACACCGTTCCAACTTGATAAAGATATATCTAGAAGTAACCTCGGCACAATTTGTAGATTTCAGCATATAAACCCTTGGATGAAAACCTGTTTTACGATGAAATGAACTTTCTTAGCATTGCTTAAGGGGAAACAATAATATATCAAAATTAAAGAGTCAAATTTCAGTACTGTTCTTTTCTTTTTATGCATGATGTGATCGAGTTCCTAGTATTGATAAATTTAAGTTGGGGATACACACGGATATTTACGACGGGATAGGACCTAGATATGTGTTTAAATTTGATTAAAGAGATATTTTAATTATGACACGGATTTGTTAAGATCCGTGATTATATGATGATAAAAAGATTTATAGTTTAAAAAATGCATCTTTATTCATTTATATTGAACTTCATACAGTAGAAAATCAAAATGCTGTAAACTTCGAATGAAACTTCTTTTGTGACAAATTAAACACGGTTGGTCCAATTAAATGTATGTTAATTCTGTTTGTTTATTATTCATTGAGAATGTAGTTCGTGATAAAACGGTGCCGTCCTGTATCATTTGTATTCATCATATAGAGAATACATCAGACTTGAAAATTTACGCCTATGATTCAATTTTAAGATTAATACGTAAATGATTTACTGACATGGATCAATAACTGGTTGGTTTGGAACTAACGGCATTATAATTATCATTATTTTCTTACTCATAATCAAAATCCATACTCTATTGATGACTCCCGTGAATAGCAAATGTTGTAATATATTTGAAGTGTTTGTATAGTGTATGTATTAAGCTGTTAGGCGTTAAATTATGTATTTGTACAAACGTGCATTTTTAATATTTACGTATATCGTTTTTCTATATTTAAAGTATTACTTTCTAAATATTTTTATTAGCAACCACTCGAAATAAATTATGAAATGTTTAATTTTCGCTTAGTCTTCTAGTTACAGATGTATTTCTCTAAAAGTTTCATAATCTGTATCTGATACCCTACGTGTCATAACATAGGTGCTTACCTCCCTTTCCGTATAATATATCCCGACGTCTTTTTTCCTTCGGGGTTGGTGCATTCTCTTTATCCTCGCTTATCTCTTTCTCCGAACCTTTCTCAGACTTTGCCATAATCCCTAACAAATCTGCCTGCCTTTTGATTTATCCCATTTTGAATTACATCCATGTCATAATAGACTCTCAGAATCACACACGAACGTGTCCGTTAACATATCTATCTCTAAATGGTTTCCTAAAATGTCGACTTGTACAATCACCTTAATCCATAATTAAACCACTAACTGAAATCCATTAAATTAAAACCGTGTTTCGTGATACTAAATATATACATGCATTTTAGTTTAAACCTACTTAAACTTCTTTATGATTGAGATTAAAGATTATAATATTACTTAATCAGTAATAAATAAGTCTAGAAAACGGGATTTATTTTTATATATCCATGTAGTTTAGGTATTCGAACACGACTGCAATATACCAATAAATCAAAACGCAAATTGAAAATTCGGATCTCAATTAGAATAAGAATTTGGGCTAAGGAATGAATAGATTTAAGATTGAACTGGTTGAATGAAGTTTATATCAAACATTCATTATTTAAAAAGTAAACATATCAGTTTTGAAGTACCATCAACATTACAAGGTGCAATTTTATAATAGTTTGGAAACGAACCAATATTGTATATAATGTTTAGGAAAATAATTGTTTATATGACGTTCTCCTTCCAATTTTCTTTAAGGTGAAAAATACAAAATATCCTTACATGTTATTATTTAAAGAATAGACAAAATAAATAAACTCTATATGTGACGGTTGATTAAACATCCTTAAAACTCGCTTTGTCGAAACGAAACGGGGGAAGGCAATTCCAAAATAAACAGTTAATAAAATTAAGATATTTTGTTAGAAAAGTATCTGTGTATGAGAAAAAAAAATGCATAATTGTAAATTGTAATATAATTATTGCATAATTATTGCTAGTCACAAGAATATTTAGTGTAAAATAGAGCAATATCTTGAATTTTCGTCTACGATCTTTCATATACGCGCACTAAAGACGGAACAGTTTTATTCATGCATTGTTACTATAATATGCATATAAAATACTAGCTCGCTAAACATAAATAGCACGTGCAAATGGTATGAATACGAGTTATGTTGCGTCTTTTGGGCGATATTTTTATCTGTGTAAGTATATATATATCAATGTCGTTTAAAGTACTACTATTGAGTTTGTAATCTTTGAAGTTAACAGCTCACATAGATCTTACCACTTCACCAAGAGCCTACTAGTTCAGCTCTAACCAGTTCACCTAGAGCTAGTCAGTTCACCTAGAGTTAACCAGATCATATTAAAAGCTAATCAGATTATCAAGAGGTAGCAGGTTGACCTAGAACTAGTCAATTCACCATTATGTTAAGAACTTATAACCAGATCGCATAGAGCTGAGCTAGTTCACACAGCGCTAAACCAGTTCCCTTAGCTAACCAGTTCACAAAGAGCTTAATCAGTTTGCCTAGAGCTATTCAAACCAGAAAGAGCTTGATCACTTCGCTTAGATCTTAACCAGTTCGTCCCATAGTTAACCAATTCACCTAGAGGTTAACCAGTTCGCTCCGTTGCAAATCAATTCACTATAGGGAGCTAGTCATTTCACCTAATGCTTTTGAAGTAGTTTGAATCTAGCGTAGCAAGTTTTTCTGGAGCTTGTCGTAGACATAGAGCCTAGAGCCAGCCAGTTCACATTGAACTAACCAGTTCAAGTCTAACTGATCACTTTACTTTGAGTCAAGCCAGCTGGTCTAGCGTTGACCAGTTCGCATCTATAAAATTATGATCTTTACTCCGGATTGAGGCAGATTTGAACCCTTACAAATATTAAGAACGCACAGAATCATGAGAATCTAGCGTACAGAATTTCAATTTCTAATTAAAACATTTTTTGTTATCGACTACATATTATTCGTGTTATTAGGAACAGAATGAACACGTCTAAATTGTTCCGTATCAATTATGAACAAACGTTACATATGGAAATTAAATAAAGTACAGAGATACAGAAGTAATACAAAACACGATAGGTTTTCTTTACAAAACGAGATATGTCCGTACAGTTCGTGGACGACCCTAGAAAATTGCGAACCATATGCAAGACATGCAACAACTAAATCTATTTTTTTCTAAGCCTTTTCACCCGTACCCATCATTCTAAATTGTTTTTTTTTAACAATTTTATAGCTGGTTTACTTTTAGAATGGTATCATTGGTTGGGAAAAAAAGGTTCGGTGCTCTGTCAATCGTAACAACTCGCCTTTCTTCTACAATATCTTTAGAAAAATCTTGAAGAAGAGCATTAATGAATCACAACCAATTAAATAACATAAAAATTGCAGACAAACCCCTTCCCACAGCACTGACTTGAGCGGTACTCGATTTTCAATACTTAAAAGTGCTGGAATCAATGATCCCGAAGGACAAGAAAGGACCAGAAAAATATAACAACCCTGAAGTTAAGCACTGGGCAACTTTTAACAGCTGCCACATGGCACTTGATACCTGCTGTTGTGAAGTATAAAAATCTGTAAGAAGAGTGATCCCTCGGAAGCATAAATCTACAGTGGCACAAAGGTGACATGTATGTGTTTTTATTTATCTCGTACGCACGAGATACTATGTCGTGGCCACGAGTTACTAAGTCGTGGCCACGAGATACTATGTGAGCATAGTATCTCGTGGCCACGACTTAGAAACTCGTGGCCACGACCACGGATTTACATTTGTAATATAAATCCGTGTCACGACATAGTATCTCGTGCGCACGAGATAAAAAAAACACACACACATGTCACCTTTGTGCCACCGTATAAATCACAACAAAATAACATGAAAATTTCAGACTCGGTTTGACTGAGTCTGTACATGTGGGCAGGGTCTTTGAGGGATCAGAAAAATTGCAACATCCCTCACGTAGGTGTTCCGGTTGGTGCACGGTATCATAACAGTTTTTATACGGTGCGATTTACCGTACCGTTACCGAGATTTTATCCGTGCCAGTGTACTCTTCAAAAGGAAACAACATTTTGATGATCATGTGAAAACGAAAACAACAAAACTTTACAGAAAACAAAATGAGTATTTGATTGATAAAGAGTGTCAGAAGTATGCATGAAGCATTTGAGGCTGGTTCCATTGTGGAAAATTTTCCACTGAAAATCGAATCAATAGCATGTTATGGTTTGTAGCAATAACACTTGTTTATTTTTAGGGTGGGGATTGTTATGCTCAGAGTCAGACACTGAATATCAAGGGTCACTGACTCTTGTTATGCACAAGCAGACACTGAATATCAAGGGTCACTGACTCATCACATTTTTCTAATGTCAAAATCGAATTTTGTTCAAAGTTTCATAATTTTTAAATGTCGCTGAGGTTATTTCAATATTTACTAACAGAGTATACATAACTACAAGTGGTGGAAAATTGCTCTCAAGATTTTGTTCAAATACTGTTGCAGAACAGTTTAACACATAAATCAGGGTATAAGAAAATTTAACTGTCACATCTGGAAATAATGTAAAAAATCCTTTTTCAATTAAATTCTTAGCGCATCACAGGGCTCTTGATAAAATATGAACATCAGGAAATGCATGCAATTTTGCCATGTGGGACTTTCTTTTATACATCATTCCCTTCACTCCACCTGTCACACAAATGATTATAACATTGGTCCCTTGTAGTATGCGAAAATGGTCTTGTTTATCTGGTTAAGCCGTGTCAGTTTCAGGGAAAATATTATATCTCAAAAATTGATTATGAAGGTGTCTGATTACAAAAGGTTGATTATCCACTCATTTGTTGGACTGTATCATGCCATTAGCTAATTAAAGTGTCTCTTTTACCGTAACCTGAACCAATAGACCACATATACAGGAGAATAAGATATGCAAACTGTGACTCCAGTGGTTTGTGATGGACCAAATACAAGACAAGTAATTCTAACAAGGTAAATTTAGATTATTTTGAATGTCGGTATTAAATCAACATTTTTTGTATTTGTAGATGACATACTGTTAGTTGGAACAAAAGATGGTCCCTTATTGCAATATAAAGTGAAAAAATATAAAGTTTCAGGTACAGTATGTTGTATTGTAAATAGTTAGTTTCATATTGAATATAATATAAGATCTGAACCTAAAAAGTAGATGACCAGTTTTTGTAATGATATCTGTATTGTATCAGGTTTGCTTACAATTATGTAATAACATGCCCATATCAATTGTGAATATTTTTCCTGTTATATTGAATATATTTGAAAAGGAAATTTGTGTATTTTATTTTGGGAAAAGAAATTATATGGTGATCAGTTGACATTTTCAGATCTTTTAATGTTATACATTAACAGGAATCTGCCATAAAAGACATCTATATATTTGGATTTTTGAAATGTAAAATAAAGTCACATTAATTCATAGTTAAATAATCATGTCTTCTATTAACATACATTCATTTGATTGTAACTTAAGCATGGTTTTCATATTACAGGTGAGACAAAGTATGAAGTTGCTTTGGAAAGATCAAACAAAACCTTTTCTAAGAAACCAATTCAGCAGGTACTGATAACTAGCCGATGCATTCTTTATAAGTTGATTTAACATGCAAACATTATTTGATCTCTTAATTTGTCTTGTGTAATGGTCACTGTATACATGGGGCAGCCTGGTTATATTGTATGCTTTAAACAAGTTCATTAATAATACTGGACATCCAGGACAAAAAATAGATATTATTCTTCTTTAAGAATTAAAAGGGACTGCTAGTTTCACTGTCTTAGTTTAAAGATACATGTATTTATATTAAATATTGATTGCAAAACAAGTTCTTGCAACTTATATTAATCATGTTCAAGTCTGCTTCTGGGAACTTACCAGTACTGGTGTCATAATTATGAGGAAGCCCTTGATCTTTGGGTTGAGAGCAGGCACCATAACCACTAGCCCACCGCTCCCCTTTATCTCTGTCTTGGGTAATGCTTGGCACCAAAATTGAGATGCAGATAGCAATAACCATTAGATGTAAAACTGTTTCTCATATTAAAGATGAAACTGTGTATATGAACATAATATTAAATAAAAAGAAAACAATTTTGATAAAACAGTGCAGTATAATAATGAAAATAAACATGTTATATTTCAGTTGTTTGCTGTGCCAGAGTTGTTCTTGTTGATAAGTCTTTCAGGTATGTATCATTGATATAAATATACAGTGAATCTTCTACCTGTAAAGTTACCCTCTGTAGAGCAATAACCATATTCCAATGATAGTATCAATTCTTTCCAAAACAAGACTTCACTGTAAATAAGTTTTACCTCTCTAGACCAGAGCAACTTCTCTCAGCAAAAACTAGAATCTTTGTCTCCTAAAGTGTGCTGTATCAATAGGTTGTATTTTATTCAAGGCATAACGCAGAACAATTATTAATTTAGTAAGGTAAAGAAAGAAGCACATTTTTTAAACAACAAGATCTTGGAATTTAAATTTAAGTGTTACTCATATAAATACTATAGTATTAAGTGGTTGTGATCTTTCCAAATGGAAATGAAAATTTGCATAGTGCTGAAATAATGAGAGACAAACAAAAAATTTCATTTTCATCATGTTTATTAGCATTAGTTAGTAAACTCAAGAAAACAACATACATGTACTTTGATATCAGATGGATATGAAATAATTGGGGCTCTTTTTTGTACATGTATATCAATTGTACAGTAGTTAAACTGCTGTTGATTTGTTTGGCTTTAATGAATCTAGTTTTGATGGTTTCATTTTCTGTATGATGATATTTGTACATGATGTATACAAGTAGTTTATAAGAATGAATACAGGTATATAATAAACATAGATGTATTTCAGACAATGTTGTAAGTGTACATGATTTGACTACATTCAACTTGATTACAACTCTCACAAAGACAAAAGGTGCCACACTCTTTGCTGCAGATGTTGAGGTAATAACAATTTGCTTTGTCTCTGTAAGTCTCAGTCTTCAGTTTTCTTTATCCTTCAACACATCATCAGATACCCATGTTTGATAAACATGTAGCATAAAATAACATGTAATCAACCATGGTTATAATGACTATGTGGGTAGTGATACAAATTGGCATTCAGCTGCTACAGAACATATGCTCAAGATATTTTCAAGAATTACAGTAAAGTACTGTAGAAGAAACATGCTAATTTTTATTTTATGTATGAAGAACATATGTATACATAATGTATGTAACCTACACTTATGGAAGAAAGTGATCAAAGTTATCATAAGATGATTTTTTCCATCCTTAAACTGAAATTATGATAAAAATGCACACAATTATCATATTATAAAAACAGGTATAACCATCTTATAAAGAAAAAAAACTGTTTGCATAGCATGAGTGCCAATATGAGATATTCGTAAGAAATTAAAGGACTTTAACATGCTGGCCATTTCTCAGTATTCAGTGAATTCATTATTGTCTGTACCAGATAAATGTTTTATGATATGCAAGATTAAACAAATAATTTATGAGAGTGTAGCTATAATGTTATTTGACTTTAACTAATGTAGAAAAGCACAATATGCCTTATTTTCTGCAAAGCTGGGGACTTAAAATATGATTAATATTTAATTTCTTTTTCATGTTGATTTATAATGAATGGTTAAAGGGAGGTAACTGTAAAGCTGAAAAAAATGTTTTTTCTTTCATGTCATTTCTTCAACATTTAAGAATACTAATAAAATGGAGATTTTTTTTATTTTGAATATATTTATTGATTTATACTTACTGACAAAATACTTTAGCATTGTTTATTGCTAAATAACAACTGATTGACATGTTATTGCAGACCCTTGTATCACAGACTGGCGAGAAACAATCAACATTACAAATATGTGTAGCAACAAGACGGAAACTACAAATTATGTTCTGGAAAAACAGAGAGTTTATAGATTTAACAGTAAGTGGCTATTGACAATATTTCTAAAAAAAATTGTTAAAAAATATCCATAAATATCAACTTGTGACAATAAGGTATTTATGACTTGAGCTTTTTAAAACAAAGAAAAAAATGGGTGTTGGTGGCCAATTGGTTAAGCTTGTTGACTTCAAATCACTTGCCCTTCACCACTGTGGGTTCGAATCCTGACAGGGACTTCGGAATCTTTCATATGAGGAAGCTATCAAGCTAGCTTACGGAATGTCGGTGGTTCTACACGGTTGTCCATTTTAGTCTGAAATAATGCATAGACGGGCACCTGAGGTCTTCCTCCACCAGTAAAGCTGGAACGTCAGTGTATGACCTATACTGTGTCTGTGTGATCCCTCCCCCACTCTTCCCAAATAATACTCTGTTCCTTATTGATTCAATAAATATACAGGTTTTATAATAGATACAGATGAAATGTAAGCTAAACACTTTGTGACTGATATATTTTGATGTTTATAACATAACAATACTGTAATATTTTCAGGGTGATATGAACATGTATGACATTCCTAGAGCTATGGTTTGGTTTAAAGACAGACTCTGTGTGGGCTTTAAAAGGGATTACTTCATTGTCAAAGTATGTGTGCTTTATACATGCCTCAAGGGTTGCATTACATTTATGCTCCTGGTTGTCCATCTGTCAATCTGCTTTTGCGATTATTTTTTTTGCTCTCTAAGTTTTGAACCATTTAAAGTGACATTATGCTTATATTTTCATTCTCAAGTTGAGCTGAATTAACTATATGTTTAAAAAAATTGACTTTTATAATAGTGATTCACCAACAGTTGATATTGGAAAATGTTAAGGATAAAATATGAATCTGCTCTTGTTTAGTCAGTAAGTTATTATATTTTAAAATCATTTTTTTTTTAGCTCTTGCTATATTTGTAAATGATTTCCTTCTGTAGTAATTGTTTTGTCCTGTATTATAAAAAATATTATCTTACTGAATATTTCTCTGAACAGATTCAGAATGGAGAGTCGAAGGAGTTGTTTCCCCTGGGAAGTAAGCAGACAGAGCCAGTGATAACATATTTGAAGGATTCCGGGTTTATAGTTAGCCGCGATGATATGTCAATATTTATAGACAAAGAGGGTCAGCCATTTAAGAAACATCCTGTCAGGTGGACAGATATTCCTGTAGCCTCTGGTATTACATATAAACAGAATTTATCAATTTATTATGAAAATAAGAAAAAACAAGAATGTCGAACGACACATATACCCCCCTTTCTAGCCATTGACTCACATAATTGGTAATTTTATTAAAGAAACTTGCCAAAAATGGGTACATGGAAGTGTTCAATTATGGAAAAATCAACGGAAACCATTTTGACATTTAAGGCCCATGTGACATTGACCTTTGACCTAATGACCCCTAAATCAATAGAGGTCATCTAATTCTTATGACCAATAACGAGGTGAAATATGAAGACTTTGTGATGAATACTTGTCAAGATAATCAGTGGAAACCATTTTGACATTTAAAGCCCCTGTGACCTTGACCTTTGACCTAGTGACCCCAAAATCAATAGGGGTCATCTACTAGTTATGACTAATCACTATGTGAAATATGAAGACTTTGTGATGAATACTTTTCAAGATAATCAGCGGAAACCATTTTGACATTTAAAGCCCCTGTGACCTTGACCTTTGACCTAGTGACCCCAAAATCAATAGGGGTCATCTACTAGTTATGACCAATCACTGTGTGAAATATGAAGACTTTTGTGATACATACTTTTCAAGATAATCAGCGGAAACCATTTTGACATTTAAGGTCCCTGTGACCTTGACCTTTGACCTAGTGACCCCAAAATCAATAGGGGTCATCTACTAGTGATGACCAATCACTGTGTGAAATATGAAGACTTTGTGATACATACTTTTTAAGATAATCAGCGGAAACCATTTTGACATTTAAGGTCCCTGTGACCTTGACCTTTGACCTAGTGACCCCAAAATCAATAGGGGTCATCTACTAGTGATGACCAATCACTGTGTGAAATATGAAGACTTTGTGATACATACTTTTTAAGATAATCAGCGGAAACCATTATGACATTTAAGGTCCCTGTGACCTTGACCTTTGACCTAGTGACCCCAAAATCAATAGGGGTCATCTACTAGTTATGACCAATCACTATGTAAAATATGAAGACTTTGTGATAAATACTTTTCAAGATAATCAGCGGAAACCATGTGGTCTACCGATGGACAGACCGACAGACCGACGGACAGACCGACAGACAGACAGACCGACATTAGCAAAACAATATACCCCCTCTTCTTCGAAGGGGGGCATAAAAATATGCATTTTATATTACTATTGTTAATTCTTAATACAGATATGCATGATAATTTTGGATGTAATGTAATAAAATTCAATGTTTCTTAAAATCAGTCAAAGGTTTTATAAGTATTATGTTAAAGGTAATTGATGTCCCATGTAACAATATACATAAATATGATTATGTTTAAAATAGTAATTTTTGCAATTTTGTTTAGCAGTTGAAACATCAAATTTAACCTGACATATGTTAAAATTTATTTTTCACAAATTTTGCTCTATTTCAGTTCATGAAGCTCCATATCTAATCTCAGTTTTACCAAAATGTTTAGAAGTGCGTACAATAGATCCCCATCTTATGATACAGTCTATAGAGTTAAAGAATGCAAGGTTTATATGTCAGGGTAGCGGACAAATCTATATTGCCTCTAGTAACCATGTCTGGAGACTGACAGCAGTACCAACAGCCAATCAAATCCGACAGCTCATACAGAATAAGGAGTTTGAGTTAGCTTTGCAATTGGCAGTATGTATTCAATGATTTAGTAGTTTAAAATAAAATTCTGGTCCATTACAATCACTTATTCAAGTGTATGTTGTTTAATTTGTAAATCATATAGTTAGGGCTATATAAGCGTTGAATCATTTTAAGTTTAGTACATAGGCAAAGAAAAAAGTCAGTTTAATTATTATAGAAATCAGTCATCGGAAATTATTAAAGAGTATTTACAAATTGTTGTATTTTGGTTATTAACTGACTGTTGTATTTTGTATTTTTGTTATTTATAGAAAATGACTGAAGAACCCGAGATGGAAAAGCAGCACAGAATTAACCAAATACAAACACTGTATGCTGTCAACCTGTTCTGTAAACTTAAATTTGAAGAATCTATGAAACTATTTGTTAACTTGGACACTGGTAATTATTTCCTGTTTGCATTTCTATGGCACTTATTTTATTCTATAAACTACTCTCATAGTTTCTATTTCAACTGTTGGTATAATGATTGAAATAACACATTAGAAATGAAGCTGCCATTAGTATATTTGAAATATAGAAAATTCCTTAAACTTTAATTAATTGTTATGTTTTCTTTTAATGTTAATTGATTTGTATACAAATCTTTTCATTTACTATAAATTTCAAACTAATAAATTGTTAATGAATTATTTCTGACAGACCAATTTTGATATTTATGTTCGCTTGTACAAAAAATGATTAATTGCAAGCAATAACTTTACAAAATACTTAACCATGTACTTGTCCTTTATATGTTTGATATGATATGGCTATGAGTGTTATAACATTGAATACCTAATGAATATGTTGTGTTTACAGATCCATCTCATGTGATAGGGTTGTATCCTAACTTACTGCCGGCAGAGTTTAAGAAGAAATTAGAATACCCTGAACCATTACCTGTTCTAGAAGGAAGTGATCTAGAGAAAGGATTGCTAGCATTAACTGACTATCTGAATGATGTTAGTACACTTTGTATGCTGTCTACCATGAAGATATTAGTGTATATCAGACAGGATTTTCTACTTTTTACACCGGTGCTAGAAAATCCTGTCTTACACCCCGGTGTCATAACAGGTGAAAATATCTAGCTTTCGGGTAACTGTATAGCGGAAACTCAACAGAGCCTTGTTACTGCGGTAAACAGTTACCCTCAAGCTAGATATTCTGTACCTGGCAGCCGGTGTAAGATCCTTATATTACTGATTTTCTTTTTACTTCAACACATTGAGGAAAGTGACTAATTGAATTTTGACACATATTAATCTTACTAAAGCAGTATTGACTTGGTTGTTATATCATAGTAAAGCCTGCTTTGAATCACTAATTTTATTTTGAAAAGTCAATACATATACAAAGAGTGATTGACATGCAACTGTACTATAGATACAGAGTTTTATTTTTGTTGTTTGGTTTAATTGAACATAATTATTGATAGAGATATTACTAAATGGATTCATGATTGTGGTGTTATATTTCAGAAAAAGCGAATATTAAACAAAGTATCAACAGTATCACCAACTGCCATCAAGGAAGGTAACACCATGGTAACCTCGAAGGAACAACTCACCCAGATCATTGATACAACACTTCTTAAATGTTATCTACAGGTAAACATCCCTGAACATTTCTCTGTTTTTTCCTTGTAATTGTTTTGATGATGTTTTAATTCAAACAATTTTATCAACAGTTCAGCAGTTTCTGTCAGTTTAAAGGGACTCTACTGAGGTTTTTCGACATGACAGGACTGGATTTTTTTTTTTTGAGATTGTGTACCATTTGATGTAGGAGCACAAAATTTGCAAATTGTGCACTCTCCTTGTTTTACCAGAATGATCAGTTTTGTTGTGCAAAATGACGTAGTTGCAAGGCTTTTCACTCAATTCGGGCCAAGAATCACACAATTAAATTGATAATTATATTAAATTTAATTCTGAATAAATTTCTTTATTTTTCTTTCTAGTTTTTTTTTTTATTAAAGTATGTAAGGATTTCATATTTTGTATTTTTAGGCTTTTTGACCTCAGTGGAGTTCCTCTAATCAGCATATTGAATGACTTATGATTATGTATATTGTTAATCAAGAAAATTTGTTAATTTTTAGTTAATAAAGAATGTATTTCACAAAAAGTGAAAATTCCTAAATATGTTCATGAGGACAAAAGGTAAGAGAAATGGCTGTCATTTGACATCATTATCTGTGACATAATGAAATATGTTTTGCATTCCTCTATGTATCCGTCAATGTATAAGAAGGGAATCAAGATTCTGTATCTCACTCAATTTTAAAGCAAGTGATACAACTTATATTTCACTGCTGTTTTTCAATATGTCATTGAAAAATTAGTTAGATAAAAGTATTGTATCAATATATAAGGACTTCTTATTTATTTTAATCAGACAAATGATGCCCTGGTAGCGTCATTGTTAAGACTGAAGGATAACAAGGTTCATATAGAAGAGGCAGAGAGATCTCTCAAGAAGAAGGAAAAATTTAGTGAACTTATAATACTCTATGAACAGAAAGGATTACATGAGAAAGGTCAGTATAGGGGAGATAAGCCGCGTCACGACAAAACCAACATAATGGGTTTGCGACCAGCATGGATCCAGACCAGCCTACGCATCTGCGCAGTCTGGTCAGGATCCATGCTGTTCGCTTACCAACTCTTTTACAAGTAGACAAACTGATAGCGAACAGCATGGATCCTGATCAGACTGCGCGGATGCGCAGGCTGGTCTGGATCCATGCTGGTCGCAAACCCATTATGTTGGTTTTGTCATGACGCAGCTCAAATGTTTTTGCTTTGTTATTTAATGAACGCATTATTGTTCATTTAAAAAATCTTAAAGTCCAGCCAAGACTATTTGTGCCTGAACTATAAAGCAAGGATTTGAACACATGGTGTGTATATTCTGTTATTTCTAACATTTTGTTAACTAATTTGGTAGCTTACTTGAATGTCAGGAGCAGGACATGAATTAATTGAGCTAAGGGTCTTGGATGCTTGAATGACAGTCAATGAACTTGGCATTTATCGACATAAGTTGTAGATGTATAGTAAGAATATGTAACTATCTCAAGTTGTTAGGTAGGCTGTGTTAATTTGATCATATTTATCCGATATATGCTGTTCAACCTGTTAATTGAAATACCTGTTCATATAGATTTCTGTTAAGGATTGTATAACTGATAATCAGTGTTTTAATATTGCCATGATGTTCTGTAAGATTGAATTAAAGCTTAACATGATACTTTATGCTTTATGACACATCAGTCATGAATAAATGACACATCAATCATGAATAAATGACAAATCAATCATGAATTAATGTATTTTCAGCATTAAATTTGCTAATGAAACAAGCAGCGCGACCAAAATCTCTTCTTCAAGGCTGTGATAGGACTGTGCAATATTTACAACATTTAGGTATGTATTCTATTAGTGTATGTATAACAAAATATGCCAGTATTTAAGTAAATATTTCAACTTGAAACATTATTTATTTAAACTCATTTACGAAGTAAGTTTGTAGATTGTTTGCCTCCTTAAACTAACCAGTAATGGTGTCATATTAAGAAATAGGTAGTGACTCTAAAGATGATCTTGCATATTAAGGAGACACTTCAAAAACTGCATTTGTCTTTTTAGCTTGTCTCTTTCGAAGACAAAGTCGAGCTATTATGATAGCTGTGGCATTGCTGTAGTTGAGGTTGTCGTTGTGCAAAAACATTACTGTAGCCCATTATTCAAACATTTAAATAGTTATCATATGAAACTCGGAAAACTTGCTTATCATGACAGGTGCAGTTGTTTCACCTGAAAGCAATATTTTTGGCCCTTTTTAACTTAGAAATTTTAACAGACAAGTCTTAACACCACATGCGGTGCTCTTGTGTAACTTGTAAATTGACAATGGGGTATCTTTAAGATCTAGATGGAAAGATGGGCTGTTAAGCTGCTTGTCACTAAAATCCCTTGAATTAACAATGAACAATTTGAAGACCATTACACACAAATCTCTGGGTAAATTAGTTTATGAGTGTATAACAGCTTTCTCTTTATGTCTACATTTGTCTAGAAGATCAATTAGATTGACAATGTTGGTCTCTAATACCACTTAATAACTAGATTCATATAGATGACCAGTGAAATTCCTACAGCAGAACAGAACAGATTTTATTATTCAGTATGATTGAACATAACAGCTCCTTGTCAGCATAAACAGCATAAACTCCACAGAAGTGTTTGGAGGGATGTTATATGGAACAATGTTAACATCATGACTGTTCTGTGTCAAGATATGTTTTGTTGCTCAAGGTCCAGATTTTTGTTTTCAGGGCCAGATCATATAAATCTCATATTTGAATATGCTGATTGGGTAATAAAAGAATATCCTGAAGATGGACTAAAGGTAAATCCAAAAAAAGATCTTGAAAAAGTTGTTTTTATGTATGAAAGTAGTATAGTTTAGTTTAAATTTTTGCAAAAGCCAATTTTGAAGAGTTGTGATTAGTAAATAAATGTCCCTGTGTTTTGCACTGTACTCTTAATCTGCTGAATTTGTATAATGACTTTGCCCTGCAGTAAATTTGAAAGAGTCCATTTGAAGTTAAAGAGATTTCAGTATCAAAATTTAAAAAATGAGCTACAATTAAATATAGGGCTTGGTCAGACTGCAGTGATGTACAGATTGGTCTGGGTCTATACTGGTGGCAAATGCTAATCTCATCTGGTTTCAGGAGGTTTTTGGTTAATTTCAATAATATAACAGAAAATATTTTTCAATTTTTATTTCAGAGACAAATTTGTCAAGTAAACAGCCATCTTATTAATACATTGAAATTTTCCTAATTGCAAATAAACTGTTTTATTTTTTTCAGTACTTAAGTTTTGCAATATTTGTTAAGGTAAATGAAATGGTTATATTATTACAGATTTTCACAGAAGATCTGCCAGAAGTTGAAAGTCTACCAAGGCGGAAAGTATTGGATTATCTAGAAAATCTTAATAAGGGAAATAAAGACTTGGCCATAAAATATTTGGTAAGGTATTACTTCTGTCCTCTTTAAATAGCTTTGAAGTTCTTTTAAACCATGTTTCCAACTGATTTTCATAATAATAAAAGAGCAATAAACCAATCCATAATCATGGTGAAACATGTTTATACTTTGAGTGTATATTAATAGATGTATATAGTGGCCTAAAAACATGCAATCATGTCATATGAACATGTGATTTTGTAAGATTTGATCATGTTACAGTAACATGTCATTAACCCTTTCCCTCATGAGCATATTGTGAAAAATGGCCGTTTTCATTGAAAAGCCTCCTGTTACAAGTTCAAACTGCTATGAAACTATGAAAAATGCTTCAATACTAATCAAACTTGGCACAACTGTTGACTGGACCATTGCCTTTGTAACGACATGCTCAGTCTTAAATTTCCTGTTACCATGGCAAAGAGGGAACATCTCAAAATTGCCAAAAATCACTATTTTGCCTTGATTTTTTCCATCAAAATTTATTTCAAAGTGCTGCAACTTCTCAAGGGATTGAGATAGAGTCAAAGGCTTTTCAGCATTGGTTACACGTTACCTAAGGATCAACCTGGGGTCATTTTTAGCCTCTCACAAGTCCAAAATTTTCTTGGATGGGGGGCAGCGCCGAAAAAGTGCTCACTTTTTTTAGCAACATTTTTCGGACGAAAACATGTGTTTGGGGCCAAAATAGGACATTTTTTCACTATTTGAGGCCTGAAAGGGGGGGGGGGTCGAAATTGCGTTGTTTCGCGTACATATGTGTTAAAGGGTTAATGTTAGATTTTATAATGTCACAGGAACATATGTTATGTGTTAGATTTAATTATGTCACAGGAACATGTCATAAATGTTAGATTTTATCATGTCACAGGAACACATGTTATATGTTAGATTTTATCATGTCACAGGACCATGTGATATATATTAGATTTTATCATGTCACAGGAACATTTGAGATATATCAGATTTTATCATGTCACAGGAACATGTGATGTATGTTAGCTTTTATCATGTCACAGGAACATGTCATTCATGTTAGATTTTATCATGTCACAGAAACATATGCTATATGTTAGATTTTATCATGTCACAGGAACATGTGATATATGTAAGATTTTATCATGTCACAGGAACATGAAATATATGTTTGATTTTATCATGTCACAGGAACATGTGATATATGTTTGATTTTATCATGTCACAGGAACATTTGATATATATTAGATTTTTATCATGTCACAGGAACATGTGATACATGTTATATTTTATCATGTCACAGGGACATGTGCATATGTTAGATTTTATCATGTCACAGGGACATGTGAGATATATCAGATTTAATCATGTCACTGGAACATGTGATATATGTTAGCTTTTATCATGTCACAGGAACATGTCTTATATATGTTAGATTTTATCATGTCACAGGAACATGTGATACATGTTAGATTTTATCATGGCACAGGGACCTGTTGTATTTGTTACATTTTATCCTGTCACAGGAACATGTAATATATGTTAGATTTTATCATGTCACAGGAACATGTGATATATGTTAGATTTTATCATGTCACAGGAACATGTGATATATGACTGGAAGGACACATCGGAGGAAATACACAGTAGATTTGCTCAACTTCTCAGGGAGAAAGTACAGTTCCTTATGAGGGAATACATACAGTCACTGCCTGAAGGTTTGTATTTATTTTATACTACCTGCAAATGGTCAACATGACTGCTTCCTATCTCTCTACAATTACATTTTTATCTAAATAGATAAATAACTTATTTTAATGACTTATTGTTAATTAAACTACAAATTGAAAAAATGTAGAAAAACTTAGGTTTAACTTTTGACAATTGAGAATCTTTTAGTACATGTATAAGCTTTAACGAAATTTCTTTCCAATTTAGATTGTTAATAGATGATTAAAATAACTGGTAAGTTGTGTGCAATAATCACTATTTATCTCCTCTACATTTAGTCTAGAAATTACAACTTATTACTGTTAAACCACTTGTAACCACTTGTCCCTCACCGCTTTGGGTTAGAATCCTGGCAGAGACTTTGGATTCTCTCATGTTAGGGAGCTAGGTTACGGAACGTCTGTAGTTCTAGTCAGGTGCCCTTTTATGCCTAAAACAATGCAAGGAAGGGCACCTGACCTGGAAAGTTACCATAACACAGATACTGTGTGGGTGCGATGTAAAACCAAACAGAAAAACAAAAGAACAAAAACAATACTGTTTAAAAACATGTACAATACCTAACACATCAAATATTATATTATTAATATTGACTATTACAGGGCACATGCCAGTGAAGAAAGCAGGTACAGAGCCAGCTGAACTAGGGGAATATAGAAAAAAACTTATAGATTTTCTACATATGTCTACATATTACAAACCAGAGGAATTGTTACCTAGATTTCCTTTAAATGGTATGATTTATGTCATAAGTTTTTTGCAAAAATGTGACTTTTAAATGTTGAAATTTTCTTTATTGCTAGAGTATTATACATGTACTCAAGTTGTAGACTGACAGTGTGGTCACTTTGCTTTCTGGTATAATAACTATCATTTATCTCATGCTGATGTGAAAACTATGTACCATTTACCATGTCATTTACTTGAGTTGATGTGATTTTGGAACCGATAAAATCATTTTCTTGGATTTATTTTAACTCAAACAATATAGAAACAGCAGAAGGGCCTTATAGACTGAATTGTTAACACTTTTCTTAATCATGCCTGTAGGTTTGAATCCTACTAGAGACATTACATTTTAGTTTGTGCGGAAGCTATTCAGCTAGCCTATCAAAATCTGGTGGTTCTACTGAATTTTCTCCTTAAGCTTTCTTGATTCCAAAATAATGCACAGAGGGGCACCTGAGGTCTTTTGACACTTAATTAAAAGGCGGTCTTGGACTTCCTCCACCAGTACAGCAGGAAAGTCACCATATGACTTTCACAGTTTCATTGTGACATAAGACCAACCAAGATAAAAAAAAACAAAAACAGAAAAACAACTCTGACTTCATCCGTTAGTGATATTTCGTAACAGTGTTTGTTAGGTTGTTTAAATTTGTATACATTCAGAAATAAAATGTGTAACATTATTTAATTGTAGAATTTTTTGAGGAGCGTGCAATATTGTTAGGTCGACTGGGAAGACATGAGGTGGCATTAGGGTTGTATGTGATAATACTGAAAGATGCCAAATTAGCAGAGGAGTAAGTGATAGTTTACATTGATATAATTTATTAGTTGTATTTTGTTGTTTCATTCTTTAACTAACAAGTGCCCCTTTTTGTCACTTTGAGTATGAATTTTATTAGAAGCTACTTAGTCAACATTTGCTTGTGGTTTAAAATAGGTTCAAATTTGTTTTTGAAATTATTACAGGAAGCATACATTAGAGGTCGACCTTACAACAGTTACTACCAATTTTTCAAAGAATTCTTTTCTTTTTATTTCAATGGTCTTTCAATCTGACATTAAGACCACCTCGCAATTCTGTAAAATGACCACTTTCTCCCGAGCAATTAAAAATTTGCATATGTTTCGACCCCGCTATTCAGACCATACCTGGATAGTTGTAAAATCATGCATGTCAACACTAATTGATTTTTTACTGTTGTTAGGAGTTTTGTTCTAATTATTGACCCATAGTTTTACTACATCAAGAAGGGTTTATGGTTGCCGCTAATTGATAGGTTTGAAATTCATCAGAGTATCTATGTAATGGCATTTTTTTTATTGATAGGCAACAAAGGATTATTGGTAACAAGAAAATTGATTTCACTAACATCTTTGTTGATTATTAACAATATTTAATGATTGAACTTAAATTTAAAAGTTTGTTTTTCTCAATTATTGTAAATTCTGCTTACTCACAATAATTATTGAATACCTTGGGAACAGGTTTTTAAATGCTTAACTGATGACTGATGATATTTCATTATCATTCCAGTATTAAACTTTTTTAATAAATCGTATCACCAAAGTTATCACTTTCATATTCAAAAGTCAATTTTCGTGTAGTTATTTAGAATAAAAAAAAGTTTAGCTTATCATTAAAGTAATTATGAATTTGTGTCTGAATGCTCCGAATCTTATGACATTTTAATTCAGAATTCATAAAAAAATAACTTTGTGTTTACATAATGCACCAAAAGATTGACATTGACACCAATATAACTTTTTGAGACAATCCAAAATTAAGACCATCCCACTATTAAGACCAATTTTCTCGAGAACCACAGGCTGTCTCATTAGTGGGGTTATAATGTATTTAAATATGTCAGTAATGAAGTGCCAAATGACCTTATGACTTAAACTGTGGGAGACTGACGCAATACTCAAACAAACGTAATAAATGTATTTGATCTTTTTGATATAAATACAATAAAAAAACCTTGCATTGACAATCATATTTTAAGATGAATGAAAACATTTCAAGGAAGTGTTTTTCCAGTGCTGAACATTAAAATTACAAATTAAATTTCTCTTTTAATGTAATTTTTCCACATTTTCAGATATTGTAGGAAGTACTACAACAAGCATTCCCCTGGAGATAGTGATGTAAGTTTTATATAATGTATGAAGTAGATTATCTTGCAAACTTACCAAATTGAAGTAATAAAATCAATTTTTTTTGTATGAATTGAAAATTCAAAATAAAATTTCCTCTAATTAGCAATCTCATTAAAATCATATCCTAACTGTCGCTCCACTACCTTTTGCCAGGTAGCCGAAGAGTAACAGGGCGAAAACAATGATCTAATTTTAATGAGATTGTCTAATTAGTGGTTTCATATGGATTTCAAGACTATTTTATAAGAAGGTACACTAAATATCACATTGGTGTTTCTGCCTGAACAGAAGTAAGGCCATTTTTATATGTTGTTGATTTTCATTGTTGGTGAAGATCTATTAAAGTCGAAACTTGAAAACAGAACTTCTTAAATCATTAAGGCAGACTTAAGCGTATTTGATTTAGCCTAAATTTCTTTCACAACCAAACTAAAGCATTAGGTTGGAATCTTTTAGTGCTTCTGGTTATGATAGTAGGCCTTAATATAGAGCAAGGGCAGCTTTCACATCTGTTCAGTCTGACCAGACCAAGCTTTTAGGATAATATAAATATTTTCAATAAACAATAGACAAATTCAAAACATTGCAAGTTCATCATTCAAATATACTGTGTGTATTTGGTTAAATTTACATAATATGTATTTCAGGTATATTATTATTTACTGAAAGTATATTTACAACCACCTGAGCCCTCATCACTAGGTTTGACAGCATTTAAAGATGGTATAAAACCAGAGCCTAACCTTCCAGCTGCCTTAAAGATTATGGAACAACATGCAGGATGTTTAGATACAACTAGAGTGAGTCTTTAAAGTCACTGTTTGTTTCATCATAGAGGAAGATTTTACATCAGTGCCATAGTTACTTAATTAGTGGATTTATATTAAGAACATTTCATTTTCTGTTTGAAAAAAAATATAGAGATTACGTGGTTGATGTTGGAATGGAGAAGGTTTATCCGGTGAGCAAGAAAATGTATCTTTGTGAGCTTTCACTACAACAACCACGTATTTGATTTATCGTGCTTTGTCCACATTTTAATCATGTTTTAAGATTATTTAAATAGTTTCATTGTTATTTTTCCTCTGCTAAAACAGTGTCTAACCATGTGACGTCATCATAGGCTAACATGACTGGAGATTGATAAATTTATCCAGCTGATAATATAGACAGCAGGATAAAATGTTATAATTGTAATTGTTAGTGATCTTAGTTTGGTCAAATAGTTATTTGTTGGTGCTTTGACCAGCTATACTAGTAGCTTACAGATATGGAATTTTAATTTGTTTCAGGCATTAGAGTTACTTCCCCCTGACACAAAGATTCAGGACATACTGGCATTTATGGAGAATGTTTTAGAACTTAAAGCATCTACAAAACATCAAAACAGGGTATTAAGAAACATGTTGTTCTCGGAGACACTACATGTAAGTAGGGGATGAATTTCTTTGATGGTTTACCTTATGTAAAATTATCCTTAATTCATTGGACTGTAATGTTTAATTTTTGCTATTCTTTGAATCACATTTTTTTTTCTCAACATCAGCCATTAAGATTCATATGAAGATGTCTCTGTAAATTTGTAGGTATATTTGAGTGGAAAAATGGAGAGAGGAGTATTTGGATATGCAAGAAGTTTTGCTTAAAATAAAATTATTGACATAGCTTTGTTAAATGTTTGAGTGGTTATTGAAAACAATTACACCATTGTGATATAAAACTTCAAATTCTTGTTATAATAATGAAATGCCAATGTGGCTTGCCTAGGTTTATGCCAGTCTGTTGCATTGGCCAGTCTGCACATTTAAACAGCCTGGCTTAACTTTCCTGCTTTCTACCTAATCTAAGCATTTTCATACTATAATCCCCCACTTTTAACAATGAAAATTTCTACATTCAAAGCAAGACAAGTCCACTTTACAAGTTAAGTTTGATCAGGATTAATCTTGTAACAAACATGAAACATCATCATTTTGATATTCATCCTGTACCACACTAAATATCTTAAATAGACTTTTCCATCTTCAATCTGGACAAAAACCATGAATCGTGATTAAAGAAAATTTCAAAATATGAAAATAAGTACTGACAATGATAAGATAGCATGGCTGTGATGACTGATCTTGGTCTTGTTTTATATATATATACTCAGTTGTTGACTACAGGCTAAAGTTTAATGAAATAATTAACATGATATGGTGATATAGTAAAGTTAATTAACATGAATTGGTGATATAATAAAGTTGATACATATGAATTGGTGATATAGTAAAGTTAATAAACATGAATTGGTGATATTATAAAGTTGATACACATAAATTGGTGATATAGTAAAGTAATGGATAATGATGTATAATTCAGGTACATGAACAGAGGATGTTTTATCAGAAAGAAAAGGTTGTCATAGATGATTTCAAGATGTGTGTGGTCTGTAGGAAACGTATTGGAAACAGGTGAGACATCTGTAGTTAAACATGGTAGTAACTGTGTATAATAAAAGATCATAGCTTATGGTAAGATATTTGTAACCATAATAGAATCGGGCCTCCATGCATATCTGTGCAACCTCACCAGGTTCAATATCACTGAATTGTCACTAGTAAAGAGTCAGGGCATTTGCTGTTGGTAGTTGAATTTGTGTGCTTTGATATTAAAACCACTTAAACTTGGAATGGAGTGTTCCAAATTCAAAGCATACATATTCAGCAGGTATTTTAATGTCAAAAAAAATATTAGTGGATTGTTCTGAGGTAGGTCTATAACACAAAATCAGTGGGGATAAAGTCTTAAAAGATTATTACAATTTGAAAAGTAAATTTATTGTGATATATGTAGAGTAACTCTGTTTGTCAAAAACTTGTTAAAATATTTTTAAATGAGTAAGTTTTACAAAAAAAAAATTATGTCTTAAAAATGATTTTTTTGTTTTCCAAAAATACAAATTTGTTGCATCGATTCATTTTTTTGAATAGTAGAATATTGTTTGTTGTATTGTTTTTAAATGTCTAAAGGTTTTGATTTCTCTTCTTTCAGTTTCTTTGCTCGTTATCCCAATGGTGTTATTGTACATTATGGATGCTGTAAAGATCCTAAAGTTCCGCCTTGTGATCCCTGATAGAAATGGTGCTGTAAACATTCCAATGCTAATAAGTGCTTCACAATTATAGTGCAATGTAAAAGTCATGTGACCTCAGTAATCCACTATAAAATGACTCCTGTAGATATAGTTTGCAGGATAGTTCTTACACTTTTAAAGGATTAAAGCAGCACACCTCCAGATTCATGTTAAATTTCATGAAAATTTTGATAATGTATTTGACAGTAAAATATTGTGAGGTGAACAAATAAAGTTATTTACATATTGCAATTGGCATTACAATCCATGCAAATAACCAAAAAGAGGTCAAAATGTGCAAAAAAAACCTTACTGCGTTAGTAACGCAGTAGAAATATGGTAATAAAATACTGCAAAATCAGTCTTAAATCGCAAATAACATGTAAACTTTAACATTGATCTTGATTGTTTTTTACTTTTCTTGAAATATTAGTACATTTTTCTCAATTTTCATTTTCTTGAAATATTTTGGCTCATCTGGAGGCGTGCAGCTTTAAAAATCTATTTTTGTTTATAAAGATTTTGACCAATTTTTACTCAAAATTGATTGGTTGATTTAACACAAGTGTAACAGACTATGTTGAAATATGTTATTTTTAGTCAAATTTACATTTTAACATGATGATAGACTTCAAATCAAAATTGTTTGATGGAAAATTTTGAATCTTTTTTTCAACTAGTGCATTTTAAGATTTTCATAAAAATGTAAGTATAAAGATGGTTGAAAGGAATCCCAGAGGTTGTCTGCACACATATATAGATTTATATAAAATGATAAAATGTGATGAATTTTCCTTGTGCACTGTATTTATATATATATTTATATATGTGTGGGGGAAAAAAGAATACTACTTCACTTGAGTCTGTGATTATTTGTTTATTAAATGAGTATTAAGTGTTTGTGAACTTGTATTTAGGTAAATCTAAAAAAAATATATGTAACAAATCAAGTGTTAAACTGAACAAAAAAATCTACTGTATTTTCTATAGATTAGACTTTACAATGTGATATTTTTTACGAAATTATCAATTCATCGAAATTTCATTGCCTGTAATGCATGAATGAATATTTTCTCATCAAACATTCTCACAAAGTTTGATTATGATCCAACCAAAACTGTGACTGGTAATGTGTTAACAACCTCAATGTTGACGATGCACGAGAAAATGTAGCTAGTCAATATAAGGCATTACATTATGTGTCTGAAATATGGGGTTTGTCTGGTCTGGTAAGCAAATGCATCATATTAGGGGGAATATTTTTTTTTTTTTAAATGTGTGTTATAGTCTTAGATGAGTAGTAGTACTTATTATATGGTGTTTTTTTGGCTTGAAGATTCAACACAGTAAAAGATAAAATGATTTTTGAAATGTCAGATAAATGAAATTTTAGTCTGAAGTTGTCAGAAAAATACTTCTGACATCAATTATAATAACTTTTGTTGTAATTTAATTAATCACTGCTATATTGCAAATACCAATCTCAATTGCATTGATATTTATGGAGAGAGGGATTAATAAAGACTTATAGACCTTGATGTTTGTATGGAAAAAAAACAACAACAAAAAATGGAATGAGCAGATGTCTTGAATTTAGCAAGACTGTTCCTTGTATTAAGGTCATTTAAGAAGCTTTTAAATAAAGTTATCATTTTGGTAAATGCCAGAATGCAAGTAGCAAGGGAATAGATGGGTTTGTTTTTAAATAAAAAGACTGTTTAATAACTCAAGAAAACCACAATATTTTTTTTCTGAGTTTTCAAATGAGCATTTCACAGTAAGATAATCTTACATTGAAAAAGGCCAAAATGTAAACATAGCTATAGATTGCTCTATTTTACAAAGAAACAATGAGAAGAACATGAGCTTTCATTTAGAACCTGTATTTTGTTCTTCCTGATATTGATAACGTTGCTATTATGTGTCAAATATACTTTATTTTTATGTTACTTTGCATGCTTTGTAAATGATGTATTAATTGCCACTTTGTTATAGGATAAATCATGCATATGTATGTATTGTTACTCAAATTGCTATTTATATAAAATAATAAATTTGATGAATAAATATGAAAAATAATCATTTTGTGGTTTTTGTGTATGATAGATATGTATCATTTTGTAAACTGAAAGTGAAATTCTGTATGTGCTGTAGTATGAATCAATTAGAAATTACTGCTGAATTTAGTTTATACAGATTTTATTTTAGTTTGTGTAGGAAGCTATAAACTTACAGACACACTCTTGGCTCCATTCATGGAACCAACCAGTACTGAGCAATGTGTGTAAAGTTTCTTACTGAAGGAAACAATGACTTGCCCCTGACAGGGTTTAAAACCATGCAGCTAGCGATCCTTATATTACTAGTTGAGTTACTATTGCTGAATTTGTTACCTAGACAACATAATTTAGACATAAAATCATGTGTATAATGAAAGTAGTGTTATGTAATACATATACTGGGATTGTACAGGCTAGTATGTTTGTACCTTTTTTGCATCGCTGAAGATTTCATTATTTGTTCTAAAAACTTTTGCCAATTGCATGAAAAGCATACCTCTGGCATTCTCATTCTATGTTTATTATTGAAAGGATACCAAATTCACCATAAATAAGTGATAAGCACTTGAATTTTATATGTCAAATACTTTGTGATTTATATTACTTCCCATTTATTTTTGAATGTTTTACAATAGGACAATAGAAAATACCCATGGCCCAGTTCTCAACATAGCCCAAATTACATTCAGTATATTATTATTTGAATATTATAAATAGGTGGTAACAATAGAAACAGGTATGTGATTGATATTTTATAGTTACAGTGTATGGCATGTTTCCTGCATATTAATCAGATTTTATTAACACAGAGTAATCTATTTATGTCTGGCTATCCGATATATGAAATAATGTAATTTACCATCCATGTAGTAAATAACTCGTGCTTACAAATATCCCTACATGTAAATGGACCTCTTTGCACTAATCATTGATTTTACTTGTAGAAAAAGCCTTGCAAAAAAAGCCTAGCCCATAAAATCATCAATAGTTTAATTAAAGACTTTGTCCAAACTATGTTTAATTAGGTTTTGCAGTTTATCATTTGTGTATTTAATTAATATTTACTGAACATTTGCACAATTAACAATTGTGTTTAAGGTCATTTATTTAAGGTAATTTAATGAAGTAATTATTATATGCAGTATTATTTTTGGATCTACTTTAGTTTTAACATAGTGATTCAAATGTCATGAACAATAGCAGAGTACTTATAATGTTGACATATAAATCCTGGTTGGCATGATAAAATTATAAATATACATTAGTGTATAATGGTTACATCCTACTCAAAAGTAGAAGGAAATGATTTTGTTAACAACAATAAATTGATCTAGTAATCACAAGTACTTTAAAAGTCAAATAATCAAAACATGTTTATATAAGATAAGTAGTTTATGTTCACTTGGTTTGATGCATTATAGGAGAGAAGTTTAATATTAAAATTTAAGTGTAATTTTAGGTTTTGAAAATGCTTGTACATTTTATGCAAAAGAACAAGCTGTCTTGTTTTGCTGTTATGCTTAATTATTAGAAATATTATAACTGACACAACAATTTTAAGTTAAAATGATTTGGGAAAGCTGAAACTCTGTTACAATATTGAGACATAAATGGTGTTTCAGTAAATGTTTTACTGATTTTAAGGCGCACACAAGCAATCAGCTGAATTGTTTGAGATATTGTTAGGGTGCCACATTGTCAGGTGTGATACACAGTGTTAGTTTTAAAGTTTAGGAAATACTGGCAGCACTGAAAGATGTGAGTGTTTGGAGACACAAATTTAAGATTTTGAAAATACTGGAACACCATAAAATTGGTGTGTTTGGAAGTACACAGTGTAAGATTCAGGAAATACTGTATATAACAGTATATTGTAAGATTCAGGAAATACTGTATATAACAGTATATTGTAAGATTCAGGAAAAACTGTATATAACAGTATATTGTAAGGATATTACTGAGCATCATGAGTGGGTCAACAGCTAAGATGGATGCATATGAGTATGAGACAGTAAAGTGCTTCAAGAAACTAGGATGTACTGTGGAATGCATTACAGCATATGGTAAGTTTAACATTTGAGCTGTGTCATGACAAAATCAACACCAGCATTGATCTAGACCAGCCTGCGCATTCGCAGGATCCATGCTGTTTGCTATCACTTTCTCTACTTGTTATAGGGTTTTTAAGCGAACAGCATGGATCCTGATCAGACTGCGCGCATGTGCAGGCTTGTCTTGATCCATGCTGTTCGCAAACCCATTATGTTGGTTTGTCATGACACGGCTCATTTTATTTTTTTTAGTTAAATATCAAAAATTGTTATATTCTTCTATTCCTAATGATTTAAAAAGGCCTTGCCAAAGAAGGTTGTCATACTTGGGATTCATCTAATGTGATGCCATTATAAAAACCAAATTTCTAATAAGAGGTACATGATAGCTCAAAGATTTTTTTAGCTACATGTGCAAATTACAAAATCTTCAAAAAGAAATCTAACCCAACATCAGGATTTGTTCAGGATTTAACTACAAGATTTTTACTGCTCATAAAATATGTGAAGTTTTCTTTTTTTCAACATTGTTAGGTGTAAAAGTTGATTTTTATGCCACCGCAGCATCTGCAATGCGGTGGCATATAGCGATTCACTGGTGTGTTTGTATGTGTGCTATAAAGATTATATAGTGAACTTAAAAAATCTTCATGTGAAAAACCACTTGTCTAATTTCAACCAAACTTGGCAGGATTGATCCTAGGGTGAAGGCTTTCAAAGTTATTCAAAGCATTTCATTCCATGCAGAAATCTTGTTGCCATGGCAACCAAAAGGAATTATAAGAATAAATTTAAAAAATCTTCTTGTAAAGACCCATAAGGCCTAGAGCATAGATATTTTGCATAAGGCATTGTCTTGTAGGCCTCTACCAAGATTGTTCAAATTATAGCACTGGGGTCAAAATTGGCCCCGCCCCGGGGGTCATTGATTTTCACTATATGTACATATAGTAATAACTAAAATACCTTCTTGTCTGAAGGTACAAGGCTTAGAGCTTTGATATTTGGTATATGATATCATCTATAGGTACTCTACCAAAGTTCTTCAAATTTTGCCTCTAGCGTCAAAATTAGCCCCGCCTTGGGGGTCATAGGTTTTCCTTTTATGTATATAGTAAAAACTTAAAAATCATCATCTCGAAAATTACAAAGGCTAGAGGTTAGATATTTTGCATGAAACATTGTGTGGTGAACCTCTACCAAGATTCTTCAAATTATAGCCAAAATTGGCTCTGCACCAGGGGTCATTGATTTTCACTATATACATATAGTAAAAAAAAACAACGTTATTGTCTGAAGGTACAAGGCTTAGAGCTTTTATAGTGGGTATATGATAATTATCATCTATAGGTACTCTACCAAATTTGTTCGAATTTTGCCTCTAGTGTCAAAATTAGCCCCGCCCTGGGGGTCATAGGTTTTTCTTATATGCATATAGTAAAAACTTTTTAAAAAATCATCTTCTCTATATTGACAAAGGCTACAGGTTAGATATTTTGCATTGTGTAGTGAACCTCTAGCAAGATTATTCAAATTATAGCCCTGGAGTCAAAATTGGCCCGCCCAGGGGGGTCATTGATTTTCACTATGTGTACATAATTATAGTAAAAAAAATTAAAAATCTTATTGTCTGAAGGTACAAGGCTTTGAGCTTTGATATTTGGTATATGATATCATCTATAGGAACTCTACTTGAAAAATCTTCTTCTCTGAATTGACAAAGGCTAGAGGTTAGATATTTGGCATAAGACTTTTTGTAGTGAACCTCTACCAAGATGTTCAAATTATAGCCCTGGGGTCAAAATTGGTCCCTCCCTGGGCGTCATTGATTTTCACTATATACATATAGTTAAAAATTAAAAATCTTATTGTCTGAAGGTACAAGGCTTAGAGCTTTGATGTTTGCTTTATACTATCATCTATAGGTCCTCTACCAAAGTTGTTCAAATTTTGCCCCTGGTGTCAAAATTGGCCCTGCTTGGGGGCATTGATTTTCATTATGTACACATAGTAAAAACAGAAACTTTAAAACAAATGGTTTCTGAATTGGAGAAAGCTACAGCTTAGATATTTGACATGAAATGTTGTTAGGTGGACCTGTATGAAGATTGTTTGAGTTAAACCCTTGGGTCAAAATTTTGCCTTGTCCAAGGGGACAGTGACCTACTTTCTTGTCCTTTGATGTACAGCAATGAAATTTTGACCATGTTCACATTTTTGTTTTGTTAAATTGAACTTTAATATCAGGTGACCTAGATTTTGATGATGTGACCTACTTTTGTCCTTTGATGTGCAGCTATGAAATTTGAACCATGTGCACAGATTAAGATGTAAAGTGAACTTTGATATCAGCTGGCCTAGATTTTGACAAAGTGTCTTACTGTGTTGTCCTTTGATGTACAGTCATGGAATTTTGGCCATGTGAAATATGACTTTCACCACCAAATTCACTAGACTCAACTGCATTGATAGATTCCTACTCTGATCTTTTATTTGAATAACAATAGATTTAACCACTAATCTAATAATAAGAATTAGATAGGTCAGTGATCTATGCATTATGGCAATCTTCATTTGTATAGAAACAAAAAAAAATCTGTTCCTACATTACTATTTGAGTGTTGTATTAATGCGGTGGCATAGCGTTTTTCCCAAATGCAATATTGTTATATTCCAAATTTAGGCATATTAGAATATTACTTTAAATTCTAATACTAGTTTGTTTGTCAATGTATGTTTTTGATCAATTTATAATTTTTATGTTAAAAAATGGTTACTTAGTTTTTGCATTGTTTTGTAAAACTTCATAATTAAAAACTGAGATTAAAGGGATACATTTATTATAACAGAACAGTTTGCAATTTTTTATTTTTCAGATGATACATTACTTGTAGCAGTAAAGGGGGATCAACTGTTACGTTACAAGGTCGTCTATATATATGACATAAACAGTAAGCATGGCATATAAGCTATTATTATACAGGATTATTATAATTATAAAAGTATCTTGATCAGGAACTAAGTGTATTTGACTGGAGTGGATTTTCCCAGCCCTGGAGGATCACAAAATAACAGGCACAGCGAGGCTGACTTTGATCTGTTGTAGTAAAGTAAATTAAAGAGCCAAAAACAAGAAATATACCTCCTCTAAACCATAATTTAAGCCATGACATACTGAATCATATTACATGTGCATCTCCATGCAGTATCACACTTATTATTACACTTAAGTGAACTTGTGTAAATGAATTTGCCAATCTTTGAATATGGAACAGGGTAGTCTCAGCCTCAGGTCAGACTGCATGGACGTGTAGGCTGGCATAATATCAGACAACCCAATTAAATAATCCTTATCCCTCCACCCTTATACAGATATCATGTGGGATAAGAAGTCAGTTAATGTGTCACCTGAGGAGAAATTAATTTTAATTTTAATACTGGTTAGTTATCCAGGAAAGTCAGTAAGGTGGATGAACCACCAAGATATGACCAAAAATAATTTGCAATCAGTGTGAGAACCATATAAATAATCCTCCAAACTCTGTGCACTTAAATTATCCTTTGAAATTTGGTACAAATATTAAAAGAAACTGGAGTAAATCAGCAGTGAAAGAAAAAAGTGTAACTGTATTGATTAATAAGGGATGTAACTTTGTAGTTTGGTAGCACAGACATTTACATATCCTTTCAGCAGCTGTTATATTAACGTAATAAAACATATTCGCGAAGGTGGCACTTTTGGGCTTCCGTAGATTCCATATTAATTCCTCAAATTTGGATTAGGCTCCAACATTGAAACATATGCATGGCATAATACAGGATGTCACGTGATCAAGGTCAAGGACGAATTTCGAACACCGCTATTTCCATTTAAAGACGTGTTTGCGTGCGTGCGAATTTGACAAAATTGGAAATTTGAATTCTACCGCCAACACATGTTTCTCACCAGGTGCGTGTCACGTGACTTTTCCTGCCAAAATGTTATATTTTTCAAACAGATAAATGGTCAAGGTGGGGAACAAACACAAAGTTAACCATGTAGGAGACAGCTGCACTGCGTTTATACTTCCGTTTTTTTTTTAGCCGCGCATACATCACCATAACAGACTGCGCATGTCGTCACGTCCTGAAATCGCATGCTCTGACGCGTGCTTTTATGTCACACACCACTAAATCAGAATGTCATAGGGTTGAAACATCGCCAGTAACTGCCTATATGGACTGAGAGGCGACACTTTGAGGTAGGGGGTCAATATGAAAATGCTTGAAAAGGTGGTGGCCGCCGAAAGGATATAACATGCTGAACTTGTTGCCACAACTGAGTATACAATGTAGACCCAGGCAAGCTTGCACATCTGGCTCAATTTTTGTTTTGAAATCCCTGAATGGACTGTTGGAGGACTAGTACTTAAACAGTTAGATAAGTTAAAACAAATATTTGAATATCACTTTACAAGTGCCCAACTGGTTCAAATTATAATATTATCTTTTTCATTCTTTCTGCATGTGCTGTACTTTTCAGAGAACAAACAGAAAGTAAGAGTTAAAGACCCTGATGTCTACAAAGTATTTGGAAAGCCAGTGTCCAAGGTAAATATATAGCAGGTATAAGTGATTATCATCACAAAGTCTAGGCAAGAGGACATACATTTGTAACTCTGTAAAGAATTTTAACAAAATTATGCCTGTTTGTGGATTTCAAACTATGGCACATTTTTTACTATATATTACCTATACCATTAAGATAATGTTAAAACTTTGAATACTAATAATTATATAACTATCATCTCAAATTGCAGGCAAGTAAGTTAAATCTGCAGTAGGTTTTGAGAAATTATGCCCCCTTTTTACTTAGAATATCTAAGTACTCACAATTTTTTGTACCACCCCACAGTTTTACGATAAGGTATTACTATGAATCTTTATTGTTCCTCTTTTTCCTCCCAACATAGTTTATTTAAAAGAGTCTTTCCTAAATTTTCCACTTTCAATTTCAATTTCGAAATACCTAAAATTTCTTATAATCCTATCAATAAGAGCTTTTTTGGAACTGTTGTATCATAGTTTTGAGACCTTTCTGTTGAAAATGTGTCAGGGTTAAATCGTATACATATACATGCACAGTGCGTTAACTGGAGTGCGGGTATTAGTTACCCGCACTCCAGAACATGCCCATTGATTGGCTCATTTTTGCTGGGGTTTACATATTGTGACGGCAGAGAAAGGGAAAGTGACAGAAATGTCATATTCAGATGTTCGTTCATTGGTTCATTTTTGCCGGGGTTTCATATTGTGACAACAGGGAACGTGCTTTTATGTTTGACTATGATACAAAAGAGAAAGAACACCAAAACACTCGGCAATCTGATTAATACTCGGGGGCTACGCCCCCTCGTACAAATCAGATAGCCTCGTGTTTCGGTGCTCTTTCTATTACTTGTAATTCAATTATCAAGTACTTCATATAAGGTGAGCAGGCTATCTGATAGTCAGCTTATGTTTTTTTTTTTTTTTGTTTCTTCAATAAAATATTATTTGCTTTGTTACAGATGCATCCAGTTCCTGAATTTTCTTTGTTACTGGCTGTGTATGGTAAGTGTATTTATCATGTTGTGATAAGTATATAGTCTTAAAACCATTTCCTGATTAATTTCATTTTTAGTTCAAAACTGATTCATTTTGCAATTTTATTTAATGTCAGTGATTATAAAATTATAATTTCAAACACTAAGATTGAGCGTCCAGCAGTGAGGACTGGTGAGACTCGTGAGACTTCACGGACCTGCAGACTGACATATAGCACTGACTTCTCACACAATAACCTTTATTAAAAAATTGCGCTAGAAGTATGTAAAAACAGCATAATTGAATGACGACCTCAGACTTATTTAATCTCTCGCCTTGCTAGCTTAGTCTTTAAATGCGTCTGATGGTGCTTCTACAGATGTTAATGCAAGAAAAAAATTCATTAACCTCTTTGTCATGTCCTTTTGTTGACTAATAATTTCTTTATTTACATTAATTATACTCCTTTTAAGAAGTTTTATTAGTTTAATGTATTAACAAGTTATCTGGTTAGTGCACTACGCATACGTTAAAGTTTATTAGTACGTATTTACAATATTTTAATTGGTCAGGCGTGGCACAGACGCGCAACCAATTTAATTTTGTAAATACATACTAATAAACATACTAATAAACTTTAACTGGCTTAGTGTTTTAAATTATTTTTATGAAAAGTCGATTTACTTGACTGATTAACAGTTTGCCGATTTACCAAAGTAAATGTGTTACGATTCATTTGAAATACTGCAAACCGATTGGACAAAAAATAATTTCTAACACTAAGTGACAATATAAACTATAATTATTATATTCCCAAAACTGATATTTAAAAATGCAGACTGAACGTGTCATTACGTATAGGTTAGTGTTTAACAATATGTATTAACAAAAATAATTGGTCAAGCCTGCCGCAGGCAGGCGACCAATTATTTTTGTTAATGCATATTATTAAACATTAACCTATTTAATGATCAACATTATTTTTTCAACCAAAAACAAGGCATTTCACTAAATCACTGATAGCTCCGCCCTTTCGCTCTGCAAGATGTCTACACCTTGTCAAGTTTCTAACATTTCACATTTAGATAACCTAAATAAATGACCCTATCAACAAATAATCAGGCACATTTTTTACTGAAATGTCACAGAATTTATACCTTTATCTACAGTACGACTATCATGCTAAAAAAAAACACGAGGAAAAAGATGCAATTTGGTAAAAACAATGGAGTTAATGAAATGTGTACATCCTTTATAAATAAATGGAAAATGTGAGAAAATACATTATATTAATAATTTAAACAAATAAAAATTTACACAAATTCGTTATTAGCTTTAAGTTATTCACTAACATTTAAAATCCCTATTGATTTCCTCATTTGAAAAACAGTTTTTCTGTGTGTCAATCTATTTTTACAGGTGGAGGGGGTTCATTTACAATTAGTTTTCCAGCCAAAAAATGTAATCATTTTATTCTTAATACTGCAGTTCATTTCTATCAACTGAAAGAAAATTTCGTGTGGTTACTTTTTCTAGAAAAAAAACAGTCAGCAATTTGTAACAGACATTTTTCTTAGAGTTAAAAGGATATAAAAAAAATTACTATGTAATCATTTGTCTCTGCATGCCCCACATGTATTATCTATGTAATAAATTAATTGATTATATCCTCACATTTAGAAACACCTGACCTCGCTTAATTGTTTTTTTCTTGGCATTGTTTTGCTAACCTAGATATTTTACAATTCAGAGTGCAAATCACACCTCTAACTCCTCCCTAATATAATGCATTATTGAAATTTGTTAGACTGCGGTTAGACGACAGATTAAGTGAATTTTATTTAGTTAGTACACATTAACCAAAGTTAGACTTAGCAGAAATTTGAAAAATACTACAATGTGATTGGACAAAAAATAATGTTGATCATTAAATTCATGATTGTGCCCATATTTGTTTATTTGAACTTTCTATATTATTTCAAACATTCCTGATGTCTTTTATTACAACATATATTATTTCAAACATTCCTGATGTCTTTTATTACAACATATATTATTTCAAACTTTCCTGATGTCTTTTATTACAACATATACTATTTCAAACTTTCCTGATGTCTTTTATTACAACATATATTATTTCAAACTTTCCTGATGTCTTTTATTACAACATACACTATTTCAAACTTTCCTGATGTCTTTTATTACAACATATATTATTTCAAACTTTCCTGATGTCTTTTATTACAACATATATTATTTCAAACTTTCCTGATGTCTTTTATTACAACATATATTATTTCAAACTTTCCTGATGTCTTTTATTACAACATATATTATTTCAAACTTTCCTGATGTCTTTTATTACAACATATATTATTTCAAACTTTCCTGATGTCTTTTATTACAACATATATTATTTCAAACTTTCCTGATGTCTTTTATTACAACATATATTATTTCAAACTTTCCTGATGTCTTTTATTGCAACATATGTATTTATTACAACATATATTATTTCAAACTTTCCTGATGTCTTTTATTACAACATATACTATTTCAAACTTTCCTGACTTCTTTTATTACAACATATATTATTTCAAACTTTCCTGACGTCTTTTATTACAACATATACTATTTCAAACTTTCCTGATGTCTTTTATTACAACATATATTATTTCAAACTTTCCTGATGTCTTTTATTACAACATATACTATTTCAAACTTTCCTGATGTCTTTTATTACAACATATACTATTTCAAACTTTCCTGATGTCTTTTATTACAACATATACTATTTCAAACTTTCCTGATGTCTTTTATTACAACATATATTATTTCAAACATTCCTGATGTCTTTTATTACAACATATATTATTTCAAACATTCCTGATGTCTTTTATTACAACATATATTATTTCAAACTTTCCTGATGTCTTTTATTACAACATATACTATTTCAAACTTTCCTGATGTCTTTTATTACAACATATATTATTTCAAACATTCCTGATGTCTTTTATTACAACATATATTATTTCAAACATTCCTGATGTCTTTTATTACAACATATATTATTTTAAACTTTCCTGATGTCTTTTATTACAACATGTTTCAGACAATATGCTGAATGTTCATGACCTAGAGACATTTAAATCTAAGAATATGCCTCTTCTGAACACAAGGGGCATGAATGTAATGGCAGTAACAGTACAGGTATGATACTTTTATACTCATGTAATGTCAGAATGCATCTGTTACCATAGTAACCAATAAAATATATTAATTTATTTGTATATAAATTTTACTCTGAAATAATCTTTCTAATTAATTTTGTTGTTTTTGTATGGATATGACTTGTATGGAGTGACATGTGTATATGAACCAGTAATGAAATTTTAACAAACAAACACTTAGTTGAAAGGTTGTAAGTGTAATATAAAAGATAATTCTTGCCAATCAGCATTTGGGATTGTTTAGAGACAAATTACGTGTCACTGACTCTATCTCTATATTATATACATGTAATGATCATATTCTATTTTGAATTTAGACCAGTTCATTGTTTTATATGTGATAGCAAAATGTTGAAAATTAAACTGTCAACTATATGCTGCATCAGGTCAGATTGCATAAATGTGTAAGTTAACCTGGTTGTGATTTTGTGAACTACTGGCACTGTAAAGTCACAAGTTTTGATACGGTTAGCACTAGAAGGATTGATTATATGTGAAAAAGTTTTTCTTTCTGTGAGATTATGATATTATATAGCAGTTGGAAAACCTAATGGGAGAGAAAAATGTTGCAAAAGCTAAGTTATCGTTTCAGAATGAAAAAGATTCAAGTGGTATATATGGTACAAATCTGAAAGTATGTGTGGCAGTGGGCAAGAAACTTTTGGTAGGAGTCAGATTTGTATTGTTTTTCCTTTTACTTTTTAACTACACTTCAATAATGTATCAGTTAAAGTTCCTGATAGTGAACTGAAAACTGAAATAATATGAGCCGCGTCATGACAAAACCAACATAGTGGGTTTGCGACCAGCATGGATCCAGACAAGCATGTGCATCCGCGCATTCTAATCAGAATCCATGCTGTTCGCTATCAGTTTCACTACTTGTTATAGGGTTTGTAAGCGAACAGTATGGATTCAGATCAGACTGTGCGGATGCGCAGGCTGGTCTGGATCCTTGCTGGTCGCAAACGCATTATGTTGGTTTTGTCATGATGCGGCTCAATTATGTTTCTAATACACACCATCAAAGAAATAATGAATATGTGGAACTTGATTGCATTGTTGCTTGTCAAAATGTGGAGGAGGGGAGAGAATTGGCCTTTCAATTATTTTGTCAAAATTGACAAATTTCTTCTTTTGAAAGTACATTGTATAGATTTACATTTTACAGATTCTTGAGTGGACTGGAGACTCTTTCATAGAACTAAAGGTCAGTATAGATTTTTTATTATTGTATTTTATTTTAAACCTTAATTAAAAAAAAAATAAAAAAAGCCACAAAACAACAATTTTTCCTAAAAATTATTTGTAAGGCCACGTTTTAACGTGGAAAAACTCGATGTTGGGTAATTCCAAGATTTTTCATCATTTTATGTTAATTTAGCACTGGCTGTGTGTGGAAAAAATGGACTTATTTAGGCTGTGGCTTGCATTATATATGTATATGAAAGTTACTTATTCATAATTTTGTATATCTATATATATAGATAAAGCTAATACAATTAGATATCCCAAACATTTTACGTAAGTGACTACTGCTCTGGCTACTCGTCATTAGAGGCATATAGCACTATATCTAGTTTTAAATTTTTTGCACCTACTGTAAAAAAAACAAAACATCACTGTATATATCCCAGAACAGCCAATATTTAAACAGTTAAGCTGTTTTTAGCCAATAATAAGTCATAGGGAAAATATCGCTTTAAATTTAGTTTTGCATATTAATACATCTACCATCATTTTATGGTTTGAACTTTTTCAATGTTACCTTGATCTTGCTTAGAAATTGATTAATACAAAATGAACAACTCAGCCCATTCCCGGAATATTTTAACCTAAATTCAAACAACAGTTTAAACACCCCAGAATATTTTGTTCAAGATATGCCAGGACTGTTAAAAGATGTAGAAAAATTCACAATAGTCTATTCAGCAATTTTCAACAGCTTTCAGGATTTTCAAAAACTTACATTAAATGTTATAACATAATGTATAGTACAAAGCATCGGTATGGCTATAGTTCATGTGTACAAAAAAAGGCCGTAAAAGGCACCTGTGACTCTTGGTACACTTTTGGGATGCAAATCATAGATGCATCTGACCAAAACAGCCAATTTATCTTCCCCACTTTATAAAATTACCAAATATGGGAACTTGTCGACATCTGCAGGCTGGTATCACTTACAGCTGATCTACAGTCATCACCTGAAAAACCCTTGATAATAAATAAGATTTTATAAATAAGAACCCCTTTGTAAAGTCTGATGAATATTAAAGCTACATGCCTTGATATGAGCCAAAATATTTCAATAAAATCAAATTTCAGAAAAATGTATTGAGTTTTAGGAAAAGTAAAAATTTCCAGATTCAAGTAATTATTTACATGTTTTGTGCAATTAAAGACTGATTTTTCAGTATTTGTACTATATTTCTACTGCTTTACTAACGCATTAGGGGCTATTTTAGCATATTTTAACTCTTTTTGGTAATTTACATGGGTTTCAAGTGCCATTGATAATGTGTAAATTGCTTCCTTTTGATTCCTTGACGATATTATTCACTTAAATACATTTTCAAATTTTTCATGAAAATTAGCATGAATCTGGAGGCATGCTGCTTTAAGTGGTACATCACCCTAAATACTTATTTTGCAATACACCCAAGATTGAGGGAAATGGTCATACTGTGCAGCTGATACTTCATAAAAAAAAAATCACTTACCCCAAAAAAAATGAATCACAATTTTAAACATGTGACTATTTTGATATAGTTAAATTAGGAAAATTTTACATGATTACAATAAAACAAACAATTTCTTATTGTTTTCTGATAATATCTGACAAATGAATTAAGTATGGCATTTCTGTAGGAGTTGATGTCAATACAACATGAGACTTTTGGCACATTAGTCCAACATGACAGCATTGACGCCAAATTAAGAATGTGTTTGAACTTAGGTTGTGATTGAAAAATGGTTGTACTGGGATACAATGTAAATTAATACCATAGATATATAATTGAATTTGTGATAATTCATTCAGTGTTTTGTATAGTGGGCTTGTCTTGTTTTGATTTTAAAAAAATCCATTATTATCATTTTTTGTAATGTAAAAAATACTAAAACTGAGCAGGCTCACCTTCAATAAGCTTAGGCAGATTTCATGAATGTTGATGATAACTGCACAGTATGCGGCCAAAGCCCCATGAACATAAATCCCTTAATTGCTGCACAGTATGCGGCCAAAGCCCCATGAACATAAATCCCTTAATTGCTGCACAGTATGCGGCCAAAGCCCCATGAACATAAATCCCTTAATTGCTGCACAGTATGCGGCCAAAGCCTCAGGAACATAAATCCCTTAATTGCTGCACAGTATGCGGCCAAAGCCCCATGAACATAAATCCCTTAATTGCTGCACAGTATGCGGCCAAAGCCCCATGAACATATTAAAATCCCTTAATTGAATTTTGGAAAAAACAACGAAAAGCTTCTCAATGGGGTGGACAAACTCAGAGCCCCTTGATATAAACTGTGATAGTTTTAAAATTATGGCTTAATTTGGGTAGAATAATGTGTGAAAAAAAATTACTGACTTACTGACTTCTGATGGGACAATTTATAAGTGTTTGCTCCTTTGCTAATTCATATTAAATTTTCATCTGTTGGTGTTTTGTTTATACTGCAGTATGATTTAATGATGGACAAGTATGTTAAAGATATGGTGTGGTGCAAAAAATGTCTCTACATTGGTTACAAAGATGAATATTTACTACTTGAGGTATAATTATACATGATTACAAAAACAGATTTTTTTTTTTCAAAGAAGGTTATGGGTAAGACAAATATTTACTATTTAAGGTAGGTTACAAAATATACACATTTATTTTATATCCTTTAACCTAATTTTTGCTTTCACATTATACCATATAACAGTCCAATATATTCCCAGTTTTGGATGCTGCAGGATCCAATTTTTGCTGCAGTAGATGGATTAGTTATAAAGTACATGTATCGACCTTTTCAAAATACTTTCAATGACAAAGAACATTACCCCAAAAGTATCCAAATGATTTTTATTTGTATTTTAACCACTTTATTCTAGTTTTCTTATTTTAATCTATTGTTAATAAAATTTCTTAAAAAATTCTGTATTTTTTTCGTAATTTTTATTATATAGTTTTTCATTTCTCTGATGCTTGTTGTATTCTGTTCTAGCCAGAGACTGGGAAATATAAGGAAGTGTTTAACTTTGGTAACAGTCTGAAAGAGCCTTTAATGACGAAGATTGATGATGACTATATTCTCCTTGGTTATGACAATACTTCTGTGTTCCTCAACTCTAGAGCTAAGCCAAAAAATGAAACTATAACATGGACTGGAATACCTCATCATATGGGTAAATTTACATCTTTTTCCCGTGTTTAAGGTATTTTTATCTATATTTTGCAGCATATATATCAAATATTTTAAGTATCATACGCCCCTTTTCATGGAATGGGACTAACGTGTCACATGGAAGTTTCCATGATAATCGCCGTATGAACACATCTGCAGATGTTTTTAAATTCAAAATTTCACCATTTTCATGTTTAAATTACATTTTCAATTTTTTTATAAAAATTTGCATGTCAAATCTGGAGGCATGTTGCTTTAATAGTCTATTCAAAATTGAAGGGACTGTAATATTCATACTACAAAAATTAGGCTATACTTGTGACAAAAGCTTATTACTTTTGGTTCCAGCAGGTTATGGGTTCACAAAATGGATTTAAAGAATAAATTTTAATTGCATTCCTTAGAATGAACAGACAATTATGTTTTACATTACCAGCATTTGATCCCCCATATGTACTGGCAGTGTTACCAAAGTACATGGAAGTTAGAACATTTGATCCCAGCATTTCTATACAGCAGATTGAGATGAAACATGTTAATGCTGTATGTAAGGCAAGGTAGGTTTAACTGTGATATTTAACAATGTATGTAAGGGCAGGTAAGTTCCACTGTTACAGTTTACGATGTATGTAAAGAAAGGTAAGTTCCACTGTGACATTTAATGCTGTATGTAAGGGAAGGTAAGTTCCACTGTGACATTTAACACTGTATGTAAGGGAAGGTAAGTTTCACTGTGACATTTAACACTGTATGTAAGGAAAGGTAAGTTCCACTGTTACATTTAATGCTGTATGTAAGGAAAGGTAAGTTCCGCTGTGACATTTAACACTGTATGTAAGGCAAGGTAAGTTTCACTGTGACATTTAACACTGTATGTAAGGGAAGGTAAGTTCCACTGTTACAGTTTACGATGTATGTAAAGAAAGGTAAGTTTCACTGTGACATTTAATACTGTATGTAAGGAAAGGTAAGTTCCACTGTGACATTTAACACTAAATGTAAGGGAAGGTAAGTTTCACTGTAACATGTTAATGCTGTATGTAAGGAAAGGTAAGTTCCACTGTTACATTTAACACTGTATGTAAGGGAAGGTAAGTTTCTCTGTGACATTTAACACTGTATGTAAGGAAAGGTAAGTTCCACTGTTACATTTAACACTGTATGTAAGGAAAGTAAGTTCCACTGTGACATTTAACACTGTATGTAAGGGAAGGTAAGTTTCTCTGCGACATTTAACACTGTATGTAAGGAAAGGTAAGTTCCACTGTTACATTTAACACTGTATGTAAGGAAAGGTAAAATCCACTGTGACAAATGTTGTATGTATGGCAAGGTAAGTTCCACTGTCACATTTAACACTGTATGTAAGGGAAGGTAAGTTTCTCTGTGACATTTAACACTGTATGTAAGGAAAGGTAAGTTCCACTGTGACATTTAACGCTGTATGTAAGGAAAGGTATGTTCCACTGTTACATTTAACGCTGTATGTAAGGGAAGGTAAGTTTCTCTGTGACATTTAACGCTGTATGTAAGGAAAGGTATGTTCCACTGTGACATTTAACACTGTATGTAAGGCAAGGTAAGTTTCTCTGTGACATTTAACGCTGTATGTAAGGGAAGGTATGTTCCACTGTGACATTTAACACTGTATGTAAGGCAAGGTAAGTTCCACTGTTACATTTAACGCTGTATGTAAGGGAAGGTAAGTTCCACTGTGACATTTAACACTGTATGTAAGGCAAGGTAAGTTTCACTGTTACATTTAACACTGTATGTAAGGGAAGGTAAGTTTCTCTGTGATATTTAACACTGTTTGTAAGGGCAGGTAAGTTCCACTGTTACAGTTTACGATGTATGTAAAGAAAGGTAAGTTCCACTGTGACATTTAATGCTGTATGTAAGGAAAGGTAAGTTCCACTGTGACATTAAACACTGAATGTAAGGGAAGGTAAGTTTCACTGTGACATTTAACACTGTATGTAAGGGAAGGTAAGTTTCAACTTGACGTTTAACACTGTATGTAAGGAAAGGTAAGTTCCACTGTTACATTTAGCGCTGTATGTCAGGAAAGGTATGTTCCGCTGTGACATTTAACACTGTATGTAAGGGAAGGTAAGTTCCACTGTTACAGTTAACGATGTATGTAAAGAAAGGTTAGTTTCACTGTGACAAATGTTGTATGTAAGGAAAGGTAAGTTTCACTGTTACATTTAACACTGTATGTAAGGGAAGGTAAGTTTCTCTGTGACATTTAACACTGTATGTAAGGAAAGGTAAGTTCCACTGTTACATTTAACACTGTATGTAAGGAAAGTAAGTTCCACTGTGACATTTAACACTGTATGTAAGGGAAGGTAAGTTTCTCTGTGACATTTAACACTGTATGTAAGGAAAGGTAAGTTCCACTGTTACATTTAACACTGTATGTAAGGAAAGGTAAAATCCACTGTGACAAATGTTGTATGTAAAGCAAGGTAAGTTCCACTGTGACATTTAACACTGTATGTAAGGGAAGGTAAGTTTCTCTGTGACATTTAACACTGTATGTAAGGAAAGGTAAGTTCCACTGTGACATTTAACGCTGTATGTAAGGAAACATATGTTCCACTGTTACATTTAACGCTGTATGTAAGGGAAGGTAAGTTTCACTGTGACATTTAACACTGTATGTAAGGGAAGGTAAGTTTCTCTGTGACATTTAACACTGTATGTAAGGAAAGGTAAGTTCCACTGTTACATTTAACACTGTATGTAAGGAAAGTAAGTTCCACTGTGACATTTAACACTGTATGTAAGGGAAGGTAAGTTTCTCTGTGACATTTAACACTGTATGTAAGGAAAGGTAAGTTCCACTGTTACATTTAACACTGTATGTAAGGAAAGGTAAAATCCACTGTGACAAATGTTGTATGTAAAGCAAGGTAAGTTCCACTGTGACATTTAACACTGTATGTAAGGGAAGGTAAGTTTCTCTGTGACATTTAACACTGTATGTAAGGAAAGGTAAGTTCCACTGTGACATTTAACGCTGTATGTAAGGAAACATATGTTCCACTGTTACATTTAACGCTGTATGTAAGGGAAGGTAAGTTTCTCTGTGACATTTAACACTGTATGTAAGGAAAGGTAAGTTCCACTGTGACATTTAACACTGTATGTAAGGGAAGGTAAGTTCCACTGTTACATTTAAACGCTGTATGTAAGGGAAGGTAAGTTTCTCTGTGACATTTAACACTGTATGTAAGGAAAGGTAAGTTCCACTGTGACATTTAACGCTGTATGTAAGGAAAGGTAAGTTCCACTGTGACATTTAACACTGTATGTAAGGGAAGGTAAGTTTCACTGTGACATTTAACACTGTATGTAAGGAAAGGTAAGTTCCACTGTTACATTTAACGCTGTATGTAAGGGAAGGTAAGTTCCACTGTGACATTTAACACTGTATGTAAGGCAAGGTAAGTTTTCACTGTGGCATTTAATGCTGTATGTAAGGGAAGGTAAGTTCCGCTGTGACATTTAACACTGTATGTAAGGGGAGGTAAGTTTCACTGTGACATTTAACACTGTATGTACCACTGTGACATTTAATGCTGTATGTAAAGAAAGGTAAGTTTCACTGTGACATTTAACACTGTATGTAAGGAAAGTAAGTTCCACTGTGACATTTAACACTGTATGTAAGGAAAGTAAGTTCCACTGTGACATTTAACACTGTATGTAAGGAAAGGTAAGTTCCACTGTGACATTTAATGTTGTATGTAAGGAAAGGTAAGTTTCACTGTGACATTCAACACTTTATGTAAGGAAAGGTAAGGTCCACTGTGACATTTAACGCTGTATGTAAGGAAAGGTAAGTTTCACTGTGACATTCAACACTGTAATTAAGGAAAGGTAAAATCCACTGTGACATTTAATGCTGTATGTAAGGGAAGGTTAGTTCCACTGTGACATTTAACATTGTATGTAAGGGAAGGTAAGTTTCACTGTGACATTTAACACTGTATGAAAGTGAAGGTTAGTTCTGCTGTGACATTTAACACTGTATGTAAGACCAGGTCAGTTTCACTGTGGCATTTTAGGCTGTATGTAAGGGAAGGTAAGTTCACTGTGACACTATTATGTTTAACATTCCCAATACAGCAATAATTTTTATTGTTTCTAACATTTATAGGTAATTTGTATAGTGATAGTGATATAGGTGATGCGTATGGTATTTGAATGTATCAGGCTGATGCAAATGAATGATTAATATACACTAGATTAAAAATTTTAATAAATGAGTATTATAATTTATATACATGTATAGTTATGATACTGCATGTTTAATGTAACACAGCTTTTCATTGGATTATTTTGACATATAAGCTTTAAACACGGTTGCAGTCAATGGTTTATTGAGCAACATAAGTTTTGTGTAATATAAACATATTAAAACAAAATGACAATTTTTCTCCGCCAGGAATGTGATATTTCTTCTATGTAGAGATGATGTATTCATGTTGACACTGAGACCTATTGATGAACGTGTTAATTGTCTTTTGAAAAACAAACATTTTCAAGTTGCCAAACAATTAAAGGTTAGTGGATATCATATTCCAGAGACGTTATTGTACATTCCATGTGAGTTCATTGTTCAAAAAGCTTTAAATAGGTTTACCTTGAGTTATCTAAGTGCCCTTATGTAATACATAGTAAAAAATAAGTAGTTAACTGCAAATTCTTAAAATTCCCTTTTATTTAATTTAACATCAAGGAACTATTGGTCATCATGTCAGGGGAGATAACTAGTTATTAGTCCCCTACCGGTTTAACCGGAGGGGACTTTAGGTTTACCCTCCGTCCGTCTGTCCGTCTGTCTGTCTGTCCGTCTGTCTGTCCGTCTGTCTGTCTGTCTGTCAGTCTGTCAGTCCGTCAGTCCGTCCGTCCACAAAACTGGATCCCGCGATAACGCAAAAAGTACTGAAAATATTTTTTATGAAACTTGATATATGGATAGATGGCAGTATGGAGATTATGCACGTCTTTTTTTTTTCTTCCTATGTTGAAAATTCTGGTTGCTATGGCAACAAATAGTCTGAAAATATGGCAAATTTAACACATAAACTGGATCCAGTGATAACTCAAAAAGTACTGAAAATATTTTTATGAAACTTGAAATATGGGTAGATGGCAGTCTGGAGATTATGCACATCTTTTTATTTTCTTCCTATGTTGAAAATTCTGGTTGCTATGGCAACAAATAGCCTGAATTTCAAGATTTCTGATTTAAATTTTTCAGCTTTTTCACTATATGTTCTTTTATTTCTTAAGGTGTTTACTTCAAACTTTAAATATAAGTTCCTGGTCATCAACCACATCATATGTGACAAGGTTTATAACTCTAGCACAAAAAATATTAATATTACCTCCCTTGAACTTAGATTTTTTAGGGGAAAAAATGTTGTCTTTTTTAAATAACTTCTTTATTTCCTAATGTATCTACTTCAAACTTCATATATATGTTTCTTATTATCACTCGACATTTTTGAGAAGGTTAAATACTCTAGCAAGACTATTTCCAGAATTATGTCCCCCTTGAACTTAGATTTTTTTCGAGAAACTGGTATTTTCCCTCCAACTTCTTCATTCCTTATAGGATTTACTTTAAAATCCCACATCGTAATAATATGACAAGGTTGTATAATAATAATTTCCTTACTAAGCATGGAAACTTAACACATTACTGTGATATAAACAAACTTATTTTATTATGTTTTGTGGTCGATATTTTCAAATACAGACTTCATCCTCAAATTCATTATAAATGGCAATACACAGGAGTGTATGACAATTAAAGAACTTTTTGAGGGACCGGTAGGGGACTACTGTATTGCCCGCAATACTATCAAATGCTTGTTCTTTTGGACTTATTATACACACTATATAAATCGTATAGCTTTACAAAGATTTATTTACTATGTGAGTCCGTAGATGCTGCTTGACCAGGATCACGATCAAAATTTATGTCACGGTTTAGAACTGTTCACTATTTAGGGGGGAAGATGTGTAAGCAGATGGATAGCTCAGTTGGTAGAGCGGCAGAACAGTATACTGAGGGTCCCAGGTTCTAGTCCTGGTCAGGCTGCACATTTTTCTCACCCTTGTGGCATTCATATTTTAGAATTTCTCCAATTTGTTTATTTTCATAATTATATTTGATATTTAAGAAATAACATCGGTCTTAACGGTGTTTATCGGCTATTTAACACCGGTTTGGAGTTTTGATGTGTAGGACTTGACCACGAAGGCTGTAGGCCTGAGTGGTTAATTTTTTCCCATCAAAACGACAAACCGGTGTAATATAGCCGATAAACACCGAACAGACCGATATTATTTCGATTCTAAAAAGATAAAATAAGGAAGATCAATTATGTTATTTTTTCAAGCGGAGATTACTTCCGGTGCCGATTTTCATATATGACTCTGTTTGATTTTGCACCCTACTGTTGTTGAGATATAGAAATTATTAAACAAAAGAAACAATAAGAAAAAAATGTTATAAAATCAAATTTTCAACAATAAAATTTACGTCTTAGACTGGATTGTATTGTATTTACATCAGTGTTCTTGTATGCTTGAAATGATGTCATTCAATGAGTTGTATATTTAAGATGAAGTCATTACGCTCAGATTACGGACTGGCGCGTTTTGTCGAACTATTTATTTACTGATTTGGATCAAATCTATGGCGTTAGTGTATGTGAGATATTATATCAGTATTGAATGAAAAGAAACCATCATAAGAACTAAAAATATCAACAAAAGGCTTTTTTATTGTTGCTTTAAATACCGTATAAGTGTTTTTTTCTGTGGTGACTTTATTTCTGCGTTTTCTGCGGTCAGTTTCGGCACCGCAGAAATAAAATCCGCAGAATATTTCTCTTACATGCTACGATATGTATCCTACCTATTTCGTCTAAAGTAATAACGACTAACAGATTATAACGGCTAGCGGTTTTTCAAGTTGTATAAAATTGCTGACGGCTAAGTTTGTAATCTGTGTTTTTAAGGATGTACTTATTGTTAATTATGCTGGGATATATTTTCACACGTCACTTCACGCTGATCAAAGATGTATACCTTTCTATTGTTGCGCATTATATTTGTTTGCAAGCAAACAATATAATTGTTTGTAATTACTATACAGTTTTGCGGTGACAACGATAATCAAATGGGAACGTGTACATGCAAATATAATATATAGGTTAATGTGACTAAGCTTTTGATAAGACGAGTCGCAGAATTTAAATCATGTTTTGTCCAAAGACTGTGCCGCAGAAATAAAGTCCGCAGAAATAAAAACATGCCAAAATTTGGAAAAACGGCAGAATTTGGAGCCCGCAGAAAAAAACCACTTATACGGTAGCTTTGTCAACTATATTATCGAAGGAGAAAACATAACAGCCGCATATACAAGTAGTCCCTTACCAGTGTTTATTGGCAGTTTAACACAGCTTTTTTTCTTCTTTGTCTATAGTGACAAAATCATGAGGAATGTTAGAATTAATATTAACTTAAAAGATAAAAAAAGTATACTTGAAATCATGATGGATGATGAAATTTTAGAAAATATTGATAATTTCTTTACAAGAGATGTTTTGATCCTAAAACTGGTTGTTATTTTGATCCAGTTATTTTTGTAATTTATATTATTAGCTCGACTATTCGAAGAATATGAGAGCTATTGTAGTCGCCCCGGCGTCGGCGTCGGCGTCAGCGTCCGCGTCGGCGTCTGCGTTGGTTAAAGTTTTTTGTAAAGTCAAATATCTCAATCATTACTTGAGATATTCAATTGAAACTTACAATACTTATTTATAGTAACAAGGTACATCATATTGACAAGTTGGATAACTCTGCCTACAATATTGACAGAAATTATGCCCCTTTTTAACTTAGAAATTTTGGTTAAAGTTTTCTGTAAAGTCAAATATCTCAATCATTACTTGAGATATTCAATTGAAACTTACAATACTTATTTATAGTAACAAGGTACATCATATTGACAAGTTGGATAACTCTGCCTACAATTTTGACAGAATTATGCCCCTTTTTAACTTAGAAATTTTGGTTAAAGTTTTCTGTAAAGTCAAATATCTCAATCATTACTTGAGATATTCAATTGAAACTTACAATACTTATTTATAGTAACAAGGTACATCATATTGACAAGTTGGATAACTCTGCCTACAATATTGACAGAATTATGCCCCTTTTTAACTTAGAAATTTTGGTTAAAGTTTTCTGTAAAGTCAAATATCTCAATAATTACTTGAGATATTCAATTGAAACTTACAATACTTATTTATAGTAACAAGGTTCATCAGATTGACAAGTTAGATAACTCTGCCTACAATATTGACAGAATTATGCCCCTTTTTAACTTAGAAATTTTGGTTAAAGTTTTTTGTAAAATCAAATATCTCAATTATTGCTTGAGATATTCAATTGAAACTTACAATACTTATTTATAGTAACAAGGTACATCAGATTGACAAGTTGGATAACTCTGCCTACAATATTGACAGAATTATGCCCCTTTGGAACTTAGAAATTTTGGTTAAAGTTTTTTTGTTAAGTCAAATATCTCAATTATTGCTTGAGATATTCAAATGAAATTTAAAATACTTTTTTATAGTAACAATGTACATCATTTTGCAAAATTGCATGACTCTGCCTGCAAAATTTGAAGAATTATTTGCCCCTTTGAAACTTAGAAATTTTGGTTAGAGGTTAAAGGTCTTCAAAGATATTTACTTGAAACTTTACACATGCACTTAGGGTCATAATTGGAGGGTCATAATTGTATGTCACTGACCAAGTTCCATAACTCTATCTTGCATTAAGGCTGATTCATATCCCCTTTTCTACTTAGTCTCTTGGTTAATGTTTACATGCAAATTTTACATATCTCATTAACTATTAAAGATATTTATTTAAAACTTCACATATGCATTTAGGGTCATAATTGTAGGTCACTGACAAAGATCCATAATTTTATCTTGCATTTAGGCGGATTTTTCTCCCCTTTTTCAACTTAGAAATTCATGGTAAAGTTTTGCTTGTAAGCTGTTACCTCAATTACTACTGAAGGGTTTGTGCCCTTTTTTGGGACAATTTTATGCATTCATAAAAATAAAGCAGTGATTTACTTGATAAAACATCTTAATTAGAAGCCTATGTACCTTTTCTGTCAAATTTTTGTATTCATAGGTAATTAGTATTATTATACTCAATAAAACAACCTTGTGACATTACCTTCCGAATAGACAAGCCAATACTGTATAATTAGACTCTCTCTAAGCCTATAACATGAATTTATTAAAAAAAAATTAGACCTTTTGTGATCTTAAAAAATTTAACATTATCAAGGCTCTTTTACTATCAAGCACTTAGAATAGTCGAGCGTGCTGTCCTACCGACAGCTCTTGTTACTTATAAACTTTATCCCAAAATGGGTTTGTTTAATTTATCTATGAACATGGGTCCTGAAGAACATAGAAAGACAAACTAATAGATTAAGAAATAAATTATTTTTCTAGTTGCAAGACAATAATATTACGATGGAAGAGAAGGAATTGGCTATTAACAGTATTCAGGCCAGGTATGCCGTACATCTGTTCAATACAAACAAGTTTAAAGAAGCATTAGAAATTTTTACACAGTTGGAAATAGGTGAGTAAATAAAATAACAACTTTTTTTCCCTGAAAATTCTGAATTTTACTTGAATTAATCAATTATTAATTACATAATATCAGAAAATTTTTCAAAATAACAAAATATATATTTGTAAAAGATGTTCTCTGTTGACAGGTTCTCAGCAAACAAAGCTTATATTGCCCTTATATTGATTAAAATGGAAACAAAATGCATTGACCTTAATTTACTGACAGGTTTTCTGTACTAAATATTACATATGGTCTGTACATGGAGGTTGTCCTAAATAAAGGTTTTACTATACATATTTGAGCCGCGTCACGACAAAACCAACATAATGGGTTTGCGACCAGCATGGATCCAGACCAGCCTGCGCATCCGCGCAGTCTAATCAGGATCCATGCTGTTGGCTTACAAACTCTATTACAAGTAGAGAACCTGATAGCGAACAGCATGGATCTTGATCAGACTGCGCGGATGCGCAGGCTGGTCTGGATCCATGCTGGTCGCAAACGCACTATGTTGGTTTTGACGTGACGCGGCTCATTTGTTCTTTAACAGATCCTTCCCACATCATTGGCATGTTCCCAGATCTTCTACCCAGCAAACTCAGTAATAGTCTAGTGTATCCTGAGAAAGTACAATCAATACATGAGAAAGCACTGGATAAAGCATTGTTTGAACTTGTCGAATATTTGCAGACGGTAATGGGAAAACTTTAATTTCTTTAACTTTGTGAATTTGTTCAAAAAAAAGAATCAAGATAAAGTAAAGATTTAACTTGTCGAATTTAAAAAGTAATACGGGAGACTTTAGTGAGAAAGCTATTTGTTGAAAAAAAATCAACAAAAGTTTAAGATGACAGATCTGGATTAATCTATCAAGTTACAATAATGTTTATCCTTAGAATGATTGCTACAAATGTATATTTTAGTGCCTAAAAATTAGATTTAAATGTGAAAATGCTATAACCATGTTTGAAAATGCTATAACCATGTTTTTATTGTTGTGTATCACAGAAACGAGAGCAGATAGTGAAGGCCGAACATTTCAGACCATTTGTTCCTATAATGAAACACAAGAAAAATGTCACTTTAAAAAGTGTAGATGAAGCACTATCTGTCATTGATACCACTTTGCTTAAATGTTACCTTCAGGTAAGCTCTATCTTTCATTGATACCACATTGCTTAAATGTTACCTTCAGGTAAGCTCTATCTGTCACTGTTACCACATTGCTTAAATGTTACCTTCAGGTAAGCTCTATCTGTCATTGATACCACATTGCTTAAATGTTACCTTCAGGTAAGCTCTATCTGTCATTGATACCACATTACTTAAATGTTACAATCAGGTAAGCCATATCTGTCACTGTTGCCACATTGCTTAAATGTTACAATCAGGTAAGCCATATCTGTCACTGTTGCCACATTGCTTAAATGTTACCTTCAGGTAAGCTCTATTTGTCACTGTTGCCACATTGATTAAATGTTACCTTCAGGTAAGCTCTATCTGTAATTGATACCACATTGCTTAAATGTTACAATCAGGTAAGCCATATCTGTCACTGTTGCCACATTGATTAAATGTTACCTTCAGGTAAGCACTATCTGTCACTGTTACCACATTGCCTCAGGTAAGCTCTATCTGTCATTGATACCACATTTCTTAAATATTACCTTCAGGTAAGCTCAATCTGTCACTGTTACCACATTACTTAAATGTTACAATCAGGTAAGCTCTATTTGTCATTGTTACCACATTACTTAAATGTTACCTTCAGGTAAGCACTATCTGTCATTGATACCACATTGATTGAATGTTACAATCAGGTAAGCTCTACCTGTCATTGATACCACATTACTTAAATGTTACAATCAGGTAAGCTCTATCTGTCATTGATACCACATTGATTAAATGTTACAATCAGGTAAGCTCTACCTGTCATTGATACCACATTACTTAAATGTTACAATCAGGTAAGCTCTACCTGTCATTGATACCACATTACTTAAATGTTACAATCAGGTAAGCTCTATCTGTCATTGATACCACATTGATTAAATGTTACAATCAGGTAAGCTCTACCTGTCATTGATACCACATTACTTAAATGTTACAATCAGGTAAGCTCTATCTGTCATTGATACCACATTGATTAAATGTTACAATCAGGTAAGCTCTACCTGTCATTGATACCACATTACTTAAATGTTACAATCAGGTAAGCTCTATCTGTCATTGATACCACATTGATTAAATGTTACAATCAGGTAAGCTCTACCTGTCATTGATACCACATTACTTAAATGTTACAATCAGGTAAGCTCTATCTGTCATTGATACCACATTACTTAAATGTTACCTTCAGGTAAGCTCTATCTGTCACTGTCACCACATTACTTAAATGTTACCTTCAGGTAAGCTCTATCTGTCACTGTTACCACATTGCTTAAATGTTACCTTCAGGTAAGCTCTACCTCTTATTGGTACCACATAACTTAAATGTTACTTTCAGGTAAGCTCTATCTCTCATTGATACAACATTGCTTAAATGTTACCTTCAGGTAAGCTCTATCATTCTGTCATTGGTACCACATTACTTAAATGTTAAGCTCGTTCTGTTATTGATACCACATTACTTAAATGTTACCATCTGGTAAGCTATTAGTGCCATTGTAATGACATTGCTTATATATTACCTTCATTTATAGATGTACAGAATGATAACTGTGAAAAAAATGTTCAACAGAGATGAATTTAAATTTGTGCTTGAAAGAACTCACTGTCTTAAATCATCACCTTGTATGGTCATTGTATATTTCAGGTTAATGAAGCTATGATAGCTCAGTTATTACGTATGCCAGGTAACAAGGTTCAGTTTGAGGTGGCAGAGAAACGTTTAAAAGCTGCTGAAAATTTTGCAGAATTGATTATTCTGTATGAGCAACAAGATCTGCAAGAAAAAGGTAAATATCGCATCAGGTAATTAACATGTAATGTTATATAGGTCTGTCATTAAGTTATTTAAAATTTCAGATTTCATATATTTTGTTTGGATAGGACAAAATTAGATCAAAACCAACACAAATTTAAATATCAATACATATTTCGCTTTATTAGCTTCATCAGTTGAAATATAAAGGAAATGACGTAAACGTACAAAACAGATGTCTAAACGTACAAAACATGTGACTTATATTTTAGATATTGACAAGCTTGCATGCAAGTTATGATCAAAAATGTATGTTTCAAATTTACCATTTTAATGTTTACCATGATGCTAATTAATGGATATTTTATTAATTCTCTCGTTATTTGTTGTTGTTGTGTTTTTTTGCTGTTATTTTTTTATAATGTTTACCTTTCTCAGGTAAGAAAAGGGATTAAGTATAATAGTTTATATTTCAGCTCTTCAAGTGATGAAATCTCAATCATCTAACAGTAAATCATCACTGTATGGATTACAACCTACAATACATCAACTACAACAACTAGGTAACATGTTTGTCATAGCTTGTGTGTAGTCTAGAGTTATTTCCCCTGATAGTGTCTTAGCTAATGAAATGAACAGATTAAATTATGATTTGAGCATAAAAAGATTAAATGTTACCTTTATGATCTTACACTAAACTAAACACATTTTTATTATGCCCCCGCCCATATAATGGCTGGGGCATATAGTGTTACCGTGTTCCGTCCTTCCGTCATTCTGTCATTCCGTCATCATCAGTTTCCGTTCATTATCTTAGTAACAATTGCACACATTCAGCTCAAATTTGACATATGGATATACTATAAGAAAATACAGGTCAAGTTCGAATTTGGTCATGGTTCGATGATTTTTGGCAGAGTTATGCCCCTTTCACTTTGGAAATAATATGAAATTTTCAGTTTCCGTTCAGTATTACACATTCAACTCAAATTTGACATATGGATACGTCAAAGGAATCCGCAGGCCAAATTGGAATTTGGTCATGATTCGATGATTTTTGTGAGAGTTATGCCCCTTTCACTTTGAAAAAAAAAGAAAACTTTCAGTTTCTGTTCATTATCTCTCCAACAGTTGTACATATTCAACTCAAATTTAACATATGGATATGTCATAAGAATACACTGGTCTAGTTTGAATTTGGTCATTGTTTGATGATAGCTGACAGATGGTTCCCTCATGAACTTTGAAAAAAATCAGAAACTTTTCGTTTCCGTTCATTATCTTCCCAATGGTTGTAAACATTCAACTTAAATTTGACATATACATACATCTTAAGCAGTTCCAGTTCGAATTTGGCCGTGGTTCAATGATTTTGGATTTATCTCTCTTGCTTGAATGTTGGAAAATTTTGAATTTTTAGTTTCAGCACTCATACTTTTGTAGAAATATATGTAGTCATTATTTTGGCTACAAATATGCAATATGCAATTTACAAAAGGTTAAGACTGAATAGTTTCAGTACCTTGAACTTTGTATAAAAATGATTTGTGATTACATTAAATAGTTTTAAGGGCTTTGAACTTAAAATGAAAAATATTGTAACATCTGAAATTTTGGCTGCATGCGGGGGCAACCGTGGCGTGACAACACATTTCTAGTTCTATCCAAAGTAACGTTTAAAAACACATTGTAACTTAATAGTACATAAAAAGCATGCCAAATAATAATACAATGTGACATCATTTACAATGTCACATTATTAAGTTTGTTTCCAGTACTGTGCACACTGGTATTTCAATGAAACAACATAAAGGGACTTAAATTCAAAACAGTGAAATTATCAAATTGATAATTTCACTGTTTCAAACAGTGAAAATTAATATCAGTTTTATATTACACCGATATATTTCTATAAACCACCAATAAGCTTGTAACAAAACTGGATAAACATGCTCTATGTTTGGTGTAAACAACATGTTTAATGTTTTATAATACATGTATATAATATTGGAGCTGATCCAGGGTTCCTGATTGACATCGGGTGTAATATTTAGAAAAATTAAATCAGACAGGGGTATTTAGCTATGATATTTATAGTATGTGCAGTTAAACATGGAGAGAAGAGCCGGTTTAAGGTGGCAACTTCCCATTTGAGTTTACAAAATTTGGGCATTTATAGATTTTATTTCTAATTACAAGACTTATTATAGATTTAAACTGTTAGTGTTATGTATATTTGTTTCAGGGAAAGACCACCTCGGGCTTATATTTGAGTATGCAAAATGGGTGATGGAAACTGACCCATATGAAGGAATTAAGGTATTATTAGGCTAACAAATCAGATTGCTTGTATCAAATTGTATTTTTAACCTTATGCTTTTAACATGTCTAATATAATGTATTGACACAAAGTAAATTGCCGAATATTTAAGAAAAGTTTGTTTTTGTATAAACAGCTTTGGGTTTATTGTATTTCAGTATTTGTTTTTAGTACAATAAATAAAGTATTTCTTTTTAATGGTACTTTGTGAGTCCATGGAATATTGAAAAGACAATTTGAATGTTCAAAAATTTTTTTTTGTTCAAGCATAACTGAATATATAATGATTTAATATTTCTTTCAATAATAATATAAACTCATTCTAAGCAGCATTTACATTTTGTTCTGAGTTGAGTGAGTTATATCATCATATGTTTAATCACGGATTTATATTACAAGGATTGGACACTTTCGTTTAGCTTAAAGTCCCATCGCGCGCATGCGCGAAATCGGATAAAGGTGGACAGAATGAGACGGCGGAACGCGTGGAGTGCGAAATATGACAGGTTTTCACAAGAGTATGTGGTGTTATTGCAGCTTTGTGAAAAATTATACACATATGAATGTATTGATACAGTATTATTTTGTGTCGCTAAAGTATTAATATATGAAAATATGCCGATAGAACGCTGCAACGCTTAGTTAAAAAGTACCTAATTTAAAAAATATTCGCCTATTGTTAAGGCATACTCTCTACACTTGGCGCCCTTTTACTTCAAGCACGAATTATTACGGCGATTCGAAATAAGATAATTATTTTTTACATGGTTTAATAGTGGCATTGCAAAAAAATGTTTCTTGATTGCTAAAAAAACTTTTAAAGAAATTCATGTTTGAAATGTGTCTTTATTTCTGTGAATTATTTCAAAATGATTTGTACATTTTTTATTTGATTACCTATATATTAGTATAAATATAGTAAATATTCTACTAATTAGTGTATTAAATATATTTTCAGATTCTAGACAAACATTCATATATAGATGAATTCATTAGATTGGCAAGAAAGAAACTTTTATTGGCATAGAGAACAGCTGTTTTATAAAATTATTTTTTATTTTGAAACAGATTTTTTCCCTAGTTATCCTTCACAATTCACGTCAAATGATTTATTTATCACATGTTTATTTTCATTATTTTTCAAAGAAAGGACTATACAAATTTAGTTGTATATTTTCAATTTCATTTAAATATGTTAATAAAGAAAATAGATTTATATTGTATTTATATATATCCTCTTCAGAATCATTTTCTTACCACACATGCCATGGACTGTAGTTAAAGACCGCGCACATACAAAATATACATTCAAATTCTATTTGTTTTTGAACATTGAGTGTTGCAATTATCACATGTAACCTGGTAGTAAAGTTTGAAAATAAAGTTATCTAATTATCACTTACCCCCTTCAAAAGTAATTAAACTTGAAAGAATTTAAGCGATGTGTAAAAAATAATCAAAAGTTACTTTTATTTCGCAAAATACTTAATCAAACTGTAAAGATTTTTACTGTTTTTCTAGCGTAATATTAAAAAGTATCATAAATATCTTTCTACAGGCATTCAAATAAAAAGAATAATTAAAATATACGGATTAAAATATACGAGTGACATTAAAAAGGCCGGAGTCGAGACAGCCACACGAGAGAACTTTACTGTTACGAGGATTGTCTACTTCACTGCACCGACATTTGAAAACAGATTTACAAAAAATAATAATGATATAAATGATGAATGAAATTTAAATATTCTATGAATATGGCAATATTGACAATCTCGGCAATATTTTGTACTAAAAAAAGTGAATAAATTTTCTTCACGTGTTGAGCGAATTGTAAAGGCCGCAATACATTACCTGTAAAACAATTGTGCGTTAATAAATTTGACTACATCCTGTACGAAATTTTCTGCACGGAATGGGGCGGAATTCAAAGGCAGATTCCGCCCAGAAATTTAAATTCTCCCCCGAATATATAAGTGTTAAACCATTTGCTTTTGGCACGGATTCCGGCCGGATTCCAGGCGGAAACGGAACGGATTCTGGGTGGAATTGGGACGAAATATGCAAATGAGTTGGGGCGGAATTTTGAAGCGGAATCTTGGGGCGGAATTTTGAAGCGCAATCTTGGGGCGAAATTTCGGAGCGGAATTGTCAAACAAGATTCTGGGCGGAATTCTGGGACAGAATTCAGGGGGCGGAATTTTATGAGTTTAGCATGATCACATATTTTGGGATAAAATTATCAATAATGTATCACATTAAATTTTCTTTCACAAAATTTAATAAAAAAAATATCATATCCTTTAGTCCAAATACAGAATAGAATACCCTACATTCACTATAACACAAACAGTTTTTTTTTCTAGCTGCAGGTTTTGGAATCTTAGAATCCAACACTTTGTTTTTTTTGTGCAATTTTTTTGCCAGAAGAGTTTCAATCATAAATTTGTTTCAAATGTTTTTGATTATTTAAATTACTATTTCTTTAATCCATGTCTGTTTTAAGTCCACTGCCTGTGTTTCCTAGAACTTCTTGTGGTTGTGCTCACCTTTAATAATAAAATTCATAATTAATTAAACAAATTTTTTGTAATGAATTGAGCTGTGTCATGACAAAACCAACATAATGGGTTTGCGACCAGCATGGATCTAGACCAGCCTGCGCATCTGCGCAGTCTGATCAGGATCCATGCTGTTCACTTACAAACCCTATTACAAGTAGACAAACTGATAGCGAACAGCATGGATCCTGATCAGACTGCATGATGTGCAGGCTGGTCTGGATCCATGCTGGTCACAAACCCATTATGTTGGTTTTGTCATGACAGGGCTCAATTATGTTTTATTGCATAATTACATGCAGTTATATTTTATATTTTTTAATAATATCAAATTTTATGTTTCAACAGTATTAAATATTAACTATGCTTATAAAGCATATTCAAAAATAGTAAAGCAACACAGAATCAGTTATTCAAGTGTACAAGTGTTTAAGAATTGCTCTGTATCAGAATTAACTGACTGCTTTATTTGTGACACTTTTTATTACTGGTTATGTATTTTTCAATGAAAGATGTTGAATAGTTAAGTATAGAGATTTAAAAATATACCTTTTCAGGATTAATACTGCACATCATTATTAAACACCTGGCATCTCACAGCTGTAAGTCCCTGAGCAGCCTGCAAATTATGAGTGTAAAATGTAATTTTAGATTGTTCCATAGGAAAGACAACACAAACATGTAAAATAATAAATGATTATGATGACCCTGTTCAACTGTACAAAACTACTGATTGTACCATTTAGTCCTATTTAATCAAATTTATTTAAATTGTTTAATTTCCAGGAAATGAAAAAGATATACTTACATGCTATTTATACAATATAGATCTACACAATGATTATATTAACAAAAAAATCATTGAATAATTTTTAACTTGCAAATAATACATGTATTAAAGATTTAAAACAATTATCAGAAAAAAAACAAATGTATGAAGTTGAAAATACTAAAATAACAATGACCTCTTGTTACATTAATTTTAGTTTAGTATTGATAGTTTACATATAAAATTATTGTAACTAAAAGTTAATAATTACCTGATTATGTTATACATCTCCTTGTACCAATTACTTTAACACTTTGAGATCTTAAACAAAACTTTACTCCAAAATTGTTAAAATATCAAGTATATCTTCTGTAATTTGCACTCTTTTTGCTGACCCAGATATCTTAGAATTCAAAATTCACAACAGTTTACTGTATATTGGACCGGTCCATCATTATGTAAAACAGGGTTAATTTACTCATCTTCTTAACTTTCATTCATTGAATGTAAAAGAAAAATCAAATAACAAATAGATATATATAAATTTTAAAAAACAATTACAAATTTTTGTACAAAAAAAATTGCAATATGTCCTAGACAAATTCTACATATGCAATTTATAATGTTATCTCTCCCCAAAATAATTACATGGAACCGCCTGATCTGTTGGAATGACCAGTCATGCATAGATGATGGGAAACTGCTGGTCAGTAGAGTTTTATCAGAGCTCTGATCTGTGTAGTGTAAAATCTGGGTGAATATAATCTCAGTGAATATACATTGTAGTATTTATTTACCTACGGTAAATAAAAGCAATTATTGGGCATATTGGTTGATCAATTTTATATAGATTAAAAGGGCATAATATATGAGATTATTTCATGCACTGTTTTGTTTTGTTTATTTTTTTTATAACAAAATCATGAATTCTTAGAATTTAAAATGGCAAGCACACTTATAATCTTGTCCCGATGTGACTGCCCTATATTCTATAGTATATTCAAATTTAAAAAGCATTCTTATTTTAATGTTGCTTTTAGATGATGTCCTAAAATCATATTTAAAAATTCATAATACAGTAAATGTATTATAATACAAGCTGTATGAAAAATCTTTATATTATAAACTTAAGCATTTTGGAGGTGAATGTTTTCAAGTTCTACACTAAGATTATTACAGTTAATTGTTTTTCAGTACAAAAAACATAAATTAGTCAGACAATATATTATTAATGCCACATTTTTTTATCTAAAAAGAAGGCCTAATAATTTTTAATGCTTAAAAAAAAAATTATATTAATTCTAAAAATACACCTATAATTATTGGTTCAGCAAAAAAAATAAGTACAGTAGGTAAAATTTCAATGTCTGCAAGTGCAAAAACAAGAGTACAATTATGATTTGGACATCTTATATGTTCAAGAAAAATTTTTAAGTATAGAATTCCGCCCATAGTGAAGACTATTCCTACCCAAAAAAAATTCAAAGTTGAAAATTCTGTCCAAGATGAAATGTTTAAGTATAAATTCTGCTCAAAATAAAATTCCAGCCGGAATTTTTCTAGTTTTCCGCCCAGAAAAAGGCACAAAATATTTTTCTTGTGAGACAGAATGGCACGGATTTTGCATTTCCGTCCCTGGTCCGCCCAGAAATCACTGATTCCGTGCCAATTCCGTGCCAATTCCGCCCAGAATCCGTGCCAAAATTTCGTACAGGATAACCAAATAAATCTTAAATATTGCATCTTTGATCATCTGTGAGTAACTTACATCGGCTTCTTTTTTTATTTTGAAACTGAAATTATTATGGTACCGTAATAATAAATTTCAAATATCCTGCTTTTTATATAAAAAAATGTAAATTTACCGCGGATTTCGTCAAGTTAATTTTTTAATCGTCGTTGTGGACAGATAAACCGTACCTTTAAAAAATAAATTAGATATTTGAATTAAACAAGTATTTTTCTTCAAAATAAACTTTAAATTTCCAAAATCGGATAATAAATGGAAAAGCTGTATAGTAATTTGTAAAGTAGGTATCCGTTGCGAACGGGCATTTATGCTTAGCGCCGGTAGATTATCGATCGATGTACCTTTATCGGGCGCACGACAAGATATTTAATCATTTATATAGGGTTAACTGGGAGTGTCCGATCCCTGTAATATAAATCCGTGGTTTAATTAAAGCAATTTCATTTTTTTACAAGCATTTATAGTGAAGCCAAAACAAGATCTATTTTCCAATGTTTTCTGAACTAAGCCAGGGTCTTTCAAATAGAATGGTCTGGAAACATGCTATGTAAACCCTTCTCGCTGTAACAATTAAACTTGTCTTGGTATAACTCGGTATAGTTTGCTATATGCAAATTATGTAAGTGTTCAAGAAAGGGTGAAAATTAAATACAATAGTAAAAATGAAAGCTCTAACAGCATGATGTTCTTTAAAAATCTTTAAACTTGTGAAAAATACATAAATGTTTCAGAAAATAATGTTTTTAAAGCCATAATCTGTTGTAAAATATAGATTGCTTGTTCAGAATATTTGCCGAAAAACGGCGCCATTTTGAAAATGCACCAAATTAAACATAAAATATTTGTAAATAACATCGTGAAATATTATAACATCTTTACATGATACGACTCAATTATTAATTTTCTCTGTAAATCAATTTCTATTTTGTCACTGAACAACAACATAAATTTTTACATTGACACCCGGGAACGATAAATTTCTTATTTCAATGCAAATATATAAAACTTGTTACTTTTCAAAGTAAAAAATGATAGTATAATGCATTCAAGGATTAGTTTTCAGTAATTTTTTGATTGACTTAACAAAACATTAGCTTATAATTTGATTTTTGAACGGTGATGTACTGTGTGCCAGGTCCCAGTCGGTAGATAACTTAATCACGTGACTCAGCCGAGACAACTTTTTTTGTAAAATTGGTCCGACTCCAGACCATTCTATTTTAAAGACCCTGACTAAGCTAAATGCTACTACTAATTTTTGTTTCATATATTATTAATTAAACAGTTAAATGTGATTCTTTATCAAAAATCAGTGTTTGTATTTTTGTTAATAAAAACAACCGGTAAGTTGACATACTAAAAAATTTTTTTAATGTTTTTGAGGTTAGAACGGTCATAAATTGACATTACATTTTTCTGTTTGATGTCAGATATTTACTGAGGATACAACATCAGTACAAGAACTTCCGAGAGGTCACGTGTCAAGTTTCATCAAAACATATGGATCAGAAGTTCTTATTTTGTACTTGGTAAAACTTTAAAAGTTTAATTATATAATTATGCAGATATTATAAAGAATTTGAAAATGAAAATAGAAAATATTCCACTAGGAATAAGAACAAGCAAAATCAAAATTAATGTTATATAATTAAAATAATAAATTTCAATTTATTCTTGACTGAATTACTAAAATTCATATTAAAGCTTAACCTTTTACCCCATGAGCTTAATTATTGTGAAAAATGGCCGTTTTCATTGAAAAGCCTCCTGTTACAAGTTCAAACTGCTATGAAACTATGAAAAATGCTTCAATACTGATGAAACTTGGCACAAATGTTGACTGAACCATGGACTCTGTAACAGCTTGCTCAATCGTAAATTTCTGTTACCATGGCAACAGGGGAATGTCTCAAAATTGCCAAAAATCACTTTTTTGCATTGTTTTTTTTTTCCATCAAAACTGATTTCAAAGTGCTGCAACTTCTCAATGAATTGAGATAGAGTAAAAGGCTTTTCAGTGTTGGTTACTAGTTACCCTAAGATTGACCTGAGGCTATTTTTAGCCTGCCACATCCAAAATTTTCTGGCAACCCCCTGATGTACCAATTTGATGGGGGGCGGCACCAAAAAAGTGGTCACTTTTTTTCACAACATTTTTCTAACGAAAAACAGTGATTGGGACCTAAATAGGGCATTTTTTTTTTCACAGTTTGAGGCCTCAAAAATGGGGGGGGGGGGGCAAAAAGCCGTCAAAACACGTCTATATGAGGGAAAAGGTTAATTATGATGAAATTTATGAGTCCACTTCATTTGCGTAATATTGGTTTACCAGTGTAAAAGATAAAAAGTAAAATGATTTTGTAAAAGAAATCAAACATCTAAGGATAAGAAAAATGCCCTGATCAGAATAAGCTTAAAAGAGAATAGCACTTCTGTAACCTGCAATTATTGATGTAAATTTACATTAATGATTCTAAAACTCTCACAAACTGGTGTATAAAAGTTCTTTATTTGCATGAAGAGAAAACTTATAGGCACATTATAGTTAAGAAATTAATATGATTTTTCCTCATGAGAAATGTTTAATAATGTTTTAATAATGGATTTAGGACATGTAAGAACTGCTTACCTGTTATTAAGTAGCATTGAATGTTAAATAAATTTTCATGAAAGTAGCTGAACCTAAACAAAGCGGTTTCAAGTCTTTCATACAAAATAAATAATCATTATAACTTCAGTGATGGATAAAAAGCAAAGGATGGAGGCCAATTAGTACTAATTTCCAAACTGTAACACTAAGTGTAAAATTTCAAGAGAAATTAAAAAAGCATTTTTTTTATTGTTTTGTTTTTTTGGTGTGGGGGTGGGGGAGGTAGGTGTCTTAACAAGCCTATAAATAAAATACGTGCAGTTAATTTTCACTTGATGCAATATATTATATTGATGTTCCATATGACTGTCATATTGACTGCCCGTTGTCAATGCCAAAGCTTACACAAGTGATATAAGTTGCTTATAGTAAGATAAGGTATAATGTGTAAAGTATTTGTTTATTGTAGGAACATATTATATACATGTGGAATGATACAACTGAGGAACTACATTATACTTTAGCAAATGAACTTAGAAACATGGTGTCCGAACAATTTAAAACATCAGCATTAGTTCATATAAAAGGTATGTTGTATTTGTGTTGCATTTAATATAGTACAGATGCCGGTTCATTTATTTATTTTTCAATCTACAACTACTTAGCAGTTTATAAATATTTTACTTAATCATGCTCAATCATTGAAACTGAGTTCCTGACAGCCAGTCATAAATTTTAATTCATAATATATTTGACAGTTTGAAGGATATGAACAACTGTTATTGTTATTCTACTTAATATGTCATTGGATAAGGCTTTGTGTGTAAAATCTTTTAGTAGTCAATCTCTTGACATTGGTAATTAATGGTTAGTTACTCAGAAAAGCCAGAAAGATGAACTGCTGAGATGTTAAAAACACACAAACAAATTTTTGCCTTTAAAAACTTGTTTGTCAACCATAGATTAGAAAGCCTGTAGCTCTGGTTCTGAAAATTTCCCTCCCAATCTGCTGAATTTGTTTAATATATTTTTTACTGCATTGAAGTGGAAACAGTCCATTAACAGTGTAAATTCTAAATACTTGTACTTGAGCAGCTTAAACATTAATATCGGTAGTCAGACTGCCAGATGTACAAGCTGGTATGGGTCTATACATTTAGATTTTTCACTATGTCTGTTACATTACTTAAAAGTGAAGAAATTTGATTTTAATCATTATCCATGTTATAAAGGCAGGGAATTTCAATGAAGAACTATTGTGACTCAAAGAAATTTATCTTCTAAGTGCAAGCAGCAATAACAGACCTTTGCCACCTGGGTTAAGTCAGCCTCCAATACCTAATAAAAGTAAATAAATGACTAGTTGCCTAGGCAGTTTGCACATCTGTATCTATACTGCTGAGGGTCGTTTTATCAATGCTCTACGACATGTCGTAGGCTAGTTTTTGTCGCATGTCATAGCTAACAATGTCATAGAAAATGTCGCAGCTTCCAGCATTACTGGTGGAGGAAGACCTCAGGTGCCCTTCCGTGCATTATTTCAGGCAAGAACGGGCACCTGAGTAGAACCACCGACATTCCGTAAGTTATCTTACCCTTTCGGGATTCGAACCCACAGCGGTGAGGGGCAAGTTGTTTGAAGTCAACGACCTTAACCACTCGGCCACGGACACCCCTAAACTGGACAGGTCTATTATAGAAAGACAGTAGGGTAATGGTCAAATGACAGTGTTAAAGAATTTCTAAATTATAATTTCATACAACAGATACACAACATGTACCAGCAGGACAAGAGGAAGGAGAGTTAGGCCTGTATAGAGGAAAATTCCTCAAGTTCCTTAAAACATCCAATGTTTACAATCCAGAGGATATCTTAAGAAGGCTTCCTTTTGACAGTAAGTTTACAGATTGATTAAGAAATTTTTTTACGTCATTTAGAAAAAAACTGGAATAAACAGCATGTAAGCTGTAATATTTACTATAGTATGAAGTAACTATTGTTTTATTCTGTTCAATGTTTAGTAATACCAAGGCTGTTCATATCAAGGCAATTTGCTGCTTTTGTAATGGAGAGCAAACACTGTTCTAATTTAGACACATTATTGTTGTAGGTTTCTTTGAAGAGCGAGCCATTTTGCTTGGTAAAATGGGAAGACATGAGCAAGCACTCGGTATATTTGTGTATGTCCTAGAAAATCTCAATGATGCTGAGGAGTAAGTACATACTTAATTCCTTACCTGCCACCCCTTAATTTATGTAATGTACTTCTGCTTAAAAATATTGGATTGACCATTAGTTACCAAAGGTATATTGTCTAATAGTGTCATGTTATGTTATGAATACTTAATCTGAAAATTGCCATTTATTTGTAACTTTTAAAGTTGTAGCTAAGGCCCCCATGATTACACGTTTAAACGGATTCGTTTCGATTTTCATTCATAAACGTTTATGATATTGTTTACCGTTTAATCGAAATGACCATATTGTCTTACAAAATTTCTTAATCATTGCCTGTAATCATGGATTTTATCAATTCTAGTGGTTTATTCCTAAGTAAACAAACGGAAAATATGTGTTTACAACCCTCCACACAGCATTACGGTGCAAAATTGCTCGTGACATAATACATTTTTGGTAAAAAATGGGGTTACAATGCAAAAAATGTGTGCTGACTCAATCGTGATGAGCCCTGCACATTCTTTATTTGTACATGTATAAAAAATAGAAAGAAAGACATCATTTAGCGACTGAAATAATACATGGTGTGTATAGTACATAGAGGTACCACCGTTTAAACGGCATCGTTTCGGTTCTTAGCAATCGTGTAAACGTTTACAAAAAATTGTAAACGTGGGAGCCTTAGTTGTAGCAGTAACTTCGGGTGAAGGGATTTTTAGGGTACACATGGAGTACTATCAAATCACAACATCTTACCTCTTTGGTGCAGACAGCACAGGTGTACAGAGACTTCCCCATTAAAGTTTTTGAGATATGACAATGTACCCAGTAATGTACAGTACACAATTCAAGTAATAGCTGATAAAAAAATATTGATATTGGGCACATTTTAATACTACAGTTCATCAAGAGAAAACAAAATCATCACCCCTAGTTCTATACAACAAATATGGATTACCCAATAAACTCAGTTTATTATAAAACTAAAGTATAAAATTATTATAGGTATTGTGTAGACTATTACAACAGAGGAAACGCTGAGGTCTGTTGTTCTACAGTATAACCAGATCTTTTTGGTTCTAAAGTCTGTTTATCCAAATGTTTTCTTCTTTTTTCTCTTTTCTATTTTTCTTGTACTTGAGCCTCTCTCTCACTCTCCAAAGTTGTCTTATCTTGTACTGATATATAACATATGATCTGTGTCTTACTTAACTGTGATAGTACCATATATGTTTTACTTAGTTACAATGATGTAAGCTACTCAGATTTGATATATAACTGATATAGTAATTATGACCTATGCTTAACTATGATATGGTACATTATGACCTATGCATTATGACCTATGCTTTACTGAGATGTAGTAATTGTGACCTGTGTTTTACTGAGATATAGTAATTATGACATATGCATTATGACCTATGTTTAACTGAGATGTAGTAATTATGACCTATGCTTTACTGAGATATAGTAATTATGACCTGTGCTTTACTGAGATATAGTAATTATGACCTGTGCTTTACTGAGATATAGTAATTGTGACCTGTGCTTTACTGAGATATGGTATATGACCTATTCTTTACTGATATGATCTATGCTCTACTGAGACATGAAAGCAATTTATATGCTAACTGATATTTAAAACTATAAATTATATGCTTTACTGATATATGATACATCATCTATACTTTACTGAGATATACTGTATGATCTTAATTGAGATATGACACCATATATATGCTTTACTGATATATGATATATGATTTACTGATATATGATACCTTGAATGCCTTATTGAGATATGATACATGATCTATGATTTATTGAGATAAAAAATATTATCCTTAATTAATTGTGATTTGCTCCAAATTTAATGTTGATGTGATTTTTCAACTGAACACCCAAGATGTTGTTCCCTTTCTCTTTCTAGGCACTTGTCCCAAATCACTAAGGCAACCTTAATGCAAAAAAAATTAAGAAGTATCGGTATTCATTCACCAATATCCTCAAGAAATAAGCCTGATATTATCTGCAAATACAATAGATTTGGTCCAAAAGTAAAGAGATTCCATCACCTGTTCAAATTGTTTTTTAACTCTTATTAAAATGTTGCTTTAAAAAATGGCACTGTTGTTATGCCAGTAAAAAGCATATGATTTACAAATGCAGATTAAAGGGAAGGTGGCCTACTGGTTCAGGTTTCTGGCTCTCAACTCAGGGATTGTGGGTTCGAGTCCTATTGGGACCAATGACATATTTCCTTATATGAAATTATATTATTTAGTCTGGTTAGTCCCAGGAAAAAATTGAGATTGATTCAAAAAGCTAAAAAAATGTTTAAATTTTTAAAAGTTACTTGGTGAACAGATAAATATAAGTAATGGTGATGTTGTTTTTTATGCTAACCAGGTGTATTTGAGTCTACTACAAGTATACCTTCACCCACCAGAACCTTTATCACTTGGACTGAAGGAGTTTACTAACCCACCTAAACCCAGAGTCCGTACAGCGCTCAGTATGCTTGAGACACAAGCAACAAAAATCGACCTGTTTAAGGTAAGTATACTGGCATGATTGCACTTATTGCACTTAAGAAATACTGTACTTTAAGATGTAGAGCTGAAAGTTGAAATATGACTCTGTAACTTAATTTCAGATAATACACATAATTTTCATAATGTTATTCCTAAAATTAGCAGTCTAGCATGCTTCACACTATTCCCCTACCAAACAGAATTAGGACAATCAAGTGCATTATTACACTGCATATGCATAGCATAAAAACAACGAAAGCTTTCACATAATATGACATCATATATGATGTCAATAAACTAAACGATGTCAGGAAATGTAATTCACTGCATCTTAATCAATTCTCTTTTTTTGTTAGCTTGTTAGGATGGAAACATTAATTTTTCTTGTATTATAAAATGATAATGCATGGTTTATCATTCAAATGCTTTGTAATTAATAATTCAGGCCTATCGGCCTTTGTTATTATATTCCTACGCATTTGAACTCCAACTGTGCATTATTCCACAACAATGCACGCAAAATTGATATCTATTTCCAAAATGAACTGCTTCAAAATAGAATTTGTTTATTGAGTCAATACAGGAAGTTCTGCAGGCTAAAGATTATGATTTGATTTCTCTGGCAAGAAATTAATTGCTAAATAATTTTTGTATAAAGGCACTGCAGGCATTGCCAGAAGAGATGTTTATAAAGCAGACAAGAGTAGTGCTAGAATCAGCTATAGACAAGTGTATGTCCCGCAGGTACCTGAGTCAGGTACAGAGACAACTAGCATATCAGGAATATCTACAGACAACAGTCGAGTGTATGGAGGGAACAAGGCAGTATATTAAGGTGGATGAATGTATCAGCTGTAAAATATGTAAACGTAAAATAGGTGATAAAAGGTTTGTCATTTTCTTCATCATATTTCTATACAGCTGAAAATGATTGGGGGATATTGGTTATGGTCTGTCAGTCCTTCTGACATTTTTTACCCAGAGCATAACTTGAAATGTATTTTGAAAATATTCATGTTTGGTATGAATGAAATAGGCAACCTTTTCCTTATAAGACGGCCACACTTCATTAAGCTACCACTGCAACATATAACATCATACCACTTGTCTCAGTGCTAGATAATTGAATTAAAGCTTCATAGAATGACATAATTCTGTAAACATGCTTATAAGGTTTACTTGCCCTTAAGATATTCAAGAAATATTTTAAGTTTAAGTGAATACCTTTAACAGTTTTTGACAAAAAGGCAAATACTCTTACTATAAGTCAACAAATACTCTTATTATAAGTCAACAAATACTCTTATTATAAGTCAACAAATACTCTTATTATAAGTCAACAAATACTCTTATTATAAGTCAACAAATACTCTTATTATAAGTCAACAAATACTCTTATTATAAGTCAACAAATACTCTTATTATAAGTCAACAAATACTCTTATTATAAGTCAACAAGACCCTAATATTCCTCACCTGATTATTAAGGTTCTTAATTAATTTAAGATTGTTAGCAATGAATGACAAGCAGGTAAAATGGTATAATCTTAAAACTGATATCATAATATTCATATTTGCACCTCTAATAGTCCAAATTCAACTTGACAGAAAAATCCTTTTAACAATTTCTAGGATATTTGGGCTGAAAATATTATATTTATAGTGTTAACAAGGATTTTCATACTAATTAAGGCTGTGTGACCTAGTTATTGACCCCAAAATTTTTAATGACCCATATTCAAAGTTAAAAAAATCAACATGACAAACTTTCTGACCAATTTCCAGGACATTTGGACAGCAAATATTGCCTCTTGAGTGTATTAACACTGTTTACCATATTTGACTTGTACAACCTGGTTTTTGACCACAGATGACCCATGTGTGAACTTTAGCAAGACATCATCTAAACTACCTTTCTGATTAATTCACTGGATATTTGGACAGAAATAGTAGCCTCTAGACTGTTAACAAGGATTTTCCATATTTGGGCTATGTGATCTAGTTTTTTATCGATATTTGAACTTGAGCTAGAAATCATCTAAACAACCTTACTTAACAATTTCCAATATATTTGAACCAAAACAATTGACTCTAGAGTGTAAACAAGTATTTTATATTTTGGGCTGACCTAGTTTTTCATTCGAGATGATCCATGTTCAACCTCATTTGAGCAATTCCTGGGACAAATATCCCATCAAACTAAATTTTGAGGGACGACAGACATTCAACGATCCTAAAAGGGAAATAGGAAATAATTAAGCAAATATCTGCCATTCTTATTTAAAACCTGAACAAGTATTCCAAGTTTGAAGTGATTGTCACATTAACTTTGAAAGTTTTTGAGAAATTGACCTTAGAAAAAAACAAGCATGACATGTCACAAAATATGCCCATCACAAAAGCTTTGAGTGGAGAAGTGGACGATAAGAAATGTGGCAAGCAAGCAAGCATATTTTCGTATTTTTATCTGAAATTTTGCATGTGTGTTCTTGATATTTGTTGCAGGGACCTCAATTAAATGTGCAACACTCTGCCTTATAATGATGAAAATTTAAGTCAAGCTTTATTAAAATCCCTCAATGCATGTAGAAGTTTTGCACTGGAAATTTTTTTTTTTTTAGAGTGATGTGAGATCTTGACCTTTGACCTAGAAACCTGTTTCATACCCAGTGCACTAAGTCTAATGGAGGTGAACAATTCTATAAATCAACATAAAAATTTCTCCATATGCTCTGAACAATATCTGGATATTCAATCATCTCATGTAACCTTGATCCTGTAAATATTGAATTACATATGTGTCACACCCGTAGTCATGAAAGTTACCATTTGTGTTACCATCCATCAATAAATTATGACTAAATGGTGCCTATACACATCTTCATATTTTTATCTGAACTTTGACCTCTATGAGTGACCTTGACTTTGGTCACAGAAACCTGAATTTACATGCGACACTCGACCTTACAATGGTGAATATTTGTGCCAAGTTATATTACAATACCCCTATAAATGTAAAAATTTTGCTTAGGACAAGCGTTTCTCAATAAGCTCTGAATGTGACCTTAACATTTGACCCAGAGACCTGGATCATGTGTGGTGCAATATGTCTCAAAAAGTAGGAGATATGCTCCAGACAAAATCTGGATATTTAATCATATTTAGTGACCCTGACCATGCATATATTGACCTAAATTACATGTGTCACAGCCATAGTCATGATAATGACCATTTATGTTACAATCTCTCAATATATGATGACTAAATGGTCCAAATACACATCTTCAAATTTTTTTCTGAATTTGGACCTCTGTGTGTGACCTTACCTTGGCCACAGGGAACTGAATTTAGCCTGCAACTCGGCCTCACAAAATTTGTGTCAAGCTATATTAAAAATACTTATGTTGAAGTATTGCTCTGGACAAGCCTTTTTCAGTGAGCTCTAAGTGTGACCTTGACCTTTGACTTAAGACCTGGTTCATGTGTGCGCCATAGCTTTTCATAGTGGTGAACATTTCTATGAAGTTTCATTAATATCCCTCTGTGTGTGTAGGACAAAATTGGACACAACTTTAACAAAGCCATCATCTTACAGCAGGGTTACATATTTTGAAGAATTAAGGAATAGTATCCCTTGTCTTGCTGGGTTTATCGAATGAACTCTTCCTTCTGTGAAGTGGTAAAGTCAATTTGAAGTTCCACTTTCCAAGAAAAAAGTGGAGCTTTTGTCATGACCCTTTTCTCTGCCTTAGTTAATCTTTCATATTGAGAACAACGGGGCACTGTCCACTGATGGGTCTTGTTACTTTTGAGTAAATCTTGCCATTTTCACTGTTATTACTAAAATGTTTAATTTTTTCATTATTCTGTGTATTTCAGTGTTTTTGTTTGCAACTCCAAAAGAGAACTAATGCATTATGGGTGTAATAAACAGTAGTTCAGATACAGCTTTTGATGGGTGAAACTTTTGAGGAGAGTGAAATCTGCACTGCTACCTGAAGCTACCTGATAGAATGTTTTGAAGAAGTTCAAGGAAGATTAAACAAATGCATTTTTAATTTTGTATTCAGTTGACTTGAAGTAAAAGAAGCATTAATTTCTTTTAAAGTAACAGACAGATAAAAAACACTGTAAATTTCTTTTTTTCAATAAATTTATTAACCTATAAGTCAAGTTTTATTGTAGTGTTACAACAGCAGTATTTTACATGAGTGTAGGACAAAAGCCCCCCCCCCCCCCCGCACGAAAGCCCCCCATCTAAAAATGACAAGGTGGACAAAAGCCCCCCCCCCATAAAATTTACACATAGGACAAAAGCCCCCCCAATCAAAAAATACAGGTAGGACAAAAAGCCCCCCCCCATCTTTTTTCACACGCACAGGTGCTCAAATTCATCAAATTTCACACAATTTTTTAAATAAAAATGAAAAGAATTTGTTTTAATGTTTATTTATAATGTATATATTGAAGTGATAACAAAGTATATGATAACAGATGAAACTAAAACTGCCACTATCATGGCGTGAATACCCCCGCATACCACTTTGTCAGAATCAACAGTGGCCATTTAAAGCTCAAGGACAACCTCCCTGCCAAGTCTGAGGTTACTAAACCAGTGCATTGCTAAGTTATGTATTCTACTTGCTTCAAATGTGAAAATGTCAAAAACAATACACTGCGGACAGGCATTCTTAAGCAATTGAGGGGAAAGATTTTTTTGTCAAGGTCCCAGTGACCTTGACCTTTTACCCAGTGACCTCAAAATCAATTGGGGTCACCTTATGGTCATGATCAACATCCATGCCAAATACGATGACTGTGGGTCAAAGGAATCTTAAGATAATGGGTGGACAATCTTTTTTAGTCAAGGCCCCTGTGACCTTGACCTTTGACCCAGTGACCTAAAAATCAATAGGGGTCACCTATTAATCATGACTAACCTCCATGCCAAATATGAAGACTGTGGGTCAAAGGAATCTTAAGTTATTGGGCAGACAAACTTTTTGAAGTCAAAGTCCCTGTGACCTTGACCTTTGACCTGGTGACCTCAAAGTCAATAGGGGTCATCTACTAATCATGACTAACCTCCATGCCAAACATGAAGACTGTGGGTCAAAGGAATCTTAAGTTATTGGGCGGACAAGCTTTTTGAAGTCAAGGCCCCTGTGACCTTGACCTGGTGACCTCAAAGTCAATAGGGGTCATCTTCTAATCATGACGAACCTCCATGCCAAATATGAAGACTGTAGGTCAAAGGAATCTTAAGTTATTGGGCGGACAAGCTTTTTGAAGACAAGGCCCCTGTGATCTGACCTTTGACCTGGTGACCTCAAAATCAATAGGGGTCATCTACTAATCATGACTAACCTCATTGCCAAATATGAAGACTGTGGGTCACAGGATTCTTAAATTATTGAGCAGTAAAACTTTTTTTAGTCAAGGCCCCCGTGACCTTGACCTTTGACCCAGTGACCTCAAAATATATTGGGGTCATCTATTAATCATGACTAACCTCCATGCCAAATATGAAGACTGTAGGTCAAAGGAATCTTAAGTTATTGGGCGGACAAGCTTTTTGAAGTCAAGGCCCCTGTGACCTTGACCTTTGACCTGGTGACCTCAAAGTCAATAGGGGTCATCTACTCATCATGACTAACCTCCATGCCAAATATGAAGACTGTGGGTCAAAGGAATCTAAAGTTATTGGGCGGACAAGCTTTTTGAAGTCAAGGTCCCTGTGACCTTGACCTTTGACCTGGTGACCTCAAAATCAAGAGGGGCCATCTACTAATCATGACTAACCTCCATGCCAAATATGAAGACTGTGGGTCAAAGGAATCTTAAGTTATTGGTCGGACAAGAAAAAGAGGAGTAGTAATGTTTAATCACTTTTGTAAAGGGATCAAATTAATATCCTTGGCACTATGTCACCTACATGTGATGTCCATACATATCTTTTAAACACATAAAAAACACAACTTTAATATACTATAAAATTATGTACATTTGATTGACCATGGGGGGGGGGCTTTTGTCCTATCTTTACTTTTTTATGGGCGGGCTTTTGTCCTATGTGTAAATTTCATGGGGGGCTTTTGTCCACCTTGTCATTTTAAGATGGGGGGGGGGGCTTTCGAGGGGGGGAGGGCGGGGGGCTTTTGTCCGTATCCCATTTTTACATACATGATAAAATGGAGAAGCTTGACTATCTATTAAGATTGACAGATTTTTGGTCCAAGGTGTTACTTCAGGAGGTAGCAACATGAAAACTGAAGTCTGAATGTTTGTATTTTCCAAGTGTCTGAATGTTTGTATTTCTCAGTGTCTGTATGTTTGTATTTCCCCAGTGTCTGAATGTTTGTATATCCCAAGCATCTTGATGTTTGTATTTCACCTGTCTTAATTTTCTATTTCCCCATGGTCTGTATGTGTGTATTTCCCCCACTGTCTGTATGTTTGTATTTCCCTTAGTGTTTAAGTATTTGTATTTCCCCCAGTGTCTGATTGTTTCTATTTCACCAGTGTCTGAATGTTTGTATTCCCCCAGTGTCAGAATGTTTGTATTTTCCCCAGCATCAAAATGTTTGTATTTGCCCCAGCATCAAAATGTTTGTATTTCCCAAGCTTCTGTGTGTTTGTATTTCCCCAGTGTCTGAATGTTTGTATTTGCCCCAGCTTCTAAATGTTTTTATTTCCCCCAGTGTCTGAATGTTTGTATTTTTTTTCCAGTGTCTAAATGTTTGTATTTCCTCAAATGTCTGAATGTTTGTATTTCCCCCAGAGTCTGTATGTTTGTATTTCCCCAGCATCTAAATAATGTTTGTGTTTCCCAAGCATCTTCATGTTTGTATTTCGCCAGTGTCTTAATTTTCTTTTTCCCCAGCTTCTAAATGTTTGTATTTCCCCAGTGTCTGAATGTTTGTATTTTCCCCAGTGTCGGAATGTTTCTATTTCACTAGTGTCTGTATGTTTATATTTCACTAGTGTCTGTATGTTTCTATTTCACCAGTGTCTGTATGTTTGTATTTCCCCAGTGTCTGTATGTTTGTATTTCCCCCAGTGTCTAAATGTTTGTATTTCCCCCAGTGTCTGAATGTTTGTATTTCCCCAGTGTCTGAATGTTTGTATTTCACCAGTGTCTGAATGTTTGTATTTCCCCCAGTGTCTGAATGTTTGTTTTTCCTTAGTGTCTGAATGTTTGTATTGTCCATTGTCAGAATGTTTGTATTTCCCCCAGCATCAAGATGTTTGTATTTCCCCAGCTTCTAAATGTTTGTATTTCCCCCAGCATCAAATTGTTTGTATTTGCCCCAGCTTTTAAATGTTTGTATTTCCCCAGTGTCTGATTGTTTCTATTTCACCAGTGTCTGGATGTTATTTTTTAAAGACAACTGTTTTATAATTCTTTTAAATTTTATTTTCTTCAACAAATAAATAATGACTGCATACATCATAATAAAACATTCTTCATGGAAGTTCAAAGAGCTATAACATCAAATTTGCTTTCTTGGAAAATTTTATCAACTGAAATAAAGTCTACCCGAGTAAACTGATCAATCATGTAAAAGACGAGACCTCTACCTTTTTATCAGCATCGTCTTGAACAAATGTCTTTATGTAGATAACAAAGGAATAACAAACAATTCATGAAGTTTTCATAACAAAAAGCACTTTTCACATGAGTGACTTGATTTCTACCTTAGCACTTATATAATATTATTTAACATTTTCTTGCTGATTTCAACAATTCATGTAAATTGCCGTGCCATTTATGGATGAATGAAAGTAGCCAATACCATGTACAGACTCAAAAGCTTAGTAATTTAATTCATAGCAAGAACCATTTACGCTTCAACCATACACAGTTAAATTTCTATAAAGAACTTGTCCTGTCATGAATTTTGAACAGTCCTTCATTTGTTATGATACTTAAACTGAGCAGCTAACATTATAGAGTCTGTTTAGACTACATGAGTGTGACAGCTGGCCACAGTGGATAAAGGACTTTACATCCTGTTTTTTTGTTTTTGCAAGAAAGGTTCAGGTAAATATACATGTATATAGGCTCCCATGAAAGGTACAGTGATAGGAGAAAACAGGTGCTTGTAATTGCAAGACGAGATACATACTGAATAGAATAGGCTTGCAAGACAAGATACAGTGATTACATTTGTCCATTGTGATGTTGAAAGCTTAGATCAGTTATTACAGCAGTACTCAAAGATTAAGATAATAATAAACATTATAATCCAATATCAAAATCATTTAAATTATAATAGCACATGCTGAAAGAACTCTAAATTTACACATATCTCATTTATAATATACTTATAATACTTATATTGCAATTAATTTAAATGTTTGTACTTTTGATAAATTAATTACAAATTAGACAAATATTTGTTTATTTTCCCTTAATTAAATACAAATTGACACTTTGAACACATTTTTAACACATAAGTTATTATAAATTCTAAATTGTAAACAAATACAATGTATAACTTATTTCATAAAAACATAAAATGAAAAATCATTGTACAATGTACTATAAATATAAGACCTTGAATAAAGTCTCTATTCACCCCCCCCCCCCCCCCCCCCCCCCCCCGCACACACACACACCCACCCCCAATTAAAAAATAACCAATAAAAATTTATCGCAAACTTATTTTTCTCTTTTCCAAGAGTCATGTTGACAAATTTCGTATCCAAAAATGTTCTTGTAAATACAAATTAAATCATGTTGTGATGTATTAACCATGCCAAAAATATGGAATACCAGAAACAACATGTTAATAAATGCATCACTAATCACTTTAACATAAGATTAATGTATACAGTAGTTGGAATTAAAACATTCTTTTTTTCACAAATATTTCTGTACAAAAATTTTAAGTAATATACCTTTGTGTAGCAAGCAAGACCTCCTGTGAGTGAGGAAATGTCCGTTATCAAAGTGGACTGGTTTACATTTTCCATAAGTATTTCAAATATTGATCAATAGAAAGTTTAAGGTTGTTTTTTTTAAGTCCTCCCTATGCTAATGTATCTTTTTTCATTACTTTGGACCCTACACTTTTTATTTCTCTTTCCACTTTGTCATTTCAAATATATTTTAAATTGAAAAAAGAAGAAAAATTCCTATCTACATACCCTCTCTGTTTGATATTAGTGACCCGGAAAAAACGCTTTTGTTCTTTTATTTGCCATTAAGAATTTTAATAGTAAAAGAATGAACTAGCTAACCGTTTAAAGTCATGTTAGACGACATACATAAAGATGCTGACTTGGCTCTATACTGTTGTCCTTAAATTAACAAGCAAGTGCTAATATGAAAATTCTTTGCTACTGTCAGCAACATAGCCTGGTTCCCAGTCTAATTTTGTTAATATGAAAATTCTTTGCTACTGTCAGCAACATAGCCTGGTTCCCAGTCTAATTTTGGTTGTTTCTGAATAGCTTCATAGCAGATTACTGTATCGCCAGGTTTGAACTCAACGTCAGTTTCTGAACCAAAAGTCATTCCACATTCCTGATTTGTCCCAACTGAACTCACTTCGTCCTTCATAATTTTTAAAGATGAAAGTTTACCTGCAACATATTTTAAAATGTTAAATTGTAAAAATCTATATCAATTACAATAAATACAATTTCTGACAATTGTTTCTATTTATGTGTTTGTAACCTACAGAGAGCCAGTTTTTATCTATTATCTTTGCATTTATCTGTTATCTTAGCATTTTCTTATAACAAAAAAATATTCAAAAGTAAAAACATTTTTTACTTTACTTCCTAAGTTATCATAACACAGTATGTTTTTTTTTATTTGTTTAGTTTGGAGTTGCACAGCACTGTTAAAGGATCTCCTTTGAGGTCCAAATATTTGAAAAGAAATAAATTTGAATAGGATTAACTGGTACACTTTAAATGGAATATTATGCAAAAGATTGTAAAGAAATATACTCAAAAGTAAATTAAAATCTTTTTTATGCCAGCCCAAGCTCAATTTGAGTAAAAAGCATTGCAACACTCATTTTTTGGGTCATTTTGCACATTTTAAATGATTATTCTGGAAAAACTGGAGTAAGTGAATGATCTGAAATTATATTGGTTCAAAGCTACAAATGTTAAACAAATTCTGAAAAAAAATTAATTTAAGTCCCCTCATGTCAAAAAACCTTAACTGAGTCACTTACAGATTATATGGTGACTTTCATTACAATCTTCTTTTTTTTGGAGTATTTTATCAAGTAATTAAAGTAACACAACACTGTGTTTTAACCAAAGTCAAGATAATATTTCTTTTTGTGTAATGGAATTGCCTTGCTATGATTTCAGAAATTTCATTAAATCTTTTTAAAAGATTCTGATAATAAAATTATCAAATAGAACAGTCAATTGTATGTATTAACATCACCCACAATACACAACTGTGAAGACTGGCCTTGCTAAATCCTGCTATTTAAGGCAAATGTCTCACACATTCAGAGTATTTTTCAGTGAAATACATATCATACCCTTTGCAAGCTAAATTATAGAATATGATGACTGTTCTTGTTTGTCATTGTTTCTTTTTATATGATCATTTCAGAGACATGTTAAAAATGCTGCAAGTGTCTCTCTTAAAAGCTTTACAGCACAATTTTCCTGCAATAGTTTTATAAATGTGTTAAGGTAATGATAAAGAATTTTACTTACCATCAAATATTACCTCGTCCCCTCTCTGTAATTTAAACAAATATTTCCTAGATAGATTTCCTGATAAACATCGGCATCCAGCTACATGTATTTGTCTATTTCCATCTTTTTTTTTCTCTTTGTACAGAAATTCTTGCAAGATTTTAGCCTCACCTGTTAGCATAAATTTACATTTCAGTTAAATAACAAAAAACAAACAAAAGCCCCCAACCAACAAAATAACCTATTCCATTCTTTTAAAATTTAAGTTTTATAAATCTTTGCATCTATTTTATAATGATATTGAGAAAACTTTCTAAACTACACTACTATTATTTACATATCTACAGTCTACAGTCTTAAATATTTATAACCTTTTAATCTAAATCTTTACCCATAACCCATTGCTCTCTTTCAAAAGATTTATATATAACCCACTGTCTTCTAAATCATTACATATAACATATTTCCCTTGAATCTTCATTTTTATCAAACATATTACATATAACCTCTCCTTGTTTAAAAGCTTTACATGTTACTCTCTTTCTAAAAATTATTCAAATACTTTATCTATGTGCATTATATATATCTGACAGCTGTGTTCTTCTTTTAATATAATTCAGTATTGTTTTGAATAATGTAAAAAAAACCCTATATTTGTATATTTATTACATGCACAAATATGCCTTATGGCATGAATAAAATCAAATCTACAACAACAACAATAACATTTTATTTTTTAAATAAAGACCTACGGCCAAAAATACACAACATAATCAAAGCAGATATCTATATTTAGCTGTGTCTACAATATACGTCGTTATCTATCATGTTTTCCTATTTATAATAGTTTTCAACAATTTTCATATTTGATGGTAGACATTACACATGTACTACTTCAATTAAGTATAATTGTTAAAGGGATAAATTGGCAAATTAATAACAAAAATATTAAAATGATCTTAGGAACTCAAATCACGCTAAAATGACATTATTTAAATTCTAGCATGAATTTCTGTATTAAATTCTATATATTTTGGGTTTGAAGCATAAATATATCTCTATATGTTGAACAAACTTTTATAGAAGCCAACAGAATCATCAAGTAGTTTTAAAACAAGTCATGTGACATGAACAAACCCTTGAAGTTACAATAACAGATATTGTGGATATTGTATGATTGAAACAAGTCTAAGTCATTCATTTGACATGTTCTTTAATTTTTCCAAAGTTCATTGTGACAACTATTGTGAAATCTCACGTGGGTCAGGTTAGAAAACCATCATTGAATACTTTATAATGAGAAAAGATTTGTTGTGACTGCCTAGTGTATTCATTTTGAAGATGTTTACAGAATAACAAAGGAAAATTCAGAACGAAGAAATGAAAAAGATTGCCTGAGTCTCCCTTTAATAATGTATAATGTCTCTGATAACTTACCTCTAACAATTTCCTCTGTTATAAAGGGTAATTTCTCATTTATTGTCTGTATAAGGTCATCAAATAGATGATAAATCACATTATGATTCTTTATTGCTACACTCTCATGAGTTATAGGTGACACATTAAATGCATAGATTAAACCTGAAATATAGTTTCAAATGATGTTAACAATTTAAATGAAATAAAGTTAATAAAAGTTTTTAGAAAGTAATCTGACTACAGATCAGATCTATGTATATTTTACATGTAGATCTGACCATGACCCACTACGATTTACTTTCTGTCTAACACAGATTTTCCAAGTGACCTATTTTTTGCCAACAGATCAAATTATTTGTTACAGGAAATGTTGGACAAAAAATAAAGAAGAACATGTGCTATTTTTTTTTACATAGCAAAACAGATACAATGGACAATAAATGTTAAATGTACTGCATAGATTTTTTAATTTACTGGGTATTTTATTAAAAGCGTAGCATTATTTAGTAGCTGGTTTAAAGTAGGTTGTTTTAGTAATAATATCTGTCATATTTTGCGGTTCGGATCGGAATATCCGTCCCGAGGTGACCCGCCCATTGGGCGGTAACGAGGCTTTCCGAGTTACCGCCCATGGGCGGGTGACCGAGGGACGGATATTCCGATCCGAACCACAAACATATGTCAGATATTCTTTCTTGCATATTCTGCCATATTCCATTATACTTTAAATTCTTTATCTTTATTTTCAATGAAAATTTATATCATTACAACCGTAACTACTTTCTTACAACAGCATATGAATTACAACTTCATTCTTAACGGTAAAATGACGTCATCCTAATCGTGCCATTGTACAGCACGCGACTCATCTGGAACCCCCTATGCCAGATGAAATTTCCGGCATGGGTAAAACTCACGGAAACGCCAGTCTGATATGCAAGAAAAGGTATTCTCACATATAATAATTAAAATATTCAGTAAGCAAAGACAAAATTGAAGAAATGAGTCATCAAGGATTACTGCTTTAATATTGAGTAATCAACTTGTCCTGATTTGCATTTACAACTACATGTATCAACTGATAATTAAAGGATTTCAATACACATATATTCTATATCATTAAACAGGGCAACAGTGTATAACATGGTAAAATATACAGATCTGCATACTGGTCTGTCTGTATAACAGGCAAGTAGTTATTGTCACTATTATAGTTACTATTATTCTGAAAGTGAAATGTGTTTTGAGTATCTGGTGTGAAGAGAACATCACTATTCATCTACAACATGTTACTTCAGTACAGTTCATAGAATGCTAATATATAGCAAAACAAAAAAGCTAAATATGTTGAACTCTCCATTATGTGACTACTTAATAAGTGTTTGAATACATAAAACTATGAAAACATACCATCAAATAACTCTGCCAATTCAATATCATACGGTGTGACATCTCCAACGCCACTATGCAGAATTTCTATGTCACATAAATTGGACTGAAATGTTGCAAGTGTGTCTGTTATAGCTTCAACAGATCCAGCGACATCGCCTGTAACATAATTAAGCCGCGTCATAACAAAACCAACATAATGGGTTTGCAACCAGCATGGATCCAGACCAGCCTGCGCATCCACACAGTCTGATCAGGATCCATGCTGCTCGCTATCAGTTTCTCTACTTGTAATAGAGTTGGTAAGCAAACAGCATGGATCCTGATCAGACTGCGCGAATGCTTAGGCTGGTTTGGATCCATGCTGGTCGCAAACTCATTATGTTGGTTTTGTTGTGACGCGGCTCTAATTAATTAACATGAACCTGCTGACATTCCTAAATGGTGTCGTCAAGCTTCCATTTTAGGAAAACTGTTCATTATAAATATTGGTCAGGTCCAATTTTAACCCCAGGACTATAATTTGAAAAGTTTTATTACATAATGCTACACCCAAAATATAAAAGCTCTTGGCCTTGCACTTTTAGAGAAGAAGATTTCATTTATAAAATCTATTATTAGCCCTTCTGACCCAAATGTTCGATGGAGCAGAACCATTTGAACAAGTTTTGTAGGGATTCATGTAAGGAACATCCCATGAAATTTTTTTTATCAAATTTGACTTGGCGGTTTCAGAGGAGTAAAGGAGTTGTTTGAAAAAAAGTTGACAATGGGCGCACTGATAACGATGAACAAATTGTGATCACAAATCTCACCTCGAGCATTTTGTTCTAAGGTGAGCTAAGCTAAAAAAGTTACAGAAGCAAAATATAAAACAGGGAATTGACCATCAGAGGAAATGCTGGCAAGTATATGCCACCATTACAGAGCCAAACAGGCCTGCTTTACCATGGAGTCTTCATTTGGTTTGTTTGGTTTTATGGTGTACAAGCACAGTATAGGTCATATGGCACCGAAACAGGAAAGATGATTTTGGCTAACCTAACTTCATGGGGAGATAATTATGAAAATGTTAGCGCTTGAGTTAAAAACCATGTGTTTGATTTGATTATAATGAACATATATTTGAAGTTTAAAGTAGATCTTTTATGAAATGTAGAGTAAAAAATAACATTTTTAAGGAAGTTCAAAGAGAGATATTTCTGAAAATAATGCTTCTAAAGTTAAGGACCTATGATATGGTTGATGATAAGGAACATGTATTTGTAGTTGATACTTTAAGAAATATAAAGAATGACAGACAATGTATAATTAAAAAAATATTTTATAGCACAAAACCTTTAACCTGAAATCTCGACACTGACATTGGGGTGAATAGGACATTGTACATTGTATAGTCAAGCCTAAACAGGATAGCAAATCTTAAAACTCATGTGCAAAACAAATTTGCAATTTCCATTAAAATTTGGTATACTGAAATGGAAAAATATAAAATATAGATTTACTTTGAATAAATAGTTTATCTTTTCAGCCTATTTTAATTTACTACAACTGTCTAAAAGTGAAACTATGTACCTTTTATAATCAAGTAGAATGTTGGCTTTTCTTCCACTATTTCCTTCCTTTCTTGTGGGGATTTATTAAAATTCATTATACGCTCAAATCTTACAAGATTCATTCTTTTTACACTTCTTAATCCACGTTCTCTCATATACTGAGCTCTTTCTTTTTTTATCTTAAGATATTGTTTTCTGTCTTCAGTCCTTCTTTCATTTATAATTTGCATGTCTTGTTCTCCTTTTTCAGCATCAAGTTTTTCCTGTCTGTAGGCCAGAGCCTTTTTAAGTTGTTTCTATAAAGTAGAACAATCTAATACTAGTATATTATTTCCATTTACATTCAAGCATTCTCTTAAAAAAACAAAAGTAACCTAAACAGGTAATACTGATTTTTTTTTCTGAAAAAAATCAGTACCAGTATGTGTCACGAGAAATATTTCTAACCTTAAATTACTTTAAAAATTCAAGAATTCATTAAACAAATATTTATTATCTGCAGACAAGGGGAAACGGACAAAAGCCCGTGTGATAAATACCTGTTTTTTTCTCAATACATTCAACATATTAAAATTGTAACATATATATTTCTTGTTGTTTTCAATTGGCTTAAGTATTTGTATGAGCTAGAACTACCTTTCATTAAGAATATTCTTTCTGAAATGTTTAACGAGGTAACTTTTTACAAGAATGCCTTTTAAAACAGTCACTTTTAAAAGTAATTAACTCATTACAAGGCACATAACAAATGTCTTGCACTTTTAATTTCAGTTATTTTAAACTTCTATTCATCATTTAATACTCTACTAATCTTAACTTCACATGGGAATTTACGTGAATAAATATGTACTTACAGATTTTAGCACTTATTATTCACATGCCTGTCAGAAATGTGCTCAAGCTTATACAAACATGTTATGCCAATGGAAAACAAAAATATTCATGATTATAATTTTAATATGTTTAGTGCATTGAAAAGAAAATACAAACTATTCAACGTACATAATATGTACGTGTTGTGGGAGGGCTTTTGTTCGCCCTGTTATTTTTTGTCCAAGAGGGCTTTTGTCCTACACTCGCAGACAAGGTGTGTCACTAAATACAACATATTAAATAAGGTGTCCCACTAAATGTGAGAGGGTGTCTCACTAAATATGACATATGCCACCAGCCAGATAGAGCTTGACAACAGGGTTGAAGACAAAAAAATATAGAGAACATAGGAATTCTAATTTCAAGACAAAATAAGGAATAATGTAAAGATTTTCAAGATTAAACAGTAAAATATAGGGAATTTTCACTGTAAATTTAACAAACAATCATAACAAAAATTGAATATGCTGGGAAAGTCCTTTCGAACAAGTTCAACTGGTTAAAGGTATAAAGAGCAAGTGTCAAATATACCAACATTAATAATATCTGTCATATGTTGCGGTTCAGATCGGAATATCCATCCCAAGGGGACCCCACCCATTGGGTGGTAATGAGGCTTGCCATGTTACCGCCCATGAGCAGGTTCCTGAGGGACGGACATTCTAATCCGAACCGCAAACATATGTCAGATATTTTTTCTTACGTAATTTGCCATATTTATTTCATATTTAAAATGGTTTACCTCAATAAGATATTTGTTCATTGAAATCAATTTCATTTCATCCATAACTATTTTCTTACAATAGCCTATGAATTTACAACTTTAATAACAACGACGAAATGACGTCATCCTAAGCACATAGTTTCCTTCTAAACTGACTTCATTTTAACGCAGTTCATTCATAAAATGCGCTAAACTGACATGGCACGCAACTCATCTGGCACCCCCCATGCCAGATGAAATTTCTGGCATGGGTAAAACGCACGAAAACGCCAGTCTGCTATGCAAGAATAAGCTGTCCTATAAGTTTTCATTGAGCATATGTTATATACTTACCTCAGTTTGTGCCTGCAAAACCTCATCCCCTATTTGAGGCAACTGTTTCCAACCACCAATCTCTACAGGAGTAGACGGTGTAGCCTTTTCAACAATTTGACCATTACTGTCATACATATTGCGTACCTAAATTATTACATAAACTAAAGCTGATATTGATAACTAAACATAGAAATACAACACATACAAAGTTAAGAAAAAAAAGAAATGCATTAAGAACCTTTCTTATTTTTTTTTTACTTTTTTTTAATTTAAATTTTGAAAATATTAGCAATTCTGTATGATATTACAGTCCAATTACCATAGAAACCAAACACCTGAGATCTGGTAAGTTTGGGCTATCAGTAGTCTAAATTCAATGTTCAAAGACAGACTGACCAACGGAAGAAGTAATTTCATTATATGTTGAATAATTATTTACTGGACGTTTTCACAATATTTTTCCATCCTAACCTTAGTCCATGTCAATCCAGCTATAAGATAATCGCCCTTTTTAAGAGAACCTCTCTGTACCAATATTGTAGCCATTTTACCACGACCAGTGTCTGTTCTTGTTTCAATAATATGTCCTTCAACAAGCCCACCAGGATCCCCTTTCAACTCTAAAAACTCAGCCAGTGTTGTTATACATTCCTCAAGTTGATCTAAATTGATTCTCTGAAACACAATACTGAATATCTAATAACAATGCCACCACATTGTACATAGAGCAAAATAATGTTGAATATTACACAACACAAATGAATCAAGCAAATCTATTGAATTTTGCTATTTTTACTGTTATTTTATTGTACTTAGTATTGTTATTAAAAGGTAATTTTATATTTTGAAAACTGTTACAGAAATATCTGAATTACAGAAACATGCAAGGTATAAACAACAATACACAGGAAATCAGAGTTTACAGTCAATTAGGAAAGTCTATTAGTATTAGTATTTTTTATAGTTTTAGTATAAGGGGTTAAACACCTTATTCAAGACATAATAACTGGGGGTCATATAATTAACATGGTAGAAAGAGTAGGTTTGACTGAATCATACTGTCTGTACTTCTTACAAACTCACAGATTAATTTGTTACCTTGAGGGCTGAGATAGGAACTGCCTGTACTTCTCCACCATACTCTTCTAGAACAACATCATATGCTGCCAGCATATTTTTTGTCTTTTCCTGAAAATACATTTTTCAATATTGAACTTGTTTAGATGCTTAGTGGGTTACAGCTCTGATAATTAATGATACTTGTACAATACTTCCCTTACTCTTGCCATTCAGAAATAAAAGGTAAATACTCAAAGCAAATTTGAATGGTATACATAGATTATCTTGGCGTACAAATATTTAACTATTTTAAAAATACTTTTTTTATCAAAGTTTGAGCACTAATGGCAAAACTCTGAATGATAATCATGAACAATGAGGAATAAAAGAATTTTCCTATTTTTTCATACAAAGCAATTTTACAACATACAAACAGCATAGATAATCAAGAAAAAGAGTCTCAATTTATCACAAAATACGTGAATACAGATGGTCATAAAGGTCTCAAAATAGTTAACATTTACATTAATATTCCACAATTTAGGTTGACTAAATGATCAATACTTTTGTTTTCATTTCCTTATCTAACCTTGGACCTCTGCATGAATAAATAAGAAAATTGAAACTCTTTCAGATATTGATCAGACACCCTATGTATTTATGTATAATTATTCATATTTTATACTGTTATATTTCTATAGTAATACTTACAACATCTGCCTCAAATTTATCTATTTTATTGATGGCAACAACTAATGGCACTGAAATAAAATGCAATAATGAAATACACAAAAGTGTTGATTAAAAAATAGAAACTTTTTTCCTACTTTAAAAATAGAGGAAGATTCTTTGTATATAAATGAACAAAGTTTAGACTTAAGTAAGAAGTTAAGTATGTTTGAAGTACATGTATCTCAAAATTTGTTTTATTTACACTTTTACAAATATTTTTTCAAAAAAATATAATAAACAAGAGGGCCAAGATGGCCCTAGATCGCTCACCTGACCCGTCAAACTCATCCGAACAATTACCTAGACAAGCGTTCTGACAAAGTTTCATGACAGGTGTGTCAAAAATGTGACCACTAGTGTTAACAAGGATTATCCATATTTGAGCAGTGTGACCTAGTTTTTGACCCCAGGTGACCCATATTCGAGCTTGACATTCGAGCAATTACCTAGACAAGCATCCTGACCAAGTTTGATGATAATTGAGTCAAAAATGTGACACTAGAGTGTTCACAAGGTTTTTCTATTTTTAGCTCCTGTGACCTAGTTTTCCATCCGAGATAAATCATGTTCAAACTTATCCAAGCATCGACTAGACAAGCATTCTGACAAAGTTTGATGATGATTGGGTCAAAAATGTGACCACTAGACTGTTCGCAAGGTTTTTCTATTTTTAGCTCCTGTGACCTAGTTTTTCATCGGAGATAAACCATGTGCAAACTCATCAAAGCAATTATCTAAACAAGCATCCTGACAAAGTTTGATCATGATTAGGTAAAAAATGTGACCACTAGAGTGTTCAAAAGGTTTTTCTATTTTTAGCTCCTGTGACCTAGTTTTTCATCAGAGATGACCCATATTCAAACTCATCTGAGCAATTGACTAGACAAGCATCCACACTAAGTTTGATGATGATTGGGTAAAAAATGTGACCACTAGAGTGTTCACAAGGTTTTTCTATTTATAGCTCCTGTGACCTAGTTTTTCATCAGAGATGACCCATATTCGAACTCATCTGCGCAATTATCTAAACAAGCATCCTGACAAAGTTTGATGATGATTGGGTCAAAAATGTGACCACTAGAGTGTTCACAAGGTTTTTCAACTTTTAGCTCCTGTGACCTAGTTTTTCATCAGAGATGACCCATGTTCGAACTCATCCAAGCAATTGACTAGACAAGCATTCTGACCAAGTTTGATGATGATTGGTTCAAAAATGTGACCACTAGAGTGTTCACAAGGTTTTTCTATTTATAGCTCCTGTGACCTAGATTTTCATCGGAGATGACCCATGTTCGTACTCATTCAAGCAATAATCTAAACAAGCATTCTGACAAAGGTTGATGATGATTGGGTAAAAAATGTGACCACTAGAGTGTTCACAAGGTTTTTCTATTTTTAGCTCCTTTGACCTAGTTTTCCATCCAAAATGACCCAGTTTCGAACTCATCCGAGCAATTGACTAAACAAGCATCCTGACAAAGTTTGATGATGATTGAGTCATAAGTGTGACCACTAGTGTGTTCACAAGCAATTGTGGACGTACGACGGACATTCACCGATCCTAATAGCTCACCCTGAGCAAGCTCAGGTGAGCTAAAAAATTACGTATAAAAAAAATCTGTTCATAAAAAGTTGTTTTCATGAAATCTGAACAGTGTTTTGATGTACAAATTACAGATAATTTACAAGTGCTTTGATGATCACATGATCATGTCAAATGATTGGGGAACGGTGCATGCTTTGTGCAGATGAGTCTTTAACTAATTTGGCATAAATCTTTTTAAACAAACTGCGAAGATAGATGTAAAAGTAAATAAAGCTAAATTTGTATATATCTGCTGCCTGTAGTTTACAAAATTATTTTAAATTTTGAAAAAGAGTACTTGAAAATGAATTCCTCCAAAATAAACGTACCAAAGCTGTCTGTATTTGCCTTTTTACGTCTATGTAAAAATTTGTTAAAGTGAGCAGTGGGCCTGGCATAAAGTATAACACTAATAGATACACCTACCATTTTCACCACGTGCATGTTGTATAGATTCTACTGTCTGAGGCATAATCCCATCCTCCGCAGCTATAACTAGAACAACAATATCAGTGACAGAAGCTCCTCGTGCTCGCATTGCTGTAAATGCTGCATGGCCTGGCGTGTCCAGAAAGGTGATAGAATGACCACTGGGTAACTTCACTATAATACAAAACATTTTATTTACCTTAGTTTGTGTTAACCAACAGTGCATTACATTATATATAGGTATCAAGTTATATATTAGTGGGTGCGTACTTCACTGAGCTAGCATTCCTGTACTCTATTTCCTAAACAAGCAACTGACAATCTCTATCAAGGAATTTCTAAAATCTTATAATACTGTGAAGTGCTTCAGTATGAAATTTTGAGTGGCTGGAACCTGCTGTAATGAGAATCTTCTTTCAAAATTATACAAGCACTGTTAGCCATAAATCAAATTATTATGTGTCAAATCTGATTATAACCATTTTTCTTGAATAAAAAATCCATCAATTAAATTAAATGAAAATCACTTGAGTTAAAATACAGGGGCTTTGGATTATTTCATATATTCATATAAGTAAGCTATTCAGCTAGCTTACTGAATGCTCCGATAGAAAAAATGGAAGTTGCAATATAACCTTTACAGAGGCTGTGTGACTTAAACAACTCACACCCCAACCCCTTGCAAACCCTCGCAGCTCCACCTTAAAACCAACAAACTATCATTCATGTAATAGGGACATCTGTATAAAATTTACGACATCTGTATAAATTTTACAGACATATATTTTTTTACCATTAAATGCTCCTATATGTTGAGTGATGCCTCCAAATTCCTGATCAACAACACTCGCCTCTCGTAACGCATCTAATAATGTTGTTTTGCCATGATCTACATGTCCCATTATAGTGATACTGGTGGACGGGTGACTAGTGACTTAGGATCAGGTGGACCTCTGAAACATGTTTGTGGTACAATAACTTACATTATAATAAAATTAGCACTTAAAACAGTTGATAACCACTAGCATTTGAAATAAGATATAAGCATTTACAAAGTTACAAGAAGCGCGCAATGCGATGAAAACCAGGTTTTCAACGACCAAGTTTTAATGTGACAGCAATCAATAGGTCAATGTGCACTGAAGTTATTGAGTAGAAGCTGAAAATTCTATTGTTAGCAAATGACCTTGACCTTAGCAATCTCAAGCTGCCTCTTGATATAAGCTATATATACACCAAGTTTGGTGTCAATAGGCCAAAGCAAACTCAAGTTATTGAGCAGAAACAGAATTTCTATTTTTAGTATCAGTGACATTGACCTTGACCACTGATACCTTGGTAGCAATCCCAAGCTGCCTCTTGATATAACCTACCCATACACCAAGTTTGGTGTCATAAGCCAAACCAAACTTAAGTTATTGAGCTGAAACTGAATTTCTATTTTTAGAACAGTGACATTGACCTTGATCACAGACACCTGGGTAGCAATCTCAAGCTTCCTCTTGATATAAGCTATATATACACCAAATTTGGTGTCAATAAGCCAAAGCAAACTCAAGTTATTGAGCGGAAACTGAATTTCTATTTTTAGTAAAAGTGACCTTGACCTTGATCACAGACACCTGGGTAGCAATCCCAAGCTGCCTCTTGATATAAACTATCTATACACCAAGTTTGGTGTCAATAGACCAAAGCAAACTCAAGTTATTGAGCGGAAACTGAATTTCTATTTTTAGTAACAGTGACCTTGACCTTGATCACAGACACCTGGGTAGCAATCCCAAGCTGCCGCTTGATATAAGCTATTTATACACCAAGTTTGGTATCAATAGGCCAAAGCAAACTCAAGTTATTGAGCGGAAACTGAATTTCTATTTTTAGTAACAGTGACCTTGACCTTGATCACAGACACCTGGGTAGCAATCCCAAGCTGCCTCTTGATATAAACTATCTATACACCAAGTTTGGTGTAAATAGGCCAAAGCAAACTCAAGTTATTGAGCGGAAACTGAATTTCTATTTTTAGTAACAGTGACCTTGACCTTCATCAGAGACACCTGGGTAGCAATCCCAAGCTGCCTTTTGATATAAGCTACCTACACACCAAGTTTGGTGTCAATAGGCCAAAGCAAAGTCAAGTTATTGAGCGGAGAACAAAAGTTGACGCCCGCTCGCCCACTGACTTCGGCATTTCAATAACCCGGTTTTCATTGAAAACCTGGTTAATAAAATTAGTCATCTATAAATGAGCCGCGTCATGAAAAAACCATCATAATGGGTTTGCGACCAGCATGGATCCAGACCAGCCTGCGCATCCGCGCAGTCTGATCAGGATCCATGCTGTTTGCTATCAGTTTCTCTATTTGCTATAGGGTTTGTAAGCAAACAGCATGGATCCTGATCAGACTGCGCAGATGCACAGGCTGGTCTTGATCCAAACGCACTATGTTGGTTTTGTCATGACGCGGCTCAAATGAATTATGAATCAATCATTTATAATAAAATTAATGTTTACAATGTTAATCTTTAATGTGTTTAAACATGACACAGTTTATTATTTCATTCCCAAAATTCTACCCCATTACTAATTACATAGGCAAAATTTCTGTATATTTAATAAGTTATAAATAACTTCTGTTAACACATACTGTCTAAGGCTAAATTAAACTAGAACTGCCACTATAATGGCTTGAATACCCCCGCATACCACTTTGTCAGAATCAACAGTGGCCATTTAGAGGTCAAGAACAACCTCCCTGCCAAATCTGAGGTTACTAAGACAGTGCATTGCTAAGTTATGTATTCTACATGCTTCAAATGTGAAAATGTCAAAATCAATACATTGCGGACAGGACATTCTTTAGCAATTGAGAAAAGCTTTTTTTTTTGTCAAGGTCCCTGTGACCTTGACCTTTGACCCAGTGACCTCAAAATCAATAGGGGTCACCTTATAGTCATGATCAACATCCATACCAAATATGAAGACGGTGGGTCAAAGGAATCTTAAGTTAATGGGTAGACAAACTTTTTTAAGTCAAAGTCCCTATGACCTTGACCTTTGATCCAGTGACCTCAAAATCAAAAGGGGTCATCTACTAATCATGATCAACATCCATGCCAAATATGAAGACTGTGGGTCAAAGGAATCTAAAAGTATTGGGCAGACAAAGTTTTTGAAGTCAAAGTCCCTGTGACCTTGACCTTTGACCTGGTGACCTCAAAATCAATAGGGGTCTGACTAACCTCCATGCCAAATATGACGACTGTAGGTCACAGAATTCTTAAGTTATTGGGCGGACAAGCTTTTTGAAGTCAAGGCCCCTGTGACCTTGACCTTTGACCTAGTGACCTCAAAATGAATAGGGGTCATCTACTAATGATGACTAACCTCAATGCCAAATATGAAGACTGTGGGTCAAAGGAATCTTAAGTTATTGGGCGGACAAGCTTTTTGAAGTCAAGGCCCCTGTGACCTTGACCTCTCACCTAGTGACCTAAAAATCAATAGGGGTCATCTTCTAATCATGACTTGCCTTCATGCCAAATATGAAGACTAAGGGTCAAAGGAATCTTAAGTTATTGGGCAGACAAGCTTTTTGAAGTCAAGGCCCCTGTGACCTTGCCCTTTGACCTCGTGACCTCAAAATCAATAGGGGTCATCTACTAATCATGACTTACCTCCATGCCAAATATGAAGACTGTAGGTCAAAGGAATCTTAAGTTATTGGGCGGACAAGCTTTTTGAAGTCAAGGCCCCTGTGACCTTGACCTTTGACCTAGTGACCTCAAAATCAATAGGGGTCATCTACTTATCATGACTAACCTCCATGCCAAATATGAAGACTAAGGGTCAAAGGAATCTTAAGTTATTGGGCGGACAAGCTTTTTGAAGTCAAGGCCCCTGTGACCTTGACCTTTGACCTAGTGACCTCAAAATCAATAGGGGTCATCTACTAATCATGACTAACCTCCATGCCAAATATGAAGACTAAGGGTCAAAGGAATCTTTAGTTAATGGGCGGACAAGCTTTTTGAAGTCAGGCCCCTGTGACCTTGACCTTTGACCTAGTGACCTCAAAATCAATAGGGGTCATCTACTAATCATGACTAACCTCCATGCCAAATATGAAGACTAAGGGTCAAAGGAATCTTAAGTTAATGGGCGGACAAGCTTTTTGAAGTCAAGGCCCCTGTGACCTTGACCTTTGACCTAGTGACCTCAAAATCAATAGGGGTCATCTACTAATCATGACTAACCTCCATGCCAAATATGAGGACTAAGGGTCAAAGGAATCTTAAGTTATTGGGCGGACAAGAAAAAACCGACGGCCGGACATACGGCCGGACGGCCGGACAATCTGATTCCAGTATACCCCCCTTACAACTTTATTGTGCGGGGGTATAATTACAACTTGAACATTTGATAATTTATTTTTTGGTCATGTTTTCATAAAAATTATCTGAAATCTATAGGCGTGTTACTTTAAATGTGCTATTCAACACACATGAATAAGCTCATCTGATTTTAAAAAGATGAGATTTACATCTTCAAACCACCTATTTGAAATTTTATAATTTCACTTTTTTCCCCTGATATTTTGGTCAGTTTACCAACATTTAATTGACTTGTCAGTAAAATTACTAATACCAACTAATCAGTTTGAGGAGAAAGCTATAAATTTATCAATCAAAGGATGTCTTTTGTGACTGTATAGTTAACTGACTGCTCTCTGTGTTTAATAACAAAACAAGAGCCATAGAGGAAATTTCTAATTTCGGAAAGCATACTATTTCATAAAAAATCCAATTCAAAGTCTTGGTTATTGACATATAATGATGACCTCTTAGACAGCTTCCAAAACAAATTGCAGCATGCCATCACATTTTTAATTTCCAACAGCATTTATCTTGTTTGAGCTTGAAAATATCTAAATTATATTGATAAAGCACTCACTGTCTCTTTATGTCATTATCTACTGGTTCCTTTGTAACTTTGACCTCAGTTTGTTTGAATGGGGTTGCCGGGGTTACAACACTTGATTTTTTTTCCTTTGATATCTTGACATTCCTGTTTAACATCAAACCAACTTTTTCTAAAACGTCTTCACTGTTAACTTCTGCAATTGTGAAAAACAATTCTTCTATATACAGTACATGTAAATTGTTATATATAGGCAAGTAACACATACTTTCCTTAATTTGCACGAAGTTGAACAGTCATAGTGGAATTCAACACTACACAAAGACATGTATGGGGAGCATAGAAAAAAACTCCTTATGACATTAGTTGTTCAACAGAGTTGTTCTTGTCACTGGGCAATGATTGAACTAAATTTCTCGCGACAAACTTTCAGTATTATATACTTGGCAAAAAAGCTGAAAGCGAGTACTCTCAGTCCTGTCTGGTATGTTGTTCAACAGTTGCCCTTTATTTTTTTTATTTCAAGAAAAATGGATAAAATTACATTGTAAAAAGATAACATATTAGAAGTCAGAAGATGACAAGGGAGTAAACAACTAGCAATAGAATCATCAATGATATATATTAAATATTTACCATCTTCTGCATGGTATTCCTGCTCAGTTATTGCCAACAAACTACTCAGTACATCATCTACAATATAAGATAAATAATGAGCCGCGTCACGACAAAACAAACATAGTGGGTTTGCGACCAGCATGGATCCAACCTAGCCTGCATATCCGCGCAGTCTACTTGTAATAGGGTTGGTAAGCGAACAGGCATGGTTGGACCCATGCTGTCGAAACCCTTATTTGGGTTTTTGTCTACGGGGCTCATAAAAATTTGAAAACCTTTTAATATAGTAAAGAATTATTATAAAGAGAGGGAAATTTACAGCACTACGTAGATTTTGGCCATCTATACCCTCTCACCCATCCCAACCAATAGCCATCCTGTAAATTTGTTTCGTTATTTTTTTTATAAATCATAGAAGTGAAAACATGTTCCTTTAAACCCCTCCTTTTATATTTACAACAGCCATGTACTTATCACAAAATTCACTGCGGCAGCAGCTTTGAAAATGACCGCCAATAATCTGAACGATGTTGGCAGAGGGCTATCTAAAACTATTAATGTGAAATCATATTTTCTCTCTTCTTTTCAGGTCAAATATCAAATAAAATAAAACTTAAATATATTTATCTGCATAAAAAAACACATATTTCTTTCTCTTTTTTTTATTTTTGTCTGCAGAAGCAGCTTTTTTACAGTTTTTTTGTTTGTTTGTTTTTAACAATTCTACCTTGATAGAGGTCTTCAGACTATAACTGACTGAGTACCCTGCTTATCAAAATTAGAATAAGTAGAAGATTTTTGTAAGTTGAACTTTCTTATGCAAAAAACATTTAATTCTAGCCAAGGTTTAATTTTTTTTATCATTTATAACAAATGTGAGTCAGCTGTTTTTGGCATGGGTATATAACATACATGGTATTAAAACCAACTTACCAACAGGAACGTGTAACTTATCGGCCACCTCATCTACAGTCATGCCTGATTTAACATATGACCATTTCTTCAAGTGCTTCAGTTTCCGCTTATTTTCATAATGTTTTGTATTGCTCCGAAATTTCACTCTGCTCACCTAAAATACATTAATTGATTTACTAGACAACAAGTATACAAGTTATCATGTATAACAAATAATTGCATTCAAATCAATCCTAGAAAATGTGTATTGTACTTTCTCTCCTCAAAAACATGCTATTTAATCAAGTAATGTAAAACAATGGCACCAGAAAGGTGTGCAATATATGTTCAAATCCAAATATTGAAGAAACAAGAAGAAAAAAAATTCATTTGGGAGGAGGTATACTTATGATTTAAAAAAAAACAAAAACATAATTACATCAATAAATTTGTAACTTTGGTGTACCGTATTGTTTCTATTTATAGCCCCCCTTCTAATTAGCGCCCCCTGGGTGAAAAATGAAAAAAAAAATTGTGTATGTTTTCTTAGAAATTGTGTATTGATTAAATCATTAAATCAAGTTTTTTACACACAGATAAACTGATGCTGTTACATCATAATTTCCCCGCCAGAGCAGGAAAAATCAATACTTGACAAAGTTTATCTCGGTCAGCAGACTACCGTATTGTCTACAATAATTTTGTGCTGCTTATTTATCGTACGTGAACAAGGGGTTTATAGGACGAAAATAGTTGGGAGATTTTTAGATATTTTTAAACATAAAATTAATTTTCATTTTATGCAAATGTGCTTCTAATTAACACCCCCCGTTTCCGTTTTTGCAACGCCCTGGGGGCGATAAATGGAAACAATACGGTAAGTAATGTTGGTTCTTCAAATAAACTTCTTCATCAAGCATCATGAAAAGTTAAATAGTCTCAAGCAGTCTAAGATATAAAGGTTGGAAACAAAACTGCTGGCTAAAATATGTTAACTTTTATGCGTAAAATCCACCTTAAGGACGTTTTCGGGAGTTTTATATAGACATATGGTTGAAAATGAGAACGGTGATCCCAAATTTGTTTATGTTTAAAATGTTTCTGTTATCATATTCCAATAACATGCCAAGTTTAAAGAAATTCTATTGAACAGTTTTAATTTTTCCTATATGTCTTGTATAGGAAAAATAGCATCTGTAGTGCTGCTCTCCCACACCAAAGGGGTCTAAAAAACATCAACAGATTTGTTTACAGTTGCATAGATGTAAAATTTGCAGTTTACTCGAGATAACTGTAACATAATAGTTGTTATGTTTTACTTGACACAGATATAAACAATCACTATTATATCACAACCATTTACATGTAGCAGATAAAACACCTTGATGTAGGTAGAACTAAATGTCAGTTTTAAACCGGATTACCAAGATATCTACCTCTTTGTTTGTTTCTTTTTATAGACTTAATTTTCTATGATATGTTGTGCAGGATAAAAAATTACCAGAAACCAATGGATCTACTTGCAACAAGTTAACAGGCATGTTAATAATTTTAGTCAATATTTACGAAATAAAACATTGCAACGGTTAAAATTACAGCATGATCAACATTGCAAAAACTTTACTTAGATGGTTTTTTTTGTCAAACATGACATGTACCCGGTATAAATCATCTAGTTCCATATAAATGAACAAGCCTGTTCTGAAACTCAGAAAGTTTATCTTTTGATGACATTTTATATCAAAAACACCCAAATTATACAATGTGTGGGATAGTACATGTAGCTTTAAAGCTTACCACCTGAAATGCACATCATCTCAATAGATAAACATTTCACTCAAGTATCATAAATAAACTTCCTGGTATACAGAAGTTTGAGAGTGGACAAGAAATTGCTAAAGACAATTAGAACGCCAGACCAAACTCGTATCAAAAAACAACCAGGGTCAGAAGATTTCACAAGTTGCCTCCACAAGAAAAGCATTTGAGCTAAGTTTCATAAATATCCTTAAAGTGGTTCAAAAGTTTGAGAAGAGGGCACAAATATGATCAAATCTTAACCTTTTACTGTGACCTTAACATTCAAGCATGGTGCCAAAAATGTGTTCTTGACACTGTCTAACAAACATTATACATTTTACCATGTAACATTTATATCCTTCAAGAAGTTAAAGATATACTGATGTAAATTACTCATTGCTTGGCTAGCTTCCAAAAAAAAGAAGAAAAAAAAAGAAAACAATTAACCTTAAAACCGTTTTTAAGAGAGAGTACAAAATAAGTTCATATATTTGTATAAAATATTTTTCAATATTAACAATACATATGTTTCTTTCAAAGCATATGATTTCATAGTTCATACAATGTCCTAGGAAAGAAAACTAAAATAATAAAGTAACTCACATGAAGATATCTTCTAGGTTGTTCACATGAAGTAAATGTATTTTTCTGAGCACTACATCTAGCTTGAATACACGGTGAAAGACTGTTTGTCTGAGGGTGATGTTTATCTTGTCTACATTGGGTAACCTCATTTGGTCTACAGTTGTGGCCAGCAGACAGATGATGAAGTGTTCGAAGTAAAGATAAGTAGCCTATAATAGGATCTCTGGAGTAGTGGTAAGAAGAGAGCAGTCTTTTTGTGAGAAAACAATTCATCTTCACAATTTATAGCCTGTAAAAAAATAATAAAACAATTCATCTTCACAATTTTTAGCCTGTAAAAAAAAATAATAAAATCATCCAAATAATCATGTCTGTTTTTTTAATTTACATTAATCTGTAAAAATAGTCTCAAGATTAATCATCTGAAATGACTCAAAGAAAATTTTAAGGCTTCCAAAGATTATTATTGACGAGAAGTTGAAGAAAGTTTATCTTAATATGTTCATGTAAATAAATGAACTTACTGAAAATTGCTACAGATTTCAACATTTCAGCAAGCAAATTGGCTCCAAATTAATTAAAATTGCTCAAGAAAATCACAATTGGCTAAAACTTGTGAAAAAGTATGACTTTTGAAATTTCCAGTCTAAATTTAGCATTAAATTTGCTATTTTAAAAAATATTAATGGAAAACATTCTGGTAATTTATACTGATTACTGTACACTCATATAGAATAGTACATGCATGTGACTTTTTTCCCTGAAATATCTTTTTTTTTTACAATTCTTCAATATTCTTTTCTTCATTCTTCTTACTTTCAGATATGTTTCATTTCTTATAATTTCAGATACAGATAGACTTCAAGTCAAATCTTTGGCAGTAACCTTGTAAGCTGAAGCAGATCATTGGAATGTGTTTCTTTTGTCACTGTCATACAACTACCTTAGATTTTTTTATGGGAAATTTGCAGCCCAACTGAACCTGGCAAATGTTATAGTTACTTAGACCAATATATCAGACGTTATGGGCTTGTTAAAGTTTCTCTCT